CCAAGCCCAAACCCAAACCCAAGCCCAAGCCCAAGCCCAACCCAAACCTGCAAACCCAAACCCAAACCCAAACCCAGGCAAACCCAAGCAAACCCAAACCCAAACCCAAACCCAAACCCAAACCCAAACCCAAACCCAAACCCAAACCCAAAACCCAAACCCAAACCCAAACCCAAACCCAAACCCAAACCCAAACCCAAACCCAAACCCAAACCCAAACCCAAAACCCCAAACCCAAACCCAAACCCAAACCCAAACCCAAACCCAAACCCAAACCCAAACCCAAACCCAAACCCAAACCCAAACCCAAACCCAAACCCAAACCCAAACCCAAACCCAAACCCAAACCCAAACCCAAACCCAAACCCAAACCCAAAACCCAAACCCAAACCCAAACCCAAACCCAAAACCCAAACCCAAACCCAAACCCAAACCCAAACCCAAACCCAAACCCAAACCCAAACCCAAACCCAAACCCAAACCCAAACCCAAACCCAAACCCAAACCCAAACCCAAACCCAAACCCAAACCCAAACCCAAACCCAAACCCAAACCCAAACCCAAACCCAAACCCAAACCCAAACCCAAACCCAAACCCAAACCCAAACCCAAACCCAAACCCAAACCCAAACCCAAACCCAAACCCAAACCCAAACCCAAACCCAAACCCAAACCCAAACCCAAACCCAAACCCAAACCCAAACCCAAACCCAAACCCAAACCCAAACCCAAACCCAAACCCAAACCCAAACCCAAACCCAAACCCAAACCCAAACCCAAACCCAAACCCAAACCCAAACCCAAACCCAAACCCAAACCCAAACCCAAACCCAAACCCAAACCCAAACCCAAACCCAAACCCAAACCCAAACCCAAACCCAAACCCAAACCCAAACCCAAACCCAAACCCAAACCCAAACCCAAACCCAAACCCAAACCCAAACCCAAACCCAAACCCAAACCCAAACCCAAACCCAAACCCAAACCCAAACCCAAACCCAAACCCAAACCCAAACCCAAACCCAAACCCAAACCCAAACCCAAACCCAAACCCAAACCCAAACCCAAACCCAAACCCAAACCCAAACCCAAACCCAAACCCAAACCCAAACCCAAACCCAAACCCAAACCCAAACCCAAACCCAAACCCAAACCCAAACCCAAACCCAAACCCAAACCCAAACCCAAACCCAAACCCAAACCCAAACCCAAACCCAAACCCAAACCCAAACCCAAACCCAAACCCAAACCCAAACCCAAACCCAAACCCAAACCCAAACCCAAACCCAAACCCAAACCCAAACCCAAACCCAAACCCAAACCCAAACCCAAACCCAAACCCAAACCCAAACCCAATGTATCAAGGGGTTGATATTAATTTTTTCCTATTTATAATGTGTTGCTTGAAATTCTTGTTGGTGATGTTTCAATATTGTTCACACAATAAGGTTTGGTTAATGTATTTAATCTCTTCATTTTTTTATGTCAATCCTATCAAATGAAGATGCCGAGCTGAAATGCACACAGAGCTACATAAGCAGTGAGTGCAGCATGAAAAACTCAAAAAGAGCCACATTGGAACAAATAATGGAGTCCTAGTTTTGAAAGAATAGTTTTTGATATGGAATTTGATATGATATTTCCCCATTAAATTTTCATACTTACCAAGGGGATGTTATGATTAAATCCAATCTTAGTGCAACAATGATAAACCATACTTGGTAAAAAAAAGCAAATAAAATGTGAATGGTAATACCATACAATGCGAAACAACCACCTTCCTTTCCGTTAGTTAATCCTGCACATGCGGCATACCAACAACACATACAATTGATAAATAGTAAAAAAATCCATGCTGGTAGTAAAACAATGTTCCAATATGCACCAATTACTGAAATTCATTCAATTGTCACACCAATGGTGAATTATTAAAGAATTAATGTACTTACCACCATCCAATTTCAAACCAATTAATAATATTTGAACTGATGATAATATGACAATCAGGCTATTTGTCACATATGAGCAATAACTGGTCACTTTTGAATCTCTGCTGACCGTATGGTTTGATCTACTGTTTTTATAAAATATCAACGGCCCAATGCAATAAATAATAGTGTAGACATGGCAAGGAATGAATAACAATGAGAATGGTGAATAAAAAGCTGCAAACCAAATATACTTCGACAAATAGCCTAAAATGAATAAAAGCCAAATCCATAAATGCCAAACTGATAAATTAATACTCTCTTTCCAACCTAATAGAATGTAAATATTTGCTTTGTCAATCAATCATATTACTAACCATCATCAAAATCAGACTCCTCAGTCGATTCAGAGCCCATTAATGCCCATCTATCATTGTAAAAACCAGTATCTAAAGATTGAGGTTGGAGATATTTTAAGTACTTGCTTCGTTTCTTATCAAGAGAATACGGATCAATAAGAAGAGAGACACTAATGAATAAATAGGTGCCGAGCGCGAAAAAAAATGGAAGGCTACAAAATCCAACTTGTGAAATGTCAATATATCCGTCCATTAACAAAGGCACAAGAATGCTGAATACTGTAAAAGAAGTAAAGAAAATCTGAGGTGCCATGAATCCATATCCACATTGACAGCAAGCTTGTACTTGTTCAAGAATTGGTACATTTTGTTTGGACTCCTCTCTCAGAAACTCTAATGTCGAATTTTCTTTAAGCTTCTTTAAAAATTCATGTCTAAAGTTCTGTGTAACGGTGGTATCTTTTTCTACGCTACTAAATGTATAGGATTGGTATATTGGAGACCATACTTCATCAGTGACTGACATCTCTCTGAATCTTCTACTGACTCCTCCAAAAATAATTAATTCTTTTGGTGTCATAAACATAAAAATATATCGGAAAACATCGTCATACATTCCACCCAAGTGTTTCGGAACATCAATTGAACTCCAATCACATTTCGGTAATGGAGCTATATACCCTGAAACACCACAATTTTTCTTGATCAACGATGTAGATTCCTCTGCCGAACCTATATTGCTATTTTCTAAATGTTGAACGCTATTCTTTTTTCGAAAAGAGGTTAGTTTGTAAGAAAGCATTCCGCTAAAGAAATCCTTTGTGCTAAGAATATTTTCTTTAATTCTTGTTGATGATAGCATGTTGTTTCTATTGCTTTCATCGTTGTTGAGGTTTTGCTGATCGTTAGAATCTTCATTGATTTGCAAAGAAACAGCCTCTCCTGATCCCGAAGTTTGATACCCAACAGCATGTGTTCCTGTATGATTGTTGGTGTTCTCCTCGGGGTTTTGATGGCCATCATTCGAGTCAGATGGCACGGTTAATTGTTCGCTCATTTTTCAGCAATCGAAAAATTATTTTGAGATCTCAATCGAAAGGGTGCTCTACAAGTCTACAAGAACAAAAGACAAAACAACCTACTCCTGTCATCTTGTACTTGAATCAAGCCAAATTAGTGGAATAAACAGTCTTCAGCTAAGAATAAGGCTGAAAAATTCACACGAGATCAAGATGAATAATCGTGTTTCTCACCAATATTTATTCAAGCAATCAATTGGCGTATTTACCAACACGAGGGGTCAGTCTGAAAAATCAGGCAAAACGAGTGCTTACATTGGTCAAGCTCGTGGAGGAAGCTCCCTTAAAGATCGAGGCTCAGGAACGGTCATTCGCTACAATTTCGTTAAAGCAAGCGTTCGTGCCAACCGAAGAGGAATACTACTTCAATGTTCAAGCAGATCCTCTCTACAATTATGCATGGGTCTATGGAATTTCCAGCTTGGCGATGAAGTCACACCAACCTCACCAGATTTCGAGACAATGTGTTCATGAATCAACCAAGTTTTCAGAAAAAAGTCGAGTTGAGATTATTGTCAGACACTGGAAAACTCTTTCTCAAAGGCGTCAATTATATTGATACCAAATTCCTAACATAAGAGAAGAAGAGTTGGGAGATGTTATTGCTTACACTTCGAGAGAGGATGGAGGCTATTTGTGGACAGGATCCCTCCAATCACATTCAAACCAAATGTTGGATCCGTGTTGATTGGAGCAGGTAATTCTTTCAAACCAGACTAAATCATATCCTGAAGCCACTGATGAGACTTGTACTCCGGAGGTTTCATATCTGAATTTTCAATAAACTGAACAAGTCGTTCTTACTATTTTTTAATTTGTATGTCAAAAAAGCTCAACAACATAAACTGACAAAATAAATGCACACAGGTATATATATACAATGACTTCTTTCAAAATTCTCAAGAAAATATGTGAGCTTTTGAAATCAATTTTGAATTTCAGTAACTAAGGAGAACATTTCTTGCAAAAAACGAGCCGTGCTCTTTGGAGGATGAGCCACATCTCCAGTTTCAATCTTTTGATACAATTTAGCAACTTTACTCAACAATTTCTTGACTCTCTTGCATGCTTTGTCAGGAGCCTTATAGGATGCTTGAGCTGATATCCTAAAGATGGAAACATCAGCACCTCTAACTTTTAAATCAATAGAAGGTCCAAAAAGAACACCCAAAAAGTTCAGTACATTGATCATTTCCGTTACGTGCTTTGAAGCTTTGTTCATTTTTTGGAATTGGAACTTTCTTTCAAGTATCTTTTAAAAGGAAGGTAAATGGTTACGAAAAAGGAACCAATGGTGAAGAGTTGTCAGTTCAGACCTAAAGTGGAGAGAAAGAATACATGTGTTTTTGCACTTTGTCCTTGTCATTTCTTTTTTTTGTTTGGGCGGAGTTACGGGTGCAGGTTCAAATCATCAAACATCCATTTAGATTTAAAGCTAATAATGCATTGAGGTCAAGAAACACAAGTTCATTGCTTCTTTGAAAAATACAAGAGTTCCTTAATAAATTGATGCGACACATATTCATCACTGGTAGGATATATTTTCGGCTTCACCAAAGTCTCCATCTTGAGAGCTTGTTCTTTTCTTGGTTTTCCTTTAAGATCCAGTAAGGCCTCACTTGGCAATAGATACCACCGCAAATGACCATATTTCTTATTGAAACCATGAACTTTCTCGTCACCAAATAATTTTTCAATTTCGGAATCGTAGTCGAGAATGAGATAAGTCTGGTTATGTTTGTCCTTGACAATTTCCATAGTCACCTTCAATAAAGATTCTACATCATCCAAAATTGCCGAGTAGGTATGAATCGTATTGGGTTCCATGTTATGCAATTTTCCAAAAGTTTCAACAAACTCCAAATGTCCATTCTTGAAGGTCACATCAGTTAGCTTCTTTCTATGCTGAGCTAAAAAGCTTGTATAATTCTCATGAATTTGAGAGGTCAAGTTAAGCTGAGTAGCGTCAAATCTTCGATGCATCCATTCATTTGTCTTTTCATTAAACACATAATAGGGTAAAAACTTCCAGCCATGAGTGGCCACAAAATCGACAGCTTTCAAAACAAAGTCAACCGTTCCGTCATCAAAGAAATAATTCAAATTCAATCGGGTCCATCCAGGTTTCAAATGAACCAGAGAAACATTGCTCGTGTAAGACTCTAATAGAGCTGTCTCAAGTTCAGTCGCTTCTTTGTGTGAAATTCCTAACAATTCTTGACCATAAGGCCCAGCTGCAGTAGAATTTGTTTTATAATAAATAATATTACCATAATCAATTTCACAACGTTTACCAACTTACCACAGGCACATCCTCCTCTCACTTGCAATCCAAACAAGTCATTCAGTAATAAACTCACAAATGAATGATGCAAAAATAATTCACCGTGTCGAATAAGAAATGAGAAGAATGCAAGTTTGTGAACCCCTCCTTCCTCTATACACTGCTTACTTGGTCCCAAAATGTACAAATTTGGATTGTTGGATAAAAATGTAAAGGCTCGATCTCTGTAATTTTCCTCAATTTTTGAAATGAGAGTGGGTCCCACTTCTTCTTTTAATTTGAATGCCAGAGCACATCGAATGGATCCTACAATATCTGGAGTTCCTCCCTCTTCTCTCTCCTCAATCACATTGGTATAGCTGTGATTGGTCATGTCGACAAAATACACAGTACCACCTCCTGGTCTACTTGGAATTTCTAAATGTTGATAAATGCACGACAATGATGCAATATTTCTTTCAACTTCACAATACTTACTGTTTTGAAATAATTTCTTCTTTGCAACCAAGACTCCAGGTGTGCCAGGTCCTCCAATAAATTTGTGAGGTGAAATGAAAATGGCATCTTTGTGGTAGAGAGGATCATTCGTAGGATTCATTTGAATTGGAACATAGGGAGCAGAAGCTGCAAAATCAAAGAAACACACAGCACCATATTCGTGACATAATTTGCAAATGGAATCACAGTCAGAAATAACTCCTGTGACATTGGATGCAGCACTAAATGAACCAATGATCATTCGTTGACGAGAAACGTTTGTTGTTGCATTCGAGGTGGAGAACTTTTTCAAACAATACTCCAAATGTCCCAGATCAACATTTCCATATTTATCCTCAATAATCTGAATCACTAAAGCACCAGACTCTCTCCATGGTAAAATATTCGAGTGATGTTCATAAGGAGATATGAAAACTACGGGCAACTCGTCCTCATTCTGAGCTTTCAACACTTTTTCCCTTATTCCAATACAGTGTACAAGTGTGGCAATGGCAGAGGTACTTCCACTTCCTTCAAATAAAACTACATCAAGGTCTTCTGATGGAAGTTGGTGCTGTGAAGAAGAGGCTACATCCTCATGAGGTGGACAAGACGCTGCACATTCACACTTGATGGCTTGTTCATCCTCTGAGGAAGTGATATGCATGCTCGATACAACGTGAGCTCCCACACACTGAGCGACGATTTGTCGTGCATCCTCACGGAAATGTGTCGTTTGATAACCAGTGAAACTCGTCGTGGTATGAGTATTAGCGTAGGTAGGTAAGACCTCTTCAAAGATATAGTCCTCGATGAACTTTAAAGGTTTTCCAGACGCAATGTAATCACAATAAGTGATGGGCAAGTAACGATTGTTGGCGAAGGGTGTTCTGAAAACGGCTTCACTTCCTACCACATGATTATGAATGGTCTGTATGAGGAGTATCTTCTTTTGCATGTATTCCAATTGATCGCTGGGACGATCCTTCAATTCTTGATATTCGGGAAGGGTCTGAATGATACTCTCCAATAATTTATATTCAACCGAGTTGGGATCAAAGGGTCGTTCTCGATGGAAATTCGTTCGTTTCGGTTTTGAAAAGGATACGTTGACATCCTGCAGTTGTTGTTGGGCTGTATTCTCATACGAAGGATCTTGAGTGTTGAGCTTTTTGAACTTTTCAAGAACATGGTCGTCTTCAGAGTGAAGAGAGGATGGAAAGCGAAGATGATGCTGACCAGAAGTTTTGTTTCCCATGATGATGAGATGCGTCAAGGCTGTTGAAGTGTTTGTTGTGTTTGCTTTTTCTTTGGTTTGTCTTGACGGGAATTTCTTAAGAGGCAAAAAAGATCGAGATTCGCCGTTGTTGGGGAAGATATCATCTTTCCTCTTGAGTTATGACCAGAACACAACATGCCAAAGTTATTTCACTGACATTCTGTTCCAACACTTCAACGTAGAATTTGTTGTAAAATCAATTGGATACATAAAACGGAAATATTTAAATAAATATTAATTATTCTTCGACGCATGTGTCACATTTCGCAAATGCATCTTGAATGTGATTACTAGTATCTTTCATTGACCAACAATGAAAGGATAAAAAGAGATGAATTAACTGAAATCAACAAGTCCATATTTACATTCATTCGAAACCTTAACTTGTATTGTACAAACAGCTAGACATATGTTATTATTTTCCATTGGAGAATCGATAATACAAAATATATGCAATAAGAATTGCCAAAGCAGCAATCAAAACATCTAAGAAAACAGTAGATTTTTTGTTGTTGGTTAAGGGTGTTCTAGCTGCTGCGGAAAGCTTCCTTTTAGATTCTGTCTTTGTTGGTGTAGTAGTATTTACAGATGATGATAAAATAGTTTCTGAATTTACATCCAATGATGGTTGTGATGTTGTCATGACGATTTCACCTTGTTGTTGTTGTTGTTGTTGGTAATGAGGATGATTAACATGGTTACACGCTTCAGAAATACAACGATTACCGTGCTCAGCTGCCGTGGAAATTGATGCCATTTCTGCCTGTTGGTGTTGTTGTGTCTGAGCAGTTGAATCGGTCATGACTGCTGTTGTGGTGCTGCTAGTTTCGCCACCCGAAGGAATTTGAGGAGACTGCGTAAGAACCTCCTCATTGATCGTTTTACAAATATCACACTTCCATTTTCGGGATTGAATCGCCAATCTTTTCCGTACGTTCGATGGATATTCAATACTTCCAATACCTTTGGCTTCTGTTGGGAAAAATCCTTGCAGTGCTATTAATACAGTCCGAATGCCCCATTGTGGAGTCCAACTTTCGGGATGATATGAAGTGAGTGAGAGACAAATCTTTGTGTTTGTTTCAAATCTTCCGTTTGGAGTCAATAAAACAATATCTGGTGGCTTGTGTGGATATTCTGGAGGCAGAATGATTCTTCCGTGATAGATACCACCTTCAAAATCTGTTCCTTTTGGTCCTGAAAGCGTAAAGTGCCATTCAAACAAATTATCTTCCAACGGATGGGCTTCATATTCGTCGGATGGATTTTTCTGTAATTCCCTCACCTCACTCAGAATTCGTTTAATACCGTGATGACTCTTGTTCATATTGGAAGTGGTTGGAATCGATAAATTGTTGTTGTTAGTGTGGTTATTATTTACATGATTGATGGTGGGTGATGTACCATTAGGTGCAATCAAAGCACCAGCTGTGCTTGATTTTGTTGTTGCGGTTGTAGTTGTGGGTGGTTGTTGCTGTGTCGGATCGCCACTCATATTTTTTTAATTGATTTTTGAAAAAAAAAGAAGGTTTTTTGAAAGACGCCCTTCACTTTTCAGATCAGAACACGTGTTTCATTTATACTGGGTTGACAGTTTGAAATTTGCGATCTTTCATTTTTATATAAGAGCTTAAAGCAATACACAACTATTGGCAATGGTTCTTCGTTTGACGCTTCTTGTATCCTTTCTAAATTCGGCTGAGATATCTTCCAAATCATCGGCATCTCCTTGAAGTTTTTCGAGCCGTTCTCCCCTCTTCAACACTTTATCAATGTTTTCCATCATGGAGTCTTTGATTGTTTCCATTTTGTCTTCTAATTGAGCAATTTTGTCCATGCCTGATGGATCGTCATTGTATTGCTTGAGACAGGCCATGATAAATTTTGAAATCTTGGAAGAAGATCTCCGATCCGATATGCATGAAAACTTTTCCTCAAAGACTTGAAGGAATTGAGAAAGCACTCGTTGCTTTACCGACTTCTCTGCAGCAACGACATAAATGATTTTCCGACTCACCACATACATGAATTGAACGGGTCCATGAGAGATGGTTTGTTTCTGATCGTCAGAGGAATACAAACACAAGGGAAGAAGTTTCTTAGAAACTACCGAGCTCAGTTGGCTCGAGTGGGGCCCTTCTCCTAATAATACCTTGCTCTCTGAGGCATTGCCTTGATCCTCTGAAGCGAATTGGTAGATGGCCGCATAGAGTAGGCTCATTTTTTCGAACTGAAACCGCCTTAATTAAGGCTGATGAGCTTACATCAACAATGACCTCGTTGTGATCATTCATCATGGTATTGTTAATACATCAACTATGCACAATATTATTCATAATTCTCCACAATATAATTATTATTTCGATGCATGATTCCCCTCATGTTGTTTATTGTTCTTCCTATTGACATTCCACAATGGATGAGGAAAGTTCCGTTGAATTTGAATTTACATCGTGTTGTGATGATGTTTGATTACTATCATCGGTGGTTGTTGTAGAGTCATGATTTTGAGAATGATGATCTGATTTTTCCTTCTTCATTCGAAGTAACACTTGTGTGATTGAGTCCATTTCACCACTGAGGCCGACACTCGTGACTGGGCTATTTACAAGAAAATCACTATTGTCTGTGGTTGGAGTAGTTTCAGATGCCTCTCGTTGTTGTCTCTGGTAGTAGGATTTTCTTCTGCTCTCTCGTGCATTCATGGCTTTTCCAGCGAGAGCTTCATTTGATAAATTATTGTTTCCTCCAATATTGGCCATTTGTCGCTCTTGTGCAATCAAGAGCCATTCCAAATTTTTGGAAGAGTTTGGATCTTCATCATGTGACTTATTTGGTTCTGATTTGAAAATTTCATCATAGTATTGAACCATGATGTAAATGGATGATACAAAAGGTGACGTTCCGCAAACACTATATCCATTTGAAAAACATTGCAATATTTCGTGACAAATTATTGCAATGTGTTTTAGTGGTCACCATGTTGCATCATTGAAAAATTATTAAAATGTGAACAGGTGAAAAAAATTCAAACATTTTGCACGACAAGAAATTATTGAAAGAGAATTATTTTTGTTAAAAGGAAGAAAATTCACTCCATTGAACTTACCACTTGATCAAGTTATCAATCGACATTTTGTTCTTTTTCTCATATTTTGTTACAAGTCTAAAATGTTCTGCAAGCGCTTGCAATGTGTCCTTATTAGCTCTAGGTAGTCGTCCTATGGAACGTTTGACAGAGGCCACTTTATCCTCTTCGTTCACTATATTTTTCAGGAATGATACAGTAAATTCTGCTGCAGTTTGTGGTGTGAAGAGCAGGGTTTCTCCTGGCAATTCACGAAGGTAGAGTTTTACAAGACCAGCCACATCAAGTGCATCATGTTTTATCTGTAGGTGAGGAGGGTGATTTTCAAATGAAGCAATCCATTCAGAAGGATATTCACGAAGAAATGGTGAGGGTTTTTCAATGTTCAGAATTTGTACAGTGAAGGTTGAGCACATGACGAGTTCAATATAATCATGCAAGCAAATAGAGTGACAGTAGTGACAACAGTGAAACGATGATGCATACATATTTGTGTGTCATTTGATGATAAATAAACTTCAATGCAAGCTCATCGAATACTTACACCATGATGACAAGCATCGACCATTATTTTCCCATTCTCTTTATCTAATTGTTTCTTCCTCTCAATTTCTGTATTATCTCCAAGAAAATCCACACTCTCCCCTCGATTAAAACAATCTCGATAGTCCTTCACTCGTTTCGTATCGCCAGGAATGCGGTAAATACCCTTTTCAATAAGAGAGTCATACGAGTTGAGAAAACGTAGCGATTGTTTGATCACATCGGGTATATAGAGTGTTTCTAAATGTTGATTCACCGTTTCAATGAATTCCAATTCTTCTTGTGAGGGTTCCTCTGGATGACGGAATGAAGTTGTTGTGATGGTGGTTGAAGTGGTAGACGTGGTAGACGTGCTTATGGAGGATGGGGAATTCATTTCAACAACAGGTGGAGTGAGAGTGCTTGAGTGATTGTTATCATGGTTGTTAGTCGTTGTAGAAGTAGAGTCGTGGCTGTTTTGATCTTGTTGTTGATTTGACGACAAATGTTCCGTTCTCTGTGGATAGAGAGATTATCATCATTACATAATCATAGGTAATACGAGAGGTTAAAGATGATTAAGTACACCGAGAGAGAACCACACATTTATCATCATGGCAACAAAAATCAACATGTTGTTCAACCAAATTCATCGATGAATAACGAACAAATGGATCCATCAACAGTTAGCAGTTATAAGTTGTTGTTATTTTGAAGATAATATGTGTTTTGTTGTGTTACAACATGAGGATTTACAACCATGTCCATCATATATATTCAACCAATAATAATAATAACACCATAATCAACATAACAAGTTGGCGTAATTAAATATTAAAGCGACCATTCAAACAAGAACAACAACTGGTACAACATACCTTCTCACGAACATAGGTCTTGATCAATAATTTACAACTCCTCTGAACGGCTGTTGCAAGATCCACTCCAAACACAGCCGTTGGTAAATTCGAGAATGTGATTGATTCCATCAAGTCAGAATTTCCTGCTACATTGGAACTTGATTGAGAGACTTCATCATTTAGTTGTGTAATTCTTGGTGATGAATTATTTTGACCGTTAGTTGTCGTGTTGTTATTGTTGGATTTCATGGAAGTATTAGTATTATTGATGTTGTTGTTATTCGTGGTGGTGTTGGTGGTCATGTAGTCTTTATAGATGCCAGGAGGTTGTCCTTCAACAGATGCACGCGAGATGGCCATCAGACCACTCTTGGTATGTTTGTTTCCCATGATGATGATAGTGCGTTAAACACAAATTAAACACGAAGAAGTGTTGTTGTGATGAAAAAAAAAGATTTAAAAAGGCGTAGTATTCGTGATGGTGGTGAATATGTTTTGTGAGAAAAAGTTCTCTCTCCAGAATGATGATGATTCGTGTGTGGTTGTTGTTAAGAACACGAAGAAGAAAGAGCGTGACCGGTATAGGAATGACGTTGGGTACGGCACAGATGGCTATTCACAAGTGACGTTTCGTTATTTTTTGTCTCGCGTCAAATGTCTTTCTGGATGGTTGGCATGTTTTTGCAAGATTGAGATGACTAAAGAAAATCCTCCATAAAACATCTCTCCTTCAAAGAACATTTAATGATCATACTTGGATAAGCGTGACGATCTTTATCTCATGGATTCGATGAAAGTAGGTTCGCAATTGTCCCAACAAACAAGAAACTTGTCTTATCCTCGCCAATGATCAATAATGGAAAACGTCAATAGCACCATAACTGTACATTCTTCAAGCAAGGGTGGCTTTTGCTCTATTTGAAGGGATCACTGTGAAGGGTCGAATCATATTTCTCATATCCTTTAAAAGGGGTTGGTTGATTTGTATCATAATGTTTTGTTAAAAAACTTTAAATAGACAATCTTCAACTATGGCCTTTAGGAACAGATTTTTAGTAGGTTCGAAAGAGCTCGCAAAAAAACAGTTCAGTTAAACATTTGGGCTTTCACATCACACCCCATTTGTTGTCACTGTTTTGCTTGTTTTTTCTTTCCTTCTCCCAATCCCTAAATTTCAACTTTTTCTCATACAATGCATAATCCCACCTTTCTAGAACCCAAAAACAACAAAACTTTGAATCGGATTGTTGCTGTGGCTCAGGCAGATCCCAACATTGATGCTCCTCAAATCGAGTTACCGAGCGTTCTCTCCAATCTGAGTGTAGATGGCCTCCGTTACTTAATTCGTGATCATAATGAAGTCAAAGACATGTTTCAAGACTATTTGCAAGGCAAGGACAATTCTCGAGAAGCGAAACTTCAAATCGTTCGAAAATTCACACAAGAAATTTGTAAACACGCAAGCGCAGAGGAACGTTATTTGTATCCAATGCTGTTGGAAAAGTTGGGACAAATCGAAGGACAATTCATCTATCGTAAAAACCTTTTAGACGACATGATGAATAAGGAGATGCTTCGATTTTTGGAACAGAATGAACCTAAGAGTGAGTTGGATTGGACCATTTTCGACAAGTGTGTTCGGAAATTCATTCAACTCGAACAAGAGCATATGAAGGAAGAGGAAGATGATGTTTTTCCACTTCTTCGTGAACGTATGAATGACGAAGAGTTGGCCACCCTCGAAGATTGTTTGAAATGGGCCAAAGAACATGCACCAACTCATCCTCATCCGTTTGAGGTCATGACCAATCCGACTGCACAACTCGTTCATCCCTTAACGGCTCAATTGGATGCCATGAGAGATGCCAAGGAACAAGGAATCACTTCTTCAGCAGAAGGTTTCTCTCAACAAGGACCCTCCAGTGCTGTGAATGTGGGTCTTGCAGAAGGTGGAGAAGGAGGAGGAAGTGGCCAAGTTTTTTACAATCCTTTGACTGGAGCGGACGTGTCGAGTGTTGGAACGAGTCAGGGAGGAGACAAAATGGAGGAATAATCGTATTGGAATGACGATGATGATCAATACAATAGGTTGGTCATGGGCAAGGCTCCAAAGTCAAGGAAAGTGTAAAGTGAGAAATGCAAATACGATGTCGTTGTAAAGGATTGTTTGTATTGTGTGAACTCGTTGTTGAATCCTTCGTTGGTTGTTGTATTCAAAACAGTAATTGCTTAAAAGTGAATTTCCTATCAAGATGACAAAACAATATCTTTTCTTTGAATATGGTATGAACTGTTGTGAAGAACAGATGGAACTTGTTTGCGGAACTAGTATGGTGATCTATTTGATTTTACGAGAGCCAGCCGCAAATGGAACCTTACCTTTTTGATCATAGTTTTCCCTCAATAAAAGAATCCTTCCACTCTCGTTGATAGAGACATTGTGACAAACACAAAAAATTAAATCATAAGATGACGATTTTCAAATCGAGAAAACCCAATCTGCTCATTGGAGGTTTCATCTTGCTTTCCTTCATTGCATTAATTGTCTTGCTCACCTTAAGCAGTGTAAACTCCTCGTTGGTGTAAGCTCAACGTTACTCAGGTTCTCATCACTGGCCATGTCCAAGATATTATTGTAGAAAATACTGTCGTTGGGGTTATGTGTATGACAGAAGAGGTTGTCGAACATGTAAATGCAAAAAAAAGAAGTGTCACATCTATTATTGCTTTGTTCCTTGTAAATATGGTTATTTGAGAGATAGATTTGGATGCCAACTTGGTTGTCGTTGCAGAAAAAAAGCCATATTGGTAGACATGAAGGGTGAGTGCGATAATGTTAATCCTCAACCTTTAAAACTTGCACAAGTGTTTCAAGCTATGTGAGAATGTGCAGAAAATCAATAAACAATTCCTTCTAAAAGTGTATGTCAATATCATTGAAAAGAATAAGCAGTGACGTTATTATCGTTAAGGGTGGTTTGATGTTTCTGGAAGTCACATACTTGTGCCATTCGATGCTGTTATCACGAGAAAGGTTGTCAGCTCAGTTTAAGAATCAGTTGTGAGCGCACTTGAATATTATCATGAACTTACTCTTGGGATTCATCTTTGTTTCCAAATGGAACTTTACCTTTTTTGATTCCCTTAATAAATAGTATCTTTCACTCCACACTCCTGTTTTTGATTGCTAAAAAACATGATGAAAAACATGATCTTCTCATCGAGAAAATCGTTCGTGCTCCTTGGTTGCTTTGTATTGCTTTCATTTCTTGGTCTTATTGTCTTGTTATCCTTCTTCACAGAGGATGCTTTTGCCCGAACGCATGCTCAGCCTTTCTCAAGTTCCTTCAGCAAATCGTTGTCGAAAGTACTGTCGTTGGGGCTTTAAATATGACGGTAGAGGGTGTAAATTGTGTGAATGTGTAAGAATGAGGTGCCCTTCTTATTACTGCTCTGTTCCTTGTAAATATGGTTATTTGAGAGATAAATATGGATGCCAAATTGGTTGTCGTTGCAGAAAAAAGCCGTAGACCATATGGATCATGAAAAATGTTATTTCACATTCTTAAAGACTTATAAAGTGTTTCAACCTTTGTGAAAATATGTAGAACATCCATAAACAACTCCTTCTAAAGTGAATGATGTTAATTTTGTAAAGAATGAGCTTTGCATATTGTTGAATAATATTATCATGATCGTTCATTCAATAAATAATTTAATATTTTATTACTTTGTTGTCATTCCGAACTTGCGCAAGAGACTCTGTCAATACAGAAAAAAAGTCAGTTGAGAAATGCAAATGCAAATAACATTTAAATCTGTTGATATTATGGATCACCATGACTGTACTCTTTCGTTTCATATTTCAAATGTGTCCACATTGACACAAATATTAAAAACTGCTTTATGAAATAATTACCTTTCCAAGGAAAGCATATTATCTCAAGTTCACACAGGTGAGTATTTTTGATAATGAATAACAAAGACGAACCATTATTGCCTACTTTGAAGATGTTTCCCAAAGTGAACTTTACCTTTTTTTTGACTTCTTGATTCCCTTAATAATTAGAATCGTTCACATCACACTCTGTGTCAGATCACCAAAAAAACATGATGAAGAAACTTGTCAAATCGAGAAAATCCTTCGTGCTCCTTGGTTGTTTTGTATTACTTTCATTTCTTGGTCTTATTGTCTTGTTTTCCTTCTTCACGGAGGATGCTTTTGCCGAAATGCATGCTCAGCATTTCTCCAGTTCCGTCCACAAACCATGCCGAAGACACTTTTGTCGAAAGTACTGTCGTTGGGGCTATAAGTATGACAAGAGAGGTTGCAGATTATGTAAATGCAGAAAAAAGAGATGTCCTTCTTATTACTGTTCTGTTCCTTGCATATACGGTTATTTGAGAGACAGAAAGGGATGTCAAATTGGTTGTCGTTGCAGAAAAAAGCCAGAATATTGGTATGCATAATGATTGTCGCTCATCTGTAACAATTTGAGAATTTCGATCTTTGTGAAAAAGGCAAAAGATCAAAAATCAATAAACAAATCCTTAACAGAATATTGTTGTTTGTCTGATGATCAACATTGAATGGGACTTGCAACGAATAGATGCCAACTTAAATCAAATGAAATTTTGCACTCAAAAAGAAAACGTTCATTCAGTTATAACCAAAAGAAATTGAGGTAGAACTTTTCAATCTATGCTTTTGTCATTGGATTCTATCTTCGCACTTTCTTTGAAAGCTAACACAACGACTCAAATATGCAAAATTGCTTAATGAAAAAATTACCCTTTTAAGATAACTCAAGTTCATACTATTGAATATTTCAATAACGAACTATTGAGACGAACTTTTGTTGTGATCTTTTCTTGGATTAACCGTTTAATATTTCTGGAAAATTAGAAACTTCTGTAAAGAGCAATTTTCCTTTTTGAAAAAAAGGGTGCCTTATCAAGAAGTGAATAAAATCCAAGTTTTCTAATCTGCATTTCTCTCATCAAAACATTGAAAAAATTCATTTAATGAACTCAATGATCTCAACCAATTCCAAAAGACTCACAATAGCTACTGGAACACTCTTGTTCCTGACCTTCATGGTCTCCGTTGTTTTGCTCTCCTGTATGCAGGATCAATTTTTGGTGAAGGCTCAAAACTCTGTGGGATATCATAGAAGATGGCCATGTCGTAGAATTAAGTGTTACAAATACTGCCGTTGGGGTTATGTTTATGATCGTTGGGGATGCAAGACTTGTCGTTGTAAAAAAAGACCTTGCAGAAAGTATTATTGTTGGAAACATTGCAAGTATGGTTTTTTGAAAGACAAGTATGGATGTCAAATTGGATGTCGTTGTAAGAGAAAACCATGGTAATGTCTTAAACATTGCTGATTGTCATTCAAACTCTTGATGTAAATAGTAAAAGTTTTATTCTCGTTCATGTTATTATTTTGAAATGTTCATCCCATGTGAAATAAGACCCAACTGAACGAAGTATTAAATTTCGTTGACATGCTCAGAATGACATGGTAGTGTTGGTCATGAGCTCTTCCACACCTTCACCAACACACAAAAGATTACAAAAAAATGGAAAACAAGTTGACACGTCGTTTTTGTTTCTGGACAGCAGATGAGCTCCTCCGAGCTTACAAATCAAAAACACTTTCTCCCAAAGTGGTCGTTGAGGATATTCTCGAAAGAATTCAACAAGTGAATGACAAGGTGAATGCCTACTGTTTTGTGGAGGAGAAGGAAAATTTGTTAAAGCAGGCGGAAGAATCGGAAGGTGTGTAATTTCATTTCATCAAATGACGAAAATCCAAAATCACATCATCCTTCACTGTCAATTCATCACTGTCGATGGTGTGCTGATGAAAATTGTTCTCTCATGACATTCAACAGCGAGATATTTGAATGGAAATCCTTTACCATTGGATGGCATTCCAGTGAGTGTGAAAGATTTACTTACCGTCAAGGTTAGTTTTCATCGATCTACAAATATTTTCAATCAATAACCTTTTATTTCTTGTTCCGAACCATTAAATGTCCAATCACGAAAATTATAAATCTTGAAGGGCTGGAAAACATATTTTGGTTCAAAAGCTTACACCACTCAAAGACTTGAATTAGCTGGAAATAATGAACAAGCTTTGATCGATCAAGTCGATTCTCCAAGTGTAGAACATGCCAGAAAAGCTGGATGTATTTTCATTGGAAAAGTGACAAGTCCAGAATTTGGATGGGAAGGAGTGACATTGTCACCCATGACAGGAATCACTCGAAATCCATTCGATTTTAATTTATCAAGTGGAGGAAGTTCTGGTGGAAGTTCTGCTGCCTTAGGATTGGGAATGGCTCCATTATCGATTGGTGAGTAGAATGTTGTTAAGTTTCATTGTGAATGACTTGACATGTGAACAAACATGATTCCTGTCACAAATGATCATAGGTTCTGATGCTGCTGGAAGTGTAAGAATTCCAGCCTCCATGTGTATGGTCTCTTCAATTAAGGTAAGCATTGTGATCTTCATTGACACAATGGATCATTCACATGGTATAATTACACACACATTGGTTCCTATTTATGGCTGGTATAAATAAATGCATTAACCAATGCAGCCAACGGTTTCGATGGTCCCACACGCTCCTGCCTCTCCTTTCGGAACCATGTCCAACATTGGACCCATGGCCATGACCATTAAAGATGTGGCACTTTTTCTCGATATTATTGCTCAACCTCATCCATGGGATCCTCTCTCTATTCATCCTTCTTCTTGTGATGGAAATTCGAATCATGTGAGTGATTTGTATGATTCACCACCCAGAAAATACAGTGACGATTTGGAAGGATCCATTCAGGGTTTAAGGATTGGAATGAATTTTTCACTTTCTGCGTATTGTGATCCAGAAATTGAGAAGGCTGTGAGACAGGCTGGTAAGTATTGGAATTTGTTTAATTCTGAATGTTCTAAGTAGAACCGAGATGATCAACAAACGCCATTCTTTGTGACATTTTTGATGCATGAACGCGCCACCATAATCTTCACGTTAAACAGCCAAAGTATTTGAAGAATTGGGAGCCATTGTTGAGGAAGTTCCTGAACTACCCTTCCAAAAAGAATCAGAAAATCTCGACATTTTCGGATCCTTTAAAGTATTGTGGTGTACGGGAGGAGCCACCGTGGTCAACAAACGAATCAAACCTGAATATCAACATTTAGTGGATGAAAACTTGCAAAAAGTCGCATCACGTGGACGCTTCTACACAGCTTACGATTTAAATAGCGCTGAAATGACCCGAACGACCATGACTGCTGTCATGAATCAACAATTTTTCACAAAGTATGACATTTTGATGACTCCAACTCTTCCAATTACTGCATTCGAAGCAGAATTGGAAACTTGTCGAGATGAAAGCATTGTTGAGAAATTATGTGGATTCCATTCAAGCAATAACATGAACTCGTCTCATTCAAAATTCCTGCCACCATGTCAATCTCCATATTTTGAGAAGGAATTTGACATGCGTCGTTGGTGGATGTTTTGTCAATACACTTACCCAATGAATATGATGAAGTTACCAGCTGCATCAGTTCCATGTGGAAAATTTATGGGACTTCACATTGTTGGACCTCAGTACGCAGAACGATTGGTTTTGAAGGTGGCTCATGCATTCCAGAGTCATACAGATTTTGTTCCTGACTTGTCCAAAAATTGTTGTTAAAAGTTTGGATGGACCTTAGCCGAACTCTCCGACTTTTTATGAAGATTCAATATTCGTAAGCTGTAATAAAACGAAACATAGCTTCTCGATGTTTTTGGCTATCATTTCCGAATGGGTTGAAATTTTGAGGCAACTTGGTTTGAGAATTTCGGCTAAAATGTGAGAGAAATAAAAAAATATTTTGACGCCTCGTTTAGCGGAACATCTCTCTGTTGCCGTTTGGGAATATCAAAGTGATGCCAGAGTCAGCAAAATTTGAATGCGAAGAAAACAATCATCATCTTGCTTTGATCCATCATCACACAAAAAAGCCATGTGTTGCGATTTCGAACATTCGAATGGAAATCTTATAAACGATGAACAGCAACAAACAAGCAAAAGAAAATTTTACTCTTCCTCCTCATCGGAAGAAGAAGGAAAATCTGTGAACAATGAAGGTCCTACAAAAAGGAAAAAACAATCCTCGAATTTAATCACTGAACACCCTAATAATTCTACATCTCAGCTCAGATTGGACTACCAACTCGGTGATGATATGATGTGTCTTGTTCTGTCTTTTCTTGATCAGAGTTTCCTTGTCCACACATGCATGAGAGTCTGCAAGTATTGGTATGAACGAGTACTTGTTATTCCTTTAACTTTATCAATCAATGATCAAGATGATGCTCTTTCAACGATACAAAGAATTGTATCCAATCAAAATACGTTCAACTTTGCACATCTCTCTATTTCAAACAAGACAAATAACCCAATTGAATTGATTAGATTAATAACTAGAAGTAACAAATTCAACAATATCAGATCATTGAGAATGAGTGACATTGAACTTGGAAATGAAGAAATTTCTGAAATTGCTTCAGGATGTTTCAAATCATTGACGGAACTGACGTTAGAAGATTTAAAACGGAATATTGACGAAGAGGGTATCAATATCCTTGCAAATAGTGTTCACATGAAAGAATTGCATGTCCTGAATCTATCAACAGAGTTTGGAGATTATGCTATACAAGCACTCTGTAACAATGAATATATCAAAAATCTTAAAACTTTGAGTTTATTCGGTTGTAATGTGAGCGAGGATGGAATTACTATGCTCACTAATGGCACCTCATTGAGCACTTTAACCAGTTTGAACTTGGGATGTAATGAAATTACAACCACTGGAGCTAAATTATTATCTAAATGCCCATATTTAAAAAATCTTACTGTTTTTGCTGTTGGAGGAAATGATATTATGGATGAAGGAGTGTTAGCCATTTGTGAAAGCGAATTTTTGAGAAATATTACAAATTTAAGTTTGGAAGACAATGGAATTACTGAAAAAGGCGTCGCTATTTTGACAAAAAACACTTCCAACATGAATAATCTAACCAGTTTATGGCTTGATGATAATTCAATCACAGCTAGTGGAGCCAAATTAATTGCAACAAGCAAGACCATGCAAAATTTGGAAATTCTTTCTTTACAAAGGTGTGACATTGGTGATGATGGTTTGATGGCCATTTGTAAAAGTGATTTTTTGAAAAAATTGATAACGCTACTGTTGGACAGTAACAACATTTCAACACAAGGTGTTTCATATATAATCTCGAGCTCATTTTGTAACACGTTGGAAGAGCTATCACTGTGTTTTAACAGAATTGGCCATGCAGGAGCACGTTTATTATCAACAGGATCCTTTCCAAATCTAATGTCGCTAGATTTGTCGAATTGTGGAATTGGCGATGATGGCATTTCCTACATTGCTAATAGTCCAACATTTAAGAAGCTGGATGTGTTAGAAATATCGAACAATAATATAACTTGTGCTGGTGTTGGTGCCATTTGCAGTAGTTTATACTTGACGAGATTGTCCAGTTTACACTTGGCAAGCAATTCCATCAGCTATGAAGATATTCGTTTAATCGGCAACAAATTGAAGAATGTGAAATTTTTAAGCACCTCCGGATTTTCAACTCCTAAACTACGTTCTATTTTATCGGAATGCCTTCCCGGTTGCTATTTATTAAATATGAATGAATATGAGCGTGAGGGTGAGGATGAGGATGAAGATTGCAACTCGACTTTGTAAAATTTCACAGCGGTGACATTCTCACTAAGAATCACCTTTTAAATTGTTGTTGTTTTCAAGTTTACATCAATATTTCATTGAAATTGAATGGAATTGCCTTCAAAAGAATAAAAGAACTCGATGAGGTAATTTAAATAGATAGGATTTTAAGATTGGGTTGACTGATAGAAAGTCCTGTTTGGTTAATTAAAGAACTCAACCTCAATGGAATTGCTTGCTTTGTCCATTGATCCACCAAGTTTAATGAAATCGAAACGGAAAATTGATGCCTTGAATCCAAAAGCTGTTGTGGTGTTTTCAATCAAAAAAATACGCCATTTCTTCCAATCCGACATCACCATCAAATGTACAATCCCAACCTTGTCAGTTCAGTACAAAATCAAATGGCTGGACTCTCTCTCGGAAGCAATCCAGCACTTGAAACCAAAGTAGAACTCTACATATCTTGTAATAATTTGAAAAACAAGGATTTGCTATCCAAGTCTGATCCTTGTTGTGTGGTGAAAATGGGAGAGAGACAATTGAATGGAGACTATCATTGGCAAGATTTGGGAAGAACAGAAGTTCAGAAAGATAACTGTATGTTAGTTGATTGTCTCGATTCGCCAATTATTTGATGGATCATCATCATTTTTCTCGGGATCATCATCTTTGTTTTATCATCAAAATAATAATTTTATAATTCATATTATTGGATGACATGTGTTAAATTCAAATAGTGAGTCCTAAATTTACCAAGACATTCATTGTCACTTATAAATTCGAAGAAATCCAACCACTCAAATTCCTTCTCTATGATATTGACAATTCCACTATTGATTTAAGTGATGATGACTTTTTGGGAAGTTGTGAGGTGAAATTGAGCGAAATTGTTTGTGGTCCAGGAGGTTCTATCACAAAAACACTCATATGTAATCACGGAAATGGTGGAACTATCACTATTAGAAGTGAGCAAAAATCCAAAGTCAAAGATCTATTGGTGACACTTGAATTAGATGGCAAAGATTTGGCAAAGAAAGATTTGTTTGGTAAAAGTAAGTAGAAAGAGATTTTTGTGTTCCAAGTCTCATTTCGAATGAATTTTATAATAATGTTGTATTTCAAAGGCGATCCGTAAGTGTTAATGGCATGCATTGTCACATTCATGCAACAATCTTTTGGATTTGTTCGCATGATAGATATTTCATTCTTTCAAAGATGATGGGGAACGATTATGTGGATATTTACAAATCGGAAACGATCATGAACAATTTGAATCCACACTGGAAAGGTTTTACTTTACCACTCCAAAAGTTATGTAATGGAAATGAAAATCTTCCATTAAAACTTCAAGTCTTTGACTGGGACAAGCACTCTGATCCCGATTTTGTGAGTATTACACAAATTGACTTGTGATTTTAACTTGTATTGAAATGAAATTATTCATGCATTTGTAATTATATTCACAAAGATTGGAAGTGTTGACTTTACATTTCAACAATTAAAACAAGCCGAAACAAATAGAACTGCACTCAATGTCATTGATGATGGCAGCTACACCAAGAAAAAGAAGCCCCCAAAAACCACTGGTAAAATTTCAGTTCGAAAAATAACATTTACTGAACCAGAAGAAGAATACACATTTTTAGATTATTTGGCAGGTGGTTTGGAAATTTCCCTTTTGGTTTCCATTGATTTCACAGCCAGCAATGGTAAGTTGATGATCAATCGCCCACATTGTGGTGGATTGTACAATTTTGACAATGTTAAATATGTGGAAAATTTAGGAAATCCAAACGATCCTAATAGTTTACATGCAGGTGGAAAGTTCAATGAGTATGAAATGGCAATCAAAGCTATTGGAGATATTTTAGCATATTATGATAGCGATAAGCTCTTCCCAGGTATGTTATTGTTGTTGAAATTTAATCATGAATTTATACATTTGTCAATCATTTTCGACAGCATTTGGTTTTGGAGCTAAAATGCCAAACGGTCAAGTGTCGCATTGCTTTGCCCTCAATGGTAATCCTAGCAATCCAAATTCAGTTGGAGTTGATGGTATTTTACGTGATTATAGACAAGCCCTAAATACTGTTGGTATGTGTCGAGGTTCTTTTATGCTATAATTTAATTATAATGATATTTTATAATTGTATAATTATGATTATATGATATAATGATTCCATACACACAATGAATTCATGAATTTTGATCATGAAAACAATATTTCAACAATTTCGAATCATATGATAATCATTAACAATATTTCAATTATCATGTCAATGATGCACAGAATTATATGGTCCTACTAATTTTGCACCAACCATTCAAACAGCCATCAGTCTGGCTTCCCAAGCATCCATTGAACTCAGCCAACAAAACCAAAAATACTTGATACTATTGATTATTACTGATGGTGTCATTACAGACATGCCAGACACTGTTAAGGCCATCATTTCTGCATCTCGATATCCACTGTCGGTGGTTATTGTTGGGGTGGGATCCGCCGATTTTTCCTCAATGGAAACTTTGGATGGAGATGACAAGAGATTACAGTATGGTTCTGAAGTGGCCTTCCGTGATATTGTTCAATTTGTTCCTTTCCGTAAATATAACTCTCAGAATTATATCAATCTAGCTCGTGAGACCTTGAAAGAAGTTCCACAACAAGTGTGTGAATACATGAAACATATGAAGATTAAGCCCAATAAGAGAGTTTAGACTGAAGGTGAACTAACCGTTCAGACTCAGTTGTAGAGATATTCATTATTAAACACATTGTTCAAGTTATCATATGTTCAACCTTGCCTGGGGCTAATGCAAGGTCTTTGAAATAAACAATTTCTCCACTTCACGAAATATAAGGGTTCAACTTGCTCAAACTATCACTACTGAGAAACATCTGAGCCCAACCCAACCCAACCTTACATTTGAACTTTGAAAAACTATTACATTAATATTCCTTCATTTTGGAGCTTGAACGTTCTTGAAGGTAACCCCAAAAAAAATGACGCAATCCAAAAAACATCATCATCACAAGAAGAAATCATCATCCGCCTCTTCTGCTTCTTCTTCAAAGAATAATAATCAGTTGACTTCGGGATCCAATGTCAAACAATCACTCACCGCTCAAGAGATTCAAAAACTCTTGTTGGAAGAACAACAAATAGATCAACTCTTCTCCAAATTAAATTTAAAGAGAAAGCCTATTGCCAAGGATGGTGCTTGTTTATTTAGAGCTTTTTCGGATTTATATTTCGGAACTCAAATTTATCAAGAACAAGTACGAAAAGCATGTGTTCAATACATGAAAGAGCATGAAGACTTTTTCATGAATTTTGTTGTTGAAATGGATTTTGACTCGTATTTAAAACATATGGCAAAGCCATATTCCTGGGGATCACAATTAGAATTGGAAGCTCTTTCAAGTCTCTATCATGTCAATATTACTGTGTATGATATGAATGGAGTGGTGGCACAACATGGAAATCACTCAACGGGAGACGTTGCAAGCCAACCAGCAGCAACCAATCAATGGACCTCTTCAGGCACTACGTTGTCTGATTTGATGAAAATGAAGAAGAAGGAGCGAATTTTACCAAAACAGAGAAAAGATATCAAATTGGCATTTCTCTATGGTAGTCATTATGATTCTGTCTATCCTGCCAATGAATTTATGAATAATATTCTCATGCAAGACCTGTTCTATGAGACTTGTATGACTCCATTCAAGACAGATTTATTTGTGAAAAAACCAGGATGTTTCAAGAATGTTGAATATGACGCTTGGCTGGATGACTTGGAAAAGATGGAAACAAAGTCTTTGCAAAAAGTGAAAGAATTACTTTCTCAAAACCAAACTGCATATGATCTAAACAATCCCAATGATTTTCCAGAACTTTCGAAAAATCCATTGAAATCATTGTCACCATCAATAACAACAACAACTCTTACGAACAGTGCAGCAGATGATAATTCCTTGTTAGAAACCTCAAATGGAGAAGGAACCAACAACAAATCTGAACAAGGAGAGTCCACCACAACTGCAGTGCTTCCACCACAGAATGCATGGTTGACTGAAAAGAAGAATTGGTCCGAAATATTGAATGCTCCTCCTGTTGCGTCACCATCTTCACAGGAGACTCCGATGAATGAGAAACCAACAACTGCAGGCACAAATTCCAATTCATCCTCCACAGATGATCAATATCCAAATTCTCTTGCTGTCATTACTCAAAGTCATTCACTCACTGTGGATGTTTCAGCACTCTCCACCGACCTTCCTCACAAGACCACCACAAAGACCACCAAGAAGAAAGCAACCACCCACAAGAATTCACAATCAAAGGCCAAGACCTCTAAAACAACCACCATTAAGGCAGAAGAGAACACTGCCGTGACAAACATTAGCAGTAGTCTAGTCAATGAAGTATCCTCAAAATCCGAAAGTGAGCTTGACCATTCCATGCAGCCAACCACCACCCATTCCATGTCAAACCCATCCGTTCCATTATTGAATTCATCAGTTCCTCCTCCTACGTCCTTCATTCCAATGATTCCACAACCAATGATTCCACCCTCTCAAAGCAAACCCAACCATGATGCCAATGATAATCTTCCAAGTGGTAGTGATTCCTTTTTGAAACAGCCTCCTTTGGGTGTTTTCCCTCCTCCGTATCCTGGCATGTTCATGGTGACGCCTAATATGAATTATCATTCACCTCCCGTGATGTTCCTTCCTCCTCGTCATGGAATGATGCCACATTATCAATTGCCACTGCAACCTCATGATCAGCAGCAACAGAAGCAACCTCTACCCTTAATGATGAGGATGCCACCCTCTCCTCCGATGGCAACCATGTCGACCTCATCCACCACCACCATTTTGAATAGTGCACAACCATCTCCTTCTTCCTCCATTCCTATCGTTCTTCCAAACCATGTGTCGGACATTCCACAGCAAAACACTGCCAAATCATCATCGACTGCTGTTCCAGTAGTAGTTTCTTCTGCTTGGACAAAACCTTTGACTCTTCTTGAAAAAGATTCTGCAAAAGAGGAGGAGAGCACCACTCAATCATCAACACTGCAATCCAATGCGACAACTTCTCAAGGCCGTGTTCAGGCCGTGTCCTACAAAGATCATTCCATGACAAATCGCTCTTCCAAGCCTCGAAGCTCTTCACATAAACAACAACAACAACAACAACGAAAGAAGAAATAAAACTTCGCCACTTGTTGTTTCAATAAGGATCAAAAGAAACTTTAAATTTTGTTGTTTCAGACCCTGAGCGGTCTTGAATTTCTCCAAAAAAGGAATTTTATCGCCACCGGGGATCGAACCCGGGACCTCTCGCGTGTGAGGCGAGCGATCTAACCACTGATCTATGACGACTTCACATTGATATTGTTCTGGTTTGAGCATGGGTAATGTAACAATCTTGTTCGATTTCGATTACCTTCTCAATACAAACACGTTCACAGGAAGGATAAATGTTACAAGGATGAGATTAGGAAATTCTTCATTCATTAGTGCGCGCTCGCGATCATTGTTCGGAGGACCATTGAAAAAGTCCTTGCTTTCTTCCTCTGATTTACCGACAGTATTTATCAAAGTCAATCTCCATCGCAGCTCTTGTCTTACAAAAAAAATACTAGAAAAGTGTTAATTAATATCAACAGCTGAACATTTTACTTGTCAAGCTTCTGAATACCTTTCCTAATCAAAAATCAACCAATTACCATCATCATGCCCATTGAATTGTACTCCCTCGCCACTCCGAATGGTCAAAAAATTGCCATTGCTCTCGAAGAATTAAATCTTCCCTACAATGCTCATACCGTGGACATTCGGAAAGGAGAACAATTTCATCCTGATTTTCTGAAAATTTCTCCTAATAACAAGATCCCAGCCATTGTGGATACAGAGAATGGTAATTTGACTCTATTTGAATCGGGAGCTATTTTGCAATATTTAGCTGAAAAGGCTCTTCAACAATCAAAGCAAGATAACAATGAACAACATTCAATTCCCACACTCATTCCTCCACATGGAACTGCCGAATATTGGCATTGTTTGCAATGGTTGACTTGGCAAGTGGCTGGTCTCGGTCCCATGATGGGTCAATTGGGTTTCTTTTGGAAATATTCAAAGGAGGATGTTCCTGTCGGAAAAGAACGTTATTTGAATGAAACGAAACGTTTATGGGGAGTGTTGGAAAAACATTTGGCTGAAGGCTCGAAACAGTATGTGGTTGGAGATCAATACACCATTGCAGATATCGCTATCTTTCCTTGGATTCGATTGCTCAATACCTTCCCAGAACCAGTCTTGCAAGCCATTCCACTGGATTCCTATCCGAATATTAAGGCATATATTGAAAGAATTGAACAACGTCCTGCTGTACAAAGAGGACTTAAGGTGACACCATTTGTGTAAGTCCAACTGTTTTCAAGGTTTGCCTTACATGGCTAGACCCCAGCATTTGTTTAAAGAGCTCTTTAAAATCAATGCATGAATGTTTCTTGTCACAATAAAATGTACAATAACAAGCTCAACTTTTACCTTTATTGCATGCTGATCCAGTAAACGTTGTGGTTGCAGCGATTACATTACTTTTGAATGATTTCCATAAAGATGAAAACGAAGGTGAAGTTCATTTATTTTCTTTGAAAAACATTATTGCATGACAACAGTTTGAACAGGTTTAGAGACACGAATCAACTTTAAAACAATTCTTTCAGATGAATTTGAAAAAGAGTAGCCCCACACGTTTTGAGAAGCAGAAAATGCGGAAGCAGAAGGAACGTAGCTCATGACAAATTCCAATCCAAATGGGATCAATTTCGTCCTGTTGATCTCTGTCAAGTAGTGTTGAACTTTTGGTCTCACAACACTGTTCATGTTACGAACCAAATATCTTGCCTTTTTATAAGGGAAAATGTAAATGATGAAGAGCAGAGCTGTACATTTGTTAGAATATTAATTAATATATTATATAATATTCAAAGAGGTGAAACGGAATAAAACATCATCATCGCCGAGATCATCATTATTGATCATCATTCAATTCAGTAGTGAATTTCATTATTGAATATATGTCATTCAAAACTTACCCACCGCTAATCCCATCGTCAAAATAATCAAAATCATGAGCACCGTAAACGAAACCCAAAACCCAATATCATAATTTGAAGCTCTTGAATAATGTTCTCTTAACATTCCATTCAAATTGTAAATCACTTGTTCCATCTCAGAGATCAGAGTTCCCGAATTTTGAATTCCATACAAACTCAACGTCTGAGCGAGTTGAGTCGGTAAAGCAAATCCATTCGTTCCATCCATATAGACACTCTCGGAGAGTGTTTCAACTAATGGACCGCCATGACCGAGTTGAACCACGGAGAGAGGAGAATTGGCAGCAGAGGTGGTGATGATCATCATGGGTGGTTGTTGAGAGAGTTGTTGTTGTTGTTGTTGATAACCCACTGGTGGTGGTGGTGATCCAGCCATATTCATAGGAAGAGTGGCTGTGGCTGTGGTCATCGTAGTGGTCACTGTAGTTCCATACGACGTGAGTGGTGGTTGCTGAAATGGTTGTTGTTGTGGTTGTGGAGTGAGAGTCATCTTGTTTTTCTGTGAAGAATTTATATTTCAAAATTAAAAAAAAATTCAAAGCAATACGGCGGAGATTTCTCTTCCAATTTCATTCCAACATTTGTCATTCTCCATGTTGGAAAGAATAAATAATTTGAAAATTGATTCCAAGTGATCTGGTGGTATTCATAAAGGGCGCCATTTGATGATTAAGGAAAATAATAACCATTGAGTGCAACGTTTTACATCTTAATATTCACATATTTCCCTCAATTGCCTTTCATGAACAAGCCGAAAGGCAGATCAAATTATTTCGACTCACAAATTCCACAGGATGACAGGTTCGGTCAATACTAATCAGAGAATGCCAAACCCGGTTGTGCTCGGAAACAACAACAAAAATGAAAATGACAACAGCTCTCTCATCACCATCATCCTCTTGCTCTCACAAGAGATGGTCGAGAAGGAGATACGAATTGTTGTTATCTTGTTCGCATCACAGTAACTGACACATCCACACATCAGAATCGCTGACATTTGGCAGAAGGGTGTCCTTTGACAACACTATCAAGAAGAACACAAAATCCATGATGAAACAATCAAATTGCCTCGTGTTGAATTTCATCAATGTGATTCTTCTTCTAATGTTCTTTTATTTGCAAATGTCACTTGTCAATTCTCATGCTCTAACTTATCCACTACTCTCTGATAACCTTTCATCATTACCATCACATCCCTCCCGATCCCTGAGCACATCTCATCTTTTAAATTTACCTGTTCGAGTACTTTCTCTCCAAGAATTACAACCTTCACATGTCATTGTGGGGGCTTTTAATTATTATTCATTGTTTGTGTGGAAAAAATTAAAAATTGAAACATTTCCTCAATTAATGGAACAAGTCACAACCAATTCAAATTGGACCAATCTATATTTCACCACTAATTATGGAGGCATCAACAACAATTCAACAAGTACTAACTCGTCGTTGAGTTCTTTCAATAATTATTACTTTCCACATGTCAATACTCCTCGGCCTTTCCAGATCATTTGTCCTAAAAATTATCCGTGTCAAAATTTATGGCAATTGATGACATTTTCCAATACAGACTCTACCAACAATTTTAAAGTGGTCGATAATATGAATTCCAAATTTTCTTTCGATTATCGATGCAATTTATTTTCAGATTGTCGATACGGATCTCTTTTAGAATATGGAGATGCATTCTTAATGACACCTTTTGATTTCTCCATGATTGTAAGAGTGAATTTACAAGTGACACAAAAAGGACTCTTTTCACAACGAATGAGACCATTGCAAGTGCCATTTGAATTGTACAATCCATTGCAAATGACAAATTCAACCATTTCTTCAACCTATAATCCAAGTGATTTTGTGGCCATTCCAGTGATTCCATCGCGATTTATTGTACTGGATGAAATGAACAGTGAAATGACAAGTGACAGCAGTCGTACCAAACCATGTGAATCAACTTACAGCACCGAAAACCCATTCATCACTTCTTCATGTACCTATTTACAATTAGCTTTGAAACACACAAGTGTGAGATTCATGACTTCATGTTCTGAAAGTGCTTTACATGACGTTTGGGATGGACTTCACGGATTGTTAAATTTTTCACAACACGATATTGAGCTCGTTCAGAAATTGTTAAATTTCCAACTTCAAGTGAATTATTCACTAATGAATGCATTACCACATGAATTGAGTAGAATCGACTCGAATCGAGTGCGTGCTCTTTGGACTCTTTCAAATGTTGCTGTTTCGAATTATTTGTGGAATTCCACTTGTCATTATTGTTCTTCGAGATTGTGCGTGTCAGAAAATATTGAACGGACGGATTACTTTATCATTGTATATGCAATCTTTATGGGTGTATATTATTTGCTATTTTTTGGATTTCGAATGTATCGGTTACCCTCCATGAAGAGAAGATTATTGCTACCATTTGTCACTCCTTTTGCATTGTTGCTTTTTGAAACATCATGGTCATCAGTGGCGAGAAATGCATGTGCCTCTGTCATGCTTCCTTTCTCTATTTTAATTGTTGGTTTTATTTTCACACTTTATTTTGTAATTGTGCTGAGAAATTTGTACTTGAGAGTGTTGTACAAATTTTTGAGACAACAGAATTCCAAAAACATTTCTCAAAAAGAAAAGCCTTACAAATTCTACAAAATTCTGGCATCGGAACGAATGGGTTGGTTTTTGTGTACAGCCATTCCTTCAATTTTCATGATTGTCTTTTCCATCCCATCGAGTGTTGTGAGTTCGGTTTTATTTTCAGAATTGATACTTTCGAATCGAACCATTTTTGCATCGATTGCATTGTGTGGATGTGTATTGGCATTGATCTATTTGGTGATTGATTTTTTGACTTGTAAGAAAGTGTTCAGAAAGGGTAAGTCTTTTGACAATTGTCATTTCACAAAATTTGCCTTACTTGCCTCATTCTACATTTCTACCACGACAATGGAGAATCATCCGTCCATCTTTCATCCACACTTCTCAATTTTTTCAATTCCATTATTGAATCATTAAAATCTTCAAATCAGGAATTCGATGGTTTTTCTTCTTCGATGATCCTCTCTTCATTCGCATCGATCTTCTCTCTCTTCAGCTTCTCATGATCCTCCTCATTATCTATCTCATCTTGCTACCTCTCAACACACCCTTCTATCCAGTCGATCTTGCTTTTGCAACGACTGCCTTTTTAAGAATGTTCATTTGTATTTTTTTAATGATGAGCTCAGGAGGATTGACCATGACGATTGAACTTTTTAATTTAATTTTGGCTAAAAAAACAGATACGTTTATTATTGATTCAGTTCAATCATTGGAACATTTACTTTTTAAATATTCATGTTTTGAGGAATTATTTAAGGATTATTGCACAAGAGAGTTGAATTTGGAACATTTATTATTTTTTGAGGAATTGAGTGAAATTAAGAATTCATCCAAGATTTCTCAGACAACTTTTGAACGTCTTGAAAAAGTATTTATTGACAAGTATTCAATTTTTGAAGTGTCACTTCCAAAAAAGACCATTTCACAATTTTACAAAATGAAAGAAAAGATGAAACAGAGATCAAAATCCACTCACAGTCATTTAGAGGAAGTGAGTCCACCAAATATTTTACATTCCTCACAACTATTTCCATTTTCATCGACAACGACATCATTGAGTGGTCATGACAAGATTCAAAATGCAACGACAAGCACTTTTTCACCAATGAATTCCACAGCTCAACCACTCCATTCGAATCATCATTTAGAGACACAAGTTGCTTCTCCTTCTTCACCTATTCCGTCATCTCCAAATAAGGAAGAAAATATTCATCGACCACAACCTTCCATATTGTCACAACAGCATTTACAGTCCAAACAAACACAACAACTTTCTCAAGAATGGGTCCTTTTCCATCAACTCAATACGCATCACAAATCTTCAAGCAAGTTGGAACAACGAATGACCATTTTATTGGAACAATTAAATATTGATGTGGTGTTCAATTTACGAGAAATATTTTCAAGATTTAAAACAACAAAAGAATTTAGGGATTGGGTGAAGAAAATGAAGAAATCCTTGTCATTGAATGTAAAATCTCTCGTTTGTCCGTTTTGCGCGATTTGGAATTGAGCGACTAAAAAGGAAAAGTCAATTCAAGTCTTTGCAAAAAAAATCAACCACTCTGTCCAACACCAAGTCGATTGACAACAAGTTCACTGAACACAATAATTGGTTCTATTCTCGTAAACGAAACGTTGCACCCAACAAGAACAACAATTTCATTTAAAATTGCTTCAAACTTTCATCATGTGTGAATTCATTTCTGACTCGAAACTTTTTGTCGATCCCACTTACCGTTATTCCTACCTGTTGAAATTCATTAAATTCGGAAAAGAGGATTTGAAACTTGTCAAAGATTTTGGTCAAATGGTGTTGAATCCACTCATTCCAAGTTTGGTTGAGGAGATTCAAAAGAAAATGACGAGTTATGATGTGACAAGAGAGTTGGTGCTGTTGGGACATGTTAAACAAGCATCTTCCACAGTAGTATTGGATTCTAGTGATGAACATGATATAGCAACAAGTGTCACTAATCAAGATGGAAGTAACAGCAATCCACACAATGAATTTATCTTTAAAAAGGAAATTCAAATATTGTACTTGAAAAAATTATTCATGATTGGTGAAACAATGGTCAATATTTCGAGTTCCTCAAAGGATCAAATCGATCCATCTGTTCTTAACTACATTAAGGAATTGGATGAATTTTGTCAATTGCATTTTGAATGCCAACAAATGCCAGTTGTCCACTTGAGTGCCTATTTTGGGTTATTGTCTGATTTAATTATGGAAGAAGTGTTTGAATCACAAATGGCCGAAGCTTTAAAAAAGAAGACTTGGATATCGATTAACAAGTTGTTTTGGATTCAAAATGATTCATTTACCAAATCTCATGTGGATGATGCCTTTAGACATTTGACATCAGGTGCATGTTGTCCAGTGACAGGAGCTTTTGGATCGTCATGCATGGCGAGTAACGGCGTGAACAAGTAGTACAAGATCAAACATTTTCACACACCGAATGTTCATACATAAAGAAAATATCAAATTTTTTAATTATTTCCATTTTTATTTCTTTTTCAAAAAATCACCAGAAGAGAGCTTGCACGAATGCTGACATGGTCATCACCACCACAGCCATCAACACTGAACCCACTGACAACGATGAACCTCCAGAAACTCGACTCGAACTTTCTTTCGCACTTGTCACTACTTGCACCACAAACATTGTACTGGCAGTTGACATGTCACCACTCGTCGCAGCGACAGATCTTGTCAATGGCGTGACTCCCACATTAGATTGAACAAAACACGAAGTACTAGCACTTGAATTTGAATGCTTTTGAGGGAACATGGAAGAAATGAGAGTAAATGAAAATCCATACAAAGTTTTAGCTCCAGGATAAGGAAACAATTGAGTTTCTAATTCTGAATTTCCTATTTTTGAACTAATAATTGGTTTCCAAACATCCATGGTTCCAGAATTGAATTGAGAACATCCATATTCACCTTGTGAGGGATTATACGAGAGAGTTGGAGTGAATGTCTTGAAACAACACAAATAAGCGTCATTGACCAACAAATGATTTTTTCCAAGTGTGGAGGAACTTTGAACTTGAGCAAACACCTTTTCACCTGTTTTGAAAATTGTTTTGGGAGACCAATCGCTCCCTGCCAAATACATGTAAGGTTGAAGAGTAAAGTTCTTGTCGGAAGGAGCCTCTACAATGGTGTAATCAATTTTGAGAGGAATGTATTGAATGACATCGTCTATAATTCCATTTCGTTTCAACGTGGCGGTGAAAAAGGTTAAAGCTCGATAATCATTGACTTTCACGTTGGAGTGCATTCGAATTTGATAGAACGCGTAGAGCCCATTTTGATACAAGAAGGATGTTGCACTCACTTGGAAGATGTAATTTGGATTTGTCGTATTGTAAAAGTTGAAGGAAGTGAGAGTGACATTTGACACTCGAAGAATCATTTGAACTTGGAGAAGTCCTGTGGAGGGATCTGTGGAAAATCCTTGAGGATACAAATTCACAGTGTAAGGGTCTAACGAAGAATTTTCATTGAATGAAGAGATCACTGTGGATGTCAGTTGCACATAAATGACTTGTGACGTCGTGAATTCATAAGCTCTGCAAAAACCACCATTATTAATACCTAAAACATCAAAGTAATAGAGAGCAATAGGAATGGTTAATTTCACCAAATCTCCAATGGATTCCTTCTTCACATTTGGGTTTGACATTAAATAGTCCAAACTGAATACTTGAGAAGAGTAGACTTTAAAACAAGGGCTGCCACTTGTCACTAAGGTCAAATTCACTCCTTCACCTCCACTCAACACACAACTGTCGGCATTGAACGATGAATTCTCCCCAATTCTCATGAAATGAGAAAATTCCACATTTGGATCCACAGAAAAATTCAATGAAAATTGAATTCCATCTCCATTCACAATTTGTGACACTATTTGAGGTTTTGGAGCTCCCATTTCAAGTGAACCCCAACACGACGCATTATTTGAAATGATTGAATTATTCACTAAATTTTGACATTGAGTTCCAAAATATCCAACATTGCAATTACAAGTATCTGGAGCAATACATAAACCACGTCCACTACAGACAGAGATGGTGGAATTTGCTAATATTCCAAAACATTTGGGCATGGAACAATCTGAGCCTCCCCAATTCGAATTACAAACACACGTGTCCACATTGTTGCATGATCCGTGACCATTACATACAGTGTAGGTTTCGTTTTGTAAAATTCCAAAACATTTTGGAAGTGAACAAATAGAACCTCCCCAATTTGAATTGCAGACACAAGTATCTACTGTATTGCAACTTCCATGACCATTACAAACACTGCTCGAATTTTGCAACAATCCAAAACACTTGGGCATGGAACAGTTGAATCCTCCCCAATTGGAATTGCAGACACAAGTGTCAACTGCATCACAAGAGCCGTGACCATTACAGACAGAAGTGGAATTTTGTAAAATTCCAAAACATTTTGGAAGTGAACAACTAGAACCTCCCCAATTGGAATTGCAGACACAAGTGTCAACTGCATCACAAGAGCCGTGATCATTACAAACTCCAGTAGAGTTCTGCAAAATTCCAAAACATTTGGGCATGGAACAGTTGAATCCTCCCCAATTCGAATTACAACGACAAGTGTCAACAGCATCACAACTACCATGACCATTACAAACTCCAGCATCTCCTTGAACTATTCCATAACAAGTAGGTAAACAGGAGAGAGAATTAGAAGGTCTGGAAAATCCAGGTAAGCAATCGCAATAGGGTGAATTGTTATATTCAGAGTTAGGATCGCATGTGGGAGAAGCTTTGTAAATGGTGTAACCATCACCATAATAAATGACACCTGTCGTGAAGTTGACATAAATTCCACCAGCAGTAGATGCAAGAGGAATTCCAAGATCTACTACAGTTCCATCTTGACTCAATCTCTTAATACCTCCTGTAGTGTCTGTATAGTAAATCTAACGATTGGTTTGAACGATCCATTTCGTAATATATATTTAACATTAAACATTTTCATAATAATAATCAATAATTAAAACAACAACAACAACAACATGTACAACTTACATATCCATTAGCAAATGAAAGATATCTCGGAGTTACATTTGATACCAGTGTTGAGAGTGTGGAATTACCATTGTTGAACTTTTTGATGGATTTTGTAGAAGTGCTACCATCCGTAAAGTAAAACTGTTTCAATGAATCAATGATCATTAGTTGAATATTCAAACCCTAAGGCATAAATTGTTCCACCAATACTAGTGGCATACATAGAAGTGGAATTACCATAAATGTCATATTGGTATATAGTGCCTGCATTCTCAAAGAAGATGGAATTACTGTCCGTCGATGCAAACTTTGGTTGAATACCAACACTCAGAGTTGTAATTGGTTGTGGTGGCATTCCTGTAAGGTCTATTCGTAGTAAATTATTGGTAGAACCTGATGCAGTGGTGTAAATATAATATTGAGAACCATAGTAAGCGAATTGACCAAAACTACCACAGCCAGAACAATTGTAGGTGAAGGCAATTTTGGAATAGGTCATTCCGTAACAAACATGTTGTTGGTTTGAGAAGAAATAAAGGACGAACCATATAACAAGAAGAATTGCCAGTTGAGGGAAAATCAAAGAAGTCAAAGCCATCGCGAGGTGTCGAGAGGAAATTAGGATGACTATGACGGCGTGACAAGAAGAGGCAAGCTGTTTTTTTTTTGTTTGGAATCGAAAACCAAACCGATTTTCGTGAATAATAATAATAATAATCCGAATATGACAGGTTGACAGCTCACAGAATTCTCAACGTGATTGGACGACAGCTGGGCTGGGTTTTATGCAAGTTTGGTTTTGACCCTCTCTGACAAAGATCATCTCTCTCTGTACCATTTTCACGTTTGTTTTTTGCTTCGTATTTTCAGTCTTCACGGAAAACAATCCTCCAACAAGAGGAACAATGAACTTGATGCCTCTTTCTAATAAAAAAATGTTTCAACAACAAACCCACCACCAACAACAAGAACTCTTCCCGTGTCCCTATGAAAATTGTTTCACTCATCATCATGATCAATCCTCGTCCTCCTCCTCATCCACAAACTCTTCGGAACTCTTCTCCGAGAATGATCTCGTACAACATTGCTTACAACATCATTCCCGAGAAAATTCCAAACAAATTTGTACCATTTGTGAGCAACGCCATCATGATCGGAGCTTAAAGGGTTCTCGGGATTGGGGGTTTTCAACCCACTTGTATTTTGAGCATGGAGAAATGGCAACTCCTGAGGCGAAACGGAGAGAAGAAATTAAGGAAGAGAGGTCGAGTAAACCAACGTATAGGTGAGTTGAATGTTGGTATAGTTCATTTAAGAAAGATATGAGGAGGAATTTGTTTTTAATGATTTCCATATTTGTAAATTGTTCATGAATTTGTATGAATTTTAATATATTTGGTAACGATCGTTCTGTGAATTCATGGATGACTCGTCGACACCTTTGGAATGTTTGAATTCAATATTTTAAATCTTTTTCCCTCCAAACAAATAACCAATGCATCACACACAGTTTTGCCCTCGTCATTGTCCGTCAACCTTCCACTGGCAAATTTCTTCTCGTTGAAGAATGTTGTAATCAAGGTTGGTGGTTACCAGCAGGTCGCGTCGATCCTGGTGAAACGTTCCAACAGGCAGCACTTCGTGAAACCACCGAAGAGGCAGGTATCCAAGTCGAATTGAAAAACATTTTACGAGTCGAATATTCTCCTTTCGTAAATGGTGGAGCTCGACAAAGAATCGTCTTTTATGCAGAACCAGTAGAGGAAAATCCAGTGTTGAAAAGTGTTGCAGATTTTGAGAGTGTTTGTGCCAAATGGTTCTCCTACGAAGAGTTTGAGAAGGATTTTTTGAATCGATCGACTCGAACAAGGAAATTGAGAGGAAGTGAACCTATTCAATGGTTTAAATACGTGCATTCGGGAAAGCCCATGTATCCCATGTCCATGTTGACCTTTGAGGGAGATCCTTAATTGCCATAATTCCGTTTTGGTTCCGTTTTTGGTGGTTCAATCTTTCACAATATATATTCATTCCAACGTGTTGAATTCACCCGAAAAAAGTCCGAATATTGATTCTTCTGATTTTTTCACATACCCATTCACACACACCAAAAAAAATGGCGACACACCAATTCCGTTCTCTCTTTTTGCTGATTCTGACACCACTCGTGGCATCCACCACAACGTTCTTCATCATCATCATCCTCGGAATGAACATCGTACACGCTTCTTCTTTTTCTTGGTCCTCGATCGATGAATATCGCGTTCGTCTCGTGGATGCCAATCCCTCTCTCCAACGATTCCTCTTTCGAGGCAACACTCCCGTAACATCGAGTCAATTCGATCTCGTCGCTTTGCAACGTACTCTCTCCAAAGTGACCCATTCATTACACAACATGAATTTCACCCTTCCCTCACAATATTATTTGGTGGATATTTCGTTTTTATTTGAATTACAACATGATTTGAAGGTAGAGAAGCAATTCTTTCAGGAGAATCCTCAGGTAGGTGCTCTCGCTCATTGGACCATCTTGGGTGCCTTGGTGAATGGAACAGATCTACCCGATTGGCTCCGAAAGGAATTGGCACTCAACGAAGCGAAATGGGATTTGGAAGATCAATTGTTGAGTCGAGTGCCACAATTACACGCATGGATTTGGGAGAAGGATTCCATTCATTCTGCCTTGTCGAATGGATTATTCAACTCTTACACGGAAGGAACACCTATTGTGTTTTATATGCATTGTGAAGCTGGAATGGATCGAACTGGAGAAGTGGCAGGAGCTTATTATTTGAAATATTTCAAGTGGACCTTTATACAAACCTTGACTTATGATTATCACATTGAGGAACATCCAAGACCTATTGAGTGGGCAAATCAAAATGCATTGAATTGGTTTTGTTGGCATTTGTTTTATACGGAGGGTTATCCTTTGGATTGTGGAAGATCCTTGCCAAGACAAGGAATATAATACTCGAGAAGACGTTTTAGGGGAAGGAATGGTGATGAATCATGATCAATGATTGGTTGCGAAAGATCCTTTCTCTTTAAAGGCAAATCCAGTAATGTATTGAACTACACTGTATGTAATTCCTCTTCATGAACAAATGCAATGTTAAGCATTGCATGTCCAGTGAAACTAGAATTCTTGAAGTCGAATCTGCCTCCCTATTTATTTGTCATACTTTATCAATAAGCCATCCAAATTGATGAATTCTGATGTTTTTTAAAGTGTTTTCTTGTGACCAATAATACATGCAATTATGGTGTCTCATCGTCTTTGATTTCATTGTGATGTACAAGTTGTTCCTCAGAGGATCATGCTTAAGAATCAACATCAGGTTGCAATATATACTTGTCAATATTTACAGACGTTTCTTTATTACTTTATGGTGATGTGAAGTGGATGACACAGTCATTGCAGATCCACCACAACTGGTTGCAGCAACATTCACGGCACTCAAATTCGATGAAATGAGTTCCTTCCAAGCTCGAAGGCCATCGTAGACATACTTTTCACGTTCCAATCGAACCAAACAATCGGCGAGTAGATACAACTCACGATCGTTAGGATCATCATACCATGTAGAAGCTGCCAATGCATTTTGAGGATGTAAGGCATAACAACTTGGAGAATTGTCCACAATAATGGTTTGATCCAAATCTCGTCCTAACTTGGACAAATCCTTAATGTAGGTGTCACCGACCTTGGTGCAGTGCTCACGGAATAATCGTCCCTCAACAACACCATGCTTGTCTAAAATATCAAGCAAAGGATTGGCATACAATGAGAGGGAGGCAGTGAAAATGACAATCTCAAAGTATTTGCCCATTTCTCGAAGGAATTCATCAACGCCTGGTCTCTTTAACACGTAGCATTGATACACTCGGCCATCCATTTCAATGGGCATTACAAAATCAGCCTGATCAGTATGTACAAAGACCGAGTGAACAAGAGTTTCATCGAGATCGAGAACAAGAGTCTTTTTTCCTTGCACGTGAGATCGTTGTGGAGCTAACAGAGGTTTGATCAAACCTGTAGAGGCATTAGTGGTGGTGAACGAAGGAATGTGTTTGTGTGAAGATTTTTTGGTCTCGTATGAGACTTGTTGTTGTTGTTGAGCGAGCTCAGCATTGATACCGGATTGAGGGAGTTGTTTTTTTCGCTTCTTCTTTGTGGTGACTGTCGTGGTGGTGGTTTGCAATTCTTCCTCGGTCTCAATTTCAATCTTTTCCAAGTTGTTGTCACTGGAGCTTGCAGCTTCGTCATTCACACTCTTTCTTCTCAGAGTGGTTGTCGTGGTTGTAGTGGTACGAATAATTTCAGCATCATCGACTGTTTCGCTCTGAGTGGTGGTGCTAATGGAATGTGTGGAGGTATTCTTTGGATTTGGAGCTTGGGTGACAATTAAGGATGGATTAAAGTAGACGGCATCATTGGCAGTGCCTTGATGTTGAGTGGTGGTTGGTTGTGATGAGGAGGATTGATTAAAGCTACTATTTTGAGCACCATTCGTCATGTCATTCAATGAGGAAGATGTTTGTGATTGATTCACTGATTTCTTACTCTTCCTTGATAAATATCCTTTGAGAGACTTGAAGAAATTTCCAAGAATTTGTTTTGAGCTACTTCCTGGAGTTCCTTTCTTCTTTTGTTTCTTTTTAGGTGTGGAGGATTGGAGAGTGGTGTATTCTTCTTCGGGTGGTTGTTGAGATGATGATTGTTTTTGTGGAGTTGAATTGCTAGAACTTGTTTGCTGAGAAGCATTGACTGCTTGATCCATTGCCTTATCCATGGTTTGTGCAGAGAGAGAGGAATGACGTTTGACAACCTTCTTGGTGGTGCTGGTCGTTTTCACGGTAGTCATGGTTGAAATACTCTCGAGTTCTGTATCCACAGCCGAGAGTGTTCGTGGTGAGAGACGAGGTGTATTATTATTACTACTACTAGTAGTATTCAAGACACCTGTTGCAGAGGCAGCTGGAGAAGTCGAAACTGAAAGTGAGCTCGAGTACAAATTATTGTTACTTTGTGCGTTTGGGGTAGATGACGAATCAGAGGCCATGCCAGTATTCTCTGAGAGAAGCAAGTCTTCTTGTTGTTGCTCTTCACTTGCAGCAGAAGGACTTCCACTGAATAACAATTCGTCATCATCGTCCACGACAGCAACATCTCCAACAAGAACCGAACATGGACCATTGACGGATTCGTTGGCAGCTATGGTGGCCACAATGGTGTTATCGACATTGGTTGTGGTTGTTTCTTCAACAATGATCATTTCTTCATTGCTGGTGGTGTGAGAGTCGACTGTACAAGATTCAGAAGGTGATTCCATGTAGTTGTTGTTGTTGTTGTTGTTGATGTTGTTTGTGGTTGATAGATTCGGCACCAAACGAATCTCCTCATAGGTAGAAGTGGATTGAGGAAGAATGGCTTGAGTGACTAGCCTTGAAATATCAAAAGGAGGAAGTTTGGAAGCAGAACAGCTTGCTGAGCTTGTTTGTGGTGATAATGGTGGTGGTGGTGGTTGTAATGAAGACATTTTGTTATGAGAATGATGATATTATGGTGAGAAGTGAGTCTTTTAGGAGTGAAGAGTCGGTCGTCGGATGATGAAATTTATGGATGGAGAAAGGGAGAGAGTAGTTGCGGACACAACGTAGAGAATATTTAGAGAGAGAAACTAATAATGGGACTGGAATGGGAGAGAGAGAACGAGTATTCACTGAATAATAATAATCAAAGGGGATTGGTGTTGAAGCAAATTAATTGAAATGGCAAATTATTATTATGGACTCGATGATGATGATATGCTTCTGCTGCTGAAACTGAATCCGTAGTGGGAGCAGAGAATCAAAAAAGAGAGAGAGAAATGAAGAACGGATGATGATGTTCAACTTCAATAGCTGTTGATGGAAATCAATGAATGGAAATCCGAGATCAAAATTGAACGAGAGAGATGGGAAAGAGTTGAACTCATAAACACAATCGATGAATATGCGAATATATTGGATTCTTCGGCTCAGACCAATTGGTTCCTTCTTTGATGAAAAGCCAAAGAGGTCTCACGACAAGAATTGTTTTTGATGAAAATGATTCGTGGATGTCAGTTGAGAAGCACAGAACAGCACCCAGACAAGAACAATGAGAAAGTGGATTCGATTATTCTTTTTTCAGGTCGATGAATTTTTATGTTGGCTGTCAATTTGTGGTACGGATCTTTTCACAACAAATTTGCTCTTGACGTGGGACATGTTTCGTTTATATGCTGCGAATTGTGCTTTTATTGTATCAAGCATCATTATGGACAAAAACTCACCGCCCTAAACAGAAGGTGTTGACAATTTATAGAAGGAGCTACAGTTTCATTTAGAGGCGTTTTTGTCATTTGGCATGCACTATTTATCACTACTTGAAGAACTACTTTTCTTTGAAGTTACAGCTGATGATACTCTCAAAGACACTCCAACGTAAAAGTACCCTGTTCGAGGGAACTGAAAAAGGTCTTGTCTTTTACTTGCACATACCTTTTAGAAACTTTGCGAATCATAACAAGTGAACGATTCAATAAAGTATTAGATAATGATAATGTCAACGACGAAGAACAAAGGCCATCTGTAGAGCTCGGTTCATCACGAAGAACTGAACTTGTGAATATCTTAATCTGTTCCATTTTCACGATTCAAACTAACAACTCTAAAAGTCAAGATATTAACTTGAGGTAGAAACATTGTGAATCATGATAATCCAAATTTTCTGGTAAAAACAAACAAAATGAAATAGATCTTTCAGACCATCTCACCATCTTTAGAAAGAAAATATAATATAAAATAAAAATAATTGGACATCATCGTATGGTGAGATGGTCGAGCGGTCTAAGACGACACGTTAAGGTATGATTAATACCGTGTTCCGCAAGGGCGTGGGTTCAAATCCCACTCTCATCAATTTTTTTGTAACAACGTGATGAAAAACAATTTTTTTTCTAAATCACACACTGTCAAAATCTGTCATTGTCAGTATCCTGCCTTTTACTAACATATCTCGTTTGAAATCTGCACAGTTTGGATCGTTGGAGATAAGGGAAGATTTTGAAATAACACCTGTTGTCTCTCGCATGATCCCATCACCAAACAAAAAACAATCGTCAACTGTTTCTCAACGGTGCATTGTTTAAATCTTCACCTATGACAACGGAAATCGGTATGAACTTTCCTCTACATCAACAAACGACTGTTCAAGAAATCCTGAATGGAGCAGCTCTCCAAAGTATTAGTAACAGCAACAACAATTCTTCTTCGAATATAACCCAGGCCCGTCCCACCAATCTCTTAACAAGTTATCAATATGCTGCGTTTGCAATTAATGGACCTTTTCTCGTGGTATTCTCCTTGACCAGTATTGTCATAATTTCAATCATGATCAAACTCAGAAATCAACAATCACAAATGTCAACCTCTCATCGAAGTGAAGCAAAGAAAAATCAAAGAATTTTGTTTTCCCTATTGTTGAGTCTTTCCCTTTGTTCTCTTTTAAACATGTTCACCAGAATTGGATCAGAGTTGACCTATGTCAGCAATCAACCAAAAACTGTCTTAATAGCAAATTCAATACTGAAAGGAATTGATCGAAGTGTGCTTTGTCTGACCACACTATTTGAATTTCTTCTCATAACATTTGTTTCTCATGTGTTGTAAGTACAACTGCAATACCAATTCATGAACTTTAATCCTTAATTTGACAATTGTCAGTTTGGGGACCACCAGAAAAGTTGGAGCCATTTCAGAGAAAAAATACAGGATATTACGAATTCTGGTATTGCATGTTTTCACCACTGTTTTGACAATTGACCTTCTTACAGTTGCAATTTTTTGTCTTGTCGTCGGTGGAGTGTTAGCTGCCGATTTAGGAGCAGCAATTGCCAACTACTTTGTCATGACCGTTCTTATTGTAGCAGCTCTTTCTTTTGCATTGATAACTTCTCTTCAACTTTCACTAATGCATGTAAGTAATAGACCAATTTGAATGTCACAAATCATTTGAAAATGCGCATTTCCTTAATAGTATGTTGGATTTTTATTGCTTCGATCCATTCAACAAGGAGAAAAGAAACTCCAAAATTCTTCATTGAACACTATTCCCAAAACTCTTGAAGAAGAGAATCCCAACTCCAAGCTTTCCAAAATTCCATCTCATTCTGCTCTTCAAGGTGTCAACACGAAACGAGTGGCCTTAAAAAAAGCCATTTCCGTCTTGATTGGTGTCACGATCAGTTTAGTATTTCAATTTTTAGGGTTCTTTTGCGTTCCATTTACCATGTTGAATAGTAATGCCATGTTAATATTTTTTGCTTTGCATGACTTGACGTTGGCTTTTATTTTGATTTTATTTGTGGTTATTTATCGACCTCTTCATGACATTCAGGAGACTAACTCGACATCTTTTAATGCAAATGTTCAGCAACAAACATCAACGACTGGTGATAAAAACAGCCAAAAAGTTTTTCCGTCGGCTTGTGTTTGATTATTTAGATTCATTTCACAACTGTCATAGAGAAGAAAGATTCTATTGAGAGAGGAATATGTTACTTATGAAATCGTTTGGGTTGATTTTCATTGGAGCATGTAAAGTTAGGATAGTTCTTGTACTTTCCAGTTCAAATGAACCCAAAAAAAGAAAAGGTCAATATTTGATGTAAATTGTCAACTTGAATAAATGCATTAAAATCAGAAAAGCTTTAATCACTTTCATTAGTTTTGCAACACTTTCATCCACAACTGAAAGGAATAAGAGAAAATGCTAATTCGGTATTTAATCATTAATATAATCATCAACTTGTCCGAGAGGGAAAAACTCGATACAGAGACTTCATTAAACATTGTCAACAACATGTGATCTTTTTCAGGGCTGAGAGGCTTGAACATCTCTCAAGATTCACTGTTGACATTGACAACAATTCCCTGACTGCGAAGGTCCTTCGATTCACATTTTCATGAAATCAAAGAGCCTGTTGATTAGTCATAGTGTCAAATTCTTTGTTCAAGTTCAACAATTCAATATATTTAACGTTCTGCCCTTCATTCATCAAAAAATGTCAAAAGTGACCCATGATTGTCGCCACTACAACAAAGCGCACATCACTAATTGTCAGTGGCACTAGGATCCACTATAAGTCTCGACAATGAAATGATCAAAGAATTGTATTCCTTTTTTTGACTTAATTCCGAATAAGAGTTGGGTATTCAGAGATAAGCACGATAGAACCGAAACAATATTGCTTTTGATCTTCACATCATCATCATCATCAAACAAAACTCTCCAAGTGTTTTGATTTAATTCTTTCGAAGGAGCATCATCATGACCTCTCTTCATCTCATTCCTCTTCAACACAAGTCGGAAGAGCTCTTTGAAATAGCTCTCGAACAAAACAATTCTTCTTCTCCTTATTCGAATATCACCCAACTGGTCAATTCCACCAACCTCATGGCCAGTTATCAATATACTGTTTTTGCAATTAATGGACCTTTTCTCGTGGTATTCTCTTTGACTAGTGTTGTTATTTTCTCAATCATGATCAAACTCAGAAATCAAACATCATCCTCTCATCGAAGTGAAGCAAAGAAAAATCAAAGAATTTTGTTTTCCCTATTGTTGAGTCTTTCCCTTTGTTCTCTTTTAAACATGTTCACCAGAATTGGATCAGAGTTGACCTATATCGGTACTCAACTTAAAACTGTTTTAATAGTTTTTTCAATACTGAAAGGAATTGATCGAAGTGTGCTTTGTCTGACCACACTATTTGAATTTCTTCTCATAACATTTGTTTCTCATGTGTTGTAAGTACAACTGCAATACCAATTCATGAACTTTAATCCTTAATTTGACAATTGACAGTTTGGGGACCACCAGAAAAGTTGGAGCCATTTCAGAGAAAAAATACAGGATATTACGAATCCTGGTATTGCATGTTTTCACCACTGTTTTGACAATTGTCATTATTACAGTTGCAATTTTTTGTCTTGTCGTCGGCGGAGTTTCAGCAGCCGAATTGGGAACCATGATTGCCAATTACCTTGTGTTGTCTAGTCTCATTGTTGCTGCTCTCGCTTTTGCATTGATAACTTCTCTTCAACTTTCATTCATGCATGTAAGTAATAGGTCAGTTTTTTTGAATGTCAAAAATCACGTTCTTCATTTGAAAATGTTCATTTCCTAAATAGTATGTTGGATTTTTATTGCTTCAATCGATTCAACAAGGAGAACAGAAAATTCTTCAAAGTCCATCTTTGAGTACTTTTCCTAAAACTCAAGTAGAAGAGAATCCAAAATCTCAGTCTTTTAAAACTCTACCTCCTCTTTCAGTCCTTGAAAGTGTGAACATGAAACGAGTGGCCTTAAAAAAAGCCATTTCCATCTTGATTGGTGTCACATTCAGTTTATTATTTCAATTTTTTGGTTTCTTTTGCATTCCCTTAGCTGTGGTGAATAGCACCTTCATGTTAATATTTTATGGTTTGCATGACATAACGTTGGCTTTTATATTGATTTTATTTGTTATTATTTATCGACCTCTTCATGACATTCAAGAGACTTACAATGAGTCTTTTCTTAAGCAACAACAACAACACAGATCAACAACCACTACTTTGGAACCCCATAGCAAAAAAGTGGTTGCATCGACCAGTGTTTGAAAAAAACGTCATCAATTAATACTTGTCATCAGCACTTGTGGCAAGGGAATTGATGGTGTTTGGAAACCATGAGCGTCTTTTAGGATTTCCTTTCTTAGATCTTGACATAAGGTCGGATAGATTCTACTCATTCCATTTTGTCCTCTAATTATTGACCCTGATTAAAGTGATAATATTCAACTGTACTTCTTTATTAAGGTTTCTCAAAAGAGATTATTACTTAAATATCAGACATTGTTAAAGTTTGCGAGTTCTTGATCTGTAAACGTCTTCATCCTCGATTTATACAACAACAAATGTTCCGTCACATGTTTCAAATCAGCACTCTCTATTTCAAAGTTCATCAATCCAAAGAACGAACAGATTTGAACCAAATTCATTGTTCTTCCACCAACAAAAAGCTTTTGAAATTTTTTCGCCTTCAACAGAAATGTCAAACCCGCAAACTGTCAACATCAACCATCAAAAAAAATTTTCAACATTGTCTTGTCAGTCACCACAAACAACGAACATTACACACACTTCATTCCAAACCGAACCTACCACAAAAACAACCACAACACAATGGCTGAATATAAATTCGTCGTCTTGGGAAGCGGAGGTGTCGGTAAAAGCGCCTTGACCATTCAATTCATTCAAGGAAACTTTGTTGAAAAGTATGACCCAACTATTGAAGACTCTTATCGTAAACAAATTGAAGTCGATGGAAAGGCATGTATGTTGGATATTTTGGATACTGCTGGACAAGAAGGTAGGTGATTGTTGGTATTGATGATGATGATTGAGAGATTCAATGTTATTCATTTGTTATATTTGATGGATGATGATGATATGATTATAATTATTGGAATCATATGGGTCCATGTTCACACATGTGGTGGTTGTTGTGTAACACCTTTATATGCGTGTGTGTGTCTCAACGATGATGATGATGACCATTGTTGTTGAACTCTCTTTTTCCAAAATTGAAAATACTTTGTGTGTTGTGGACTCTCGTAATATGAATGACCCATTCTTCATTCAACCGAACCGTTCATGATCCGCAACACATGGACAACAACCCCTTCATGATTGGTCGTCGTCTTTTCAAACTCTCTTTTTTCTCACACTTTTTCCATTTTCATCATCACATTCACCAAAACGATCACCACTTTCACAACCACGACCAACACGACCATAGAATACTCTGCCATGAGAGATCAATACATGAGAACTGGTCAAGCCTTCATTCTCGTCTACTCCATCACTGACCCTTCCTCCTTCGAAGATTTACTCACCATTCACGAACAATTGTTACGTTCCAAGGATGCCGATGAAGTGCCAATTGTTCTCGTTGGTAACAAGTGTGATTTGGAAGAAGAACGTGCCGTTTCCAAGGAGGAAGGTAAATCCATGGCTGAGAAGTTTGGTGATCATTGCAAATTCTTGGAAGCTTCTGCTAAGGAATCCATCAATGTGGAGGAAATTTTCACAAGCTTGGTTCGATTGGTGGACAAGTTTGAGAATGGAGGAGGTGATGATGATGAAGCCGATGAAAAGGATGATGAAAAGGAAGGAAAGAAGAATGAAAAGAAGAAGAAGGATTCGAGTGGAAAGAAGAAGATTAATATTAATATTAACTTGCCAAAGAAGTGTATCGTGTTGTAAAGAGAGTCATGACATTACTGACATTTGTGTAACATTATTCCCTCTCCTCAGCACAGAAGAAGAATAAACAACAACAACAACAACTAGATGCAAATGTGTAGAATGATGTTTCTTGATGAAGAAAGAGAGCAGCTATTGGTGTTCACAGAGTTCAAAGGGATCGTCGTAATCGTTTCTTGCGATCGTTTGAAGAGTGTGTGACAATAATGAATGTAAGATTCTGTACATAGTTATAAATAATATATATATACATAGTTTTAATTATATAAACATATTTACAATAATTAAACATATTTACAATAGGTTATAGATATTCCCTCACATGAGTCGAAATGAACAAGAATTTGATTTTTCAACACATAGGAAGAGGAACACACAATAATATTCCACTTGGGATGGTCATAGTCTTCAATACTTAATGATGGTGATGATGATGGATAGTATACTTTGATTTACATTTGTGATGGTTGCAACGACATTTTCGACAACCCCACATATCTCTCTTGTATCCATATTTACACCATTTATGGCAATAGAATGGTCGACAGGGTCTATGTCTACATCGACATCGTTTTTGACAGCCACAATGATCTCTCAAATAACCGTATTTACACCATTTGTGACAATGGAACTTTTTACACTTTGGAAGGTAAACCAGTCCAGGAGGGACAAATTTTTGTGCCTTCTGCTCTTCTTCATGACCATTGACAGCAATGGCAGCCAATGCCAAAGCAAGAAGGAGTAAGAGACAAGCACCTGAAGCAAGAAGGTTGAAACGTTTGTTATTGGTCTGAAAGTTCATGATGACAATTAAATTCTTCAACGAGTTATTTTTGTTTGATTTGATTTAGCTCAAGGCAGTTTCACTATTTATTGTGGAAATGTTCATTTCAAAATGGTAAAATACCAATTAGAGAGCTGTTTAATCATGGAAACTCAAACGTGGTGTTGTGAAATCTGGAGTTTTGGATCACCATCATGTTCATGTACCAGTTCCAAGTTTTTCGATGAACTTTGGATAACATTGTGGGCATGTTTAAAACAAGATCTTTCCAACAGAAACAACAACCAGTGAAACACAAAGTTTCAGAATGGCCACTCGCCCAATGTGGTTGTTTCCGAATTTGTTCAATATTGATGATGTCGTAAAATTTGAGGCTCAGGAAAACCTTGTTGATTTCATCATTAAATGTAATAACTGTGAATAATAATATTCACACACATACACGAGTTGGATCTAAGGGAATCTTGAATTGCTTTTATCAAGGAATCACAATCCATCAAAGGAGGAGCCACTAACTACAGAACAAGGGGATCTTGTAATTTATGTGAGCGTATAATGGTAAGGAAGCATTCATGAATCGCAATAGAGGATTGATGATTTCTATCACTTCCTCGAGCATGCTGTCGACATGTAAAATGATCAGGTCATTAAAATATCATAATATTTGGCGCCATTTCATATTTACAACAAAAAAAATTATAACGTAATCAGCTCTTTGAATTCATCCATCAAATTTTTCAAACACTTCAAGATCGCTTCTCACCACCATCTGAAACAATAGTTACATCATCACCTCATGAAAACACTCCCAAAGTACGAGAGGGATTTCAGGTATTTTTCCTTTTACCTTGACACCAGCTATCCTCTCATTCCGCCTGTGGTACCTCAAATTCGGAATGAGCAACATCAAGGAGACCCGACATCACAGGAATTGGGATCCTCTGAAACGAGTACAGAAAATGCTTCAATCCCTTCGGATCCTTCTGCTCATTTGGAACTGGAATTGGCAGAAAGAGATAATTTTCTCGAGACATTGTACGGTCATCTTCCTTTAATTGAACAAAATCCAACCATAGATCCGTCAAGATTTAAAATTTTAATTTTCAATGAAGTTCTTCAATTGGCAAAAACTCAAAAATTTGAAGAATACACTGAATATGAAAAGAATTTAGCAGAAGAAACAAAACTTGCTTCCAATAATTCTTCAAACAAAAAACCCTTAAAAGAGGTGGAGAGCGAAGAGGAAATTAAGAAAAAAATTGCCAACCTGAAAAATGATCGCAAACGTCTTCTAGCTCTCATCTACCGAAGAAGCATTAATTTTCATATCGAGGATTTCATTAAAAAGAAGGCGGAAGAGGAAAAGAAAAAACAAATCGAATTACAAAAAAAGGAGGAAGAAAAACGAAAGGAGCGAGAAAAGGCAAACAATGCCAATAACAAGAAGAATGCCACAGCGGCGTCAACAAACGCAACACAATCCGAGATTCCTCCTCCGACTGAAGAGCGACCCAACAGCCGAGACTCTTCCACTTCACAACAACCACAAGAAGCAATACCTCTCACAAAAAATTCACCCATACTCTTCTTTTTATTTAAAGATTATCCAACAACTAGTGACGAAGCAAATCAGCTGGTGGATGCTGGAGTCAATTTCGATTGTATTGTTGTGTTAAAGAAGGAAAAAAAGAGAGGTCCTCCTCCAATATCTGAGGAAGAATTAAATCAAAAATTGAACGACAAGAAAAAGAGACCAAAAAGCAATGACACCAAACAGAGACCAAAAAGTGGAGGAAGTGGAGCAGCAAAAAGCAACAATCAACCAAAGAAAACAGTTCCACCAGCATCTTCGTCAACACCAAATGTACCTCCAATATTCGAGCCTGAGAAAAGACTATGCCAACTCGTAGAAAAACACCAGCAAGTATTACAGGAAAATAATCGAGCTAATCTCCTCAGGAATATTATGTACATACATTATTCTTTTGTACAATATGTTTACGATGATGACAATTCGAAATTTGATCCAGGTGACAATGTAGAGTGCGAGGTAGCAAGATTTTTCTCCACACTCGTTCAAAATGCCCAGCTCATAATGAATCACTATGACTCGTATTTGGAAGACACTGGACATCAAACATCTACCTACGTCTCAGATGACAAAATTCAAGTTGATTTGAGTTATTATAACAAACTACTCGAAAAAGTTCCCGATATTTGTTGCTCTGAAGCAGTGGTGCTACATTGCTTAATGGAACAACTTGTAAAGACGGTAGAAGAAAAGTTTGAACTTGTATCGAATGGTGACGACAAAAAGGTCACTACCCAGATTACAGAGAGTTTAAACTCGCTGCTTTCCACTACTTTTAGTCCATATAATTTTTTGCAAAAAGCAGATATTGCTGAGCAACAAACAGAGCCAAAGAACACTCTTCCAAAGATTGGAAATGTTAGCCTCATACCGTTTGGGTCCAAAATTTCTGAACACTCCTTGCATACCATTCCAATTCAGCAAGATGTAACCAATGTGGATGTTGAAAGGAAAATTACACGAATGCTTCATTTATTCCCTGATTTGGATGATCCACACCAAGATGCGCAACTTGAATCTGAAGAAGAACGAATCACTCACAAAACTGAAATTTATCATTTCCTATCAGGAAAAGATGAAGACATTCATGGCCCATACAAGTATTCCAAAGAGGAAATTGATAAGGAGCTAGTATTACAGCAATTTGAGAAAATGATGGAAGAAAGAGGCCTTAATTATAACTTTACCGATAGAAATATTCAAGAAGTTTTCTCTGTTGATACGCTAATTGAATTAATTTCAAATATTGGACTTTTCGAGAAGCCTCTTCTTGTCTCCAAGTACAATCAACTCAACCATTCTGTCCTGCTTGCATTTTATACTGATGTTCCCGCATGTAGATATGAAAGAATTTCTCTTGTAAAACGATTTTCCGTGAAGCCATACTTCTTGGAGTGGTTTTCCAAATATCAAGATTATTTCATGCAACAATTTAATAACAAGTATGAACGACAACACAAAGAAACCTATCATAGAGCTGTCAAAATGGCTCAATTTGGACTGGAGGATGATGAGCATAAAGAGACTCCTCGAGGTAACACCACAATACTTGAGGATGTTCCGGAGCATATTGTCACCCTTCCATTGCCAGAATTAGAAAAATCAAAACGCGAAGAGTTACCAGACCCAAAACATGAGAGATACATTTTTGAGGGAAAAGGTTCTAATCTCTATATTGATACTGTAAATTTTTACCCAAGTGACGGAGCAATTATTTACCTCCAGTCTGAATATTGCACAGCCAAAATGATTTCGTGCACAGTCGAGAAGGATGGAATGATTTTTGGGTTTAAAAACACCATAAAATCATTGGATAATCCTCACAATGTGCTAAAGAGGAATTGCTATTTTTCATGCACCTTTGAGGACTCATCAACCCTTCTTGTCTACTTGAGAAATCAATCGGACTCAACGAGCACCGAGGTTGATTATAGTTGCACCAATGGACTTCATGTGAGGCTGACACAAGATGGAGCCATTCATCAATTCTATCCTGCTCAACAATATTCAAAGAAGAAAATTTTTGGATCCGGGTTTAAGGGCCTTTACCAAAACGAAACTAACAAAATGAGCATTAGTTTGAATTCTGTAGATGAAATAATTCAAGTGTGGGATTCTGCAACGAACTCAGTAACTCAACAATTAGTACGAGAGCAATCAGTAACAGTCACAAAAACAGGTGTTGTGATTCGTAGATTTGAAAATGACATTTCTCAAGTAATTTTCCCCAATAGCGAGGTCCACCATTTCAACGCACAAGGAGCTTGTTTGAAGACTTCACCAACTGGTGAACGATGTGTAGAGTTACCCGATGGAACAATCGTATCTCTTCCTCCAATCAAGTACGCCAAGAATTTTGATGCATGGAAAGAAGCAGAAGTGCATGTTCGAGAGGATTTAGTGATGAAAGTTGTCTTTAATGACGGGTCCCAGTTCGTACAATATTCAGATGGTATTCGAGTGTGGAGATGTCCTGTTGTTCATGGGAAATTGTTTGTTTCAGAGGACGAGGATGAGGATGAGTTTATGCATGTTAATGATTTTTACACTCTCATCGAGAGAAGCGGCTTTGCCACTGTAAAGATCATCAAAGATCAAATGTTTTACGAGCTACCAGATCAAGCATTATTCACATACTCCTCACAAAAGTTGTATACATTCTCAAAGGACGGTCACATTATTTCTGTAGATTTGGAAAAGAATTTTGTAGATATTGAGCCATCTAGTTTATCCTTTACGTCCATTAATAAGGAGAGATTCCAAAAGAAATCATCAAAATATTATTATGGAATGTACTCCTTTGACTATTTCAATGGAGGAATGAAAACCATCGATATTTTGGGCCATGAATTTGTTGTTACAGGTACAGGTAGATCAATGATTAAATTCTTCAATGAGAATGAAAAGTCAAGCAAAGACATCCATGAAGATAGGATGCTCATTGAAGAAAGAAAGGCCAGCAGAGCTTGCACTCCTCGAACACCAAGTCGACCTGCCACGTCAAGCCAGAACAACGAAGATACAGGAGCTGTTGCAACGAGCCATTCAACAAGTCCTCATGGATCAAACTCGTTGGAAGACAATGGAAATGTTGAAAAAACGGGAGAAGAAGAGCAACCTCTTCAGCATGAAGACACTGAAGAAATTCAGGCTCTCTCACAATCACTGATTGCTTACTTTAAAAAGAATAAGGTTGGTCTCCCTCCAGTCTCGCTCATTGGTGACCTACCCAATGATGACAGTCATAAGAATCTTGCTCCTCCACGACTTTTTGAGTTGTCACTCGATGGACGCTACGCATTCGAATATATATCAGAATCGGTGATTACCCCGATAGCGGAGGCAGCCAAATCCAATACTGACAAAGTGACCCTATCTGAGGATCGAATTGGAGAGTTTAAGAGTGTATCATCTGTTCACATCTACACCAAGTATGACCAAGGTACTCGATATTTGGAAAGCCCAGAAACTGTTTACTCAATTCCAAAGGCAGTCATGCCTCTTGGAAAGTTAAAACAACTGGATCCATCGATTTTCTATCATAGACACTTTAATAGATACCGACCTCTCACTCAAGATGAAAGAAATACATTGAAAGAAAAACTTCAGCGATGGAAAGAATGGAGATCCAAACGAGAGGATTATGTCAACGAGACGATGAGCTACGACCCAGAGAAAGCAGATACCAGAACAGAACAATTGAAACAAGAAGAGGAGGCAATTAAACAAGAGTTGGCAAGAATATTTGTGGAAAAGAAGATATTCGATTCTGTAGAGCCGTCTACAAAATCAAAACAAAACGATCCGAAAGAAAAATCCATAACTGAAGTAAATACTTTACAAAAAGAGAAAAGCCCCCACAAAAAAACATTCCAATGAAAAACATGGTTTAACGATGAATGAATATAAGGAACCCATGCAGAGTAAGGACGGAGTTCCAAAATATTGGGCTGAGCCTGAAGCATTGGAAACATGGAAAACACTAGTACTTGGAATTCCAAAGAAGGAAAAGAAGACATTGAAAAATTCTGAAAAGCATCCATCATCATCATCATTAGAAAATGAAGAGTCTGCAGCAAGAGATACTGAGCAGATTTCAGGTGGTAACGAGAACAATAACGAACAAAATTCTGCCTTACAACATAACTCTAGCCAAAATGCAGCACAAAACACTACAACTTCAATGAAGGACAATACTGACGCAGATGATGATGTTAAATACAATTATAAGGACGCCTCGCTCAATAATGAAGAGACAGAACAATTCGAAGTCGTTCACACAAGAGGAGCCAACGCGTATGACCCAAGCTTTTACGATGTGAAAAATGTTAGCAAATCAGTCTGGTTCAAAAAATCATTTGTCAAAACAGCGACAGCGATCCCTAATCATGATTACAAGTCTTTGCATGACTCATCCAAGATTAAGGTCAAAACGTCCTCCATGGTGAAGAAAACAACCGTGCCTCCACTAGAAAGCACATCAACATTGAATTCACCCTCGTTCCATTCCAGAAATGAACTTGCAAATTCTTCGAGGGATTCCGCTCTTCTTTCGCCGCCAACATCTACAGGGGTGCTCTCGCATGGATTGAGCAATATTCAAATTTTCCCTAGTACCTGTAATTTTGGTTATCTCGTTGTTGGTGATGTCTACAGAATGAGTGTGCAGATGATTAATAGCGGACATGTGACTGGAAGATTCCAAATTGATTATCAAAATCGAAGTCAATGGTTCGCAGCTATGGACGGAAATTCTTCAGATTCTCTGAACAGTACTTTGAGAATTTATTGTGACAAGGGACCAATTGCACCTGGAATTAATCGAAAGATTGATTTTGAGGTTCATGCCATTCGACCTCAAAAAATTCAATACGATGTGCAAATTCGAACGGAGGAGAGTATTATTACCATTCCTGTAACAGCCACCATTCTGTCACAACAAGAATTTGCGGACAATCAATACAGAATTTCGTCACGAGTGAAGATTGCTAAAAGCAGGCCAACATTATACAAGATTGAATTTTAATATGGATACAATAATAAATGTCAAAGAATTTTAATTAATTTGATAAATTATAAGGTGTCATTCACACGGTTTGTGTGTTATTTTCATTTACTGTTTGGCACTCTCTGCCTCCTGAATCAAATCGTCTCTCAATTGGGTCAAAATTCTTCCCAATAAATTCAAACCATGCCAAGTCTCTCTTTTCTTCGCTCTTGGATCATCTTCCTTCAATTTAATTCCCCAAATGCCATCGTATGGACTGGCTTCCACATACTCACAATCAGCATTCTCTAATAATTTTCTTCTCAAATCGTCATGTTGTGTAAACTTGGCATAATTTCCTTCGTACACAATTCTCTCTCGATTCGCTTCCCAGACTTGATCCGAAAAATTCTGAACCTTTCTTCCCAATGCTTTCATGGATTTCTGAGAGGTACATGTTAAGATTTGTTTTGCCACTTGATCATCTCCAAATAATTTTGCTTTTTGATGCATCATGTATTGTTCACAGCATGAATAAGTAATACCGTCCACTTTCATGGATCGTTTGTACCATTGTGAAAAGATAGATTCCTCAGTCCAGAAATAATGAAATTTCGTGTACTTGTTGTTCGCTTCAATACAATACTTTTTCATCGTTGTGTTAGAACATGTGGAGGATGAAATCATTTTTTTAAATTTGGAATTCAAAACGAGTGTTCTGAAAGCTTTTCCTTCACTTTGTGAACATCATTTCTGAAGTTGAACATTTATTTGGAAAACCTTTAATTTCTCAAAACTCAGAATGCTGCATACTGTTCAATCTGTTACACAATTATTCATAAGGAATCTAATTGTGTAAATTCAAGTGGATGATTTTTCGAATGAGCTTTGGTGTAGAAACGAGTTCAATTTTCGATTCTGGATGTGTTTGAGAAATATTGGTCAAGGTGAAACTTCTTAATTTGGGAGCAATGAGATACATGTGAACATGGAGGGAATATACCATATTGATGAATACATGTTGGAGATTGGAATGATAGAGTGGTGTCACATTCTTGTTGTTTGATTGTGTCATGTCGCTTTCATCATTTCCTTGTGCAATAATTTTGATTTCACTTTGAATTTTTGACAGTTCCAATTTGCTCAAATTTGGAAAATGTTGTAAATCAATCTCTACTCGCAGTGAAGGATCTGTTAATTCAAGAGACTGAACATGAGATAATTGAATATTATTCACATTGTGGAGCACTAATTGAGCAAATGAAACCTTAATGTCTCTCAACGACTGTGAAGTTTCAAGATCAATGATAATTTTCCGTGATGGCTTTGCATGTGGGGAATATTTAAGATTCAAACTTGTGCATAACAGTTGAGTCATGGATGGACATGAAATAGTTGTAAAGTCTCCAAGTTCTTCAGACTCTACTTTCAAGAAAGACATATGTGGATTCGAGATTTGTCTGCAATTCTTTTCATCCTTAGTTAAATAGGTGGTGACGTCCAAAAAATTGGAGACATTTAAGGTTTTAAATTGTGAAGAGAATCCACGAATAGTGGTCTTTAACCATGCAAAATATGCTGTGAACTCTTTGATAGAATTAAATTGACAGAGAGTATTCGACAAGCGTTCAATGAGGAATAGCGGAAGCTTGTCTTGAAAATTAATTTTCATTTCATCCAGTGAGAGAGTTTCCGAGTGCATGGGTAAAATATTGGCAACGTCGAATACTTGATGATCGCGAATCGAATCGGAGAAGGTCAAATGAGCCTTTCGAAGAATTATAAAGCTCGAGTTAAACTTGAGGTGTGAAAGATCAATATTCTTACCAATCTCCACAGCAAACAAGTCACATTGCTTGAGGGTAATGTCATAGATAGAGGTTTTGTGTAAGCTTGGTACATTTCCAGTATTGCAAATGTTGAAGCTTAATTTTTGAACATGACTTCCATTCAACTTGAGAGAACTCGGAACTCCAATAATTGAGACTATACTCGGAGCATGTTCAATGTGAACATCACTCTTGTCACATGCAAGTTTGAGTCTATGGAGAGTCGGATGTCGCTTAATGAGGAGAGTTTTGTCAGAATTTGACAATGCAAATTCTCCGTTATCCCAATCGTATTGATAGGAAAATTTCTTGAGAGACAAGTGTTGTTCCATCCAAAATTGTATCACCCTTCGTTCATTGCAATCTCTCATCTCTGTCATGTATTCAAAGGTTTCCAAGTGTGGAAATGGTTGTTGTTGAGGGCTTACAGACAGTAATACCTTGTATGCATGCAAGTATATCAACTTGGACAACTCACAGCCATCCAAAATGATTGAAATTGGCGAGTCCATAAAATTACTCAATCCCAAGTGTGTAATATTCTTTGGAAGGGGAATTCCATCCGTGAGAGCGGAAAATTTAAGCGTGCTACATGTCTCCGTAATGGGTGTCACGAAATCACCATTTCCAAAACTACCAATATTTAAATTGAGTTTTTTCAAGTTAGTCAGTGAGTGACAAAGGTTTTTCCAATCATTCCCTTCTGCTAAAAAAGAAAATGACACTTCCAAACTTAGAGATGTTAATCTCGATGAAAGTTTCATGAATAGATTGTAATTATCGGGCTCTACAATGATGGGATTTTCCAATGTGACCCTCCTAATATTCGAACATTGTTGTAGAATTGTTTCAATTTTTTGTAATTCTTGATGCTTTGATTTTGTGGTAAATGAGAATACAGACAGAGCAGAAAGTGATTGTAATTCACTTGAATGAGCCTTGAGTAAGCGCTCAAATCCATTCACGCTTCCGCTTACTTGAATACCTTGAAGCGATTGGAATTTACATGAATTGTGATGGTAAAATGATAAATCTTGAACATATGGCACCAAATCGTTAGGTCGTGCATTTTCTACACATTCATTAGAGGAGACAAATGAGAGTGATTTGGCATTGGGAAAATGTGTGACCCATTTCTTGAGAAGAGGAATGGGTTCACTGTGGTTCCTAGCATTGGTGATGGTATTGATTGAAGTTGGAAGGTCTGTGGTTGTCTTTGAGGAGGTATGGGTTGATAATACGTTAGTGGTCATGAAATTTGTGAAAGAAATGGAAGGAGAACATGTAGGTGGAGAATACGAAGAAATTAATGGAAGTGGCATCTTAATGTTTTGAATCAGACTACTCGCGTCACACAAGGTTTCAACAAACGAGAAAAACATTTCTGTCATTTCACATTCTACTGAATAATAGTAAGCGAATTGTCCATTAAATCTTCCAATAACAAAATCAGTGTTTTTAAATCGTTCGTCACACAACACTGAAAAACAAGTCGTACTATAATTACCCTCAGGCATATAAGAGGCCACAAAGTGATGCAAATCCGCTTGTACATCATTCCAAATGAACGGATTGTAGTAAATCTTGTCATGAAGTGTCTTATTAGTATGCAATAAAGGTAAAAGATCATTGGCTAGCTCTTTTCCAAAGACTCTCTCACGCAACAAGTATTTACAAATATGCCCTAATACCTCCATGGGTAGATCTGATAAATCACCACGAATGTTTGAGTGAAGGCTTGGTTGTGTAGTTGTACAGGGAGGAGGTTCTTGATGATGGTGTGGTTCATCACAGCAAGTGAATGATTCCGAGACATTACCCGCAATCAACATCCATGATGGACATTCTTCATCGGACGTCGAGGAAGGCAATTCTTGTGTTGGATCCAATACGATCATGCCGTATGATTCTGTGGTATGAAGTGCCTCTCGGACCTTCATCATCTTTTTGTGTGTGAGTAAAAGTAATAATTAAGTGCGGAGGTTGATTGTTAATATAAATATGTTGTGTTTTAAATATAAAGTCTAAATATCTATCAATTCAATCAATTGTGTGGAGTGTTTTTTTCTGATCCTTTGATGAAACACTTGCGCACGCATTCGATATCCCATCATCACTCCTTACACTAGTGGAGTACACTACTCGAACACGATGAAGAAGAAAGGCTTTGAAGTTTTTGCATCCAACCAAATTTTCAAAGAGATGAGATTTGGAATTTCCAACGATCATGTTCCGAACTGGAAGTTACGTTTGGAATTTTTATGAAACTTTTGTCGAAAGAGGAAATCAAAAAAGGCTTTTTGTCTTGGATTCAATCTTGTAAATAATAAAGGGACACCATTGAACAACGGATTGACCTTACTTCTCCATTAGGTTCCTGTTAAATAGAAGAACTGACCGAGAGAGTAATAAAAAAACATGCACATCTTTTTTATAGTAAATGCAATAATTGTTGTTGTAAGAAGAATGTATTATGTTCCTTAACACACTGTTTGTATTATAAGGAAGGAGACCCATTTCCACTTTGAACAGTCGCATGCAAATCCACCATGACTCGACGACATGATTCATTCTTTTGCATTCCATCCTGATGATCCAAAAGTGCAGCCGTTGAAGTTGACACGCTGCCAGACAAACCCAATGCACAAGATGTCGCAATTGATGGTGAGAATGATGACGACGACGAGGAATGTACATGACTTTCCAAATTTCCTTCACTCATGGAAAGATCCAATTGATGTTGTTGAATGGAACAAGATGGATTTTTCTGTTCTTCCTGCTGGTAATGTCTTGAAAATAAATCATTTTGAATCCAAAACAACTTGTTGAAAGCTCGAATGGTTTTGAATTTAGTGGAGAAGGTGAGATTGGGAGCTTCTAGAATGGCATTGGAGATAATCTCTGAAACGAATCCAAATAAGGTGTTGCAGTGAATATAATCGACGACAATGTTTGGCTTTCCTGCTTTTGAAGTGTGGAGTTTTCCAATGTAATCCAAGTACTAATGTGAGTTGGCATGTCAATGAGCGAAAACACCAAATGCCAAAAGATGTAACATTTTTTAATATTGGGGCAGTTGAAACAAACGGCGTAATTATGACCAAACGGAGACGACAGGTCGATCAGAAACAAGAGCGTCATCATATCACCATATCGTAATCATCGTCATCATTACACATGAAATGGATGTCATTCAATCTCATCCTTCAGATCAACAACATTATACAATTACACTCCACACTTACCTTCAAGAAATTCACATTTTCATAGTCACAAGTAATCAACTTGATCAAATATTTTCCTAACATGTCCTTTCTAAATTTCAACTGTTCTCCCTTCTTATGATCCAATCCTTTTCCTTCCAGAAGTGTAAATGGTTTCTTCAGAGCATATTCAGCAAAGACTTGTTTCGTGATGGAGAAGGAAAAAAGTTTATCATAAACGAGTTCAGTCACTGTTGGGATCAATGGAGCAATAATTGGAGTCGATTGATGAATGAGAGTGGTATCCTCTCGAGAGAAGCCAATGAACCGAGTGAGGTATTTGAGACGATAGGAAAGATCAGATTCAAGTTGTTGAGGATGAAGAGTTTGAGGAGGAGGGTTTTCGGTTGATATTGTTGTGGTCGTTGGCTTCATGTTCAGAGTGGTTGACGTTCCTATAATTATTGATGGTCAATCGAGTTAGTTGATTCGATGTGTTTTTTAGTTCTTGAAAAGGCGAAGCTCGCGAAATCGGTAAAAAGAATAAAAGACTTCGAGAAGCCAGAAATCTGAAGTTGATAATAGAACATAGAGGTGGAACCAATCTCTCTCCTATCGTAACATGTTTGATTGAACACAAAGTTGAATTGTCCATTACCTAGTGTTAGTGGTTCAAAAGAGGTCACAAACTTCACATGCAGGTCTATTTTGCCAATTCTGTTTCAAGATGTCATCGCACAAACAACCAAGTTTGGCTTAAATTCATGATCCCACATGTAGGTAGGTTCAGTCACCTTCAGCAGTCCCAAGAGATAAAACAAACCGTGCAAAAGATCGTTGATCACAACAACATTGTATTACTCTCTTAGAAGATTGAGGAATTGTGTTTTAATCAATTAAAACTTTAATAATTCTAGGTGAGATCGGTACTTTTGAGTGAAATCTCAAAATAGGTATTTTTCTATTGTCGCATGGATAAAACACTGCACTACAACATGTATCTTTTCCAATCCAAACAAGAAATTCCATGTTGCTGTAATTTGTAATACAAATTCCACACAAAAGAATAATTGTCGTAGTGCAAAGATAGAATACAGTTGATTACTTCCACATTTGACCCAACTTCATAACTTGGTGAGTCTTTGGACACAAGTTGCAGATACGTCCGCAAGCCTTGTTTGGAGTCAAAACGAATTCAAACATGAGAGCAGCCAAAATAGCACCCAAGAATGGAGCAGTATAATAAATCCAACAATGCTTGTAGAAGGACCAAGAAATGAGCATTGGACCCAAAGCACGAGCAGGATTCATGCAAGCACCAGTCAAAGCACCTGCCATAGCGTTAGCACCGAGAGCCAAACCAATGTACAAGGCAGCAACGATCTTTGCAATAGGTTCAAAGTTGACTTCCAAGAAGATCTTGCTTTCATTCTCAACCATCTTGCTTGCAGTGTGAGGTGCAGAAGAGTATGATTGAGTGTTCAAGTGCTTAACTTTGACGGCAGCTCCGAAAATTGTAGTAACAAACATGAATGTCATCAAAAGTTCTGAAGTGAAACCTCTCAAAGCAGTAACCACATCGTCAGCAGGTAAAATAAAAACAGCTCCATCAATTCCTCCTGCAATCCACAAAGTCAAAGAAGAGGCAACAGTGGCACCCAAACATTGAGCACACAAGTACAAAACTCCAGACATGATACCAATATTACGGGTAACCAAGACAGCAATTGTAACAGCAGGATTTACGTGAGCTCCGGAAATTGGGGCGAAAACGTGAATGACAATAATTAAACCAAAGATGTGACCAAGTGAGCCACGAATGTAATCTCCGTTAGACCATTGTGAACTGAGCGTACCAATCAAGATGAACTGTTCAGAGTGAGTTTGGATGTATCAGTTTTGTCCATTTGTAGTCCATTCATTCATTTATGTGATGATAGAGAGTGCAAAAACATTCGGTCATTATTATTGATCGATAAAGTTCGGTACAGACAGAAATGTTGTAAATTTGTTTCACAGAGAAGAATGAAGTAGAGAAGATGCCGTTTACACGCCATCAGCAAAAAGGGTTTTGGGTGATGAGAGGAGGGTCATGTCATCATTGTGAAATATTGTATGTGGTGTGTAGTTGTTGTAAAATGATGTTGGTGAGAGGAGGGAGGTAGATCCATGATGAACAACAATCATCATCATCGTAGTGTATAATTTGTAGTTGATGAATTGATTGAATTTCAATAGGTGATTGGAGTGGTTAGGTTTGTACAGATCCAGCAACGAAAAGACAAAAAAATTAACAAAAACTTCTACAACATCTATTGATTCAACCTACCAACATTGTACCCACAAATTCACCCAAAACAGCACGCCAATCGAAAATAATATCGGGATGAGTAAAGTATGGCAGAATATTCTTTGAAACGGAATCAGCCACTGGATCAACATCTTGAACCTTGTTATCTTCCAACTCAATTTCATCAGCAACCATTTCCTTTCGTTGCCCTCTTTCCATATCATCTAAATTGACATTAGAACCCTTCTTCTTTGTTCCTGGTCTATCAAATTGCTCGTCGTGGAGCTCTTCCTCATATCGGGAGCCTTTTTGTGAGCGAGACATTTCGTGTGGTGTGTCGTTATTTTTTCTGGAATTGAATTTAAAAAATTTTCCAAAAAATTTACAATTCAACACTCAGCACCAAATTAATACCTTGGACTTCGTGTGTGTGTTGAAGGGTCGACGAGAGCTCTCTCCAGCGACATCTTAAAATCTTCTCATAAAATCTTTTGCCTTCGTTTCATGGTGAAAAGATTGTGAGGTTTATTGGTACTAAAGCACTACTTTGTGCCAACGAAAGATCAATCCATGCTTTAAATGAAATGTTTGAATTCATTGTCCAAATGTTCGAAAATGGCATTCAAAATGACATTCTTCGCACCCAACCATGGCAAACACTGCATTGTCACTTTTTGTGTCAACAAAAAATTTTCACCAATCAACTGTGACAGTAATCCAAATGCTTCAAGAATTGGATTGCATCCCTCTCGTCTCCATGTCGAATGAACAAGATATTCACTCGATTTTCAGTTGGGTCTGACTTGACCACTCTCTTGTGAATTAAATCGAGAATTTTTGGTTCCTGACCTGAATCTGACACCCATCTGTGAAAACAATGAAAAGGATTTTCTCTCGGTTGTTAAGATGTCTGTCAAATGCCACTCTCAAAGCATCCAACACATTGGGTTTGTTATTTCTAAATTTGACCAAAATTTGACCAATTTTCTTGGCCTCTTCTTCATACACTTGATCATCTAAGAAAATAATTGGAAAGGAGTCATCCGCGCATCATATTCAAAGACACTCTGCCAAATATTTTGCCACTTGGTCAAAGGCTCTTTTTTTGGAGATATGGTCAACGTTAAGAAATCGAAAACGGAAGGCCGAAGTAGAAAAAATTTGACATCTCCGAAGTCCGCGCAACTGCAAAAAAATGTCCTAACAGGTGGTCCTCGTTGCCGAGAGAATCCGACTCCACTCGGACCCACCACTGTCTTAATATTTCCGAACACACTCCACTCGGAACACTTAAAACAACAACAAAAATTGAAGAATTTCAAATTATAAAAACAGTTGTCAAGTCTTTCCTCCAAAGATATAAAAAACAACATGATGAAGATGATGAGGAACAATAAGTACAACGAAGACAACAACAATAGCGATGCAAGCCAACATGCACCACATTTAGATGATTTCAATAACACATCAACACCAGCACCACCACTACCGAACCATTCGGAACATGAGATCCAGGACCCTTCTGTAGATCTTTCCGCTTCATCATCAGCCTCTTCATCATCCTCAACCATGATAACCAACCAACAACAACAACAACATCCTCTTCATGAAAAGGAAGAGCCTCTTCATGCAGGAGTGGTCGTACACTCGATCATGAACCATTATGGTGGCCTCACTCTCCGAAATGTAAGCTACAAGAAAAAGGACAAGATGATCCTCTCTGATATTAGTTGTACATTTCCACAGGGTCAAATGACGTGTATTATTGGAAGTTCAGGTAGGTTGAGAACACGTTTTTTTGTGTCTCTTGGAAACATGATTGCATTGTGTCTTGGATATTCAACATTTTGATTTGTGTCGATTCGAATCGACCTTAAATTCATTTACTTAAATTACTCAATTCGTTACCTTAAACGTACACAGGTTCTGGTAAATCTTCCTTGTTAGATCTCATTTCTCGTCGTGTGAACAACTCCAAAGAATGTTTTGGAGAGATTGAGTTCAAGGGACGATCCATGACAAAGAAACTCTTTCAAAAAGAGGGTGGCTACGTTTTTCAAGACGATATTTTACTCGCCACAGATACCATTCATGAGACGCTCCTGGAAGCCTCTCTTCTCAAATCGAAACTTTCAAAGAATCAAAGTTTACTACAATTATTGAAAGAAAGAAGTGACAGAACCTTTGAAATTGAGAATCAAATGGGACTCTATTCATGTAGAAAGGTGAAAATTGGAAATGGAGAAAAGAAGGGTGCGAGGTGAGTATTGTCAACTTGTTATGATCATTGTTAGCTTATACAAAGAAACGATCATTATTTTTCGGCGTTTGGACCTTTCACAATGTGATTGCCTTACACATGATATGTACACAGCGGTGGACAAAAGAGAAGAGTCAGCATTGCCATTCAACTCATCAACAACCCAGATTTATTGCTCTTGGATGAATATTCGAGTGGCTTGGACTCTTTCACTGCACTTCAAATTGGAAAAACATTGTCATCAATGGCTCATGAACAAAAGAAAACCATTTTGGCCACACTTCACCAACCTTCTTCATCACTATTTGCCTTATTTGACAATGTCATGCTTCTCTCTAAGGGAAGATTGATTTATTTTGGACCCATCTCTGAAATTAAGAGTTACTTTTCGAAAATTGGATATCCAGTACCACAGGACACCAACTTAGCGGACTGGTTAATTAACACAGTTTCTAATCCATTCTTGCAGCAACAATCCATCGATAAAGCCATACTCGCTGACTTGCCATCTGAATTACAAAAAACTCAACAACCGCTTGCATTATTGGAACCATCTGAATCTCAACTCTCAATCTCTGTGGAGGGAAATATTGCAACAAGCAGTGACGAGCAAATTCAAGTTGCTACTGGCACCATTCTTACAACAGAAAAAAAGAAAGAGAAGTTAGAAAACGAAATGGCAGTCATGCAAATACGTGTGGACTGGATGGCTGAAGTGTTTAAGATGCTCCAGAATGCCAAAATCACCAATATTTCAAGTCATAATAATTTAAAAATCTCTGAAAAACCTCATGAAGATTTACAAAATTTGCCACAAACGATATCACAATTCGACGATTCTTTGACCTCTCGAATCTTGATCGAATTTGTGAAATATTTGGTGTTAGTGTGGAGGAATTTGAGAACTACTGTACGAGATCCTCTCATTCTTGTTTCTGAACTGTTCCAAACCATTTTTCTCGGAATTTTTACCGGTTTACTCTATTTTAGACTTCCCTTAGATCAACAAAGTATTACTGATAGGTAAGTTGATGTTGTGTTTGGACCTATAATTTTCATGTTCAAAATTTTGAATCTTGTTGTTGATAATTCGATAATTTCCATGGTCACATTGGATGTGAAATTTTTGAAAATTTCGGCAACCACAACTCACAACACTAGAATTTCTGCATTATTCTTTGTGGTAGCATGTGCTGCATATGCACCCTCAGCATCGGTTGTTGCCACTTTTCCACAACAAAGAGCATTAATGTCACGAGAACGAGAAAGCAATTTATACGGTACTTTTACATATTATGCCGCCTATACGACCGTCCACACACCAGTGGAGGCCATTTTTCCATGTGTCATGTTAATATGCACGTATTGGCTGGTTGGCTTTCAAAATCGACCAGAAAACTTTTTCATTCTGTTAGGAATTTTAATTATTGTTCAGTGGTTGAGTGAAAGTTTGGGTCTCTTGGTTGGAGCTCTTGTCAAAACAGTCGATGTTGGAAATTTGGTCTTATCTGTACTAATGACAATTTGGATGTGCTTTGGTGGATATTTGATAAGAAATTCTCAAATTGGATGGTGGTTTTATCCATTCTCATACACTTCTCTCTTCCGATATTCGGTTCATGCAATGACACAGAATGAATTTAATCAATTGAATTTCAAATGTGCTGCCGTTTCGAAAGCACTTCAATCAGTGAATGTGACCGAGTTGTGTACGTTCCGAAATGATAGTTCCATTTTGTTGCCAAATTCCACTCACTATCTTCCTTTAGAACCTTACACGGCCGAAATTTGTTCTAAAATGAACTGGAATAATACCATTACGACATTGTCATCGTTTGGATGTTTGCAAAATGGAGAACAAGCATTGGCCTATGTGTTTGAAGATAGCAAGATTCCAATATGGGGAAATGTTCTCATTTTGCTAGGCATGTTTGTGTTTTTGAGAATTTGTATTTATTTGGCTTTGAGATTTAGACGATTTGGAAAGAGATAGTAAAAGCGTTTTGTTTCATAAAACAACATTTATAACGCCACTCTTTTTTGAATTCTCAAGTCAAAAGAAAGAAAATGACATCAAGGCTTGTTTTCTTGAATTGAAAAACTTCAATTCAAAATGATGACATTTTACTTTGTTAAATTAAGAAAAACTATCTCAGTGGGATCTCTTAACAAAGATTTCGTAAAGATCTTGCCAAAAAATACAACTCATATTTACAATTTAATAACAATGTGACATTGTTTCCTTAATACAACACACATCCAATTTTTTTCTCTCCCTTATAAGTAAATGCTACACAATGCCCCATATCGCTGTGATATTTAAATGCATGCTCGTTTCTCACTCTGTACACTCTCTCATTGCAATACGAGCACATGGCAGAATTTTTGAATTCATCCGCTAGTTGTGTGAAATTCAAAGGGCACTTGTACACCCATTGACAATTTTCAATAAAATTATCTTCAAGAATATGTTTGTACCCATGTTTCCAAGTTTTGTTTAAACGAATATTATCATAGTAATCTTCAATGTCTAAAATTTCTTCAATGACCACTCTACGAGGATTGTCTTCATGAGGTTGTTCGTGACGATGCTGAGTTAAATCTTGTTGTTGTGGAAGATGATCTTCCTCCAAATTCAATTCCTTCTCTTTCTGTAATTGCATTTTCGTTTCTTCATGTTGTCGCTCTTGTTCCATTCGAAACAATTCCCTTGCTGAATATTTTATTTGTCTTTGCAACAATGGTTGTTTGTCATCTTGCTGTTGAATATAGCGCAGTCTTCTTTGCAATACAGTCAAATAATTCTTCACTCGCGTCTCCAATTTCGAAACTTGAAATCTTGGAAAGTATCGCAACAACATGGGTTTCCAAATGAGTTGTTGAACTCGTTGATACTCTACTTGTTCCTTACTTGTCTCAATCGTATTTGAAAACCAATTTTTAATGGTGAATGTGAAGGAATTTTCTCTCTTTACATCTCGACACATTATAAAGTGAAACAAGGTCGAGTCACATCTCGAGAAGGCATCCAAATCAGGAACTTGTAAATATTGCAAAATGTACAGCCATAATTCCGTTGGAAGTTGAATGTATTTGAAATGATCAAATGAAAATTCAATCGCTTTTGGAGTGGATGATGGCGTTGATCGAGTGGTACTAGTGATCCGAGTCTGAGAGGAAGTGGATGAATGGTTGTTTGGAGTAGTCGAGGTAGTAGTGTCGTTCGTTGCAAAGAGAGGAGAGAGAATGGTCGAAAGCATTTTTTGTTGTGAGATCGTACACGTAAATGTGAGGTGGCAAGTTCCACAAATGATCAAATGCAAACTCTGTGTTCAGAAACAAGAGTGCATGTCTCCATTCATGGCCAACAAACACAACTTGGTCACGTTCAAGGTTGTGATTCTCCCCAAGAATGACGTGCGAATCAAGTGAACGGCAATCACCGTATTTGAAACCTAACATGCTGGAACCTCCCAAAAAGCACACAATTTTTCAAAACTACAACAGTGTTGTTGTTTCATTATTGCTTGTTCTGTGAGGGTTGTGCTTGAATGCACTCAGCCGCGTATTCATTAACACGTTTCATAATCTTACTGACAAATTTCATTTCACCCTGATGAAACACTGGAATGGCCTTACAAATCATATCCATCAAGGAGAGAAACATCTTTGAATCAATATTCAAGACATCCTTGAGCTTCTTAACGTTGGAAGTGAGCTTCACTCCTCCATAGCCTGAGCAATAATCAACTTCCTCCAAGTTTCTAAACAATTCTCCACTCAATACTTTTGTGTTGGATTTATAAACAGTGACTGTTCTGACATATTTACCGGTGGAGCCTTCCTCCATCGGATCATAAGTAACATCTCCTTCAAAATATATTTCCAACGATGCAGTGCTCTCTGTTGCTCCTCCGAATTTCATTTGCACCACGTATTGGCTACTGTAGATATCACGTCCTTGCCCTTCATGACAGAAATTTTCATTGACTTGAACTCGACTTTGGAATAGAGTTTTAAAGGCTTCATTGTCTTTGAGAGCTTGTTGAACCTTGTTGGAGGCTTCCGCTGAAGGGAGGGTTGTTTCTTTGGATGTTTTTGTACGCGAGTAGGCATGAACGGGATGAACGTTGAATTCCTCATCTTCATCCTCCTCCTCATCAATATCTTCCCATTCATCCTCCTCCTCCTCCTCATCTCGGATATCTTCAATGGGAATAATCTTCTTCTTCTTTGATCCATTGAATTGTTTTTCAATTTCTTTGACTTTGCGGTTGTATTCTTCAATTAGCTCTTTGTTGGTGAGTGAGGACGTTTTTGGGACATTTTTTTGAAAGTGAAAAATTAAATGTTCATCCCATCGATCGATATTCGTGAAGCTCGAATAATCCTCTGACAATTATCAGAGGATCACTCTCTTGATTCTGGAACAAAAAAATTTGTTTCAAAATAAAGATGTACATTGAATTTCAATTAATAATATTATTTGAATTGTGAAATTTAATTTTACCGAATATTGGAATTCAAAAAAAATGTTGAGAGACAAATTGAAACGCATTCAAAAGGAATTGAAGAATGAGAAGAAGAAACAAGAGGCAGCAATGAGTTCCTCTCTCAAAGAGGCACCATCATCATCATCAGGAAATTCTTCAACATTATTAACGAAGAGTCAACACGAAAAATCATTGGCCACAAACATTCCAAATTCAAAACAAGGAAATAATGACCCCGACATGAAATCATCAAAAAAGTCTCCATCTTCTCTTTCAAAATCTAAAAAAGGAGATTCAAAGCCTTCTTCTTCTTCAAATAATGATGACACTAATAATACCGACAAGACAGAATCTAAGAAGAGAAAATTAGATCAAGCTCTCTCCAACTCAGAACAGAAATCCTCCAAAAAGAAGAACAAGAATCCAAAAAAGAAGAAAAAACAAGAAGAGAAGGAAGGGGCAGTGCTCAAAGTTCAAAACGAAAATATTTTCATTACGGAACAACAATTCAAAGAGTGTTTCCCAAATTGTAGTGCCGTGTTGAGAATTGGACCACGATTAATTCTAGTTGCATTTGAGAAAGAAGAGCAAGCTATAGAATATTTAAAACAAGAAGAAGAAAAGCAAGCCACAACAAAGGCCAGTGATGAATTGCAGAATGACCACAACTACAAAAAAATTTCTGTAAAAAAGGATATTAATGGACAACAATTTACAATTTCATTGCATGGTACTAAGGATATTTATCGTCCAAGTTGGTTTGATGTGAAGCCCAGAACCACTTCGGGAGTTTCACTTGGATTGAACGAGAATCAAAAGGTGACATCAAAATTTGCATCCTTTTTGGAAAAATCACTGCTTGAGAAATTTGGAAGCTCTGAAAATGTGTCCATCAGTGACATTCATAAGGGAAAGATTGTGTTTTTCGAAGATGCATCAGTTGAAGAGAAATTCAAAAATTTGATTGAAAGTGGTGCATTCAGTGTTCCTCCAGAATATATTCGAGAAAAGAAGAAGAAGGAGCGAAAATCCAAGAAATAAATGGTCAATTTGGTCAGAATTGAAACAGAATTGTATTGTTGGTAATTGTAAATATGCAAATAGCATAATAATGACATGATTATAATTAAGGTCAAGGTGCAAGTGTGAAAAACTTCAACTCATTCATACTGCTCTTTCGATTAGACGGGATTATTCACAATTATCATTGGCCTAAATAATAGAATTCTCCCTGTTTCTTGGATTTAACATTGCTCAAACTCTGTTGTTTCACGGGAGTGCTGTTGTTGGCTATCGATAGTACTTATTTGATGCCTCATGTTATATCCAAATACCGCTGCATGAAAGGGATGCATTTTCATGAATTATATTGGAATCATAATCTTTTCTCTTGACCATTATCGTTCGATCTATACTTTAGAAATGTTATTTTCTTTCTTTTATCTGCAAAGTAAAAAGAAGGAGGAAGAGTACAATTTTGAAAAGCTTTCTGCAAGACAAGATGACATTCATTGGAAATGACTTTTTCACTCTCATCTTCATCGTTGATGTAAAACCACAAACTTCTCTTTTTTTTCATTCAGAGACATCTATTGATATTCAATTAAGGAAAATTCGTGAAAAGTACATGACAAGTATGTATGAGAATGAATAATCGTCGGATTGATATGTCCATGATCATCGTTTGATCATTCAACAACAATACTCACCTTTGAATAAGGCCAACGGTTTCCATTGCTCACTTCCTTGTATCTTCTCTTCAATGTGGAAACACTCACTCCAAGCATCCGAGCTGCAATCATTTGTGACGCATGAAAATATTTTGACTACAAATTTCGAGTTATAAGAAAGGATTTTCCACACAAAATGGAAAATATTCAAAGTCATGTATAAAGTATATTCAATTTAATTCAGAACATGGATTGCAGTTGGGTACCCAACATGCATTTGAATATTCAAAAATGATCAATCATTCACTTACCATGTCTTCCATAGACTTCATTTTGCATGTCGAAAGAGAAGATTCCATACATTGATCAACATGGGTCGAATACAGTGTCACATGCATGAGAGCAGATGGTTTTTGTGCATCATGAGTAATGTAGACCATGTATCAAATAGGTATGAGTTCTCACATGCACAGGAATACCTGCTTCTACTTACCACATGCAAACGACCATGACTACTTGATGATGAAGAAGAGGACGAAGACACCGATGAAGGACATATGGGAGACGTCTCTTTGATCACTCTTGTTTGTCCCTCCTGTACTGAAGAAGTATATTGCATGTACTGTCTCGTGGACACTGTTGGTGATGTTGTGGTAGACAATACAGAAGAAGAAGAAGAGAAAGAACTCTTTTCAGGTTGGATCCTTTTCATACCCAACAGGTCGTTTCGCTCATCTACAAGTGGAGGCAAGCATGTGTGTTGATTATTGTATTTGGAGGAATTGAAAAGAAGAAGTCTCTGATGTGGGTTCATTGTTGTTGTTGTTGTTGTGGTTGAATGTCCAAACTGATGTTCTTTCATTACTTTCTTTTTTTAAATATATTTGGTGTTCATTGTTTTGAAAGTATATATATTTCGAGCATATGTTCAGAATCCTGTCAAAGAAGAGACGATGGAAATTTCTCCTCGTCATCTCAAAAGGCGTTATTCTGAACAGAATTAAACTTTCTCTTCCACATTAAAACCTTCTTTGTGTACACACCAAGAGGTGATTTGAGTGTTCACAGACGGCTCTTTTTTGTGTGTGTTAACCTTGTCAGGAGGAGATGCGATTTCATGTATGATCATGCATGAAATGTTCTTGGAGATATAATTCGGCCAAATTACAACAAATATATCTCCATGTCCAAAAATGACTTGTTTGAAAGATCCATTCGATGGCCAAAAGTGTGAATAGTGTCTTCGAAGGGACAAATCATACACGAACTCACCAAACACGATCTTTCAAAACAATCTTCACAGAGATTCAATCGTTTAATCGTTTTACAGTATAATATTTCCTGTTCAGCAGCGCATAAGAATCTTGGTGTCCGTAACTTTGAAATTATGCATTCAAAAAGAGTTCACCTGTGTGGATGAATGCTGGTTGATGTTGGCTTATTTGAAGTCTTCCATAATTTGATATTAACGGGTCAATGGGATTGAAATTCCCTGTCAATGATTTGTATCATGATCCAATGACATAGCATATCTTTTTTTGGATGGTCAAAGGTTGTGGTTTACACATAATAATTGTCAAAGTTTTAGGTTGGAATGAAAAGGTGTTGTTTTTCGCAGTAATCATCATTGTTCACCGTTATTGTAGTGTTCATTCTTGGCACACATGTACATTTGGTGTGTTGAAGTGGAACTTGTGATTTTCTCAGAGATGCATGTCTGCTGCGCAATAAATGCACGTTGAATGTGGGTGCATCTCTTGATTCATGGTTGAACTTGGATTAGAATGGGTCGACATGTTGTTATTGTTGATCAAGATCAGCTGGTGTGGCGTTCGAAAAAGTGATAGATGTAATGAAAGGAAAGTTCTTCACGTCTTCTTCGACAGAATTGTGAGTTTCATGCTGTCGATCGAGAGATGATGATGACATGGATAGTACTCATTAAATATGTTTCATTTTTAGGAATTATCGAGCCCTTAAAAAATACCGCAAGATGAATATCAGAATTGACTCTTGCATGCTCCACAGCCTGGAAAGACGTTTGGAAAGAATTGAACAACAAGCGAATTACATTTCAGCTACCCTCAAACAATTAAACGCCAAACTTAATGAATATATACGAAATGAAGAGAACAGAAATTGCGAAGAAAAGGCACGGAAGCCATTAGATCATTCGAATCACTTGCTACAATCTTTACAACATCATCTATGTGACGCAATCACCTTTAGAGAAAATCCATCAGTTGAGAAAACTAACAATCCACCAGTTGAGAAAGATGAGAATACATTATCAACATTGAATCAACCAACTCCATCAAAACAAGAAAAAGAATACAAGCCAAAGAACAAACCTCGCAAAACAAGAAGGACCACACAAGCTAAAAAACAATCATCCACCGACAAAGCCAAGCCAAAAAGAAAAACAAAGCAAAAGAACAAACTTCACGATCATACTAATCATGGACAAAAAGGCAAGATACTATATTTGTATTATGATGATCAGTGCTATCAACAATTCGATAAGAAACGTGTAATGAATGTAAGAACAAGAAAGAAGCATCTCACCTTATACTGGATCCAAGACTGCTCTCCGCCCTTCAACATTATTAATTGTTGTGACTTAGAACTTTGAAGACAATGCTGGTAATCGATATCATTATTAACATATCATTATTAACATATCATATCCATCAACACTATATATACCTATTCATGACCTTTTTACAATAATTGACGACTCAACCTTACAAACCAACGAAACCATATGCATTAACTGACAAAACACTGCTTTATTTTTGCCTTCTGTTTGAATCATGGACTCAACCCATGTTAACAGTTGCTCAACACAAGCATGTAATCTGTTAATATTTGATATATCCTGTTAAAAACATTCGACATTCAGAAGTAGTATCTAAACGAAAATGAAGTCCAATGTTGTTTTATGACAAGTATTGAGGCACCGAAGGGCCAATAAACAATATTTAATTTTTAGGAATTATAGTCATTGCATCAGGTGAATAACTCTTGTTTTGGTTGTGTGTTTGTCCCTCTTGCTTGCAATGACTTTGAAGTTACATGCATACGAGTTGATCGCTTGGACTCATCCAAACATGTACAAATTCTATAATTGTGTCTGTAGCTGTTGTTGTTATTTCCAACCACATACATCTCGAGATGCAGTTGCCATTTAGAAAACTAGCCATAATAGTAGAACAAGAGTATTGTGTCATGACAACAAAGATACCATCTCCATGAACACAATCATCTTTCTGAGTTTTTTCACTTTGACAACTGTCCCCAGGAATTTCCAAGTGTAATTCATTAGTATGACGTTCCTTTAAGTGACATCATGCATGCGGGACCTTTGGAATCAGGTTGACCAATCCAAACCTTTCTGTTGGATGAGTATGCTCTGTTGTAACCACCTCGTTCAAGTTGACTTGGGAACGCCCCAGCCAATAACTTGTACAATTCTTGCAGGGTGAAAAATTGGTGAAAAAATATTTCAGAAACCTCCAACCAACGCTTGGCTTGTTCCATCCTTGAAACCACTGCCAATATTTGCTCACGTTTACAATTACATAACAAATTTGAACCAAAGAGTAATGTCCACTCCCACTTACCAACCATTCCTATTGAATAACATGCTCGATTCCAACAAACAGACCATCGAAACACAAACACCTCTCGAAGAATGTCCTGTCCAAGTGCAAGAGGAACCTCTTCCTTCTTCCTCCCAAAGAAACCATCACAATGAGAGTGATGACGACTGTTGGGAGGACGAACTTGAAAATACCACTGCAACAAATAGCGTCATGAGGAAGATTCCAGTGACCTTGTTGAGTGGTTTTCTAGGAGCAGGTAAGCATTGCAAGAGTTTTCTGTTGTTGTTGTTTGTTTATGGACTATTCTCAAATCTCTCTTTCATTCACACGCAAACCTGTGGTAGGCAAGACCACTCTTTTGAAACACATTCTCATGAATCGAGAGAATCTTAAAGTAGCAGTGATTGTCAACGATATGGCTGAATGTAAGTGATGTTTCTTCAAAATGTTCTCATTCTCAATAATAATAATCATTGGATTATGAATGCGATCCTATTTGGGTCATCATTGAAACAAAGTGAATATCGATCATGCACTCGTCGAAAAGTCTGATGTGAAACTCAAACAGTTTGAAGAGAAATTAATCTCCATGCAAAATGGATGCATTTGTTGTACGTTGAGAGAAGATCTTCTCATGGAATTGTACGAATTGGCACATGAAGGTCGTTTTGATTATTGTGTCATTGAATCCACTGGAATTAGTGAACCCATACAAGGTAAGTTGGAAAAAGTTTACAAAAAGTTTTTAACAAGTGGTGTTGGAATTGGTTTTTCATGACGATAATGTGAATGGAACATGGTTGAATCTTGCACTTGTTTTTCGTCACACTGGTTCTCACCACACATCATGTTCTAGTGGCTGAAACCTTTAGTGTCGAGTTTCAAATTAGCAAAGAGGACTCTATAAAGAAGAAGAAAAAACTCAAAAACTCACCACACAAATCCTCTGGACACTCAAAGATCATGACACTTTCAGACTGTGTTCAACTGGATACTTGTGTCACGGTGGTGGATGCGTGTAGTTTCTTCCATGATCTGCTTTCCATTGAAACCTATGCTGAGAGATTTGGAAAAATCAAATCTACTCACATTGTTGGTAGTCTCTCAAATTCGAGCATTGATTCAAAAATTGAATCCTGAAGCACGAATTCATGAAACTTGTCATTCAAGAGTTCCGCTCTCTCAAGTCATTCACACCAATTTGTTCAACTTTGAACAAGCAGCTTGTCAATCTGGTTGGTTGAAAGAATTACGTGGTGATGGTGACTCTCATCAACCAGAAACTCTCGAATATGGAATTTCCAGTTTTGTTTATCGTCGAAGAAGACCCTTTCATACTGAGAAGTTGTTTCACTTGTTGTATCGTGAAAAGTATTTCCAAAAAGTGGCTCTCCGTTCCAAAGGATATGCATGGCTCTGTACACGAAATGATTACTGTGGAGGTAAGTGAATGTTGGTTCTTTGATGAGTTCTCTATTAATAATGTTAAAAACAACAATGAAACCAATGTTTGGAAATGGCAATCCATAGATTGGGAACAAGCAGGTCAACAAATGAACATTCATGATGGAGGAAAATTCTTTGTCGCTTTGGGAGAAGAGTTTTGCTTGGAATTGTATGGAAAAGAAATTGTTGAGAAGGCCATCAAGAATGACTTCTTTCAAAATAAGGTCGATTCGAATGAGAATTCATTCATGAATGCCATTGGTGATCGAAGACAAGAAATTGTCATAATTGGACAACATTTGAATGTTGAGGAGATTTGTCACAAGTTGGATCAAGTCCTTATTACAGAGGAGGAGTTTCAAAAGGGACCTCAATTCTATTCGACCATGTGTAAGGATGAGTTTGAACCCTTTACTAGTTTTTTAGATTTGGATTCCAATATGGAATGGGAGACGGACGAAGAGGAGGACCAACAGCATTTGGAAGAGGACAAAACAATGCCATAGATCTCTTCTCAAAGTTGAAATATCAAACAACAATATTAAATAAATTGCTTTTTTGGACAGAAGTGAATTCAAATTCTGACAGAATTTGAATTCATTAGAGATATTCCCAAATGAGAAGTGATGAGCATATCATATGTTATGAAATATATTTCACGTCGAGTTCTTTTCAAGTTTTGAATCTAATCCTGACATATTCAAAGCCCAGACCTGAGGTCAGCATTGAAAATCCATGATTATGAAACACAAAACCAGAAGAATTTTCCCGACCTCATCGCGAACGTTCCACTTTACAAAACACACGTTTACAGCTCTGCAACATCACACAGAAAAAAAAATAATCATTCTCTGATCACGAGTGATTTTTAAAACCCTTAAACCTTAATCATTCAATCAACCCTTATTTTCTCATCACACAATGGCAACTCTTCCATGGACTCAATGGGTACAAGGTGCTCTCCTCGCTCCATCAGCAGCATCAGGTGTTGAGGCTGTTTTATTGATCGGTAAGGACGGGGCCATGTGGGGTCTTGCTGGAAATTGGAATGTCTCTCCAACTGAGGCTCAATCATTGGCTGCTCTCTTGAAGGGATGGACCGAACAATCAGCACCAATCTCACCAACCTTTGCAGGATCCAAGTTCATGGGAATTAGATGTGATGGCACTGAGTTTGTTTGTAATGGACCAAATAAGACTGCTGCTGTTGGTGTTGTCTGCCCAAAGACTGTGGTTGTTGCAATGGGCAAATTGGAGCAAGCTCGTACCATTAGTGCAGCAATTGGAAAGGCTGTTTCTGCAGTGAATGAATACTTGTAATTGCGAGGTTCAAGTGAACTCAGTAAGCAATGTCTTTCGAAATTTGAAATGGCAAATAAATGTGTACTTGTAATTTCTCCAACTTCACTCCGATGCGATTCGATCAAACTGAGATTGATCAATTTAATGTTGACCTAAATAATGACGTAGTGTTCATTAATTTAACAACATTATTTAGGTCAATATTAAGTCGATCAATCTCAATTTTTATAATTATAAAAAATTCTTGTTATGAGAAATGTTATGATCAAAATTGTTATTACATTGCGATGGTGGTTCAATGTAGTGCATACGTGTGAAGAGTAATGCAATCCGTAAACTCGAGTTGCTCCCTCATGTCCGACACAACATGGATCAATCTTTTATCTTCAATATTGGGAATTGTTGTTGAGATCGCCTAAGGCAATGCAAACAACAATGGTTTTCAATTCCTTCAACATGTCATCCCAAAAGATTGATTCTGAACATTCTGTCACAATATTCTAAAATACATATAGTGAGCTCATATGACGGCAGTCTCTATGATGAGCACCATGGTCAGCATTGACAGGCATCAGAACAATAATGTTGTATCTTCATCTTGGGGCGCAACATGGTCATGTGATCCACAAAAACTCGGGGAACAGATGACTCTATATGAATTGCATCACTCCAAAACTTTTCAACACGTACACACTACCTTCCTCATGATCCTGACATGCAATTGGGACCTTGTTTTGGGGGTCCTTTCACTCTTCCGATTGTTCTTCCGCCACTCGTGGATAAACTTCCCGAGGTGCCTCCACTTCCTTTCGATTTGTGATCATTTGCTGGATTCAATGTAGTGAAGAATAAAACAATAAATGCAATAAACGCAGCCCACCAATGTTTGATCGTTCCGATGAAACCTCGTGATGATTGAATTTTTCCAGTGCTATCAATATACACCATTACAATAGTAATATTATTATTCGGAATTGCTAAATAATTTGGAAGGACTAGTGTCTACAATAAATTACAGGAATTGTATTGTTTGCAATTTATATAATTATTTGAAATTTTATCAAAGGATATGATAATTCCGAGGAGGGAGAGATGTGCGGTTGATGTTTGTCTTGAAAAATCCACGTTTCCGAAACTGCACACGGGAGTGAAGTGAAGGCTATTTTTTGTTGTTTGAGTTTGACATCAGCCACAAACACGTGTTTCTTACGTAATACCTGTTGCATCGTCCAAAATTGAACGAATAGCTGAGGTGATGAAACAAAACGGCCAAATTCAAATAATAAAGGCGCTCGAATTAGTCGTTACTGAATGAATTTCTTTCCAAAAACCAAATCTCCAGAAAAAAAAGCTCTCCCTTTAACACAGAACTGGTTTTTTGTGAGACAACTGAGTGGTGCTGTCTGACAAAACTACTACACACATCATATGGAATGAATTGCCAATACGTTGCACATGTGAAAATATTATCCAAAAGAATTTGCAACGCCATCAACACGTTCGCTGAGTCTGTTTATTTCCGATAATGCCAAATCATCGTGGAGCAAAACAGACTGTGTAGATTTCCACATCATCATCATCATCATCGGTAAAAGAGATAGTAATCCAAGCGAATGAATAGTGGCTCGACTCGGATGTACATCTGTTGGAATGGTGATGGCCATGATGAAGAATACACGATACTCGGAGATGAGGATGATTTTCAAACATGTTCACACACACATAAAAAGATACAATTATTATTCCCACCACTGTTAAGTGGTGAACAAAGCTATCATATTTATTCCCTACATATCTTGCATAGGGTGAAATGTCGTGTTCTCGCTGATTGGTTTTGTTGTTGGGTTTTAATCATTCATCGTGTGAAATTCCAAATTCTTCTCTTGGTTGTATGGTGCTCACTGTCGTAAAATCAAATTTTGAGACGTTGTAAAAAACCGTTAAAAAAATTTAAATTGCGCCAAAAAAACGCTTTCATCCCTCCAAAAAAAAATCATATTCACAACAGCTAGCCTAGAAGCATCATCGCTTGGCTTTGTGGTTGATTCAAGCCTTTTTCTTCCAATACGAATTCCATCATCATCACCTTCTTCATCAACACAGAGTAGCTGTATTGATGGTTGTTGTTCTTATGCTATTACTCTTGTAATCCAAGTTGATACAAACCTATTCACAGCAGCGTTGTTTGGTGTTTTGAAATTGTCCACAACATTTCGCAATAACCCAACATCATCACGTGTTTAAACTTCTCTCCGAGGATTGAAATGTAGGTATTTGTGTTCATCTCTCATTATTAAAGAGTTCTAATGATGATGTATTTCAATATATTATTGCACAATTCTCACTATGCGTTATTCGTCGCCACAGCAACAAAAGTTCAATCAAACCATTCAAGTCTCTGCGATTGTACAACTCAAAGAGATTCCTCTACTCGTGTTTACACAAACATTCATAATCCACATACACACATTTAAAAACATCATTGTTGAAAAGATCTCTCACAATGAGCCCTGCGACGACCACAACTACCAAGAAACAACCTAACTCGGCCTTTCTTCAAAATCAACCTCTCAATCCACCACCTCCTTCCACCAGTACATCACTCTCTACACAAAATTCAGCTCTGTACTCCCAACCTTCATCGGCACTGATAGATCCAGCATATCGACCCACGACGCCAACGAACCAGGGTGCAGACACGACCACCAAGAATTTATTCGGATTAAATTCAAAGTTCAATGGAACAATTCATCACCAACAAGGAGGATTGCTCTCTGGTATCGTAAATCATAATACAAGTCATTTGAACCACCAAACCACCATGTCTCAATCCTCTCCATCGCTTCATTCCACAGGTATCCATCATGGCATCAATCACATCATGGCACCACCGACACCTCAACACTCTGCAACTACATCCACAATCCAAAACAACAACAACAACAATATGGAGTCATCTTCCACGACACCAATAGCAATCCCTGCTTCATCGGTAACATCATCTAGCAATCTTGGCCAAGCAGACATGTCTGACGACGAGGAAGAGACCCAAGGAACGACCATTTCGGAGAGTACAGACGAGTCAGAAGATGAAACAACGGGAACAAAAAAGTAAGTTCAACACTTCATGTGATGATAGATTTTGACACGTTTCATAATGATTTTCCATACATACAACTCATATAATTTGATATTCCACACGTACGATGATAACAGAGACAAATCCAAGGTAAAATGGTCAGCAGAAGAAGACAAAACTTTAAAGGCTGCAGTCCTTCTTCACAGAGGAAAGAACTGGAAGAAGATTGCTGAACATTTTCCAGATAGAACAGACGTTCAATGTCTGCACAGGTGGCAAAAAGTGTTGAATCCTGATGTGGTGAAAGGACCTTGGACAGCCGAAGAAGATAACCAAGTTATTGAGCTTGTCAAAAAATATGGTGCCAAAAAATGGTCCCTCATTGCTCAACACTTACCAGGACGAATTGGAAAACAATGTCGTGAACGATGGCACAATCATTTAAATCCAGATATCAATAAGGGCCCTTGGACCGAGGAAGAGGACAGAATCATTGCTGAAGCTCATGAAAAGCTGGGAAATAAGTGGGCTCAAATTGCCAAGCTGCTCCCTGGACGAACTGACAATGCCATCAAAAATCACTGGAACTCGACAATGAGAAGGAAACTAGAACGAGAACGTAGAGAGCAACAAGGTCTTCCTCCAACCAAGCCACGAGGCAGATCATCAAAGAAAAAAAAGGAAGAATCCAACTTGGACGCCATCTCTGAAGCCAGTACCATGAGTACCAACTCTCTTGCATCAAGCCAAACAAACAGCACCACCGCTTCTGCATCTTCCACTCCTCTTCTTGCCGCCTCAGGTAGCGAACAAGTCAAACCAAAGCGAAAGTACACGAGAAGAAAGTCAAAGAAGATTGAGCAAAACCCAAGTGAATTGCCTCCAAAATCTCAGCCACCAACTCAAATCACGACCATCATGATGTCAGGTAGTGTTCCTTCCTCAAACGATGTCAACATGAGTGCATTGACTGAGATGAATCCTAATGACAGTTCTGCTCTCACAACCTACCAAGCAGACGCACAAGATTCTGGAGAGACTGCCAACTATGCAGAATCACTTTTTGTAGAGTTACCAGGAGGTACTGATCTCAACTCGTCTATTCTTGTACCACCACCATCCTATAATCCAGAACTAAGCTCAGACGTTTATCCAAACACATTGCAATACGATTTGGGATTTGGTTCCTCGCCTAGCAAGCACGACTCGTCCATGCTTAATAGCTCTTTCAACTTTGAGGATGTGTTTGCCAGCCCAAAGCATGACAGAAATGCCAGTTTCATTAGCCCCATCAAAAACACACCCTCAAAAAATATTTTCTTTTCACCTCCTAGGGACAGCTTGTCACCAGCTCGCTCATTTTATTCTCCATCCATATTGAGAAAGAGAAAACGAGATTCAGAGACCTTACAAGAAAGGATTGCACTCAACTCAAACACTCCTATTAAGAAAAAGTCTCCAATGAATGATCGCACATTGACGAGCCCAAACTTCTTGTTCAGCCCTTCTACTCCTCAACAACAAGAGAAAGCCAGAGACAATCAATCTTCATCGAGAAAGGTGGTTTCTCAGAAACGATTGGATTTCAATGATCAAGAACTCATTCAGACCACACCTCAAAGTACACGAGCCTCAACATCCACTAGCAATACTCCTGCAGCAACAGCAACACTTTTTAGAGGAGGTATTTCAAACTTTTCGCACATCAATAGTAAGATTAATTCTGTCGACAAGAATTTAGATTCATTCAGATCACCTTCAGAAAAAGTTCCTTTCACTCCTGAAAGAGATTCATCATCGTTGAGCTTTTCTCCATTTAGCACCAGAACACCTTCATATATCAACGCTTCACCTATCTCTCCTAGAATTCCTTCGCCATCCAGCTTGACAAAACGAAATGCGTATTCACAAGCAGAAATGCTCTTTTCAGCCCTTACAAGAAACAATAAGGAGTGATGAGTTGATTGTAATTGTGATTGCCGAATAAAGTGTGCCCTTTCACAAACAGCTGTTTCAAGATTTCTTGAAGATCAGTTCGAGCATTTATGTACATAAATTCAATGATTGAACACGAAGCTTTAAATCTGTTGCACTTCATCAAATTAATAAAAATGATAATGAGACAATTGACAATGGTAACTTTAGTTTATATTGATTCTTACATGAAAGTTGTGTCGATGGGATGAGGTATGGATGTATTTCCAAGGTGGCTTAACGGGTGGTGACATGATGATTTGGTAGGAATGAAATTATTGTTCGTCTTGCATTTCGTGTCGTTTTAACTCTTCACGCAATTGTTTTGAGAAATCATCCACATCTTCATCGTCCCAATCTTCCTCCCATTCAAGTTGTTCTTGCTCTTGTGCTTGATTGATATCCCAATCTAATCAATGTTATTTTTCATTAATTGGCAAAATTCAGGTTGACATAAATTATGAATGAAATTTCGTTCAGCATCATCCGATCACATTTGAGCAAGATTTTTCAAAGTAATACAATAATTATTATTATTGATTGTATCAAAAAAATTGTATGATTCAAGCAAGCCACACACAAGTTCATGATCCGATCAAAAGATGTGATTGTTTTTTCGTCATTCCCAAAAAATACACAAAAAATACACAAAAAATACAAACATACTTTCATCTTCAAATTCCTCAAAATCATCATCCTCGAGGATGTCTTGATCCTCCAAATTTTTCTGTTCGGATGGTGTGGTTGCCGTGGTGGTGGTTGCACTCGTTGTTGTTTCCTTCTTATCGGATGGCATTTTTTTTGCTTGTTTGAAAAATCGCAATTCAGTGTTATTTTTAGCACTTTGTCATTAAGGCTTACAAAAAACAGGAGTGTTTCTTGACAAGATGTTTATCCTTTTCGAAGAGGTGTGAGATCGAGTTCCAAAGTTTATTATCAAGAGAATGAATTTTCGAACCTGCAAAGAAGGACGTGTTTCGAGATTTGAGAGTCTGGTCACTAAATCTTTTTCCAACAATTCACAACCATATAAGGAAAGATATTTCATATAGATCCATGTAGTGCACATGTAAAGGAGCACACAATCATGCTTTCTCCTCTCTGGAACACATATAAAGGAATACTTTGCTTGGCACTTTCATCTGTATCATTAATTTCAACAAGAGAAATGCCAACGACAATAAACGATACCATTAATCACTCGAACGATCGACGGGATTTGAGGTTCACGAGTTACTTGTTGCGAGTGATGATCCAAAAGGAGTGTCTTGACAAATTTGAGTAATTTGGGATTGAAGAACGATGAATGTTGAGAATCGGTATAGATCGATCTCATGAAGAAGAAGCTTAGCACTGGTTTTAGAATTAGAAAATAATCTCCTTTGGTTGATGCATACTTGTTCATATAATTTTAGAGAATGCCACTGCAAGTGTCGGATTGATAGTAGCTACTTGTTGAGATGAACAAAGGAAATCCACAATCACAAAACACCACATATTCCAAATCCATCTTGTCACGAGTGGAGTTTTCAAATCTGGTCACAAATACACCCTTCAATGTTCCAAAACGTTTTTTCACAAGCTCTGAACAAACATTGACCGATTGCTTTGGGCCTCTAATCATTTGTGAATCTGTTGTTCAAGATGGAGTAATTTTTCTATTATGGAAAGATGATTCATTGCCTCGTGTGATTTTTGTTCGACTTGAATTGAGTGATCTGTCTTCCACGAGTCATAGTTTGTTAAATATTGATTCATTCGTTTGACATTTTGTAATTTAACAAATGTTTTCAATATACTCCAGTAAGTATATTTGTTGTCAGCAGTGTCATTCACTTTAGATTGTTTTCTCTTATTCCTCTTTTTCAATTTTGGTTTCAAATTCTTGATCTTCTTCTTGATAAAACAATTGATTGAAGTATTGAATCATTTCATGTAAATAATTGAAAACACTTGCTAATCTGAAAGGGTCGAAGTGTTGTCCAATCCGAATGAAGAGAAAATTGCATCGAATTGAGACATTTTTGTAAAAGACTGAGAACTCAGTCCTTCTTCCGCCATCATTGTTTATTACATGAGTATGTGATGTGGTTCCAATGATTCATTCGTCTCAATATAAAACCAAATGACCATATTAAATAAAAATTGGAAAATTATTCAGTGAGCATTTTAAGGAATGAGGGCATCAATGCCTTAGCACCACCATTGACCACAAAGGTCTTGAGGAGACTCTTCTTTTGATAGAATTCCAACAATGGAGAGGTTAATTTGTCATATTCAACAAGTCTCTTTCGTACAACTTCCTCACGATCGTCATCTCTTTGAACGAGTGAATCCTTAGCTCCACAACCATCACAAATTCCCTCAACCTTTGGAACCAATGGAGGCATGTCCAAACCATCTCTCTTGATGTGAGCAAAATTGTAGACTTGTCCACAATTAGAGCAAACTCTTCTATTACTAATCTTGGCAATGATGATATCTTCATCTTGATGCAAGTTGAGAACGAGATCGAGTTTAATCTTGTCGGAGAGTGAGTCAAGTTTGATGGCTTGAGTAATGGTACGTGGAAATCCATCCAAGATGAAACCCTTTCCTGTTCCGGCCACACTCTGGGTGATTTTGTTCACCAAGAGATCAATGACCAATTCATCAGGAACCAAAGCACCCTTGGAAGTATAGGATTGCATCTCCAAACCAATCTTGGTCTTGTTCTTGATCTCTTCTCTGATAATATCTCCGGCAGCAATGTGAGGAATGTTTAATTGTTCAGCAGCACGACTTGCATAAGTTCCCTACATGATTTGTCGGAAGGAAATTGACAATGATGATGATAATGACCAGGATTTCAATAAGTAGTTTCAACGAGAGAGTGCATTCAGTAATTTTGTTTGATAAAGGATGATAACGACAGTAGGATGTAAACGAAATACAGAGAGTTTACAGGCATACATATCGTCGTTCGGAGGTGAATGATCATTCAAGAGAATCATTCGTATTAATAATGCAACAGCAAATGGCGGTGGCTTGTAAAAAATCACAATGACGATGATGTCATCATCACGATACAAAACAGAAATTTTCATCCATTCGAAACCATGAACAGACAATCATAGATTGCCATAATCACATAGGTGGGGTCAAATCATCATCATCATTGAAATTCAGCACCACATCATCCGTGTCAAATTTTGATCATCATGAAACCTCAAAATATTGATACATACCTTTCCTGCACCAGGTCTACCAACAAGCAAAACACCCTTCTTGAAAGTGCTTTGTTCAGCAAAATTAGAAGAGCATTGGGATGAGAAATTTCTGAATTGATGAGTCGATACGAAACCAGAGGCAACAAGGGAGGATCTGGAATTGGCAACTACGAGTTTACGGGCAAGGGAGGACTTGTTCATTTTTTTTTGATTTTTTGACCGAGTAATACACCTCGACAGTCAACTTTGCAAAGAAGCAGTGGAAGAATGAGGTTTTGAAGATTCTTGAAAGTGAGAGGAGCCAATAATTACAGAACAAGGGAGAGAGGGTCTTGAGATTTTTTGTCGAAAAGCATTTTGCTTCATGGAACGAAATAGAGGGAGCAACATGTGACGAAAGGAAGAAAACATTTGCGTGCGTTTGGTTGGTTGAAAGACACTTTTTCTGGCATTGTTTTATTTCCTTGCAAACACCTCAAAGAAACACTTGATTGATGCCACAAAGGCCTCAAACGAACAAACCACGAAATTCTCCATTTTCTAATTGGTCGGCAAAAATAGAATTTTGAAATTAAAATAAAAATAAACTTCACTAATTTTCTGGCATTCCCAAGTTGAATACAAAAAAAACATCAACACCGTCATCATCAACATGGGCTCTGCAGGCAAGGTCCGAATCCAAACTCCTTTCGTCCCTTCCAAACATTTAACAGCCAAACAGGCTCGCCAAATTCACTTGTTGGCTAATCCACCTCAACAGGCCCCCGGACAAGCAACTCAACAACAACCAATACCCTTCTTTTATACCAACTTCACTTCCTTTCTTCATGACAATCAAAAGAATAGAAAGAAGGAAAGAACTGGAAGAGATCGGAAACGACATTTGTTCAATACAAGAGTGAAGAGATGGAATGGCTCCTCGGATGATCATGGAGTGAGCAATGAACCATCCTTCTCTCTGGTCTATCCCAAGAAGGATCAAGAGAGTGGTTTTTATGAATATCCAAAAGCTTCGGAATCTATCAATTCCATTCAAACACAATTCCATCGTTCACAACAAGAGGAATTCAAAAAGCAGAGAACCATTCAAAACCGATCCAAGAGAACCCGAGAGAAGATGATGAAAAAGATGGAGAAGCAACAGGAGGTAGAGTCTCATCATCATGATCGCTCTGAATCATTGGATTCCACATCATCATCCACAAGTGTTTCAGAGGAGTCTTCTACCCAACCACCACAAAATGTTCTCGCTCAACGCATTCAATTCTTAATGCAAACTCCTCCATTGAGAGCAGCCCCACGAACTGCAGATTCATCATCATTGGTAAACATGGGATGGTCCAGTCGAATGACAGCTTTGACTAATGTGAGTTATGCCAGACCTGGAAAAGTCCATTGAAAAGTTGCGGAGCATTGAAATCATGCAACTCTTTTCCAAGAAGTCCATATTTTGTGGTTTTTTGAAATTCTCGGAAAATGATGTTGTTGCAAATGTTTGCAACGTCTCAAACTCGTGTTGAGAAGAAGGGTTTTCCAATCATTGGAATGTTCCCATGTTTGAAATTCTTGATTTAAGGCCATGAGAGAGTTTATGCATTTCTTGAATTTAAGGAATTTTGGAGATGCATGACAGCCGTGAAAATGTGCTTTTCAACAAATTTGGTTGAAAAATAACCATCTTGTGTGAAGAGTTTAATGATCCAACAAAGAAGATTTGGAACAAATTGAAATTTGATACAATTTGAATTCGAAATTTTATTAAATTTAATTGTTTTCTTCCAATAGTTGACTCTGTGCATTAAAAAGTGAAAATTCGAGGAAAACAAGAAGAAACCATGAAATCAAGCAAAAACAAGGGAAATTAATTCAACATCGATGTGCGAATTTGATCCAAATCATGTGTTTTTTCGTATTTGTTTCATTTTTGTCCTTTCATTCAACAGAGCAAAACTCAAAACTTGAAGAATTTGAAAAAATCAAAGCTTGTGGAATTTTAATGCACAGGCCCAACTTGAGCTCATTCATATTTCATTATCTTTGATGCTTATTTCTTGTGATTTCATTGCAAACACCAAATTCCGCAAAATTCAAATTTCACAACTTTGGAGTTGATTGAGATTCTCGCAGATCCAAGAATTATATTTTGAATTGGAAAGTCAGTGAATTGAGAATTCACTGAATTGTGAATCATGTTTTAACATCAAATTCGTATCAACTAATTTCATTCTTTCCGTTCAAAACTGACACTTAATTGCAATATCACTCAGTATCGACGATTTACCACTGCAAAGTTTTGAAAGGCATGTTTGGAAAAAGTTAGAGCCTTGATTTCTAAAGTGTGAAAATACCAATTCAAATGCATCAAATCCATGTACTGATAACAAAGCATTCCAATGTTCTTCATCTCGTTCGAGTGCGAATACCGATTTTAAAATGGTGTGTGCAAACTTGATACAGGCATCTTGTTCGTATCGGCGATCAATGGTCACAACCATTCCTGATACATAACAAGGACATTCAGCCATCTTTGTTTGGGAAGGAAATTCACATGAAAAAATAACGGTACCATCAAATGATAACTCATTCAAGTGAATAGTTGGCGTGGATGTTACAGTGTTGATGTCCTCATCTTATTATTAAGGAAGTGAAAGATGGACAAAATTGGCATTTGATGTGCAAGTAAGTATAACTACAAGCTTAATGTTGTGTACATCATGATGCTGATGTTTGAAACATTCATATTAATGGACAACCTAAAGTTTTTTGAACCAGCTTCTTGCCCTGGTAGAAGATTTGCCTCAGTTTGATGATGCAAAAAACAACAAAACCAAAACTGCACTTCTCAAGCAAAGTGCCACCAATTATGAAGCCATGCTCAAAGCGAGAGATTGTGATTTGTCGAGTGACGAGCTTGATAGTATCAGTACAGCAATTACTGACTGTGGTCAAGACTCAAACTCTGATTTCGCCGATGTCATCGAAAGGCTCAAAAAGAAGAAAGAAGCATTAGAAAAGTAATCAAACAATGACATTTGTTGTGTCGATTTGTAATGCGGAGTTTTGATAATATTCAATGATTCAGCACGAGACAATTATTTACTCAGTTACTTGTTCCACTACTTCTGTTTGATGAGATGTCATGCTCACTGGTGGTGTATGTTCTGTGAGCTCAAACGTATAGCCATATCGATCGCATAGCCATTCCACGACCTTCAATACATTGGTTTTTGCTTGACAAGTTACTAAGGTGCACTGAATTTCACTTAGCTCTCGTAAGGCAACTTGGTCATTTGAAAATAAATCAAAATTGCGCACCACAAACCACACCAATTTCTGTTTGTGAAAGGAGGCTAGTCTTTGCACATAAAAGTCATGTAATAAGGTTGAGTCGCATTTGTCAGATGCGTTCTGCAGATGATGAGAATCCTCATTCGCTGCAATCTTGTTCAGCACTCCAAAAACATATTTCAATCGCCCAACGACATTTTCTCGAGTGATTGGCCCTGCGAGTGCATGATAATATTCCATGATTTCTTGGGAGGCAATATTCTTTGTGAGGAATGGAGACCCAATATTCGATGATGAAAGTAAATATGCATCAATGGTGGTGAGCAGTTTTGAAAAGTTGTTATTCTCCAACGCCAGATTGAGAAGTTCAATCACATTCTCATCGCAAATCAATTGGCCAATGTTGTGCTCGGCAAGGTCTTTCAAACCTTGAATCATGAAAAAGTCTGCTGCTTGAAATAATTCTAAATAGGATTGCACATCCAATGGTGGTGTCAATTCATGAACTTGCTCAATCGTACTTTGTTCATTAGGATTCTCTGATTGAGTTTCATCATAATTTGCGTCATTTGATTCAATTAATTCTGAGCTGGGTGATTTGGAAAAATCTTTCTCCGTGTTGTTTTCACATTGGAGTTGCTTTGTAGTTTCATCTTCTTTAGATGCAACATGGTTCTTGTCATTCTCGCTATCATATTTGTCAAGAACCATGATGGATGAACTTTCTCCATTTAGTTCTACATTTTGTTTTTCTGAAATGTCATTATTTTCTGCATGATCGATCGTGATGACACAACTTTGTTCCTCCAAAGTCTCCAAATCTTCTTCATTCATTGTATGGCTTTGATCTTTGTTCTCTAAATATTCATCGAGATCGTCATCATCATCTACATAGCAAACTTCACGGTAAGTATTGATTTGATGACTTTCCTCAAGTTTGTATTGCATTTCGTGATAACTTGCACGTTGAAAATCTGGAAAACTGTGAGGTAATGGTGGCATATGAAGATAATTGTGGTACAGATAGTACACAAATAATTGAAGTGTTTTCTTAGATTTGATAAATTCACTAACATTGTACTCTGTGACTTGTTTTTCGCTAAATGTTCCTGCCATTAATTGTTTGAAATAGAGGGAACGAGAAGAAAGAATAAATTTGTGAACTTTGCATTCAATTCTGTGTTTGGAGCGGAGTAATTCACGATGATCATCCATGTTATTATTTTGATGTTCTTGTTCGTTTTGTTGTTGGATACCATATTCCTCATCCAATAATGGAATGAATAGTATGAAGTCTTTGGATTCATCATCTCGCCACAATAAATTCAAAGTGCAACATTTGTCATGCTTATCATAACGGTCCAACAAATATTCATGGGAAAATCCGTCTTGATGTTGAATTGTGTCTGCATCATCGAGATAATTCTTATACATCACATGAACGTCAAGTGGCCAAGTTGAGAACAAAGCATTAAGCGTTTGACATTTGGCTACTTCGTGAGTCTGGTCAAACATATTTTCCAAAATTCCAAGATAAATATTTTCAATCCACGATTCCACAACATCATGATCCAAACAAATATTTTCAAAATTCTTCAATATTAAACGCTCACGAATCATGGCAATTTCTAAACCTTTGGAGCGCATTTCTGGTATGCGAAAGAAATCATTGTATAATGAGGAGCATCTGCTGCGAATTAATGGAGTGTATACACCAATCTTGTCGTGCCCATTCATAATAAAGCTATCATTGTAAGATGGATTGTTTTCATTAAGGAAATGCGTAATGTCATCAGCCATTGTGTCATCGTTCACCAATGTATCATAGTCACACAAGTTATATTCAACACTGACTTCCTCTCGAGCTGTTTCTTCGGGATCGTCCTCTTCAAAAAATGTAGATACATCTTCATGGATGGCATCCGAAAAATTATTTGGTGGAATAGAGGGCTGTGACTTGAATTGTGGGTGCAACTCCTTAAATTTTGGTTCAACCAATTCAGAAAGCCTCGATGGTGAAAATAGTTTCGCCAATCTTAATTCCTTAATTGCACAAATGATGTCATCCTTGTCCACAAAGTTATTTTTCTTCGTTAATTGCAAATATTCAATAATTTTTCCGATATAGCTTTTAAGAACAAAGAATCCTTCTAGAATACTTCCTTCGTTGCAAGAAACAACCCCAGCCTGGCGCATTAGTCTCATTAAATCGATATGAAGGGAATCGCTTTCTGGATTCTGATGCTTCATATCGATGCTGGTCTCAAAGGCATGATCCAGTGGTAGAATAAATCCATCCTCATCATCATCATCCTGAGCTTGGCGCTGTAATAATTTCACATGTCCAATTCCATCATCCGTAGAACGTCAACAAAAAAACACACCATAGATCAAATTCATTATTCAACAACAAGTAGTTCCACACTTACATTAAAGTTTCTATACAAAGTCACCCATTCTTCATCGGCAACACTGGTGCTCTCTTCTACCGCTCCATGATACAACCAGTCTTCACAACTTGAAATGCTGGTTGGAACAGTGTCAGCATTGAATAATTTGCTCGATCTGTACGTTTTCAAAGTAGAAGGAGAGATGGGATGAGAATACCACAGAGGATGGGGTGTTTTAGCGGTCGTGTCTACTTGGACCATGCGTCCACAGTATCTCGATTGCCAATTTTCAATGATATTTTGATCATCCATCTCTTCCATAGAATCATAGTCGTCTGAATCTCGATCTGAAATTTCCTCAGATTCTTCAGAGTCATAATTGGAGAATGTTCTTGTCAAGTCTTCTGTGATTTCTTCCAAGTTGACATATTCCGCTAAATGGTCCTCAATCACTTCAACTGAGGTATCACCAGTAATTATGTAGTTGGAACCATGCTCGTCTATGAACTGATCTAGAATACACCTTACTAAAGCTCGACATTCCATTTGATATTCCTCTTGGGTAGAGCGGTGAAGTAAATAAATGAGCTCTTGATTTAAACAATTCAGAATCATTAAGGAAACGCCAAGCCGCATGTGTGACACCTCGATATCTTGGTGCTCCTCGTGAGAACCACCCTTCACATGCATTCTCATGGTTTTTTCAAGAATTCGAAGAAAGGGATGATCTACTGCATTTTCAGGTAAGGCATCGTATAAGAAAATTTCAACAAAAGGAGGTTCGTAATTGTTTCCAAAATCTTTTTCATCAGCCAATGTCTTGTTAAATAGATACGAGCATATGAAAATGTCTTCATAATCAGAAAGGTCTTCGAAGCACGCAACCGAATAGGTCAACGCTTGTTCTTGACTAATTTCATCATCAATGTCATAATCTTGTTTCAGCATTGAAGGAGAAAGGTAAAACGCATCAATGAAGGAGTATTGCATTATGGGATATCTGTTTGGGGCAATCTCTGCGATGCTTGGAATTTTAGCTTCTTCATCATTGTTGCTTAATAAATTCTCCTCTCGTTGGTCTTTGAGAATTTGTGGCAGAATATATTTGATCCAATTTTCTGCCGTATTGTAAGTCTTTCCAGATAGATCCCAACCCACATTATCCAAAAGTTGTTCATTTTCAAATCTCAAATTCGATTGAATCAATTTTTTGATAAACTCTTCATCGTGTATCTGACATCGTTTAACCATTTTGTCAGCTAGAAATAGTGATATTGATTCTATCGATTCTCTCTTCTTGAACAATTCCGAGAAAAATTTGATGACACGCTCCTTTTTCTTGGCCTGCTCTTCATTGCTTGTCACTTCATCTCTTGAATGCTCAGAATGAATGTCGAAACATTTCAATGAATCGGTGCTGGACCAGTTCTCAATACCAAGAATAACATTTGACAACATGTGTCTCACTTTACGAACTTGCCAAATTCGATCATATTTGCTGTGAATTGCGTCAGTTTGGTCCTCAACGGTAACTTGACTATTCTCATCGTGAATTTGTTCGATAAATACTTCATCACCATTCTTTGGAAAATTATCTTCGTATTGTTGTAGTAATAAATATTTCAAATCCAACACTTCATCATTCCATGTCTTTGACTTTTTCAACTCATTTCGAACCTCTTCTTCCGATGATTCTTGATCCTGCTCTTCTTCAATAAAACTTTCCGAATCTTTCTGATCCTGATTCAATGCTGCTTCTCTCTTTCTCTTCAGAGAATATGAGGGTTGTTGGTCTTCTTCTTCTTCTTCGGAATGATTGGTTGGGAGGTTGGTTGAGAGTCCTGAAACATTTTTTTTTAAAAATCTCAAAATCCGATTATTTCTGGAAATTCTTATAAGAGTTCCAAAAAATTCGTTCATTTTCAAACAACCTCATCACATGATCATCATCACTATGAGAAAGAAGACCAGTCTCAAGTACAATCCGTTTCCAATGCCAATGAGCGGTGTGCTCGGAATTATCATCATGGGGACATCCACAATAGCTCTATGCTTCATGGTGATTGTGATGATGATTGATAAAGGTACTAGTGGTTGTTATGGTTCAAACACTGTTCCTGTCTTGGTGGATAGTGATTTAGGGACCGATGATTTATTCGCAATTGTACACTTGCTTCACTACCATCATCAAGTGAATGATCGGCAATTATTGCAACGACGACCACCACAATTACGTGAACAATTATCAAACACATATTCGGAATTACGGAACGAAGAAGAAGATGAACATTGGAAACGGTTTGAAACATCAAAATTTATTCATCATGATGGTGCTATTCAGAATTTCACAATTTCAGTGATTGGAGTAAGTCTTGTCACTGGCATGCAACTCTCTCTTGAAAATTCGGTGGATATTTTACAGAGATTACAATTATTTACCAATGGTTTTGAAAGGCATGAATCCGTGATGAATTTAATATCGCAAGAACAACTGAAATTACCCAAGCTCTACATTTCAATGGATCCGCATGGATTAATTCCATCACAGAGTCATAGTTTTAGTGAAGGCGCATGGTATGCCAAATGGAACGATAAAGAGCTACATATGGCTGATATTCTTGGAATGCCACCTATTGTCAATTATTCACATCCTACATTGCTACCTGTGGTTAGTGGCCAAGACTATGTTAAAGAAATGATGAATCTCTTGAAAAATCAAATAGAATTGAATCAACCTGCCACCATTTTGGCCATTGGACCTTTGACAAATTTAGCTCGTCTTGTTCTCTCTAATCAGAACCATATTTTGGAAAAAGCAATCGAGAAAATTGTCATCATGGGAGGAGCAATTAACATGATTGATCCAAGCAATACTATCAATGGAGCTGAATGGAACTTCTTTTGTGATTCCACAGCTGCAGAAATTGCCTTGCGAACATTCAGTGGAAGAATAGTATTGTTTGATTTGAAAGTTGCAAATTTAGGTATGTTTCTCAATTATTCCCATCATCCATTCGTCACAAACAAATGCAAACATATAATCCTATTTTCATATTGAATGGTAACAATAATATATAATAATTATTGTTATCATAACACTGGCCTGGTATTGGCATCAAAATTTTCTCCTTCCAATGGGAACATGAAATTGTATGCATCATGCGAAAATTTATTTCACACTAGACGCTGTCAATGAAACCAATGCTCAAGACATTTACAAATTTGCCACCTCTTTTAACATTCCGAAACCTACTCTTCAATTTGTTCAGTTAGGACTTTTGGAATTGTCACGTGCCTCTCTCACCTATGATGTGGTTACATCCTTTTATTTGACGCATCCACATTTATTTACCTTACAAAAAATTTGTGTTTCCATCTCATCTGAATCACCTACTCAAGGAATTATTCATCAAGTGGATTGTACTGGACAAGAAGAACATGATATTGTTGTGAATCGAGCAGTGACATTTAATAAGAGTCAATATCTTGAATATTTGAAAGAATTATTTAGAGTGTAATTATTGGTGTAATTATGGTGACAACTGCAAACCGCATCTGAAAGATCAACCAATCTGAAAGCATACAAATCAAAACAGACATCACTTTTACAATGATAGACGATTGACTCTTGAAAATGGCTCGACTGCTTCCTTTTATTCAAGACAGAGGATGTAATTTATCATTTTTCAACTCAGTAACAAGTCATGATGAATTCTCCAAACGCTTTACTGTTCCTGATTTGGGAAGAGAAAGGGCGTTATATAAGACATGGACCGAGTTGAATCATCACCACGTTGAAAATGTACATTTACGATCGGTCCATTGACATTGGTCATGATCAATCACATCATGATACGTACGCTACCATTGGGGCTGAACAAAGAATGGCGTTTACAGATTTACTGTCACAAATTGAGAATTTTCAACTATTTGGAGATACTGTTCTCCAATTCGGAAATAATTTGCACTTTTGTGGCGAAATCTCAATCCTGAATTCGAGATGTTACCATCCGATCTTACCGATCAAATTCGTTTTTAAACAAACAACACTTTTAGATTGGCCATACAATATATCTTTATCAAGAGGTATAAATTGCGAACAACGAAAGACATGTCGCATTCGGAGTAAGCGAGAGTGTGCGTGTTAACAATCTCCAACAACATGTTTGACTTGTCATGAAAATGACTATTTCATGAATACGAAATAGGTTGAAGATGACAAGTTCACAAACCACTGCCAAAATGTTTTGTGAAATCACTCGCTTGAAAATGATAATTTCAATTTCCCAAAAAGAAATATATTCAATCGCTCGGCACGAATTCACCACCATGAACTCTCCTACCACAACGACTACAACCACAGATAAGATTGACCAAGTGTCATCCATGTCCAGAATTTCAAGTCGATACACACAATTAAGAAAACAATTACGATCCTGTGCCAACTTTAAAGAGAATTACTTTGTGATGGAGATGAAAGTTGGTCGTTCCAAAGTACATTCAGCAGCATCGTCATCTTCTGATGCATCATCTGAAAAGACATCACGAAGAAGAAGCAATACGACTTGTAAAAAGAGAAACAAGAATCAACAAGAAGAAGAGAAAGCAATAACAAACAAGGATCAAGAGGATCATACATCCACTACAACCAAGAAGAAGAAGAAACCACAACCACAAGATGAAGAGGAACTAGTAGCACCAAAACAGAAGGGTTCTATGGGTACTACTACTACTTTTTACTCCAAGAAGAACAGTGAAGAAAATCCACAAGTTGTTGTTCAACAACATTCATCCCAACAAGAACAACTCTTAATGGATCAATACCATGAAAACTCAAACAATGATATCATTCACCAAACACTTCCTTTTGAAGAACAAGAAACAAATTCCCTTCTCCTATCTTCTTGTCAAGACATACAAGAAGAAGAAGAACACGAGTCTTGCATCGTGATGAATGATCCACCATCCATGTTATTGAGAGAGTATTTTCCACTTGAAACAATAATGACCATTTTGAATGAAGAACAAATGACAAGATCAACAACAACTTCCAATAATGACCATCTATGGTTCTCCTCACCAACAACATCATGGATTCAATTATTGCTTCAGAGATTCTTCCATCCTCATTCCAATCTATCCTAATAATAATAATCACAATCATATGAACACTACTACCACCAGTATCCTTGCTCAACCTCAGAACAAGTCATCACGGACATTAAGTTAACCTTGTCAAAAGACCACGAGATTCCATCTGTGGTATCCAGTGGTAGTGGTGATCATGATCCCCAGAATGACCTATTGTCATCTGAATGGTGGTGATAGCGTCATATGTGATACAAATCTGAATGAATCGACTTGAGACTCTTTTACCAAAGAGAGAGAAGAAATCAAAAAATACCGAGATGTTCTAAAAGTGCTTTTTTAGGAATAAACACTTCAATAATAGAATGAATGGACACACTTCATTTAAAGAAACTGCCCTTAACAAATAGAGTAAACTTTTTGAACATTTGATGCCTCCATTTATATTCCTTTTGATGTGTCTTTCAACATTCATGGGCTAACAATCAAAAACGGACTAATGAAATTCCCCACACCATGAGCTTATTCATCTCTCTTTTCATTTCACATCAAAGAGTTCACATCAACATCCTTTCTCTTATCAACCACCACTCTCCTCCGCAACACATTTGACTCTTTTAAACAAACAAAAAAATCAGAAACGTCATTCTTGGCTTGAGTGCATTCAAGAATATTCAACAACGTAATCTCTAAATTTGTCTTTCTCTCTGACCGTTATTACAGTATTGTCAATCTATTGATCATGATGGATCATCCAATCAGTTCATCTTATTCTCAGAATATTGCTTGCGGATCCACAACAACAGAACAGAAGAACAATGACCGAGAAGAAGACACAAATGGCACTTGTCTACCTGCAGTGAATGAATGTATTCTCACCACCAGTCCCAACAAGCACCGAAGAATCTCCAGTCGTTACACACAACTCAGAAAACAACTTCGTGCATGCAATAATTTCAAAGAAAATTATTTTGTATTAGAAGTGAACAAACCTTCTGCCGCTGCTATTAAGAAGCAGAGAAAAACCTCCAACAATCCAAAAAAGACAAATAGTTCGAAAAAGAGAAGGCAACAACAAGTTCAGGATACCCTGATGAAGAGGGAAGAAGATTTCTCTCCCGAAAATAACTTGCAAGTCAACATGTCAAATGCCAACACCTCTTTGACAGTGTCTTCAAACACAACCTCATTTCAACCTTCCCAGAACTGCAATAATTGTACAGTAATTACCACTCCTTCAAATACTTCCAATTCTTCTTTGGAACGAGTTCAACTGTTGCAAACCATCCTCTCCATAATGTTGCAAAACATGAAAAGTGGTGGAAACAATTCATCCACGATGAACATGAGATCATCATACACCACCTCTACCAGCAGTCCTTCTTCAAATATTAACCTCATGATGATGAACAATTTGTCATTTGGAACACTCTTGAGTGAACAACAAGAATTACAACAACCATCATCCTTGTCGTCATCATCATCGTTGTATATCCCACTTGAAGATTTGAATCTTCTCACTTCTGAGAATAGATCAACGAGTCATTTCATGGATATGAGTTTGATGAATTTCACCTTGTTTCAAGACTGGAATCAAGAAATCATCCACTCGGTACTTGGCAGTCACACAAACTCTTCAATGATGATGTCTTCAGTAACCAATTCCAATGCATGTATTCCTCCCACTGCTTCCTCCACCACTCAAGATGATGTGGCGTCAAGCTCACTCCCTAATTCGACCACTTTGGATGAATTGCTGGATTTGTTATAGATTTGGTGAGACACTCCGTTTTTGTACAAATTGAATTCATGAAAATTTAGTAAAGGAATTGTTTATTTTTTTTCCAATCTTGATTGTTCGCTCAAAATGGATGTTTTGATGGTGATTTCTCCTGTTTCTAAAGTGATTGTTGTGCAAAAGTGTCCTTTTTATTTGTATGGAGGGTGTGACGATCAGTGGATGGCATCTAGAAGATGGACGAAAAAGAAAAAGGAATTAGAGAAATGGAATGTATTCAAAACACACAAGACTGAAATACAAACTTGGAGTTCTTCAATGTTGATTAAAATTCACTCCTCCTCAATAAAAACTGCGTGTATGATGTATCTTGTCCAAAGAACTTGAATCCACCATGTATTCTGAAGAACCACTCACTAACATGTTCATTTCGGGTGCATAACGACGATGAAGCTCAATTGCAACTCTGCCAATAATGAATGGTGCGTCAGGATTCAATTCGACAGGTCTGTGATGATTTTCATCGAGTGTGAATAAATGAATTTTCTTGACATAACCTTCATATTTTGGATGCAACAACTTGGCACATAACTCTAACATGAGTGTGACATCAGTTCGTTCTTGAAAGGATAAGGGCCTGAACTGAACAAAATTTTTCTTGATATCAGTCGTGCTTCCAATGAAAACAATCTTACTACTATCAGAGTTGGCAACAGTGACTGCAAAGAGAGAGACACATCGAAATGAATCCAACACTCGTCGATAGAGATCGTAAAAGAGTACTGAATATTGCTTGAGCACCAAGTCATAGGGGGTCGTGTCAATGGAAGGACTATGATTCGGCGACTCATCACTCGTATTCTGAATACATTTATCCACAGAGGTCATTCCATCCCGTTGCCATTTTTCGAAAATCTCAAACGTGGTCTCCACATATTCTTTGGCTCTTGAAAATAACTCTTCAGATGGTTCTAATCCTCCAATCATGGTATTAAAATCATTATATTTGAGATGAGCATGAGGATGATGATGAGATACAATGGAGAGCTTTTCCATAGGTCTGTTTTTTGGTCTTCCACTTGCCTGATCGAGTAAGCTTAATAGTTGCATTTTGTAATCTTCAGCAGAAAGTAACACCACATGTAAATCGTCCAAAACATCAATCAAGCGAGTCCGATCGCCAATGGATGGCAATTTTGTTTCATATTGTTCTTTCAATTCATCCAACTTGGCAAGTAAATGAGTGTATTGTTGTGTTGTTTCAGAACCCATTGAACCCATTGGAGCCTCATCATCGCCAATGAATACATGATGCTCTTTAGCCCATTCATTTTCCTCTTGATTATCCATATATTGTTGTATCTTTGCCTTCACTTTAGAATAGAGGGTATTCTGCTCTTCCACTAATGCCTCTTCATAATAATAAACACAGTCAAACACAAGCTTGGAAAATTCATCTCCGAACACATCCTTCATACTTCCTCCAATCAATGATCTCGAACTTTCCAACGACAAGAATCGATTCAGAAAATCTGGATTTACCATCTCATGAAGATGAGCAGATAATAAATGTCTCGGAATGTATGTATTCGAAGAAGGTGTTGAGGTCGATGAAGAATCAAAGGATGATGAGGTTTGTTGTGGTTGGCTCATTTTTTTTTGTTTTTTTGGAAATACCAAATATTCAATAGTGACTTTTAAGGAAATATTAAAAGAGGGTCACCAATTACAAGTTTTCGAATAATCACCTTACAGCAATGAACAATCTTAAAAACAGATCACATTTCTAAATAGTTTGACACCTCTCTCGAATACCTATTGCAGTAATGTTGTGAATGATCATCAAAAGTTCAACTCTGAAAAAATGCTCAAAAACATGCTGAGGGCGTATTTATCGTTCTCAAACAAATACTACGTTCCGATCATGTATCGATTTGCGTTGAAGAGAGCTCTAAAATCGTATCATCACCATGATGGAGGAAACGAACCTATGGATGAACTGATGAACAAGAATAATAATGGAGCTCAAACTTGTTCCTCTTTGAATACATTTCGGAATGTTGAACCGACCAACATTGACAACACATCATCATCATCACGAATGAAAGAGCTCATGAACAAGATCCAGTTGGAACAAAATGATATTATACACTCGGAAATGACACGAAAATTTTTACAAGATGAAAAGGACATGAGAAATATGACAGACAAGAGTTGGCTTCCACTCGTAGCTCAATACATTGCCTCGAATCGAGTCCTTGCTAAAGAATTATTTCAAGGCGATGAGAAAAAAGCCATGTTGTTCATATATGATCGAGCACTATTGCCTCCTGTAGAGAAAATGATGAGAATGGTCCTCGGAGGGCAAGGACGCAAAGGCATCGCAAGCGGAATTATTTTCAGAACACCAAGAGCTGGAGAAGATGATAATCAAGTCGATGTTCTGGAATTTATGTGGAAAATTATGAGTGTGGCAAACGACTTGATCCATGCTTGGACCTTGTCTCATGAAATTTATCATGAAACAAAGAATGTGACAGCTTTAGAAGGGCATAGTGATTCCACACATTCTGGAGATGACAACGAGAAAATTAGAATCTCCACGATCCGTGTGCATAATTGCATGTTAAATCGATTTTTTAAAGCTCACAATGCATCACATTTAATGCCTGTCATTTGTTCCTTTGATACCATATGGGCGAGGAATGCCTATGAGAATACTGGTCATAAACTGAGGCGAAATCAAACATTAAGCCTTGGTGGTAATTATTGTGCATTTGATTTTTCGAAAGGTTTCGAGAAGGAGTATGATGTCGTGTCGGTGGAAATTGAAAAATTACGTAAACACTAATTCATGATATTATTATATTTTGGACTGAGAGAATGTTCATTCAGATGTCTTTTGGTTTTTCAGTATTTGCCTCGCTTCTACCTCATCGTCATCATTTAGTATCTTTTAAATATTTGATCGATTATTCCTCATCGCTTAAATGATGATCAAATTTGGATTTTCTTTTGATGGATGCTGTGGTTTTTGTGTTGTCATTGGATGAGCTGCTTGATGATGGAGAAGAATTAGAAGCAGCTGCTACATGCAACCCGTTCTTTCCATTGTTAAAGGCCTTTTCAAGCCCAACCTTGACAGCATCTACCACTTGTTCCTCCTTTTCACGAATGATTTCTCGTTGCAAAGTTATTTGTTCTCGAGCTCTTTCTCGTTTGGCTTCTCGTTCTTTAGCACGTTTTTCTTTAATTTGTTGCTTTCTTTTTTCAACCAATTCATTCCATTGTTTCAAATTAATTTGATTGGTGATGTGTCTAAATCTTCTTCCACTCAAATCTCGCATGGCACTGAAGTTAGTTGTTTTCTTCTTTGATTTGGACTGTCTGAGCAAACTTCCGAAGCCTCCCTTTCCACCAACAAGTCCAAATATGCCATCCAAATAATGGCTTCTCAATTCTAAATGATGTAATTCATGGGAAAGTGCCGAGTTAAAATAATGTACAATTGGAACGTTCAATCGGAGCGGTTTATATGCCTGATGTGCAAAATAAAAGGATGATGATAAAAGTAACGCCTCCAAAGTCTCCTCCTGATGTTTTGAATGGTCGGAAGGATGATCAGCACACTGTTCTCTATTAATAAAACTTTGATGCATACATTCCGAGGAGTGGTTACAACCAGGATCATGATCATCCGTAAATTTCAAAATAAATTCATCAATCACATCTTGCAACGTAAATTTCAAAAATTCCTCTCTCGATAATTTTACTTCGTATGAATTAAATTTAATGTAACAGGTAGCGTCATGAATTTGATTATTGTTGACGTTGTTGCAAGCACTTTCCGAGATTGAATCATGATTCATTTTTTTTTAATTTTTTTTATTATGCCTTGTTTTGGCCACTGATATTATGGTCATCTTTTTAAAACAAAAGCAGAGCTTGAAATAAAACGTTCAGGGTTTGTTCTTTTCAAGCTTTCATAAGATTCCATGCACACGTGTGCATGATCCAGCAAGTGTGAATATCTAAACTTGAGTAAGGAAGCTTTTTCACAAATCAATAACAGATTCATATAGTCTTGACTCAATTGTTGATACAAATTCTCCACATATTCCAACATTAAATTAATAGAAGACTCAATGACCAATCCGTGAAGAGAATCACAATGGATCTTTGTCGCAATTTCAACAGGAAATACTGCATTAATATTTGCATATTTGAATTGGCTGTGTTTGGTCATGCTGGTTATTTCATTGGCCACACTCATCAACTCAAGTGAGAGAGAAGGATCGACATGTTTGTGATGTCTGAAGAGAAGAAGTGCCTTTAGTCCTAAGCATTGCAAAATTAAAAAGAAACACTTGTCTTCACCTTCATGTTTTAAGAATTTCACTAAAATATCCAATTTTTGAATAAGCTCATTGGTGGAATTGTTGCTCTCCAATTGAGCCATGGGCCTATGAATAGTGGAGGAGGCTCGAGTATTAGTTTTAACACTTGGAGGATTTGCATGACCACCCCTTAAAGATGTTCCCTGGGGTTGTTGCTGTGCAGTTTCGCACATCATTTGACGCCTCGCAATACTCCTCACCACACAATTAAGAATATTCACATGTTGTGAAATTTCAAAGTCCAAATAACTGCTCTCATCCACGAGATCCATGAATGGATAATTAATTTTGTTTTGAGGAGCATTTAACACAAACCGTATGTGAGAATCCAAAGTCTCTGGAATGAAAAACGCTTGTGTCATTGCAAGACCTTGTTGAATATAGTCACGAGTGGCTTGTTGAATATGGTACGTGGGAGCTGGAGGTGGTGAAGTATTTAATGTTGAGCAGGATTGATTTCCAGTCGTGACGGTGGTAGTAGTACCACTCTTCGCTCTCCCTTGTAAAGTCACAACATTCGCCTCCTCTTCCTCTACGGTGGCATTCATAAACGTTTGGCACAGGTGATGAAAATACTTGGAACGTAATAAACACTGACCAAAACATGTATCACTGATGCCTTTGTTGAGAGTGGAATCTGGATTGAGAGCAGAAGTAATTGCTGAATTCGTGTTACTTGCACATCTATTACTGCTATGACTAGCATTGTTTTCATGGAATGTGTGAGAGAGTGATGGCGACGAAGAATTTGAGGATGTAGAAGAGGGAGGATGGTCGGTGGTGGATGGTCGTTTCTCTAAGGAAGAACAAGAAGATGCACCACAAGTGTTGCTGCTGCTGCTCGTCACATGATGATGACTCTCTGATGATTTAAGGGTTTTCGAGCAATCGGTACCCAACAAGTAATAGGACATTAAACTATACACACACAGCACCAAATCATCACCAATCTGATCAAAACATCTCGACAAGTACTCACGAGCTTTTTCATACAGTGTTTTGGAGTGATTTTTTCGCCCCATCCTTAAAAAGATCAATGCATGGATTGAAAAGAGAATGGAAAGATGAGAATTACCCAAAGGTTGACTAAAATCAACACTCGTAATGTCCACATTCATATTGCTTTGTCCAGAAATTGATACACAAAGCCAATATTTGAGAAAAGCAGAGTCCTTCGTTGGTGGAATTAAGGAAATGGCCATTTTACGATAAATATTCTCTGAAAGGTTACTGAAATATTTTCTTTCCAATTCGACCAGTTCGAGATTATGGAGATAGGATCGTTCTGTGGTGTAGGAGCCACTTGCACGTTGTAGTTGTTGTTGCTGTTGTTGCTGTTTTCCAGAAGTGGATGTTTTGGATTTTCGTTTGCCAGATGTTGACGATGAACAACAACTGCTGCTGGAGAAAGAACTACTGACCGAAGTGGCTGTATTGTCAATAAATTGATATTGCACAGCTCCGGTAATTGGATGAGTGGCTGGATGATTACTCTTTGGTCCTCTTTTTCTTGCCTGTGAATAAACACATTGTTTTTGAGATTTGACGCAGTTGGAACAGCCAGGAGGGTAAGCAATCTTGTCACACTTTTTGTGATTCAATTTACAGAAAATACATGCATTATTCATGAGTGTGGGAGCAAAGGTGGCAGATGTTGTATTGGGTGTGGATGTTGTTGTTGATGTTTCGGATGTAACATTTTTGGAAGAGCTTGTTCCTGTTGATACATGCAATTGTTCATTAGGTAATGATGATTTTTCTACTATTGCATGTTCTGAAGCTGATGCAGAGTGTTGAGTCCATGAGGATGATGAAGACGACGAAGGGCGTTCCAGAGTTTGTACATGCATGCATGAAGAGGAGGATGAAGAAGGTAACTCATGCATGGCTGGCATGCCATCGTGATTGCTGGAGGGCTCACTTGTTGTAGAAGCATTGGTGATAGTATTCGTCCTGCATTTGCTGCTGGTCGAACTGGTCAATGTCGGATGCATGATGTTTGAAATTGATGGTCTCTCAAAGAAGCCTTCTTTTGAAAAACGAATTTGAAAAGGCTTGTTGTTGTTGTTATTGGAAGTATTCTTGTTTTCAAGCATGCCAGGTGTGGAGGTAGACCCAGCAGGTCGTGATGTAGAATGATACGATGATGAAGTAGTGGCTCTTGGTAATGATGAGAATGGATTGGTTTCGGAATTTGGAGTTGTTGCATGAGTCATTGCATTCAAAATTTCATCATGTGATGATGATGTTGTTGGGAAAGAGAATCTGGAATTCTGAAGCCTAGCTGGAAGGAAGGAGTTGCAGGCATTGAAAGGTGGTGATGTAAACTCCTCCTCTCGACGTCGAGGGAATGATGGAATCGTGGACGTGTCAGGCGACTTTGTTTGAGTTGGGTTGGATGAGAAAGTTTGGACGTGATGATGTTGCTGTTGGGGAACAACAACGTTGGTGGTGTACGGATTTCCACTTTCGGTATGTGCTCCCTGATCGGGGTTGGAATTGGTGGTGATCCCATAAGAAGACTTTGGTGTCGTTGTTGGACGGGTGGTGATCCTGTCATCGAGTGCTCTCTCGGATGAGGTCCAATCGCTTGCTAGTAACAACTGTTGCAAGAGTTGATGATATTCAAAATGTGGTGGATGAGAAATGTGCGAAGGTTGGGTGGGAGAGGTTGTTGTGGTGGTAGTTCGGGTGAAAGAATGTGTTGAGGAGACTGCTGGAGAGCCATCTTCCCCATTCGATGTTGAACAACCAAAGTTAATTGAAGTGAAATGAGAGCCACCTTCTTCACTTGTCCCCCTAATATTGGGAGGCAACATGTGATGATTGTTGTTGAATATACTATTAATATTGGTGGCAGGGTTATTAAAAGTACTACTACTATTACTACTACTCGTAGTAGTAGTAGGTATCCATTCGCGTCGTCGTTCTTGTTGTGAGGTGGATGGTGGGTGAGGGTCAATGTTGTTGTTGTTGGTTGATTGGGTGTGGTTGTTATTACAAGATGAATATGAGGTGGAGCGATGATGGTGATGATCGTGGAGGTCATGAGGGTCGTCCTTCTCATCAAAAGACATGATTCCTTCCCTACGTCTTCAGAAGTGAATGAATTATAATGGAGAGTGATGCAATAAGTCCTCGTTGTTGTTGTTGTACCCGACGACCAATCAGCAGTGTTGTTGTGGTCGTCTTAAGAAGGTGGTGGTCCGGTTCCGTACTAGTATACCAGCACAAAACCGATCGATGGTTGCCTGCTTTGAAGACGTCGCGACGAGTGTGTTGTTGTTGTTGTTGTTGTTGTTTCGAATTAATTGCTTGTCTTTTTGTGAGAGATGTGGATCCAACAACAACGAATGGACACCGTCGACGTTCGATTAGTAAGGTGAGCAAGGAAGAGTCAACGTCGGCTAGAATTTTTTTATGGTGGTCTTGAAATTTCAATCATTCTCAATTTTGGACGTTGGATATTGGTTTGATTTCGGAAATGTCGCATGGACGACGGATTCTCAAAGGAGAAACAATTTTATTTAAATATATTCACACAGTTTTATTAAGCATTTTTACATAAATATACATGTACGAGGTTGAACAGCAAGACCAAGTTGACCGTACTATTTACAGAATTGAGTGGTGCTATGTATGTGTTATTTACAGAATTGAGTGGTGCTTTGTTCATACACGTGTCGATACCTCACATGTGGTCCATTATTTCTCTTTGGAGGATTTCTTGAAAAGTTTCTTGAGTGTTTTCTTGTATGGTTTGGATTGAGGCGACAAACACTCGTTAGCTTTCTTCTCATTGGACGCATTCAAGATGCACTCGGATGAAACAAGATTCAGCACAGAATTTGGTGCCACACAATATTGCAAACATTGTTGATGGAAATCGGAGGGTGGACTTGGTTGATAATTGCCTCGATCCACATTGCCAGTGGTGGTGTCTCGAGTGGTCGTGGAGGTGGAGGTTAGGCTTGGTTTCAATGATGATGATTTGGGAAATGAGAGAATCTCTTCTCGGAGGTTATGCTCTTTGGATTTACGGCTTTCCTGAAATAACAAATCATCAATGTGAGCACATAATACCTCACAGTCTTTGGGTTTTGACGATTCCAAGGATTGAAGAATGGAAGAAGAGGCTTCAGAGTCTTTCTTGCCCATTTTTTTTATGGTGGTTGTTAGGTTCAACATCTTCAGATTGTTCTTGTTGGAATGAGGAAATCATCATTGAATGATGAGAATGAGTTTATCATGCTACTGTGAACACATCATGTTGAAAATGGAAATGACATTTGGAAAGGATTTTTTTTGAAGAATTCCCAAAAATGTGCAAAGAGCTCAAGAAACTGTAAAAGAGGGTTAGTTTTGGTACATGTTTGAGATGAATCATTCGGTGAAGAGAACAGTAAGGAAAATAAAGGATTCTGGGATTCTTCAATAGAGTTCTCTCTTTCATTCATTCATTCGTGTAACTAAAATATTTCACTGCAAAACCTAAAAAAATAATAAAACGCAAAAAAAAAATGAGAAAAGCTTCCGTTGAGACTGAACAACCACAACAAACGCAAACACTGGATCGCATGATCGAAGACATCATGAGCAAGGATCAAGTAACTCTCCCCATTGAATACTGTACGGATGATTTGGAAATTATTTGTGAGGCCATTAAATCCGTTTCATCGCTTCGGAAGCTTACGTTTATTGGAGAGATTTCAAATGAAAGGACTCGGAATGATAGTTTTTTAAATCTTGATGAATTTGAAATGTTGTGGAGAAGTATTTTGGAAGGAGAGAGCCCATTGGAATCGGTTGGATTTTTATCCATGCATTTGCAAGATGAACATTTAATGTCAATGAAAAACATTCTGAATGAAGTATCAAACTCAAGTGTTGCAACAGCCTCCATTACATCCATTGTATTGATTGGAAATGAATTTAGTTCAGAACGAATGAAAGATGTTTCGGAAGTATTCAAAAACTTGATGAAAAATCTCAAAGAAATTGTTTTTGATGATTCATCGAATTTGTCAAAAGACAAACACTCGTCCCCCACTACGAGTGAAGTTGAAAAGAAATTGTCTGAATTAACCGTTTAATGAATTATTTGACATGTCCTCTATGATTTCTCAGATTATTGAATTTTAAATTACAAATCTATGAATGTGATAATCAAATTGTGTGAGTTATTAAATAGGTTTTCCTTGAGAGTTATTATTTAAAAATTGAATGATATCATTTTCAATGACTTTCCGTTATTTTTATTCCAAATTGTTCAAATCGTCTTGTTATCGATTCCAAATGGAACATTTCAATGATGTGACATGTCATGCATGAAACCCCACTTTATATGACAATTATTCGAGTGTATTGATCATTCGAATTAAGATTATAATAATTGAATAGGATGAACAATGTACACTATTGTCCATGGAAGCTAAAATTATTATGTGATTGATTTCATATAAAATCTTTGATTCCAACAATATAGAACCTTCTGGATGACAAACCTTGACGGTATTTTCGTTCAGCTTGACCACAAGCTTTGGAGAGTCATCAGTATTCGAAATGATGGCCTCATAGACAGGTTTTGCCATCATGGTTAATTCATCTTTTGCAAACGCAAATTCAAGCAAATAGCAACGTAGTAAAGGAGTGATTTTATGCTCGACTAGGGAATCATTCGCGATAGAAATACCAAGAATATCATGCATTCAGCAGCAGCTTTGAGATTAGTACTTTTTGGGAAGATCCAACAACTTTGGAGAATGTTGTTGTTGTTGTTCGTGAAGTTGAATTCACCACAGTGGTGTTGAGTTTTCGAAAAACCTCTTTCCCAACCAATTCCAGAAATTTTTCATCAATTTTGTTGTCAAGTTCCATTTTTTTTTCAACTTTTTAACCTTAATCGCTCGCAAATATGATCTTCTTCACATCACATATGTTGTTGTTGTTGTTATTGTTGTTCATTATGCACACACCCAAACTTTCAAAAAGTTTGAATCACATTTGAAATCACACATTATGTATGTGCATTATGGTTAATCCTTTTGCGATCCAGTAGTACTGGACTCGATATAGGGCAAACAATACCTTGGATCTCCAAAGGGGCAAAGCAAACGTGTCTGTTGGTTCGTCGTTCCAAAAGTTCTCACTTTTCCAGGTTCATTCTTGAGAGAATGTAACATGCTGGCCCATGATTCATCATTATAAATAATTTCATCCAAATAATCCAAAATTGTCAATGGATCCCTGCCTTGTAATATCCTCTTTCGGTTGTCTTCCATAATTTTGGATGGACTTGGAAATATTTGCAAATCTTTACAAATCTTATCCTTATCAAAGTTATTTCTCAACCACAGAGCTCGATCAAAACTTTTCAACAAGTGATACTCTGAGGTCTTGATGAAGGGCATTGGGTCGTTTTGAGAAACCAAAATCATGTCTCTGGTAAATTCATCCAGAGACGCATGATTTGGAAAACAAATGATGACAGAACCACTCGAAAGTTCTTCCTTCTTCTTCTTACGAGGTGACTCTTCGGCACTGTTACTTGCGACACCAGCAACAGTAGAGGGTTGTTGGAAGGGGAGTGGAGATTTTGGAGTGCCAATGGAGAGAGATCGAGATTTTCTTCGTTTTTGTGCAAATAAATTTCCATACAATATTAAATTGAGTGTCTTGTCTAAACTTTGCAAAGTGGAAATAATTTCACACGAGGTCTCTTCAGCTCCTCCTAGAAATTCCTCATGGTTGAGGTTACTGATATTGTTATTGTTCGCTGATGAACGATCATTGTTTTCATCGTGCACTGGTTGCTCTCCTTCCATCATCATTAAACGATTTAAATTTTGTTGAATATTTGTATAGAGTAATCGCTGTTGTTGAATGTAATCTCGAATAAGAGAGGCATATTTTCTTCGAATGGTTTCATTCAATTCCAAACGACACCATTCCGTGTTATCTGCATCCTCTGGATTGTCTTTCACTAAATTATTTGCAGACCATTCCAAATAAGATCCAATACATCCTTTCTTTCCCAGTAAGGTTTCATCTTTCAACAATTCATACATGTCCACAATGGGAGCTTTTTCATGATTTAACGTAATGTCAGAAGAGAGAGAATCAAGAATGTCAAAAACAAATTGGTGACAACTTCCTTGTTGCGTTGCCTTATCGGTCATGTGGTGTTGTTGAGTTTGCATTGATGTAATATTATAGTGATATCCAATTCCTCTCGAATATTGAACATTTCGATTCCAAAAACTGAGTCTCTTCCCCAAAATTCTTGTCACTTTTGTTAAATCATTGAAATTGTCAATTGATCCAACTTCAATACAAGCAATGGCTCTCATGGATTTCAATTTGGTTTTTGGTGAACACAATTCACATTCGAGCCAATCAAATCTCATCGATGCCAATACGAGTGACATGTGTAGAAACCCAAATTGTGGTAGAAGTCCAGTAATTTTTCCCAATCTCGAAAGCATTTTGATAAAGAATTTTGAATTCACAATTGCATTGTTTGGTGCATTGGTAATTTGATTGTTGTTAGTTGTGAAAAGAATGTACAATTTCAATGGATGTTTGAATTTGATGGATTGTTGTTCAATAATCACTCGTTCTCGATCGGACATAAAGTTAGAATCCGAGTCGACTCGATCTGCTTTGAATAAATTCGCAATAGAGGTATCCAAAATAAATTCATTCGAATTAGTTCTCTGATGATGGTGATGATGAGAGTATTCACGATGTGAACTAGTTGTAGTTTCTTTTTGATTCTCATGGTTGTTCAAATCGTGATCGTTAGAAGATGAAGCAATTGCTGCTGAGTTGGTGTTGGTGCTGGTGACTCCATTTTCATCTTGATTCATCGAAGAGGAAGCGGATGCCATTAATTGTGTGGACGAGTTATTTCGTGGTGGGTGTTGCTGTTGCTGTTGAATAGAGTGTGAATTATGGTTGCTGCTGTTGGTCGAAGTGGAAAGAAGAAATTGTTCTCTCTTCATGATAAAGAAATTTTCAACTTGTTGTTGAACGAGTTCAATTTGTTGCTGTTGCTGTTGTGGTGACAATGATTTTGTTTCACTTTTCAGCTTTTGAAGAAAAAGCATCAATTCTCGTTTCTCCTTTCTCTTGCATTCCACATAATATTCATATTCTCCATTGAAAGTTAACACTTGATCAATTTCGTGGTGAATCATTTTGGTAGCTTGATGAGGAATTCCAAGCATGACGGCAATTTTGAACGAGTCACGATCCTGTTGGGTAATTTCTTCAGTAATGTCCTCTTCTTTTTTACCAGAGAGAACTAATTGACTTTTACACAATTTTTCGAAAATGGATTGTAAACCTCGAATGTATAGTGCCTTTTCGTGACTTTGTGAAGTATTCAATTTTGAAGAATTTTCACCATGACTTGAAATGTGTGATGAAGATTGTGACACAACAGCATCCAAAGAGTCCAATTCTCCACATGAAAAATCTCTTTCCAAACTATCCATATTCAATTGCTTCTCAATCATGTGTTCTGTGGTACTCATAGAATATAAAAATTGAAATTTGTAGGCAAACACTGAAAGAGGTTGTTGTTGTTCCACACCACGAGAATTTTGTTTGAATTGTGGTAAATTTGCATTTTCGTTGTGTTGTTGAGAATTCAATTGACGTGAAGGTGGAAGTTGTTCCATGCTCGTAGGAGGGGTCGCCTTGGAAGTGCTCTCAATTACTTGCTGTTGTTCAATATTTTCAACCTCCAAATTCATTAAGGCACGTGCAATCGACGCATTCGATAATGTAGAGGCCTCTTTAGTGTCAAGTCTCACAGAAAAAACTCTCTTCCGAAGTTCCTTACGAGATTCAGAAATAGTCCATTCTACAGATGATCGAGGGGATTGAGGACTATGTGACAAATTCGAAAGTGACAAGGTCAACTCATCTCGACTCTGTGTTTTTGGTACCAAAAATCGAGAAGGTTCAAATATAAAAGCTCCAATACTTTTTCGTCTTGGATCCGAGATGCTTAATGACGGCACAGTTCGAGTGGGCATGGATGACATGGAACCTTTAGAGGAAAAAGACATTTTCACAGAAGAGACGGAAGAATCACTTGAATCCGTTGGTGAAGCAGAATGATTATCTTCTTCATCCTTTTCGTCATTGTTGTGGAGAATTTGAGTAGTACTCAAAGTTGAATTGGGGTTATAAACCTTTAGATGATGATGATTAGGATTGATCAAGAGAGTGAGCTCACTATTTCGAGCTGAAGGTTTTTTATCTGTCAAAGAAATATCCACACAACGTCGTGAAAAACTCAGGGATGCTTCAATTTCTTCCTCTTCTGTTTGTTGTTGTTGTTGTTGTTGCTGTTGTCGAGAAGGATGCTTCTCTGAAATTTGTTGATTTTTCAAAGAAGGTGTCGACGATGATCTCATTTGTGAGAGAGATTTCAAACTAAGGATGAGTGAATGGTTCATGTTGTTGTTGTTGTTTTTCGGAGGTGAAGTCGATGAAGCGTAGGGTGGTGGAGATGTTGAAGAAGAAGAAGAAGAAGAAGAAACAGCACCATGTTGTTGTTGTTGAGAAGTGGTGGTTGAACATTCCACAAGATCTTTTTGTGGAGTTGAAGTAATATTACTTTTGAGAGGAGAGAATGGTTGTAGTTGTTGTTGGTAAGAGGAATGGTGATTGGGAGGACTTGTGCTGCTGCTACTTTTGCTGTTGCTGGGAGAGAGTGATTTTCGTTTGAAGAGAGCACCTGCCACAGAAAAGGTTCGTTTCTTGGTTGGAGTAGTAGTTGTTGTTGTATTGATGGTATTGATGGTATTGGTGGAAGATGGAGGACTGGATGAGGTGGTTGTTGTAGTGGTGTTGGTAGTGTTGGTGGTGGTGTTGGTAATAGAACTGGTTGTTACAGTGTTGGTGGAATTAGAATTCCTTTCCGAAGGAAAGAGAGGAGGATGATGAATGAAGGAAGAAGACGAAGAAGAAGAATTCATGCTACTCGAAACTTTTCCATGATTTTGATCATTCCTATTCGTTGTTGTTGTTGTTGTTGTTGTTTCTTCTTTCTCATTAAAAGCCTTCTTCGGAGTTGTATGATACGAAAAGGATTTACTCAACACATTTCGTGGTGGTGGTGGTGGTGGTGAGGATGATGATAGAATGACTTCTTCTTCATGTCTTGTACTCTTTCCATTATGTCTATTCTTTGGTTCCGTCATGACGGAGGAAATCATCGATGTTGAATCATGACCATTCTTCGATAACCGTTTTGCAACTTGTTGTTGTTGCAAAAACGTTAAGCCTCTTCTAAAACTACCACTAAGCTTGTTGCTATTTCCACCACGATTCAACGTTGGTGGAGTTGTTGTTGTTGTTGAGGGATGATCATGTTGTTGTTGTTGTTGATTCACGACAGGAACAACGCGTTGGGAAGGAGAAGGATACGAATGATGATGATGCGAAAGAGTGGATTGAGTTTTGCGAATGGGAGTGAGAGATGATGATCCGTGTTGTTGGAAATCATGTTTGGTTGGTTTGTTTCCCATTCTCAACAATGAAATAATGTTGTTGTTGTTGTTGGTCGTCTTTCTTTGATGATGATGATTTTCAGAAATCTATTGAAAATCAAAAAAGAACACCATTCGAAAGAGTACTCTCAATGGTATACTCTCCGAATGTTTTTCAATATGATCTGAATCAGTATTTGATATTTCTCTTGTGATTAGTGACAGGCTGCCGTATGTGAAGAAGATGGTCAACACCAAACACGACAACGACGCAAGGACGATATTTCTTTTCAGGTGTTTGTCGAAGCGTTCATGTCACTTTTCACCAAGTTCCAACACATGCACAGTTGACATGATGTAATTTGAATGCAACTCCGTAACAACAATCAATATTATGTGAACATGGCTATCTTTTAAAAAATTAATAAATAATTCATTAAAATAATAAATTAATAAATTATTATTAATAAATTCATAAATAACAATGAAATAATGGATCAAAAGTTTGGTGTTGGAACAGTATTTAATCTCTCAGTTCACACAACGAATCGAATTTGATCTGTAGCAGAAATTACAATGCAATCGTTTCTGTGTTCTTTCTACTGAACCAAACATCTCTCTTTCCTATCAGTGAGGTCATATATGCTGCGACTTGTTCATGGGTTGGATCCACAAAGGTTTTTGAGGGAGCAGTTTTCACAAAATAGCCCCAAACCAATCGTGGTTCTTCCAATACAGTAATGACATTAAATCCATGCTCAATCAATAATTTGACAGCAAAAAAACTACTTCTACTAATTTCAACAAGAACATTGTCAACATATTTGAGGACCTTTTCAGCTCCTTGGAAAACTTTCATCTCATTTCCTTCCACATCGACTTTGAGCAGTGTAATTCTGTTGTTGTTTGGATCCTTGACGTCATTCATGAGTTCATCATTGAGTGTGACAGTCTCTACCCTGACTGTTTTATCTTTTTCATCGGGATTATAAACAAATGCAGAACCCAAATTATCGGATGTGCCAAGAGCAAATCCGACAAACTTTCCTGGCTCTGAGTCGACAGCTAGATGTCTAATGGTCATTAAATTTTCAAAACCATTAATTACAGAGGATGCTTGAATTTTCTGGATCATGTCTGGTTGCACTTCGTAGGTTATTACCTGACATCCCCAAGCTGCAGACAACAAGCTGAAAAATCCTAAATTACCTCCAACATCAACCACTCGACATGTTTTCTTGTCCGATTCTTTAGCAAGGGCATTCTTTTTGAAAAATTCTTTTAGAATCTTTTCAAATGTATCTTCAACTGCACTTTCCCACCATCCTCTTTCATAGAGCTGACGACTAATCCAAACATCCTAATTTATATCATGACGTCGTGACATTGGTGGAGAACAAGTAAAAATTTGTGAAAAAAAGTAAAAATTAATATTCACAAATTCCCACACAAAAAACAAATTTTCAATCCGAAATAGATCAAAATTATAATGACCAATTTCCACAATCAATAAATACAATACCTTTTGAGGTGACAATGTGACCATCCAAAAAGATGGATAAGTCCTCGTTTTGATCAGATACCTCTTGTCCGCAACCAGTGGAGCTTCCTTTTCATGAATGAGAGGTCCACTTGCTTCCAATCGATAATATGGAGCATTCCAAACATAAACAAACCAATAACACATCATTAAAAACACAATCAATGAAATTCCTATTCCCACACAACAACGATTCATTCTTGTCGTCACTGTACTAGGTTTTGATTTTGCACTCTTGTTGTCATCTTGACTCAAAAAATTATCCAATGATAATTTGTCCCTTGACGAAGAAGAAGTACAACACAATCTCCAAATTCGTTTCATTATCACCGAAAAGGCTCCTCTTCCAGCCTTTCTCGTTGTTGCTGATGAAGAACTTGAGCCTCCCATCGGATGACTCCCATAGATATTACTCGAGTGAGTGGTGGAAGATGGCATGGGAATGGAAACGGAAGATCCTCCATTCATTCCATCCTCATGATGATGGGTCGTAAACGAATGTCTCTGTTGAGTGAATGTATTCAACTGTTGCGGTGGCTGCATTTTTTTTTGTAAAGACTACAAACCATCAAAGAACTCATAAATCACTTAGAACAACAACAACAAATCAAAGAACTGCAAGACGCTGTTAAGACGCTCACACAAACAGTACAGCAATTAATTGAAGTTACAAAACCAACTCAACCAAAACCTGAACAATCAACAATTAAAATTTCTCAAGCTCAAAATGAAGCGCAAAAAATTCACCTTCAACCAAAACCCGAACCAACCCAACAACCAAAACAGGAAACTAAACATTTAGAAACTCCTCAACTCAAAATTGAACATACTGGTCAACCCAAAAACAAAACTAATTCAATCTCAATCTACTCGGACAGCAATATCTCATCCTCATTTTGTTAAATTTATTCTAAAAAGATTTGAATCAGTTATTGAACACTGGTACATCCCAGACAGCAAGACCAACACTCTCAATTTAGTCATTCAAAATGCCGAAACTCAACAACAAATACTAAAGAAACTTAATTCACTAGCCATGACAGAAAAAACACAAACAAAATATTTCGCCTCACCAATGATTTTTACATCATCTCCAACAACATTAATAGCCAAAGAAAAATCAATTTCGAACATCCAAACTCTCATCAAGTACTCAATCAATCAAAAGAAATGTAGAATTGAACAAATGTGCCTAACATTCAATCCACAAGAAACCTTGTACAAACTTAAAATTAACACTATGCAAGAACACAACCATCAAATTCGAAAAAGAGAGACTCAGTATTAAGAAAAAGGTAAAAGATACCTACTCATACCTAATTGTTGAATACAAGCTTAATGACATCAATGAATTGAATCGACTAACCTCAACAAGATTTATTTGCTCCACAGAATTGAAACCAATTTCAAGACAATTCAAGCCAAAGTCAACCGCATGAACGTGCGTTTAATAGTTTTACCAGCACCAATGGTGCTAACAATAAACTAATTAGATTTTTTTCAATTTTTTTTTGTAAAGAAGATGTCCAAACAAACTCTTTTTGATCTCTTTCTGAAATCATTTTCATGAATGATTGATTTGATATCAAATTATTAAAAATTTGTTGAATTCAGAAGGGATATAATTTCATTATAGATTATAATGCTTTTCAATTTGAAGTCTTCCTTTTTTGTTAATTACCAATTCGGTTGTAATATTAATAAAAAAAATGAGTCAACCGTTGGGTGCAAGGAAAGGTTGTTTATCATCTTTGCCTTCTCAACAGCAATTATTATTGCATCGGAATCATGTTGAGAAGGAACAAGAATCTAATGATAGAATGAGCTTTCAAAACTCTCATGGAATAATGATGAATGAAAATAATTTTGATGATGATTTGGAGAGTGTTGCACTTTCCCGAAACGAAGATGAGTTAGAGGATGAGTTACCTTCTTCTCCAACAGTAGCTCCTTGTACTCCAAATCATAAAAATAGGCATGAAAATACATCGGATGAAATTTCAGAACTTCCTGAAATTTCTCCATTTCAAAGTCCCTATGTCACACGATCCTCCCGAAAATCAAGAACAGAATTAATGTACAGCAATGTTTATGGGCGAAAAAAACCTCAGAAAGTTTCTAATCGAGAAATTGAAAACAGACTTCGAAATGATTTTCCTGAACGAGCAAAAGAATTGGAGAGACGACACAAAGAGCGTCTCCAAGCGAGACAATTTACCCCGGCCTGTTGTGATGCAATATTAGGCCTGGGATTTATAGAACCCTCATTTATGATGCTTGGAGATTCAGCCACAAGCAAATTGAGAAGCACCAATACTGCTAAACGAGACAATGATGGATCTCAATCGGAGTTTGAGTCTCCAGAAAAGAAAATCAAATCATGTGAGGATCCTTTTGAATTTTACTCTCCTCCTCCACTTTCCCAGAAAGATCCTGCAACTCCTCAAGAAAAATTGGCTAAACAAATTATTGCAAGGTTAAGAAAAGTGTCGAAAAGGTGGGATGTGTCACAAATCATATCCAAAGATAATATTGATTTAATTGCGCTTACAAAAGCAACAAATCCAGATTGCGAATTGTTTAAATCAGTGAAAGGTCCACAAAGGGACATGTACATTCAAGAGATTGTGTCTGTAGTCAAGGAATTTACAAGCGTTGCTTCAGGTAGCTTCAATGACCAGCAAGAAAATCACGTGTCCACATCCAGAGCTGTGAAACGTGAAGAAAACAGCGTTAATGACTCATCTTTAAATGCCAATGCAGTCTCATCCTCTATTCATCACTCTACTATTGTCAAAAAAGAAAAAGACAACAATGAAAAACACAGTATTGAGACACCAAGAAAAAACCGTGACCATGTAATTAAGTTGGAAAATATGGAATCACCGAATTTACTCAACACTGTCAAGCTACAGAAAAACACAACATTAACACCAAAATCATATGAACAGCAAACAAATGCATGCAGCAGTTCCACGCCGCACAAATCTCCATCTCCTATTAATATAACAAATAGAAGAGTGTTAGCAACACCTTCTGTAGATGCTGTGATTATCATTGATGACGATGACCAAGATGAGGACGATTGTAAATTTTTGTGCAAGAAAGAGCCTACAAAAGTGTGAATACTTTTGAAAAACAATTTTCCAGCTTGAATCAAGCTTGATGGACTTTACAAAATTCAGAATATCTCAATTCAAGGCTTTTCTTCAAAGGTAAACGGCGCAAGATCTTTGTGACATTTCTCGAACATTTTTTCAACAGCTTCCCTGCCATTGTCACAATTCCGCAGCACACTCATGGTCGCCCAATGTTTGATACATTCATCTCGATTTCCGTCGAATTTAGCCAAATCTATTGGCAAGTCACATTGACCTCCGAGAGCATATGCTCTAATTTCCTGGAATGTATGTGAATTTAAGATGATGTGTTAAATTGATTGTTGAATGAGTTTCATTTCTAAAAACATGTATACATACTGTACATGCAATAAAATTACATCCAACTTGTCTCTTTTTTCTCAACTTTTGCGAAATGACACAAATTGGTGAATTGTTTCAAAATGTCAATAAAACATTCATAAACATACTCTGCAATGATCGAATGAATGTACAAGTTCATGAATTAATGTTCTTCTTAATTCTGGAATTCCAACAAGTCTGTTGCAACATAATTTAATTCGTTTCTGCGGCTCACTCATTTCACCTCGAATTGAAAATTCATTAAAATCTTCATTTGTACACATTTTCAACAAAATTCCCTATATTCATGGATCAATGAAATGATGATGACGGAATTATATATTTTTGAAATCCATCAAATCCAAATAAATAATCCAATCAAAAACGATAATATCAAAAATATTGATTTAACAAATACATTTCCAACATTTTTGAAAATTATTGGTTATTCCAAAATTATGTTTTGAAAAGTCTCCATTTTCAAATCCTACCTCCGAAAGCACTCTCGAATCACAATGCTGTTGAACAGCTTGTAATAATTTTTTCGTTCTCACATCATGTTCCAAAACATATTCAGTGTCTCGACGACATTTTTCAATGGTATTATAAACAAGTTTTGCCTGTTCCATATCGGGATCTTTTCTCCTCTGCATTCGTTGCTGATGATCGAGTGGAATTAACCATTCCTCCTCCAAAGAAGAAGAAGTTTGTGTGTGGTTGTGATTATTACTCGACAACTCTTCCTCCGAAGATGACATTTTTTTTTGATTCAATCAAATTGATTCATCTCAAAAAAAAATTCGAGTTCTATCTTCTCTTTCAAGAAAAGACATCATCCTAATTTCCTTAACTGAACACCCAGCACTTATCAAAAAAATTTTACTTTTCAAAACTAACCTATTCAACTCCTCAACAGAGAGTCAGTCCTCAAATCCACAAGCCTTACCTTAGTACCAAAAAAAAGATCCTTTGAGAACCCGACTCTGGCTCATCCAACATTACAAAAAAAAAATGCCAAAAGTTTCAAGGGGAACCTTACCCAAGGAAGCTGTTGAGCATTTGAAGAATTGGCTCTATGATCATTTCCAGCATCCATATCCAACGGAGGATGAAAAGAGTCAGTTGGCGGAAGAAACCAAACTTACAACCACTCAGGTGAATAATTGGTTTATTAATGCGAGAAGAAGGCTTTGGAAACCAATTATTGAGAAGCAAACTCAGAAACAAGCAGCTGCTGAGGCTGCAAATGCGTCCTCGGAAGGAAAAAAAGGTGATGAGGCGATACCAGTTGAAGAACCGTTGGAAAGGAATAAGGAACAAGAGGGAGTTGATGCTTCGAACCCAGAAGAAGGTATGGCTAAAAAACAAAAACTGTCAGATGTCGATAAGGGTGATGATTCTGTGCTTCAACAAGTGCCAATTTCCAAAAGAGATGTTCAGCAATTGTACGAAGAAAATCAAAGATTAAGACTGGAGGTGTTTTCTTTTCATCAAAACATGTATCATCAAATTCTTGGTTCAGACCTTCCACGATCATTCAGGAAAGAAGGTATCTCAAATTTTCTTCAGAATTGTAAACAATCGGGAGCTTCACAACACAATAATGGCGTTCAAGCTCCAAACGTGGAGCCTTCTGATGAACTGTTCCTTATCGATAATCTCTATACAACCAAAACAACAATGCACATACCTGTAAAGGTTTATGTGGATCATATCTTATTTCCAGACTTGCCATCTGTAAAAGAGAATAGTAATGCGGTGGAGTCGGCATGTAGACCGGTTTCTCATTCAGCCGCTGTGCCATTTTCCATGATCCATGACTCTGCAAGTAAAACCTTGATGACTTTTGACAAGAATCCCAATAATTCTGAGAGAGGTGTATGCGAGAGCACTCCTGCGGTTAAAGAGAGAAAAGTCATGCTACTGGAATCACCTCCCCCCACCACTTCACGATCCTCATCCAAATCAAGAAAGAAGAAAAGATAGATTGCCATGAATCATTCATGAAACTTGATACCTTAATGTTTTCCAACTTCTCTCTACGGGTCGTTTTTAAAGGAACTGACTATTGCGCCTTTGATCTCGAGAATACAACGAACACTTTTATTTCTCTCTTCCTAATTTTCTTAATTTAATTTCTTTCATCATGTTGAGGAAAACTTCATAATCCGAAAGAGCCAATAAGAATTCGACAATTTCCTGATCTCCTGCATCGGAAAGCTTCTTACATTCCATATAAAATTGTTGAGGACTCACGCCATTTTCCTTCAACATTTCCTCTACCTTTGCCTCAAAGAGTTTAAGAAATTTATTGTACACGTTTGTATATTCTAGTTTTTGTTCCTCCTCATCAATCTCAAAGATATCGCAATGTTTGTTTGCAAATTCCTCGACCTGTTGTTTCCGTACGGAAATGTATCCACCACATGAATAATAATAAGGTTCAATGAGTATTGGTGTTGTTGTTGTATTCACGAATCATATGCAAAATGAACATCTCCACTTCCTGTAGTGCTACGTACTGCTTCTCCAAACTTCTCGTCCAGTAAATATTCCATTACTCGCACAACAATGTCCGCCATTTTTTTTTGATTCTTTCAACCCATCCATACATTGTAGACGCATTCACTAATCACTATATTGAAAGAATCAAAAAAATCCATCTACAACCTATGGATGGGAATTAAAAGAATTAAAAAAATGTAATGTCTAAAATGGATTACCGACGATGAATTTCATTACTACTCTCCCACTGAATCAGTGTGCTTAACTATCTGAGTTCAGCAACTCACTTTCAGGCAACACAACCGTATCCTCACAATAGACATTTTGAAATGGATTACCTGTGGTCACAGAAATGATTCTTTTCCCTGAAATGATTTGTCCTGCATTGTGGGTAATAGTTCTCAAATATTCCTTCATGATGGGAATGTATAAATGATAGGCATGAAGCATTAATCGATTCAATTGAGTGTGTTGTTGTTGATCATTATTTTCACCAACACCACCCTTTTTGATCTCAGTATTATCATTTTGGTTGTGTTCGTTGTTATCGTTCAGTTGCTGAGTTTGCATACTTTTTGATTGAATATCTCCACCATACAATTCATCGCCAACGATGGCATGGCCTAACAGAGAGGTATGTAACCGAAGTTGATGCTTTCTTCCAGTGACAGGTCGAAGTAAGACCTTTGTGACGGGCTCACCATTACAAAGATGTCCATAACTAAGAATTTTCAAATGACTCAAAGATTCTCTAAAATTGTGTTGTTGTCGTTCCTGTTTGGTAGCATGAACCTTTTTTCGAGATTGGTCCTCTAGTGGTGGTGTGAGATATTGTTTCATGACATAACCTCTCCCAGCTGGGTCATACTCGCCGTCATCTTCTGGTGCAGCCGATTCATTGGTTTTATCTGCTACAGAAATTGTGCTATCACTTCCATCGTCTCGTCCAATAAAAGATTTAATTTCAAGCCATTCACCATTATTAACAATCGTTTTCACATTATTTTTCAGTGTTTCATTCTCTAGAATTTCATTCATTTTGAAATGTCCATGAAGAAGGGCTAAATAGAATTTTCGAGATGATTTTTGTTCAAAACTATGACTCAAAGCGGCACAGGACTCTCTCGTCATTGTCATGCACAAGACGCCAGAGGTGGCCATATCTAATCGATGTGGAAATCGAATTTTTCTTTCGTTTGTTGTTGTTAATTTCTTTTCAAATTTTCTCTTTTTTGAATTTTGATGATGTTTTTCATGGGCTTCTTCGGTAGATGATAATTCCTCGTTTTGTTTCCGATGAAGCATTTGAGAAAATTGAATTTGCACTAATTTTTCCACAGTATCTCCCGAATAGTGCTGACTTGCATAAATTCTCAAATTACTTGGCTTATCAATAATGACTACATCTTGATCTTGATATAGCACTACAAAATCACCAGATCTTTTTAAAGAGTCAACCATAACACCGGATGATGATTTCATTTCCAAATTTTCGGTTGAAATTGCTTCATTATTTTCATCGCCTGCTTTTCCACGAGTATCATCATGCAACCATTCGGTCTTCCTTTTTTTTGAGTTCAACTCATGATGGTCATTATTCATGGAAACAATCACAGTTTCGGACTTGTACTCATTCTCGAGCACTGGAACCAAATCTTCATTCGTCCTCTCTGTGTGCATTTTTTATTGTTTTTTTCATCACTTTAAATTCCACACCAACAATCCCTTTTTGAATTGCTTTCATTGAGATTCAAAGAGCGCCACTGGTACCAGAGAGAGATTCATATCAGAACTCCAACTCTAGAAAATAAGGTCTTTTGTTGTCTTCTCTTAACCTCTTTCAAAACCGCTTCTGAAAGAGTCCATCGATTTTTCCGAAGGAGAATTAAAATACAATTTTATCGCAAAAAAAAAGTCTGTGTGTGCGACTACGACGAGAAAAAGTTTTTTTTTTCAGAGAAAGCAGCAACAGCCGCGGTTATCTTTTTCGCATCCATCAGAATCAGTATATCCACATATTAGCTCTAACGGTTCTCAGCTCCATCCAATACTGGTATTATTTGCTTCTTTGTTATAGTGTTTTTATTAAAAACAGCAATAATACTCAGTGCGGATTGTTTTTTAGAGAGAAAGGGATCATTGTAGTTCGTGAATATCATCATCATCATCATCATCATTTGCTACTAATTTATTGTGGGATATCGGATACATTCATTTCGGATTGACTACCTCTCTCACCCACCATCATCCTTTCAATTTTAAAAAGTATTAGTCATTCTCTCCACTTTCATCATCACAATGCCCGCAACACATTCCAAAGTAGTTCTTCCAACAACGAGTGATTATTGGCCGGAACAGGTCATTCTTGACATGATTCATGCCTTTGAAGGAATGACATTCAAGAAAGTTTTCTCAAGCAAATATACTTATATTGCAATTGCTATTGCCATTGCAGTCAGATTTGGAGCAACCTATTTGATGAGGAAACGAAGAAGAAATCAACCAAATTCATCAAATCAAAGACAAGTAGAAAGAAAGAAGAGCTCAAATGACGGACTTTCAACCATTAGGAAGTTTTGGGAACTTGTAAAGATTGGACTTTTTAATCCAAATCAAGCTGGTGAAGCAAGTGCTTTGAAATATAACACAGATCCTGCATATGGTAGAGAAATTTGGATCATGATTGCTCTTGCAGGACTTGTAATTTTCCAAACATTTATTGTAAATCAGAACAACAGCATTAACGGTGACTTGATGGCATCAATGGTAGCTCGAGATGCATCCTCATGCATTTACAAAATGTTCCAAATTACAGGTATTTTAGTGCTGCAATCACTAATCAACCCATCCATTTCATCTCTCATTGAAACTTTGGCATTGAGAATGAGAAAGAATTTGACCATGGATATTCATGATCGTTATTACACAGATATGGTTTATTACAAGATTTTGAACTTGGACAAGAGAGTAGGTGCTCCTGACCAACGAATTACTCAAGATGTCGAAGTGTTCTGCAAGCAATTCTCTGAACTCTTCATGGACTTGTTGAATCCAATTGTGGAAGTACTCTTGTATACATATGAATTGTCTCGTTTGATTGGTTCTGGAGGACCAATCAGTATCATCTCGTATGTGGTGATTGCATTCGGTGTGTTAGGAATGGTCACACCCAACTTTACCAAAATGTCAGCTGAAGTTCAAAACAAGGAAGGTAAATTCAGATCTATCCACAACAGATGTAAGAACAATGCCGAATTAATTGCATTCTATGCTGGTGAAGAGACAGAACGATTGAAGGTTGAGAAACAGTTCGAGGAGTTAACATCGTATAGTGACTATGTCATTAACAAGAACTTTTTGTTTGGTGTTGTCAATGACTACTTTACCAAGTATTCACCACACACTGTCACTTCACTCATTGCTGGAATTCCAGTCTTCTTTGGTAGATTACGACCATTGCCAAAAGATAAGCTTATGGGTCAATTGAGATATTTGATTGCTGTTGTTGCCTTTGAATTCTTTGCTTTGGGAAAGATTATCGAACTTTTCAGAAAGTTGTTGAAACTCTCGGGTATGACTCAACGTGTCCATTTACTCTATCAAGTCATGGATGAACTCAAACATGGTAACTCTGAAAATATTAACTTCAAATTACGATCTGCCAAACAAGGTGGAACTGGTGGAGAAATTCTCGAAAGTGACGAAATCAAATTTGACAATGTCATTATCAAGACACCCGACAATATTACTCTTGCTCGTAATTTATCATTCAACGTTGGTAAGAATCAACACATTGTCATTACAGGACCAAACGGTGCAGGAAAGTCAAGTCTGTTCCGAATTTTGGGTGCTCTGTGGCCACTTCACAGTGGAACTGTTTGCAAACCACAAGCACAAGGTTCCAATGCTCAAGGTTTGCATAAGGAAATCTTTTATTTACCTCAAAAGCCATACAACGTGATTGGTTCTCTTCGTAGTCAAATCATTTATCCTGATACTCAATTGAAGGAGGGTTGGAGTGACGAGAGATTGAAGGCTCTTTTGGATGACTTTGGAATTGGTTATTTGGCAGGACGTCACGCCGATGGATTCGATGGAAAGCAAGATTGGGACACTCTTTCAAGAGGAGAACAACAAAAGCTTGCCATGGTTCGTCTCTTCTATCACAAACCAAAATATGCCATTTTGGATGAATGTACATCTTGTATTTCAGCTGATAACGAAAGAGAACTCTACGGAAGATGTAGCAAGAATGGAATTACTTGTATTACTATTTCTCACAGACCAGCTCTTGAAAAGTATCACACTCAAAGACTTGTCTTTAACGGTATGGGAGGTTGGAAATGGGAAGCTATCAAGTCTTGGACCGAGGAGTCCTCTGAATATGAGTTGAAAGGTCAAGATAACTCAATCAGAGATGATAAGGAAGAGGAAGAAGGAGAAGTTGAAGCCACCAACACTGAAACCAAATAAGCAAACGTGTGAACAAAGAATTCTTCAAATTGCAACTATTGTCACAATATTTTGAGTCATAATTTATAAACTACTGCTAGTTTTATTTATTGTACCTTGCTTGTCAATTCTTTTGTATTTGCACAGGCCATTTAAACTCCTTCCAAGTCATCCAAAGGTACATCATCTTCAAAAACGTCACGACTTCGCTTTTTGGCCATTACTGCAGAATCATTCATTTCTTGATCGGAAACAGATGAGAAGGTGTCATCCATCATTATGGCGGCAGGCGATGTTAGTTGTAAAATGTCTTCCTCATCTTCGTCCTTAGTGTTGACTTGGCCAGCTGTTGCCTCAATTGTTTTTTTCATTGGTGGGAGAGGCACCGCTGCCAGTAGTAGTAGATGCTTTCTTCTTCTCTTGCTGCTGTACATCCGCCAATTTTGTTTTCGCAGCTCCTTTGTTTGCTGCTTTTGTGGGCCTACTTGTTGTCGTATTAAGCTTGCTTTCAACAATTTTAAGTTTGGAGCTCACCATACCAACACTTCTCTCCACATTTTGTTTCAAATGTTTCAAATCTTCCACAATGATATTTCTTCCAAGCATTTCTTCACACGATCGCATAATGACTTCCTCTTCAGACAACGATCTTTCTGAAGCATAATTCGAAAGGACTGATCCAAAACATGAAATGTAGGAACGCAAGACACCTGTCAAAATATTGAGAGCACCTAATTTTGCGCCCTCAAAGCCCTCATGGCAGAGTATCATGGAAGTAATGCAAGTGAGAGCGTTATATACATTTCCTGAGGTCGCATTCTGGCTGAGTAACATTTCATTCTTTCCCGCAATGGTGACACCGCTATTATCAGTAGTGCTAGTTTCCGTAATTTTGCTACTCTTCGCATTGTGACGTTTGGGAGTTGACCCAATCAAAGTCTTTCGTTTTTCTCTTAATTGAATAATCTTATCTACATTTTGTTTTATCAGGCAATCATTAGAAAGAGAGTAGTTGAACCCAATAAATGGTCCTTCATCTTGGGGAGAAGGTGGAGACTTGGTAGTGATCACACTGGCAGCAATAGTTGTTTTACTGGATCTAGAGGCTCTACCACCAGGTGATTTAGGTGTGGAAGGTTCTCCACCTTTTTTAAAGAGAAGAGTGGTTGGTGTTTGACACTCGCTTTGAATAGGTTCATAGGAACATTTTAACATGGTCTGAACAGTGTGTTGAAGTTTTGTTAATTGTGCACTCTGATTATAAAATTGAGCGATAACAGATCGATCTCGTAACCCCAGTTTAAATCCTAGATTGCTAATTTGAGTCATTTGATTCTTGACTCGATCTTCAGATGGGCTTTTGGCGATCATGTGAAAAGCAACCTCTCTTAAAGACGAATTCGATAATTTGTTTCCATAATCAGGAAGTGCAACTGTGTAGAAATATTCTGGGAAAATGCACCTAGTTTCACTAGAAATATTCTCCAAATAAAATGCTCCCAAAGCGTCTCGTTGAAGTTTTTGAATTCGATTTTGCTCTCGTAATTTCTATGGATGTTTGAGTATGTAACAGATTGTTGTTAAATGACCAAATGTGATTAATAGTCGGAAGAGATGTCATTACTTACTACGTAAGGAGTTCTCAAATCTCGTGTGAGAACATCCCATCTTTGCTCACGATCGAAAATATCAATATTGTTACAAAGTTGAGATTCTTGTTTCAGCTTGGCTCTCAATTCTTTATAGGTCGTGAGATCCTTGGCAGGCAGCACAAGAGTATTCTCAATTCTTGAGGGGAGCTCAGTATCAATGAAATTCCATCCATCATCCTCAATCTCATAGGTCGAAGGTATTTTTTCATCAACAGGTTCGCTGTCGACTACTGTGTCTGGTATGGAATCAAATTGGGCATCAAATGCCTTTTCCAAGTTATCTGCAGCCATGACATAAATATTACCAGGCTCTGTATTGTAGGTCCTACAATTATTGAACATGAGCTTGAAATCATCAGAGAATTCATTCTTGGATCTGTAGGACAAGGACTCTAATTTTTTGGAAATTTTCGAAAGGTCCATAGGTTTTTCGATAATGTCAAAGTAATCTTTTGCTTGGGCTTTTGTGACTGGTTTTCTAAAAGGCCAGGCATCTTCCATTTCATGAATTGTTGAAAATACGTGCCACATGGCATCATAGAGGGCTATAAGAGAGGGATTTCCCGTTAAAATCCAAGAATGTTCGTGCTTTGGTTTTTTCTTTGTCTGCTTGCTCGTAGTTGTGATGGTTTTCTTTTTCTGCTTTTTTTGAGTGGGCGTTGAGGCCTCTTCTTCTCCTGACTCTTCAGAGAGTGGCATCATCATAGAATCAGCCTTCAGAGATGACAAAAATTCTATACTGTCATCATCGTATTGTACTTTAAGTGGCGATTGAGAAGTAAAGAGATTGGAAATAAATGCTTGTTCGATATGATGATATTTCAGCATGTCTGAAGGATGTATTTGATCTTTGTTTGTATTGCTTTTTGACTCCTCTAATAAGGCAAAATCGTTTTCCAAGCTATGAAATTCACTAAATTGTGAATATTGTGCAAGTGAAATGTCGTTATTAAACATTACATGATTCGTAACAAATGAATCATATAAAATAGCTCGTAGCCTCATTGACAATTCTGATGCAATTGATGATGATGAAATATTGTTGTTATCATCCACACTTCCATGATTCCAAAATTTTTCAAATATTTCCTTCTTGCTTGTAACGTGTTGAAATAATTTAAATAAATCTTGATTCTTTGATTGTTGGAATATATTTGTTAATTTCATATGGGGAGGCTTATCTAATTGTTTAACAAGACAAAACCAGTGATCGGACTCGTCCCGATGATGAAAAGCATCATTAGATGATAGCGACTGATCACTAGTGCCATTTTGATGATTCATGTTGTTGCCGCTACCACCAACATATCTCGTGTTGTTATCCATCATCGGTGAAGCAGACTCTGATGATGAAATGTGAAGCGAAGGCAACAAGGACGATGATGATTCATCCAGTTGGTTCGTCGGCATTTTTTTGTTTGATATTAATTATTAATTCTTTTCATCACATATTATAATAATTTATAATTTTCATTCGATAACATTCATTTGATTATTTGATGGATTTTACTTTAACTTTCAATTTTTCATCTTATTTGATGTTAACAACTTAACGTTGGAAATTCATGTCTTCTGGTTCAATTAAAAAAAGGCGCCATAAGAATAAAAAAAATGTTGTGCAATAGTAAGTGTGTGTGTGGCTTTGAAACTTTAGGTCCAACCTTGATCATCCTATTTATCATCATGATCCTTACATAATAACACATAAATAATAACACATAATGACATGATGATCATGATCATTCGGAATTTGGCTTAACAGTCAGCGAGACTGTACCTCTTCATCCTGTAGTCTCTAAAAAGACTGGACATTTGTTTGAAAAGAGTTTGATTTTAAAGTATATTGAAGAACATGGAAAATGTCCAATCACTGGGCAAGAATTGACACCAAATGATTTGATTGATGTTGTTTGTACGTTTCCGATTATTTGTGAAACTTGTTGTTGTTGCTGATGATAATGATTTAAATGATTCATATTTCTTTTCGATCTTTAATTTATGAAATGAATTATTGATATGAATTGAATCGTGCTTTCAACCCCTCCTATTTGGATAATATTTACATCTTGAACTTTTTCTTTGCAAAATATCTCAAAAACAATCAATTTCAATACAGACAAGAAATCTAGTGAAAATACAAAGCCAAATTTACCAGCTGTCGCAAGCATTCCGAGCATGCTTCAAATGTTCCAAAATGAATGGGACGCGTTGATGTTGGAAACATTCACATTGAAACAACAATTGGACAAGTCAAGAAAAGAGCTTTCTCATTCACTTTATCAGCATGACGCTGCTTGCAGAGTAATTGCTAGAGTAATGAAGGAACGTGATGATGCTAAAAACACTCTAAGAAAACACCAAAATAGTGATATGCAGGACGAGGAGTCTCTAGTTGGAAAAGCTCTCACACAAGACACTCTCGGTAGACTTTCTTCAACAGCCGAGATTCTGTCATCGAACAGAAAACAGAGAACCATCTCTCCAAATTTGAGATCTCCAGAAGAAATGAGCAAAGCCAATATACAGTCACTCTATGCTGAATACAAGCTTCACCAAGGAAAGGGCATTCAATCCCTTGATATTTTGAACACACTTGTGTTGAGTGGAGGAAGAGATGGAACTATTGCTGTTTTCGACAAGCAATATAATACCTTAATTGGGGAATTGAAGAGCAATGCTGGACCAGTCAGTTGTGCCATTTTCCATAACACTCCTGAATTTGCACTCTCAAGCCATGACAGAGATGTGAAAATATGGTCTCTCAAGGATTCTTTATGTCTCCACACTTTAGAAAAATTGCATTTAGAACGTATTACTGAATTAGCTCTGCATCCATCAGGCCATTATTTCCTTACTTCCTCACTTGATCAAACATGGTCTTTCTGTGAGATTGAAACTGCTACTTGCCTTGCCAAGAGTGAAAATGACAATTCTGGATACACCTGTGTTCAGTTCCATCCTGACGGACTCTTGTTCGGAACTGGCCTTCAAAACAACTCGATTAAGATTTGGGATTTGAAGAGTCAACAATTGGCCACACAACTCGATGGGCATTCTGGAGAAATTACCTCTCTCTCCTTCTCTGAAAATGGTTACTACCTTGCTTCATCCTCAAAAGATAAGACTGTTCGTATTTGGGATTTGAGAAAACTCACTACTTTACATACATTAGAGTTTGATTCACCAGTGGCCAGTACTTGCTTTGATTTTTCAGGTGTCTACTTGGGTGTCACTTGTAGTGATGGAACTGTTGGCGTCTATCAATCTAAGGTTTGGACAGAACTCTTAAAGACTACTGTGAACTCTAATAATTTCTCACCTTCATGCATTCGTTTTGGACCTAATGCAAGCTTTATTGCTGTCTCTGGATTGGGTGATAGCACTTTGCGATTCATTGAGTAATTTTATTAGCACAATGTCATTTTGATATCTCACACCACGAATAACAAAATGATTTGAATTTAAATGATACGTATCTGTCTCAATAAATTAATGGTCGACCTTGCCATTTGCCATTTCACTTCAAAGAAGGACATGATGGGCAGTGAAAACGAGACTCACCGCCAAAAAGTTTCTTGAAACCCTCAAATAAAAAAATGTCGAATACAATAACGAGAACACAACTTCCGCCCACAAGAAGTGGCTCTCGACGGTTGCCCCTCGAAGAATTCAAATCGTCTCAAGCCATGACAGAAAATAGAGCTCAAACACCAGAAATTCCCAATGATGATTTGGTTCAAATGAGGCATACAAGTTCGGCCTCTCTTATTGCTGCCTACAATCGGGCAAGTGGAGGTCATGCCGTGGAGACCATTAAACCCTTGTCGAATAACCCACTATTGAAATTGTCAAAGGAGGAGAAACCAAAAAGAGACTACATCAAGTATCCGTTCATGCTCTATGAAGATTCTGATCATTACTATTATTCCGATAATAGTCAAAACTTTTGGCAAGAAACTCGATCCAATATGGAGGAGAGTAAGAATGAAAAAACAAAAGATATTTCATCCGGAGTTACCAATTTCGAGGAAGGTGATGATGAATTGAGGGAAGAATTGTATGATGTACATACACAAACAAAAGCAAAAACATTGTGGGCCCTTAGTAGCGGTCTCTCAACGCTCGAGAAGAGCTCAAGTCCATTTGGAAGAGATGAAAAAGTTGTAAATTTAGACGTAAAGTCAATAATATCTCGGCCGTCATCATCAAGGTCGAGCCGTTCTGCGAGAAGCAATCCCCTAGTACCAGGCCCATTCAGGGATTTAATTGATGCTGTGGATGCGTCGGGAACCAAATTTCAAGAAATTGATGAAAGTAAGGATCCAACCAAGAGAACCTACATGACGGATGCTCGTGGTCGATCGGTCTCTTCCATCTATCATCCCAATACAAAGAGGCCATCTCGAATCAGTAATCTAGTCGAGAATGTTGCCATCACTAACGAATCCCTCTATACCTATATTTCGACTGAAAATGTCACAATCCTTGATTTGGAGAGGTGTGTGGACATTGACAATAAGGTTTTGAAAAGCATTGGAGAATTTTGTCCCCGTTTGAAATCTTTGAACTTGCAGCACTGCTCTCAATTACGAGATAGCACCATTCGAATAATAGTCAATGGATGCGCAGATTTACAGAATATTAATATTGGAATGTGTCACCTCATTACTGACGACAGCATTGTAGAAATATTTACACACTGTAGAAAATTGACTGTTATGTCCCTTCATTCATGCGAGTTGGTGACTGGAGAAATTTCGTTCCCTCTCACAAAAAACACACCTAATCTCCAAGTTGTAGATATTAGTTATTGTACAAAATTCTCTGACATTGCACTCCAATTTCTCTCAGAATACTGTCCAAATTTGCATCATTTAGACATAAGTGGATGTCCTTTAATACAGGATGAAGGACTAATATCGATTTGTAAACACTGCCCACAATTGAGGACTTTGAGAGCCACCATATTGTCACAACCGACCATAACCAACGAGACGTTGTCCTTCATTACAAACTATGCAAGAGGAGTTGAGGTACTTGAACTGAGTGGAGTGTTCCAAATACGAGATCAAACCGTTCAAGAAATTTGTAAATTCGCACAACGGCTAGAATTTCTTTCATTGAGTGGATGCCCGCAAATTACAGATGCCAGTATTCATACCATTTCAGAGACATGTCACAATTTAAAATGTCTTGAGGTTGCTGGTTGTAGAAAAATTGGAGTTCAAGCACTCTTAGAACTCATTCACAAAGTAACAAAATTAAGGAGACTCGTGGTCACACGTTGCAACATTTCTGCGGAGGAGTTGGACATTCTCCAAAAATTCACCAATGGCAGAGTGGCTGTATTGAAGCAAGAACCAAAGCCCAAAGAAATCATTCGAGAATACTTCACCATCGAGAAGGAGCAACCAAAAAAGAAGAAGAAAGTTGTCAAGAAGAAGGACAAGAAAGCCAAATAAATGTGTTTGGCTATGTTGTTCTCCGCCTATTGTGATTTCAATGAAATCAAATGTTGAAACTTTCTGAAATTTGTTCCCTCGAAACTCCGATCAAGTTGCTGTCACTCTCTGATAAACTTGAAAAATCTGTGTTGTTTTCATTCATTTTCAACAGTATCACGTGATGGCTTGTTGTTATTGATCACAACAGTTTCAAAGTACCATATGTGAACCAATATGAATTCAGTAATTGTGGTTGGTCACCGTACGTCAATATTTCGCATCGCGATGAGGTGAGTCTCACTCCCTCCAATGTCATCACCACCACCAACAAGACGCAACAAAACGAGTGTGAAAATTGAAAGAGATTTTTTGAAGAAAACGAAAAAATAATCATCACACCATGTCTTCGTATGGCACCCATGCGGAAGGCATTGCAAATGGAATGGATGGTGGTGGTATCGCATCCGCACAACAACCTCTTTCCATCTTCCAAAAGATTGCCCGTAACAAAAACGTGAATATAGTGGGTGCAATTATTTTGTCAATAATTTTAGTATTGAGTTTTGCATGTTGTATTGTTGTTGGTGTTCTTCACTCACACTTGTTATTCCAGTGTGGGTTTGCAGAGTTTATATTTATGTTGTTATTGGAAGGAGCTACCTTCTTCTTTTGCGTTTATCATCTCTACAATATTTACAAGTTCTTTAAAACTAGGGCCCGACAATCAGGCAAGAAGGGCTTCGCTGCCCTAGCTGCTGCTCTATGCTCATCCGATTTGAACCAATATAATGCCTATTCCAGCAGTGGTGGTATTGATTCAAGACAAGGAGCCAATGAAGAGGAAGAATTTGAGGACGATGATGATGAAGAGGATGATGAAGAAGAGGAAGAAGAAAGCAAATTCTCCAAATTCGTTGTTGCCTTTTTGAAAATATCTGCCAACATTATTGCCGTGTTGTGCTTTATTGTGTTGGTTGTTTTTACGGTAGTGATTGTTCCTTTGCAACAAAACACATATCCTGTGTACAATGGCTCTCTCCGATTGCCCAATTTCAAACCTCGTGGCCCTACGGCTCCTACTGTTTTACGTGAAAAGAGTGGAGTGGTTCATATCAAGGCTTCACATGACTATGATCTCTATTTTGCACAGGGTGTTGCAGTGGCTCAAGATCGTATGTGGCAACTGGAATTCAATCGTCGATTGACGAGAGGTATTTTGGCAGAAGTGGCTGGCGTTGATGCTGTGCCTGTAGATAAGTGGTTCCGTACCATGGGTTTCTATGAGAATGCAAAGAATGTGTTGCCCAATGTGGATGCCGAAAGTCTCTCATTCATTCAAGCCTATTGTGATGGTATCAATGCTTATTTAAATTCAAATCCACCTCTTCAACCTGAATTTGTCTTGTTGGGAACCAAACCAGTGGCATGGGAACCTTTGGATGTTATTGCCTACATGAAGTTTGTTGCATATGGCCTCTCTGATAATATGGATAAAGAAGTGTGGAGATTCAAAATGATGCAACGTGGTATTACCAAGCAGAGAATTAATGAGCTCGTTCCATATTACCCATCCGATATGCCAACCATTTTGAATGCTGAAGAAATGAATTTGGAGAATATGACCATGGCCGAGAGAGAACAAATTGAAAAGAATCAACAAGATGATTCTGCTGCTTTTATCCCACCAAAAATTCACAATTTGACCATGTCTGTCATGGAAGAAATGTTCCAAAAATTGGAGCAATCAGGAGAATGGGGCAAACAAGCTGTTCAATCCTCTCTCAGATCCATGATTTCACCAGATCTCATGTATCACAAGGCATCCAACAATTGGGTTTTAGGTAGTTCCATTACCTATAATAATGGTTCTATTTTGGCCAACGATCCTCACTTGTCCTTCTCTGCACCAAGTGTTTGGTATTTGATTCATTTGGAAGGTCCAACTCATAACGCAATTGGTTCTACTTTCATTGGTACTCCTGGTGTTGTTATTGGAAAGAATGACTTTATTTCATGGGGTGTGACTACTGCTCTTGCCGATACTCAAGATGTTTACGTCATGAAAGATTCTGCTGATGGAAAGGGTTACATTTATAATGGTGAAGTCAAACAATATTCTGTCAGAAATGAAACCATCAAGGTCAAGAATGCTCCAGATCAATACGTTACTGTGAAGGAGACTGTTTATGGACCAGTCATTAATGAACACTTTGAGGTCGATGGTAATTATACCTTGTCTTTGAAATCTTTGAATACCTATGCCAATGATACTACTTCACTTACCTTCCTCAAGTTGAACAGACAAGCTAAGGACTGGAACTCATTCCTCGAAGCTATCTCGTACTTTATTGTTTCCGCACAAAACTTTGTCTATGCCGATAAGGAGGGTAATATTGGATACTATTTGTCTGGCTTGATTCCAATTAGAAAACAAGGTCACAATGGTAGATATCCAGTTTTGGGAGATGGTACTTATGATTGGTTGGGTTTCATTCCTGCCGATAAGAAGCCAATGGTCTTCAATCCAAAGAAGGGATACGTTGCTTCAGCCAACAATAGAGTGGCACCAATTGGTTATGCCTATAGTATTACTCAAGATTGGCTTGGATTGTATCGATCGAGTCGAATTGTGTCTATGATTGAAACTGCCAAATCGAAGGGACAAAAAATTGACCATGATTTTGTGAAGCAAATGCAACACGATGTTCACTCACCACTCTTTGATCAATTCAAATTTGTTTTCGACAATATTCCAAAATACAGAAACTTGTCTGACGACCATGAAAAGTGGAGACAAAGAATTGTGAAATGGAATGGAGATGAAGTGTTGTATTCTCAAGAGGCTTCTATTTTTGAAATGTGGGTCAAGATTATGGGTAATCTTACAAAGGTTGAGACTGTGAATCGATGGTCCTTTGGTCCATATCTTTACAATGCTTTGACTAAGGGAGATAGTGCTTGTTTGGCCTATCAAAACAAGACATGTATGGATTTCGCCATTGACAGCTATGAGAAGGCCATTGACGAATTGGAGGGAACTTACGGATCTGTCCCAACATGGGGAAGTGATATTCACGAAGCTCAATTCCCTAACCTTGTTCTGGATAACACCATTTTGAAATGTCTTGCTGGTGGAAGCAAAATGATTGTTGGTGGAACATCCACTGTGAATGTAGGAGAAACCAAGTATCCAGCCCTCAACACCGTCTTTGGAGTTTCATATCGACAAGTTATTGATTGGCGAGGCAATCAAGCCAGCTTTATCATTCCAATGGGCCAATCTGGCAACTTTTTATCACCACTCTATACCAACTTGTTGGATTTGTGGGCTGATCCAAATGGCAAATATTTGGACATGAAATCTGTTGACTACCCTGTCGAGCATACCCTCACTCTTGTTTCTCAATAATTTTTGGATTCAAATTTTCTCTTTTAATTATTCCTATGATTCCATACTTTTGATTCGTTCAACTCTTAACTTTCAGCAATAAACTTTCATTATTACTATTTTCGAACAGTACAACTGGATAACAAAGAGGGAACTCCAGACACAGCGAATGGCTGATGATTGGACGAACTTTACAAAATCTGCAATAAAAACTCAGTACCCTAAAATAACTCGGTGTGTAAGCGCTTGAGAGATCCAACACCCAACAAAAAAATATTCCCATCATCATGTCTGATGCTCCAGTAAGTAAAAATTTTTTTTAATTGTGATCACAGTTCCCAACAAAGCCTGTCATCTGTTGATACCTAAAACAATAAATATTGTTTTTTATTTGATGCGATCATCCGTTCTAACTACTGTTAACAGAAAACCGAAACACAACAAGACGTTCAAGGACACGAAGAAAAGACCACTCACGGACACAGAGTGATTTTGGCTGCTCAATCGTTGTTCTTCAGAAAGTTGATTTTGGAAGATCTCGAGAAGAATGCTAAACACTAAACAGCCGAGTTTTGAATAAAACCAAAAACCTTGATTATACAAGTACACTAGTCGGATCATATAGTAAAATTCCAAAACATCCATGTTGATCCCAGCAATCAAGTGATTGCTTCATCTATCCCGAACATTCTCTCAGATAGATTCCAAACTATTTCATCTTTTTGGAATGTGTTCTTTCTCTTTCGCTGGGATGGCCTTTTCTTCCATCCCACCTCAGAAGCAAAAAAATATCTTCTCTCTGAAATTAAATTCTACTTCATCGCATTCAATAGTAGCAACAACATCAGAAGAGGATGAATGGTTATGGTGATCTTTCGGCATTTGGTATCATACTGATAATATTTGGTGTGTTAGGAGGAGTTTTCAGTATTGTTTCAGCAATTGTTTATCTGTGCTATTTTATGAGCAGTGATGATAGAGGAAAGGCTTGGTGTCCAAAACTTGTGGTGATATTTGCTTTTGCTCTCTCTGTGTGTTCCGTGTTTTTGCTTCCGTTAGATGTGGCAAACACAAAACTAGATGGAGGGCTGGGGTATGCCTTCCAAATCACTTGGCAAGTCTTCTACGGATTTGTTGCACTGTTTGTGGTCTTGGTGATTCCATTCTTCATCTTTTATTATGAATCCGAAGACCCAGAAAAGAGGTAGGTACATGATTCATTGTGATAGAACAGAGTTTGAGTGAGCAATTTCTATCTATCCAAATTTATCGAAACTGATATGAATGTTGAACAAATACCGACAACAAATTACATGATTTGTTTTTCAATATTTGCCTATTTAAACGGTAACCGTAATGGACGAACTCTTTGGATGAATAATTCTTCTTACTGATATATATGAATTTATATATGTAAATTATTGAATTTCATGATCATCATCCACCCTTTACGGATCCAACACCCATTCAACTCCATTCATGATTTCATCATCCACCCTTATGTCGGACGTTCAAAATTACGATTTGCTGATATTTCTCCTCAAATTGGATCACCCTTATCCACCAATATCCAGTTTCTTGCATCAAATCAAGTGGGGAGCATGTGCTACCATTGTTTCATTCTTAATGGTAACCATCCTTACTGCCGTTACATACTTCTTCTTTGGCTGGGCCGATATTCCATTCATGCAATATACTCAAGCAGTTTCCGCACCAACGTTACATGCAGCCTTACTTCAAGCAACACCAGCATATGTAAGTTGTTGTTGATGATGATGAAATGAGTTTTGAGGGCATCACTTATGATACCATTCGAAAATGCACCCTTATCGAAAATGATGATCGTGTGTTACATTGATTATTATATTTTGCACACAACATTTCACAATCATACATGAAACCGATGATATTTCTGTTCATACAAATGATGATTGTAATGAACAACAGGCTGATGAAAGAATATTGTCCATCTTTGTCTCCATTGTGATTTATGTTATTGCAGTAATTCTCTTCTTGGGTTACTTTGTCTTCATTATTTGCAGTGGATGTGGTATGACTGCATTGCCAGTTACACTGATTAAGGCTTTCATCTTCAAACCAAAGAGAATTCGAAGCAGTGAGTTTATTGAGGCTAAAGCAAAACTCATGAGACAATCCAAGAAAATGATTGAAATTGGAACAAAGTTGCAAGAGGCACAAGATGAAGGAAAAATTGCTCTCAAGGATAGACGTATCTTGAATGATTTCAAAATGGCAGCCTACAAACTTGAAGAGGAATGGAAGATTATCCATACAAGCTTCTTCTCTGCAGGAGGTTCTGTCATTTTACCAATTCTCTATCTCATTCTCGGAATTGTGTGTTGCTTGATCTCTCTTGCATGGATCGTTCACTTGATTGTTTATTGGGCAATTATAAATCCACCAAACGGTATGCTCAATGTGGTTTTCAATTGGTTGGACGACTTGACTGTTGGATTCCCAATTCTTGGAGGACTTCTTTTCTGGGTATTCACAGTTTATCTAGTGTTTACAGTTTTGGCTGGAAATGCAAGCATTACAAGCAGAATTCCATTGTTTGCCATTCACCCAATGAAGAAGGGTGACACCATGATGAACTCTTTAATGTTCAACACGGGTCTGATTTTACTTTCTTCGGTCGTGATTAACCAATTTTCTCAGAGGGCATTCAATTCATATTCTAGGTCGACCGCTATGGACATTATTTTCAGTGGAGCTATCACCAACTTGAGATATATTCAATGGTTCTACTTTGCAATGATTTATGCTTATTTGGCATGTTGCGGTATTGGCTTCTTCCTTGCACTCATTTGCTGCAGAGAAAAGACAAAGAACGAAAAGGATTTGGAAGAGGTTCTTGCAAGGTTAGACATTGGATATTCGTCCAGTGAACCTGTTGAAGGAAATCAACAATAATTAGGACTGACTGAATTGATCCAACTTGTCAGCAGTAATGTGTCAAGAGCTCTCTCTTTTCGAATGACATTAACACTAATTTGTAAAATTTGAAATTTAAATCAACTTTATCTCTCACTATGGTGTCATGTTTTGAAAAGTTTTTTGTGACAAGTCAAGTTTTTCGTGAGTATGTAAAAATTTGTCTAATTTGCATTAGAAACTGTTCCATAAGAGGTCTGTGAGGATGTTTGTTCTGGTAGGTCCTCTTCTTTTTCATTTGTCAAATGATTTTGTTGATCAGAGGTCGATGTTGGAGTACTGGTATCAAGAAAGATTGGATTATTTGTCATGATAGTTCTGCCTCGCCGAATTCTGTACGAATGAAAAGTCATGGTGAAAATATTTAAGCATCGACGAAGATGAGGGTTTGATATCAACGGTGAAGAAATTCTACCTACTGCAAAATATAAATAATAATTCTGAGAGCATTGACAGTGCAATGAATTCCAATGATAACTTCCTCAGCAAATGCAACATTGCTCCAAAAGTAGTTTTCCTGATTTTCAATAAAACAATAGAGTAATAATGAAAAGATGACGAGTGCAGCAAGCGATACAAAAATGTTGCACCACACAATAATTCTCTTGTACTGTGTAAAAATCAGTGCAGATTCAATCAATGTGTATATATTTTGTGTGAATCAGTAATGAATCTCAGTATTCATAAAGGGTCTCTCAACAACCTACCCAATGTCTTCGATAAAGAAATATGCTTAAAAAACATTCATACACAATGGCAAACGTGCAAAAACCTTCAAGGGCTAAAAACCAAATTTCTTCAATTCTTTTTTCAAATAAATCATTAAATCAAAGATGAAAATAATCAATTAGAATCGATTCAATCCAAGTAGTGTCACAATTATGCATTTTCGTCATTCCAACATTTCATTATTATTACAACATTCGCACTTACTTTCCTCGTTTATAAATTGCCCATGCAAACAAAAAAGCTGCCAATCCGCTCATAATTAATAAATACAATGAATAAATAATTGAATATCTCCACTTTACAATTAAATCTCGCAATGAAAAATTTTCAAATAATTTTCTGGTAATGTATTTCTTTCGTTCTTGATGAAAGCTCTCAATTTCTTGTGTTTGATATCGTGGTGATGACACCTTGCCATTCTCAATATCATGATGGTGTTGGCTTAACATTGCTTCTTCTTCGTCGTCCTCTTCATCAGTCAAAATTTGAGGAGTGTAATAAATAGCTGTGCCGAGTGGATGTGACTCATGATGCTCATTAGAGAGATGTTTTTCATGATGATGATGGTGTTTATGATTTTGCAAATGAGGAACATAATGAGGGTCTACCTTCTAAGTTCCAAAATTTGGAAAATCACACAAACCATGAATTATACAATTCATGAATCAAACAACACACAAAAAACACACAAAAAAACATACGCTCACTTTTTCCAATAACTTGTTGGTTGTCAGTGATGATGATGCTTCCGAATCACCACCACTTCCACTATGGGCAATCATCGAAGAAGAAGAACCAGACATTGGTGAGGATGAAAGTTCGGAAAGTAAATGATTCTCATCATGAATGGCCACAAAGGCTTGCTTGGGTTGGGAAACCTGATGTAACATCATCGTCGTGGTAGTGTGCTCGATGAAGAGAAGCCAAGAGATGGCTTTCGGTATTTTTCTTTGTGTGTTCCAAAAGGGCGACCTTTTTGAGTGATCCGATCACTCATCGGGCTGAGGAATTGGGTTCGAAAAAGGGAAACAAAATTTCCATTGAGCCAATGTGGTTCATGCATTTGGTCAAAGTTTACAGATAAGTTTTGACTGATTTCCAATCTTTGGATGTGAAAGTCCTGAACCATCATCACTTTCAATGTGAATAATATTGAGTATAGTATTCTCTCACAACAATCATCATGACAAATAATAACTTATCTTTATTTGGTTTGAATGATACCACTGGCAATTAACTTTTGAATTTTTCCAAAAATGTCAGGATTTCTCAAATGTTTTTGAGCAGCCACTGGATCATTTTGGAAATCTCTTAACACTTGCTGCATGACAGGATCTTGAAGAATGCCTGCAATTTCTGGATCTTTCATGGCGTTTTGAATTCTCTGTTCGTCTCTCTCACCAGCACTATTTTGAATGGCAGTCATGACAGCACTCATTCCACTCTTCACTTCTTCATTGTTTGGATCAAGCTTACTGGCTTGATCATAGGTTGTGAGGGCCTTATGATATTCCTTACATGCCATGTGACATTGTGCTTTTCTGATATAGGCCTTGACAAAGTTTGGATCCATCTCAATGGCCTTCTCTGCGTCCTTCAAGGCATAGGCAAACTCTCCTAATTTGATATAGCATGCAGCTCTATTACTGTAGAGAGTTGGATCTTTTGGATTTCTCTTGATGGCTTCATTGTATTCTTTCATGGCTTCAGGGAATTTCTTTTCCTTGAAATAGTTATTACCCTTATTCTTGTGTTCGGTAGCAATTTCTGGATTGATATAGGCCTCTTCCTCTAATTTTCTAATAAGCTTTTCACACTCTTGCTTCTTCTTGACAACTTCTGGATTTCGGTGCTCTGTAATCGACTCAGTATAATAGCTAAGAGCTTGTGTGTAGTTTTGTTGTCTGAAATAAGCATTTCCAATACGAGCATAACCTTTAGCAATTTCCTTAAAATCGGCATGATTGGCCTTTCCGACTTCAATGGCCTCCTCACATTGCTTGATGCATTTCGAGTAGTCACCTTGTTCCATATATACAGCAGCCTTATTCAAATAGAGAACCATATTTGTGGGGTCCAATTGAATGGCCTTCTCGTAATGTTCGAGAGCCTTGTCGAATTCCTTCTTTTTGTAATATTCATTTCCGAGATTCTTCTCAATCATGGCTGGCTGTTGATTTAGCTCTTCCAATCGTTTCTTTTCTTCCTCTTGTCTTTTACGTTCCTCTTCCTTTCGTCTTTGTCTTTCTTCTTCTTCTCTCTTTCCCCTTTCAGCTCTCATACGTTCGTCCATTTCGGGATTGACTTGCATCAAGAAAATCATTGTTTGCATAATTCTTTGATCACCAATATATTTCTGTAAGCTTTGTGGATTACTTTGAAGTTCTTTGAGGGCATCCACATAATCCTTCTCGAGTAAATGTTTGGCAAGTTCTGGATGATTTTCAATTTTACCAAATAAATTAGGATCATTGAATATTTTCAATAGAGGCAATGCTGCATCGGCTCCCATTGGAGTTTCTTGATCCGTTGACATGTTATCTTGATCGTATGATGCTGATGAACCTCCAGAGTTGATCAAAGCAGTTTCCACTTCCTTCATTAAATTCTTAATTTGTTCATTGTTGGGTTCAAGTTTGAGTCCATTCGTTAATGCTTCAAAAGCTTCCTCGAGTCTTCCGAGACCATAGAGTGCTTGTCCTTTTCTCAAGAAGCCCTTGGAGAAGGATGGTTGAACCTCGGTGCACTTGATGGCATCTTGCAAAGCATCGTGGAATTTACTCAACTTTAAATAGACAGCAGCTCGATTTGAAAGCAATACATGATGATTGGGCTCAACTCCAAGTCCTTTCGAGTAGAGCTTCACCGCTTCTTCGTCCTTGCCTTCCTTCAGGGCTTGATTTCCTTGGTTTTTGAAATCCTCAGCAGAACTCATCTCGTTGATTTTTTTTTGAATGTTTCCCCATTTCCGATTCATAGATAGGAAATGAAGCAATCGGAAGATGATTCCGGAATCAAAAGCGTCGACGAAAGGTTCAACAATGAAGTTACTAAGTGCTACGTGGAAGACATGATGATTCATCAAAGTTGGGTCGAGATTTAGAAGGCTTAATATCATACTACTAGTAATAACACATCTTCTCTCTCTCCTCTAAAAAATTCTTCATCTCGTTGAGGTGGTTTTAATATGTTGTTTTTTAGGAGATAAAAAATCAAGAAACAAAAATAGCGATCTTGTTGTTGTTTGCTCGATATTCATTGATTGTTGAAGCAAAATCATCTCAAAGTAGTGGAAGAGTATTGCGTTCTTTCGGAATTTGTTGTACTTGGAATTGATTTTCAAGTGATTTACAACTCTATTCGGAGCCTTAATATTCAAAGTTCTTCAATCGATTGACGCTTTCTGAAATCCACTGATTTTTAAGAATGGACTCCCCGATAGCTATATCTTCATCAACTAATCATGATCATCATGATGAGGATAACAATAGCACCAAAATCGGTAAAGGATCAATACCAGTTGTTCCGTTCCTGAATACAAGGGCTTCCTTGCAAATCCCTGCGAGCCACTCACCATCTTTGACCAGTTCTCCTAGTACACCAAAAGAAATTTCCAGAATTGATGGAGAACGGAATTTTAGAGAGAGACCTTCTCCAAGGAGATCTTTTTCGTTTGTTTGGAAAAATCATTCCCTCAATAACAACAAAACCTCAAACACATCGTCTCCCACAACATTGAGCCACACTTTTCAAAAACCTAATCATGAAAATCAGCTTTTTGATGACACGGAAATTAAGAAAGTGATCACAATGTCGCTTCAGTTGACTGAAGAGGTAAAAAGACTAAAGACTAGCCTGTCAGGTCGGGAATTACAAAATCAAGTTCTTGAGAAGGAGAACCAATTTTTACATGATGAGCTAGCAGCTTTTAAAGAAAAAGTCTCTGGTCTAGAATCTAAAAGTAACAAACTCAAATATCAAAGAGATAGATATCATAGTCAGCTCAATGCCCTAACGGAAAAGTATGAGGCACTAAAAATCAAAACTTCTTCGCCACAAGTTGTCACCATTGGAACAGACAATAATGAGGATATTTCAGATGACGAAGAAAATGTTTTTAGCAACAACTTCACTGAGTCAAACTCCATCACGGAAGAAGAATCTATTTACAAACTGCCTTACTCAAATTCAAAAACCAAAGATAAAGCATGGATTACAACAGCAGAACTCAAGAATAATTATCATAATGTTTGTGACAAGGTGGATGAGCTGAGTGCAAAGTTGGAGAGAAGTGAAAAAGCACTCAAAGAAAGCCTTCAACAAAACAAGTTGTTGGAAATTCAGTTGGAAAATGCAAGAGCAAATGAAAAGGCTCTTCTTCAAAAAGTTGAGAGCACTGAAAAGCTCTACTATGAGTCTTGCGAAAAATTGGAGGCTCTCAATAGTAAATCATTGAAAAAGGACTCGGTCGCATTACGTCACGATATGAGTAACGAGGTGACCCGTAATGCGTCTTTAGAAGGTGTAGCCACCTCTTCAAATGAAGGTGAAAACGAAAATACAGAATGGCCTTCTATTGATAGGCTTTCAGACCAAATTGACCTCATGTCTACAGAAATGTTTGAAGGAGAGGAGCGAAGCGTTTTTCTGGAGAAGGAAAATCAAAGATTAAGAGCTCAAATTGAGGAGTTGCAACGAATTTTAGACCATACCAGGGATGATCTTCAGCTATTGAGGATACAGTCCACATTGTCATCACCTAGAACCCCAAGACTTTCAACACCCAGAGAATTCGAAAGACCCTCCTCAGATCGATCCAATCAAAGTGAAGGTGTCGACTCAAAAATCATGGATGAGTGGACCAAATTATTGGCCGATAAATTTGACCATAATCTTCGAATACTCAAGGAACAGGTGGTGAAATATGAAAAGAGAGCACACAACATGAATGTTTCGCATGATCATTTGTCTGAGACCTCTAGCTCATTACTTGAAGATTACTTTAGGTTGACTCTTCTTTCTGTGAAGATACTTCTTTCCAAAGAGCCCAGATATCAGAATACAGTATGGTACAAAATATGGTGTGATATTGATAGTGAAGAGATTTACTCTTGTGTGCTGACCAACGAAATTCCCATTGAAGAGTGGTGGCTTTTTCTTTTCACTACCGTTCAGACGCGTTTGGAGAACGCCAAGTTGGACTACGAAGAGGAAGAGGAGAGAGATATCGAAATGTAAAGATTTGTGGTCATTCTTTCGAGAAACCCCTAACAAAAGCTTAACAATGTGAACAATCAATCCAAAAAGGAGAGGCACAATCCAATCAAAAATTACCTTCTAAATGGCAAAGTAATGTAAAATCTAAGACAATATGAATTGATTATGAGAAAACTGTCGAATAGTCTTTGGAGAAAAGATGAAAACAAGCAATAATGATCCATATTATGACAATTATTAAGAAATGTCAAATGATGACAAATTGACAATCAATCCTTGCTTGACTCAATAGACCTTACAGAATTTTTTACCGCTTAAATATTACAACAAGTCAATTCAGCCACCTTAAATAGCGTCAAAAGTCATGGTTTGAATGCCAAAATTCAATAAAAAAACAACAAAATTAAATCTAGTCCATATGAATTGGTTAAATAAAATTCTTCCAGTGCTGGCTTTTGAAATATCAACATCAGATCTCCAATACATTTGAAAGAACATCAAGTGATTACTATTGGCATTCACATGGGCTATTCATAAATAGCTTCGATAATGACATTAGCAATTGCCATATCACCTTCGTGAGATAGTGAGAGATGAGTCACATAATCATTGGCGTTTCTTTCGTCTAAAATTTCTCTCACAATTTTTGAAATCTCTTCACCCTCCAGTTTCAGGAGAGGAGGAAACAACCGCGTCCTGTAATTATTTGAAATTTTAGAGGTCTCTGAAAGTAAATGGCCTGTTTGTTGTTGCTTGTGAACATACATTTGCTTGCTGCCAATTCCACTCACTCCTAATGCCTTTATAGTAGCCTCTTTTGCAGCCCATCTTGAGGCATAATATTGTGCAATCTTCATTTGCAAAACCATGTGTTGTTGAGTTAATAAATGTTGATTGAATTCTTGATCCCTAGTATTAATTTCTCGTTTCGAAACATGATGATCGTCATTGTCAGGTGAATTATTGTTTGTGGTGTTCGTATTTAAAGTGCCGATGCTTGTATTCGATCGATGGAATGCACTCTCAAAACTATAAGGACACTGATCGATTTCAATCGGATGATAAATTCTTTTCACAAATTTTTCTCCATATTTCATCAATAATTTATGCATTCTTGATATGGATGTCAAATCAACACCCATACCAATAATCCTCGAATTATTTTTCATTTCTCTTGTCTTCGGATGATAGAGAGAAAAAAGTATACAACGTTTGAATTTTTTAATTTGCGAGTTGTTTGAATTATGGCAAATTTGATCGGGAAGCGATATTTTTAAAAACTGTTGATTTGAAAAAAATATTTTGAGAGTTTTTTTCGGAGATATTCATCCCTTTTCTCTTCTGCTCCACTCACGGCGTGTGTGTGTTCGATATTATTTGAAGTTCACTTTTGGTGAGAGACTTTGTGTGTGTAATCATCATCGGATGAGAAGAGTGAGTGCGTGTGTTGATGATGAGTACAACCACAATGATGATGAATAATAGTAACACCTCTACAAACCAAACCACTACTGGAAATAATTTTACAACAACGAGTACGGCAATGATGAATAACAACAATAGCGCCCTTTCATCATCAGAAATGATGAGTTTAAATTCTTCGAGCTCGGATAAGCATGGAATCATGCTCAACAATGAAATGACCAACCACCACAACAATCATCATTCGACCATCCCCATAACAATGATGAATGAAACAAACCCAAGTCATTCCCGAACAAGGATGATGGCAGAATCAACCCCACCAAATTCCAATACAAGCAATCAACGTACTTGTATTCCATCACCAAACTCCCACCTCAATACTGAAGGCAGTTTCATTACTCCCAATTTATCTCAACCATTCCAACAACCTCCACAAGAAATGGGTGAGGCTTTTCCTTCACCTCTAAACACCACCACCCTAGGTTTTAAAACTGCCACCACCACCACCCATGCGTCGGCACTCTCTCCGAATCATTCTGCAATTACTTCTCTCCTTAATAATAATAACAAGCCCTTATTAGCCCAAGGTATGGCCCAATCACAGACGACATTTTCAACTCATACCAACAACAAGAATCCTGGATCTGATCGTACGATAACAACCCAATTACCATCTATGGGAACCACAATCGGTCAGCAACAACATCCACAGCAACACTTGTGGCCAGAGCAACACATTTCCAACGACGGACTTCCCTCTCTTCAACAATTCGGTCTTCTTTTCAGTCATTCCTTAAATACACATCCATCCACTGTTCAATCCAACAACTTTCATGGCATTAATTCTTCAGATCACTTCAACATTTCTCCACTCCAAATACAACAACATCCATTGCCAACAAATAATGTTACCTCACCCATTCATAATTGCGAAAACAATAGTAGTTCACAACTGAAATTTGCAAGCCCTCCAACTCCTACTAAAAATTTCAATTCTCTTCATACTAGCCCAATATTAAACCAATTGGTGCAATCACAACAAACGACAGAAAGTCAACAACAATCAAACATTATGAAGCATCAACAAAGAAATGTTTTTGCATCTTCTGCCTCATCAGGTACTGTCAAGAATGCAGCTAATGCTGCAATTCAATCACTTCAACATTTGCCTCAAAGTAGTTCTGCGTCAAATTTGCCCAATAGAACCTCGAACCAACAATTTACAAGTAACAATTCTTCGCCAATGAACACAACTCCCACCTCTCTAAATTCTCCGGAAAGTATTACCTTCCCACTACCCAGTAATCCAGCGATTTATGAAGGTCTCATGAAACTTGTCGCTCACCGTATTATGGAGTGCATTTTGGCGTTCGACGACAAAACTTCCAAGAATGTAGAAGTCAAGAACAGGCTACAAGATGAATGGATCAACTTAGTGAACGAATATTTCATTGTTGGAAAACGCCTTGACGGATTACCTCAAATGTTGCACTGCTTATTTGGGATGTTGACAGAAGAGTCTGAAGTTGAAATTGTACGAGAGAGATTGAATGAGGGCAACAACATGTTACTCGGACACATCTCCATTGATTTTAAGGCAAATCTTAGATTATTACGGCTCAAAATTTGCATCTTCTTTTTACTCTACAGATTGAGCAACGGTAGCTGTTTCCAAGAATTAAGTTCTTTTGAGGAATTCCTGGATATTAATTCATTAAGTGTGAATGAGAGAATGTTCAGTTCCATATCATGGGAACAGTTCATCTTAGATATGGACGCAATAGAGAGCAAATTAAGGTTTAGAGTTGATCTCGTATCTCACCATGAAAGTGACGAAAGTAATGTTGATGATGACGAAGACACTGGATACGTCTTGAGCGTAAAACAAAACACAATGAATTATGTCAAGCTCAAATCAGTAGCTGAGGAAAAATTGTCTGCTTCATTCGACCAACTTTTGTTGGAAATGAATGTTATGAATTCTTCGAACAAACATCGTCAACCTAAATTCTACAGACTTCAGCTTTCCGTTCAAATGTCCAACTATTTAACAATTACCAAGTATAGCAATACCATTATTGATGTGTCTATTGACGGCATCCTTTCAAGTCGAACTATTCACGACCTCTCACCATTACGTATCGTATCAGCCGAAAGAAAGAATCGGATTGTGGTTTTACATTTAAACAGAGACTTTTTTGTTACTCCAACAAGAGACAAGTCTGACGTAGACTTTGTTGTGGAGTTTGGAAAAGGTAGCGATCGAAAAAGAGCATCTATCAAGAGCATTTACATAGACCGGTTACTCGTTGATTTTTCTTCATACTCTATGTATCAACATGTTTCAGTATGTAGAGGCCAAGAAATTCTGTGCGAAGAATTGGAAATTACAATGCTTAACAATATGGGAACTGTAAACTCAGGAGGGCTCAAGGTGAATACTATGGCTCCAACTTCATTGTCAGAGGAGCCAAGCAGTGTATCTTCAATAGCAAGTAATGCCTTCTCTCCTGGATCAGCCACTCCAGAAGAGTCTCCACGCAGTAGCAAGAGAGCCTATTCCGCTGATGACGAAAAAGCAGGCACTCCGAACTGTGTCAGCCCAGCAAGTGGCTCTAAAAGAGCAAAGAGTGGGCACAACCAAAACAGCATGAATTTGGCCAGCATTTCACAATATGTTAAAAGCTTACGAGACAGATGTGGATTCTCTTTGTTACACATTGCAGCCATGTATGGGTTTAATAATGCCATTGAATTTTTGCATGAAGCTCTCTCGATATCCATCGATATTACTGATAATTATCAATACTCTCCATATCATTGGTCGTGCTTGGCATGTAAGCCCTCCACAGCAAAACTACTGATCAGCAAAGGAGCAAGCACCACCCGTAAAAACATTCACAACATGACTGGAATTGAAATTGCTGCAGCCAGAAATCACAAACATTTTGTTGAGGAGCTTGAATTTGAGCTTGAACAACATGCATGTTCTGCTCTTTTTGATTTGTATGCCCATGTTTCAGACTCAGACAACATATTGACCATTCAATCACAGTCACAACAGTTACCACAGCAACAACAACGATCAAAAGTACCAAGCCCACCGCTTGAATGGTCGATACCTTCCACTAACGATGGCATTCCTCAAAATTTAAAGATCTCTTCACACAGTAAGGTAAAACAAATGACTGTCAATACTACTAACCTCAACAAGAACACTGATTCAGCTCGACCAAAGAAAAAACAGGAGCAAAAGATCAGCCCAACCACAGCCTCAACACAATTAGTTAGTCCACCTCCACCAAGTTCTGGCAAGAAGCAAACTGGTGCATCCAAATCAACTCCAAATTCATCCTATAACAACACAGACTCACCCATTCCAGTCACTCTACCCTCATCATCAGCAACGAATTCGAATCTCTCTCAACGTATGGAGCTTTTCATCAAACCAAGTCGGAAAAAAAGAACCTACATTTCGTGTTTTCCCAAAGAATTGTGCTCAAGTCCTTACAAGTATGACATTCTCTTAAGGATACCTCTCAATTATACCAACCAATTTAATGAGAGTAATTTCACTTTTCATCTCATGATTCAAGGTGCAGATAAAAACTGGACGCCAGTGACCGAACAGGCAGTGGACATTGTCAAGTATTTGAGAACTATGTTTCCTCTTAATTTCAGAGAAATTGAATGGAGACTCATGTACAAGGTATGCTCCTTCCATTATGGTAGAAAACCTTTCAAACTAAGGGTTATTTACAATACGAACATGAACCCTGCATCAGCGAATCCTGTCCATGAATCCTTGAGTCAGAATTCGGATGGCAAGGTGTGTTTACCTGACAACACCGTCGTTTTTGAGTCTGACGAGTTCTATATTGTGGCACGAAAGAAAAAGGACTCGTTTCATGAATCATCCACTGGGGGTGAAGATGCCTTCTCTGCTGATCAATCGCCACTTACTGAGCTTCAAGGTCAATTCTCTCCAGCCTCTTCTTCTCCATCTCCACTTCCACTTTTAAATCAGCTCGATTCACACACATCGAATCTGCAATTAGTCATGCTCCAAAATAGCAACAATAACAACTTGGCACAAGAAGCAACAACCAGTCAATCATCCTCCTCACATGGTCAATTTAGTTTTTTACCGTCCAACAATACCAACAACATTCCAACCTCGGCCTTTCAATACCCTCCAAATCAACATCAGCAGAACCTGTATTAGCTCCAATGCAATTACTTTACTGTGAGTTGTGGTCGCTCATCAGTCCTCTTTTGCCTTCTGTTGAAACGGTATTATTCATGAAATGCCACCAGCGGATAAAAGTGGCGCGCAAAAACTACGAATAAAAAAATGTCGAGTCGAAAACAAACACGATTCACTAACGATGACACACAAGATCAAGCCTCCGAGGAAGAGAAACATGTTGGATTCAATGAAGCCGATTTTGATAAATTGAGTGACAGGTTGTCATTCATGACTGGATCGACTGGAAAGTCTTCCTTCAATATGAACAAATTTTTCATCAACCCCATGGAGCAACGAGAGTTGAGTATGGGACGAGCAAAACTGAAACGATACGACGAACGCATTGCCGCAGAGATTGACAAGATCCATGAATTGAAGCACCAAATAACACAAATCACGCGAGTGATAGCAGACAATCATTCTCACATATCCTATTTACAAATGGATGAAGAAGCTCTGAAATTAGAGTTTATAAAAGCAAAATTGGAATATGAACTCGAGTGCAGAAAGAGACAAATGCATGAGAAGGAAATTAAGCATCTCCGAAAAATTCGAGAAGCAAAAGAAAACGAATTTCTTCGAAAAGGATGGATATTACAGAAAGAACAAGCCGTTCTTCGCAAACATGAATCCAAAACCACAGACATTGTTCAGCAAGTCACTCGAATACAAAACGAAGTCGAAGAGTTGGAAGACGATGTGCATCACTATAAGAGTTTGGATCGAAAGTTGAAATCCACCATTCAAAACCAGTTGTGAAGAACTGAAAAAAGAAATTTGCAAGAAAAAAATACTAATTCTGAGAGAGAGGTCAATCTTTCCCTCTTAATGGTAATCATCATCAAGGCCTTATTATTCTCTTGTTGTTCTCGCTCGTGATTTCTCTCGTAATATTGAAACAATTCTCTCACTCAGTTTCGCTTTCAAAACATTTTCATCTTGTATCATTATGTTTCCGTTGAGCTCTGAAAAGAAGAATAGTTTTCTTTTCCAAGCGGTGGAGAAGGAGCAAGAAACGTTTAAGCCTCAGTTATCTTCATCGCCCTCTCGGTTACCAACAACAACAACAAGCACACGACGAGTCAAAGAGCGCCTCAAGGAAAAGTCAAAGAAGGGATATGAGAATATCGTAAACCGATTGCATCAACATTTGGAAAAAAAGAAGCTGAATCAACATGCCACCAATAAGTCGGTCTATGAAAGCCAAGCAATCAAAATGAAGCAAATGAATCGTTTGATTAATTCCATTGACTCGTGGACTCTCCACTCGATTGAGTACCATCTGAAAGAGAAGGAAAAGTTGTTGAGGAATTCACTACCTTGCCTCACCCAAAAAACAACTCATTACGATGAAAAGAAAAAGGAAGATCTCATCAAACTTGCAACCTTGGAGTAAGTACATTATTGTATTTCATCATCATGGTAATTCACCGATAATCTCCAAAAACAAAGAGCAAAAGAAAGATGTACCATACGAAAGAGAGTTCAGGAAAAACGAGCATCCCTGGATGCATATGAACGGCTATTGCAATATCAATACAAAAGAAGGAAATCGTTTGAGAGGGGTCAATTAACATTGTTTAAGGATGAATACTATGAAGAGGAGATGAATAATTTTATGAAAGAAGGATTAGGTTCCTCCACCATCGATAACATGCTGAACACAAGTTGTAACAACAAATCAGGGAATTTGATAATTGCTCTTCTGGACTCATCGGAAACTATGGAGATGGAACTTGGTCAGCCTCGCCCAGTTCTAACTTCAGTCAATAGTAAGTCTTATTGCTTTGATAATGATTATTGAACATCTTGATCAAAAAAATTCAAACCAAAGTTGTAAAACGAATGCCCGATGAGAAATTAAATTTCTTAACTCAAGAGGAAATTAAAAAACTAGAAGCTATTAAAGAGCAAAAGAGATTGGAAAACGAACAAGTATTAGAAATGGAACGAAAAAGGAAGGAGGAAGAACATACACGAATTATGCAGGAACAGGAGCATTACATAGAGTTGGAGATAATTGACGAGAAAGAACGAGACCTTAACACTCAGGAGGAAAATCAACCCTTCTCAGAAGGGACCTGCGTCGACGAGTTGACCAATTCACATGAACTAGAAGCGTCGAAAGAACCACAACTTCATATTCACATGGTAGTTAAGGAAATTATGCAAAATGTTATTACACGAAACAATATTCGTGAAGCAGTTTCTCAAATTGTTGGAAATGTCATCTTTGCACAGTCCACCGTCTGCAAGAAAGAGAGACCTACTAACACCTCAGATTCTGATATTATTCACAACTTTGTGTCAGAAATACTTGCAAGAGTGATCAATCTAAATTCATGTTGAAATAATTGCAATCTTTGGAATAGCTCTCTTTGATTTCAATAAATGATCAGAAAAAGTTGCAAAATCGCATGGATTGTCACGAATTGATTTATTGTAGAGACAACACAACAATGAATGAAGGCTCTCCTAGTAGAAAAATAAATTATCCTCAGCATTCCAAAAATCTTGAAGTCGTTGTCTTGTTTGATCGAAATCGATAACTCGTCTCATGGTCTTGACTTCTTGGCCTACAATAATGTATGCTACTGGAATTTCCAAATTGTCACAGGCAATAATGAGTTCCTCACTGTTGCACTTATTCACAAAGTCCTCGGTGAGGCCAACCAATTCACAGAAAACTTCTCTACACTTGCCAAAGTATTGTTTGGCTCCATTCTTGAAAGTTCTCTTCTCCTCCAACTTCCATCTGTCTTTAATGTTAAGGAATTTGATTTTCTTGGCTTTGGCATTCTCAATCATTCCGTACAGTTTAGCCAAATCCTCGTCAAACTTTTGCTTGATTGACTTAATTCGTTCCTCCCTTAAAAGTTGTTCCTCCTCTGAAAGCATTGTCTTTACAGTAGTGTTTAAGATACTCTCCAGTTGTCGATTTGGGTAGGATCCTTTCGACAGTTTCTTTCTGCAGAGAGGACAAGACTGATTCTTGGCGAGCCAATCATAGAGACACTTCTTACAAAAGTTGTGACCACATTGCAGGATGGTTGGCTCTACAAACCAATTGTAGCAAATGCAACATGTGAACTCGGTGTGACATGTATCATGAATGATCTTTAGCTTGAGCTTATCTTCAGAAACACTTGAAGAAGTGATATCTGCTGTTTGCAGAACAGTTGCCTCAGAGCCACTTGTGCTTGATTGGCTGTCTTTCACTCTCTTGGCCGGTGAAGAGACAGAATCGAGTTGAGCTGCCTCCAAGTTTCTCTTTAACTGATCCGTATTGCTGCCACTGCTACTACTCACACCCGCATTATCCACAGATCCATTCTCAACAGAGTTAAGATTGTTCAAATTGGCACTACTCAAAGTCTTCATGATGGCCATTGGATCCAATAGTTCAAATCTGTAAATAAACGCTTGTTTCAATTGATCTACCAAGACAGTTTTCCATTCTTGCTCGGTAGCAAAATTGTGCCTTGACTTGTCTCCCAATGTAATGAAGCCATTGGTGGTGGCTGTGGTTCCTCCAGTAATAATGATCAAGTCTCCATGTCTAAATGGTTGAGATGATGTCAAACATTTTCATTCATATCGATATAGGATGTTTGGGTTGTTGTCATTCAAATGGAACAAGACATTGTCAAAAATACTTACTTGAGAAATGCTCTTGAGATTTTTCTTCCATTCACAAGTGTTCCATTTAAGCTTTTCAAATCCTCAATTTCAAAACTAACATCAGAGACATTTCGATAAATCTTGGCATGATGTCTCGACACAAATTTAGCTTGTTGTTTCGAGAATATTCTCACATTGTTGTCGGGTAATCTTCCAATGGTAATGACATCGTCCACCAAAGAAAATTCCTTTGGTATGTCAGTGTAATTGGTATTGGCTAGGACTAGTTTTCCCCAAGGCTTTTTGTTTTCCGAGGACGAAGAGGATGAAGATGTAGTCTTTGCACTAGTTGTTGTTGTGGAAGAAGGAGTAGATGTGTTTGTTCCTAATGATGATGATGATGAAACAACAACAGACGATGATAGAGGTTGTGGTTGCTGCGTCAAGGTCTTGTTGTTGGGTGGAAATGGAGGAAATGCCGTACTGTTGGGTGGAATCATCATCATCATGGTGGGAGGTGGAGGAGGCTTTGCATCAACAACAGGTGTTTGTTGTTGCTGCTTTGGAGTGATCGGTGGTTGTTGAAGCTTGGAAGGTGTTGTTGTTTGAGGAGTAGTAGTCGGTGGTGGTGGTGGTGGTGGTGGAGAAGAGGAGGTTGGTGATGATTTGATGGTTGCAGCTGAAGAAGAAGTACTTGCTCCGTTCGGTGTTGGTGGTTGTTGTTGTGGAATGGTTGCGAGAGCAGGAGAGGCTGTGGTCGTTGAAGATAATGATGATGAGGTTGCTTGTTTGATTTCTGCCTCAACATCATTGAGTTCATCAAAGTTTGGTTCTTCTTCGGTCATTGGTGGAGCAAAAGATGAAAAGGCTTTGCGGAGAGTGCAGGGGATAAAGATTTACAAGTGGAACTTTGAGGTTTGTTTTTTTTTCGAATATTTGGGGAATTTTTTTGCAAGAGAATCTCTTCATTTTCAGCCTTGCAAAAATTTTCGTCAGAGCCAAAAAATAGGGTTGTTTACCTCTTGCAAGATCGCAAACACATGTACCAAAAACCTGTCACTTATTCGTCAATCTAATGTCAGCTGTAAATGGCAAGCAAAGAAGAATTGAATCTCTTCAGAAAACCATTTTTTTTACGTCCAAGCCTGCTAAAATGTAGTGAGAACAGAAAAAGTCTGTCCACCACAAAAGGCCAACCAACCAATTTTTTTGTGTAGTCAGTTACATTTTAATGTTGACGAATATCTGACAGGTCTTTACTGCGATTTAACTCTCTCGAGCTAGAATGTTCAAAGACAAGCAAGAGGAATCCTTAGACGAAGCTGATGTGAAGAAAGAACTCAAATTTATTGATGAGTGAACAACCAATCGGTCAATTTTTCAAGACTCTCCTTATACTTCTTCTTCTTGTCGGAAGGCTTTAAGTCCTTATCGTCCAAAGATCTATAAAGTTCCTCACTCACCACAACAACCTCAAAGTTGACAGCCTTTGTATCGAGATCATGAATTTCGTGGAGTGTGACCTTAATACTACCATCCTCAGAGTGATAATGTTTCTTAAACTTGACAATTGTTCCTTTGAATCGATAAGGGCTTGGTGGATTCTTCAAAAAGTCAGGATTAGTAAATTCATTCTTTTCATTATTCCACAAGTTTGCACATTCGTTCAAGAATGAGTCCATCTCACTTCTATTCTTATCCTGTTGCTCGACATCATTTGGAACATAACTTGCAATGGTAATCTTAAAGTCATTCAAGTTTGATCGTTCCTTTGTAATTGGAGTAACATAATTCAAAGTATAGTAGTTCCTAGTATGTTCATTCTTCTTGATTTGTTCTAATTTTCCTGTCGCCTTGTTAACCTCAAAAGTAATGGTTTCATTCTTTTCTGAAGGTTGAGAGTTATCCTCCTCTTTTGGCTTGTCACCTGGCTTTCCAAAGTAAATAGCAACAATGGTTGCATCTTCATCTGGTATGTATTTGAGATTTGACTTGAGCTTTTCATAAAATGTCTTGTCAATAATTCTGTTAAAATGATATCTAATATCTTTTCCATGTTTCATTTCCAGCAATTCTGGAATCTTGAGAGTGTCCTTTGTTGCCTTATATGCCAATAATTGGCCATACAAAGCCTTCACACTCAATACTTCAGATTCGTTCTTTCTCAATTCAATGTCCACAAGTTTAGTAGCAATTTTATCCAACATGTCTTCCTTTGTCTTCTTGTTCATTAAAGTCATTTCCTTGTGATGAGTATTGTGGTCTCCACCAGCATGAGCCTCATCATGATGAGCATCACTCACTACGTGAGAGGTTGCATAAGCATCGTCATGATGATCCTCACTTTCACCTTCCTTCTTCAAAATCATTCTACTGAATGTAGAATTTGGTTGGCTTGAATAAACAGCCAAACATGTGAAAGGTCTCAAAGCAATATCATATTCATTCAAATCAATTTCTTCTTGATTCTCAGCATCCAAACGCTCAGCAAGTTCTGGAATCACCAAAGTGCTAAAGGTTTCAGAAAAATGTGTCATTGAGAAATGACCAATTCTGTTTTGGACCAATTCCTCTGCTTTCAGAACGCTCTCCTCCGAGCTACCTCCAAGAACGACAGTCATATTCTTGACGCTGTACCAAGAAATACCCGACTGTTTCTTGACTTCATTGGCAAACGAGCCTTTTTCTCCGACAAGGAAACGTGGATCGACTTTAGCTGGAATTGTAATTGTTCGTTCGTGAGAGTAGTGAGGAGGGTGAAGTGTTTTATCGGTTGATGATGAAGAAGCACTGTTAGATGAAGTGGATCCAAATTGTTGATTCATCTTCTTTTCATAGTGTGGATTTGAGCCTGAAGTCTTCTTTTTAGGGACATTAACACTCGCAGTAGTGCTCGAACCGGTGGTGCTAGTTGGAGTGGTCTTCTTTCTTGATGAAGAAGAACTCATAGAGCTGAAGGCAGCATTATTACTAATTGGAGCATTTGTGGTTGGTACTCCTTTTTGTTTTCTACCACCTCTTTGCTTCTTGGTGCTGACATTCCAATCAGAAGTATCCTCTTCTTGGTGTTGTTCTTGTCGATTTGGGTCATCTTCAATAATTACAGCCTTTTCCAAATGTGCCATCTTTATAATATTTTAAATAATACCGAGTGAGGTTGTTGTTGAATTGGACTTGATGATAAATGTGTCGTTGATGAAAATCTCTTTCTCTGATGATGATGATGATACGAAGCTTCACAACAGCAACCGAGAAGAAGAAGAAATGGAATTACACACAAAATGCAACCAGAAAAATTTTTTGAAACGATTTTTGAGACTTCTCGAGTTGTTGAGTGATCGTCACCAAGCTGTTGCTTTTCGAATGTTATCCAAAAGCATTCATCACCAGGTGAAGGAAAAGACTCGACAAAAAGACTTTCAAATCCAAGCGACTTTGGTAAGAACAATGGAGATCAACACTCTCGTTTCACTAATTGGTCAATTTGATCGTCTCTCTTTAGGATCCTTGTTCATCATCCTCTTGATTGGTTTGAAAAGACAACACATTGTTTCGTTGGGTTCAACAAAAAAATAGAGCCTCAACGAAAACAGCTCACACTCCAGAAAAACCATAATATTATCGAGAGAGAAAAGGTCTATTTCGAGGCTTCATGTACATCCCGGGGTGACTCGATTTTGAAAAACCATTGACTGTACTTCTACAGGATCTTTTCTGTAGGATTACTTAAACTCGACTTTCGAGTCAATCTGACCTTTGAGGTTAACCAAGATGAAGACTCTGTAGTCACTTGTTCTGAGCATGATATCGAACTGGAGACATGTTGATTCAGGTTTCCTCGTTCATAGATGATTGCTGCATTCCTTTCCTTGCCAAGGATTGTGAATGGGGGACAGGTGAACATGCAGATTGGTTCCTTTTTTTGTATCAAGAGAAAATTGTTGTCAATTACAAAACCAGCCTTGATCAATCCGATCACCACATACGGTGACAACTCTTTTAATTACTCATTCTACTGCTTATCTACAACATTTATTACGTAAACATCAATAGTGCAACAATGCCGGGCACTGATACAATTCGTCGCGAAAGGGATATTCCAATTTATTCAAGCACCCAATTACATCATCATGAGTAAGAGAGCCATGATCACCACCAAACAAACACTTTCAGCCATTGAGACCATTGAGAAAGAACCTTCAGAAACTCTGGTGGTACTCTCTTGTCCTTTGGTGGAGGGCAACACTTTCACCACAATCACTCCACTGGCATATTCATCACTATTACTTGAAACCACCGAACGATAGAATGCAGTCGCTCCCACATTCGATTGAACAAAACACGAGGTGGTTGTATTGGAATACTTTTGAGGAAACAAGGAAGGAATGAGAGTGAATGAAAATCCATAATATCGCTTCGCTTGTGGAAAGGGTATCAATTGAGTTTCCAATTCTGAATTTCCAACTCGATTGCTAATGATGGGTTTCCAAACATCCATCGTTGCAGAATTGAATTGAGAACATCCATATTCTCCTTGTGAGGGATTGTAGGACAGAGTTGGTGTGAATGTCTTGAAACAACACAAATAGGCATCATTGACGATAAGATGATTGTTTCCGAGCACAGATGAAGTTTGAACCTTAACCAACACTTTCTCACCTGTTTGGAACACTGATTTTGATGTCCAGTCAGCTGATGATATAAACATGACGGGGACAAGAGAAAAGTTCTTATCCGAAGGAGCATCTACAATCGAATAATCAATTTTGAAAGGAATGTAATTAATCAATTCATCTAACACTCCATTTACTCTCAAAGAAGCTTTGAAGAAGGTGAGAGCTCTGTAATCATTCACTTTCACGTTGGAAGACATTTGAATTTGATAAAAACTAAAGGGACCACTCTGATACAAGAATGAAATCATGGACACTTGAAAAACGTAATTTGGATTTGTAGTATTGTAGAATGTGAATGAGCTGAGTGATGTGTTTGAAGTTCGAAGGATCATTTGAACTTGAAGAACTCCTGTCAATGCATTGGTGGTCAATTGTTGAGTGTATAAATTCACACCATAGGGATTCAACGGAGAGTATTCATTGAAAGAGGAGATGACTGTTGCAGAGATTTTCACATAAATGACTTGAGTAGTGGTGAATTTGAAGGCTCTGCAAAAACCACCATTTGACAATCCCTTTTCATCAAGATAATAGAGAGCAATGGGAATGGTGATTTTAAGATAATCTCCTATCAATTCTGTTGTTAAATTTGTGTTTAGAGCCAAATACTCCAAGTTGAGAATTTGAGAATAATAGACCTTGTGACAAGGTGTGAAAATTGCCAATTTCAAATCCACTCTCTCACCACCACTCAACAAACATTGATCTGAATGGAAGGATGAATTGTCTCCAATGAACATGACATGAGAGAATTCAGCATTGACATCCTGTGTGAAATTCACCGAAAACCATATGCCGTCCGAAGTGCTAAATGAAGTAATGATTGGTTTTGGAGCTCCTTCAACACTTGAATCCCAACAGGTTCCAGTTTCATTGGTCAATAACTCACAGTTGAGTCCAGTAAAGCCATCATTGCAGACACATGTATCTGGAGCGACACATGAACCTCTTCCATGGCATACAGAAGTTGCATTTGCTAAAACAGAATAACACAATGGCAAGGAGCAATTTTCACCACCCCATGGATACCAACAATTACAACGATTGGAAGAGAGACAAGTTCCATGTCCACTACAAACATTGGATGCGTATTGTTGAATTCCAAAACAACCCATCAGGGAACAGTCCGATCCAACCCAACCAGAATTACATGTGCAAACGTCCGTGGCAATGCATGAGCCATGACCACTGCACACATAGGTGTTGTTGGTTTGGGAGATGCCGAAACAAGAGGTGGTGGTGGTGTTGGTGTTGCTTCCATGAACAAGGAACAACACGGGAGTAAACGTATGAGAAAAGAGCAACAAGAATAAGGTGCCAATAACGAAGAATAGTTTGTGAATGGAGGAGAACATTTTGTTTCAAAATTAAAGACGTGAATATGGTGTGTTGAAGAGTTGTTAAACACTCCAGAAGTGAGAATCTGTCAGCCTGTCATGTTGGGAACGAAAATACCCTGAGACACGTTCACTTCTCTGCAAACTGGTTACCTTATCTTAAAATTCTTACTTTGACAGCTGAGTTCGTCAGTCCTCTTTTGCTCGCGTGTGTGCTGCTGACCAAAATAAAGTCAAGGTTAGTGAATGGAACAGTTTGTGCAACCAAGGGAACTTTGAACATGTTGTTCATAAAAAGTTCATTGTTCTCATTTCGGAAGAAAAAAAAACAACAAAAAAATATGACACTCAAATGGGAAGTCAAAGGTGATTTGAAAATCTTCAGAACTCGATTACTGGCCTTGGGATGGTTATTCGTGTTCTTGTTTCCTCCGGTGGTGCCGTGTCTCATCATGATATGGGAAAAGAGAAAAGTAGAGGCAGAAGGAACACAAACTGGTATCGGATGTTGTAATAATTATTATTTCATATGTGGTATGGTGGATGTGTGTACCATCCTATTGACCATACTCGGATGGGTACCTGGATGTATATTTACAGCTATTTTATTAGCTTCTATTTAAATTGTTCATATTGTAGGGTCAGGTTGTTGTTGTTGTGGTAATGATTGAATTCATTTCGGAATGTGTGATGAATGGATTCAGATAGAGTTGATGGTTTAATTCAATGGAATATACGTGGATGGAAGTTTCATAATTCATGTTCGTGAATGTGAAGAAAATTATTGATCATCACTCAGCGAGGTCAAAATTACGATCATGATCACATTCGCCAGACATAGTAACTCCCTATTTGGAAATTCAAATAAAAAAAATGCAGAATAACCTTTCCGAGCATGAAGACGTTATGGAGGAAGAAAAGCTTGATGATGACGATGAAGATGAAAATAATGAACACACAATGGTCACTACATCAACTACAACACCACACAATAGTTCTACTACTACCTTATCAACCAACAATAATTACGGAGATGAAACGTTGGACTTGTACGATCAGGATGATGATGGCGATGATGAGGAAGATGATGATGATTCATGGGATGATTTATACAATTATGAATCTCTTGCAGATGTGTTAGATGAAGAGGAGGAATTGGTAAAAGTTTGGAAAAGAATTCAAAACGTTTTCAAACATCGTAAAGACGCTCTCATGGATCATGTTCAAAATTTATCCACCAATTTAAAGAAACAAGTCGATGATCGGAAACTAAAATTAAAGAAGAAAAAGGAGAGGTTTGAACGAGAATTAAGAAGGTATGTGAGTTTTGTCAAATGATATTTAATGATCATACATTATTTGTCAATATAATACATGATATTGATGTAAAGACCTGAAACCATTAAATTTAAGGACAAGTTGGCCTTCACGTTGGGAGTGATCATTTTGACTTCATCTACCTTCTTATTGGCTAAATATCCTCAATTTCTCCCAAATTATTACATGATCTTGTGTATCATATTGATGGTGATGAGATTCTTTTCTTATCATGGCAGAGGGTAAGTATGAATCAACAAAAGAAAGATTGCAATAATTCCTTGATAATGATTCATCACAAAATGCATGAATGACTTTTTATGGAATGCATTCAAAATATTCACACTCTCACTCTCACTCACAGATATCACTACTTTATGCTTGATTTCTGCTACTTGGCCAATTTAATTCTCATTGTCTATTTAACGTTTTATCCTTCGAGTCCACATTTATTCATGATGAATTTTGTGAATTGTACTGGACCATTATTGTTTTCAGTGATCATGTGGAGAAATAGTTTGGTGTTCCATTCGATTGAAAAAGTCACATCAGTCTTTATTCATATTTATCCAAATTTGGTTGTTTTTGTTTTGAGATGGATGGTCAAGCATAAGGATGGCATTGTTAAATTTCCTTCTACAGGGCAAGAATATCATATTTGCATTCGTAACGACGAGGAATGTACCATATCGTTTCGTGACGTATTTTATACACACATTGTACTCTTTTGTTTTTGGCAAATTGGATATTTTATCAAAACTAATGGTATGTTGTTGGATTGAATAGGTGTGAAATCATGCATGTTTATATTACAATAATGGCTCCTCCTTGTTCTCAAAACAGTCATCGACAAGTCCTATTTGCAAAGAAGAGCAAACTTACAAACCACGTACCGCTATCTCACCTCAAAGTCATACATTCAAATGTTAAGTGATAAGATTTATGGTACAAAATATCGTCCATATGGCTTCATTACATTACAGTTCATTTATCACATGCTCACATTAATTCCTGTGAAATTTGCCTTTGACAATTTCTATCTGCATGTGATCATGCTGTCAGGTGTATTTTTATGTTCTATCTATAACGGAGCCTCTTTTTACTTTGAACGATTTGTAAAGCATTATGTGGAAGATCTTAATAAGATTGCTGATCAATTGGAAAAGGAAGAACGAGATGCTGAAGCTTTGGAATCGAGTGCTTCTGCCACCGCCACGAACATTATTAACAGTGAGGCCTCAACACAAGCTCTCTGAGAGTCACTAATTCTCGCCTTTTCGAGCTTGTTGGCCTTGATGTTTTCTCCAATATTACTGAGTTCTTGCAAATTTGGAAATTAGATTGAACCAGTTACGAAATGCATTTTTCTCAAAAAGTTCTCGTCATATTGCATACTTTTTAATTATGCAGTAAACATTTTATTCGTCGTCACTGGAGATTTCCACAACTTCATCATTTTGTTGTTTTGCGTCACTACTATGTTTTCTGGGTCTCCTTGGAAGAACTTTGTATTGGAAAGGATAGTGATCCATTCGATTTTTTGTGGAAGAGCACAAAGAGCTTCATCTTTGATGTTCAAAATTTCATCAATATCATTCAAGGTTTGAACAAAGAAGGGACGTCGATGCAATTCATGTTTCACGTATTCTAATTGAAGATCTCGTCGGAAAAAGTCGGCTGCTATATTTATATCACGTCTCGTTCTGGTAAACCTCACTTGGGCATAGTCATGGTTTTCACTCGGTTTGAGAACATCCTGTGCTTTGGAAATTTGCCTTTTAGTTTTTAATCTCTGCAACGTCGAGTGTATGTAGGGAGACCGGAAAGTCATTCTCATGATCAAGATCTTGGCAAGGCCAGTAAATTTGTCGATGTGTGACCTGAATCTCGCACAGAACTTTCCTAACTTATTCATTCTGATAGCTTCTCTCGCTCTAGGTAGACAGTACAATTGGTTTCCATCAAAGCCAAAGCAACAACTTGGCACATCGAAACCCATTAATATTTCAGCTGGATTTTTGTAAATACGTTATATAATTTGTATGGGACGAATTGGATAATTGAATCTAAAAGTTATGGCATGCTCTGTTCTGTAGGTTACAATGTCATCAATGCGATCAGAAGTGTCAAGATCAACCTTGTAGAATTTCTTTGGAATTTTGCTCAAATTTTTCTTAATCAAGTTATAGACACCAATGATCTTCTTTTCCGCTTGCTGTTCAGAGAGTCCATAGAAAAATAGGTCAATATCACTGTTTTTCCATGAATCTGACCTTGAATAGTACTCCGCTAAACTACTATCAAATCGTTCTGGATTCACTATTTTGGTATTCAGGTCGTTATCGTCGTAAGATGATGATTCTGAATCACTGTTACAATCTGACGAATCTGTGAAATAATCGTCATCACTGTTTTCAGCTATTACATCTTCATCCACTTTGTGAGTTTGCTCAACAACATCACCACCGTCATTGTCGTAGTCATAAAGAACATGATCATTGGGTTCATCTTTGTCAGTCTTCTTCTGTTTAAGATGCAATTTGATTTGTTCAACTTTGAGTGCAGCTGCTAACACACTACCACCGGCAACAAAGCAGTTACTCCAATCCATATCTTTAAACAAGTCATAGGTAAATGCATTAAATTGAAGGAAGAAATCCTTTCGTGATTCACATAATTGTGGTACTGAGGGAATTAAGTTTTGCTTGCTTGAAAACTACGGGATCTTCAAAGTCAAAGAGCAATCCAATGCCTTTGGGTGGTTCATACTTGGAAAATTCTAGTTCTCGTAATTGATGATCAGGTCCATAAACGCTAACTAAATGTAAATATGGATCATCGAGCATACTATTATCTCTGTCAATGACGTATAAATTTCTCAATAAATCTTCCTCTTTCTTCATTTTAATAAGCTTTTCATAGCTCAATGGGATATCTAAATGGGTTAAAATATTCAATCAATTCTTTTAACCTAAGTTCCTTTGCCTCCTTGTATATTTGTTTCTGTTTTGCTGAATCTCGTGGAATGCATGATGTATTCTCAGATTCTAAATAATTAAATATGATTCTATACACGTCAGGATCAGGATCAAGAAAGATGGAGGAAGTCTTGTCCATTTTTTTAAGCATGTGTATGAAAACACTTTCCGAATGTTTCACAAGCTTTTCAATGTTCACTGAAAAGGATATACCTCTGACATTGAATGTAACAAACGTAGGCTTTAACCTGTTCTCTTTTTCTAGCACTGTTTTCTTTTCCTGCTCAAGGAGAGATTCATGTTCTTGGAAATATTTCTCTACTCGAGATTGTTCTTCAATGGTCAATTGATTGAATTTTAAAATCCATTCTTCATCTGCTAAATGTTGATTTTCGCTAACCATTGTGTCATTAAAAACTGAAGGCATCGTTATTTCTTGGACCTCGTCATCCTCTTGTTGCATCTCTGGTTGTTCTCCAAATTTTTCAAGAAGATGGCAAATTCTTTCGCTCAATTTTGTTGTTCCAAAGAAATCAGATTCTTCAAGTAAGTTTTTCAAATGTTGAATCGAGTCGGCACTATTTTCTTCCCACAAACCAATATGTGTCGTGGAACCTAAAGAAACAAAGATAACAGTGTTAAATTATGTACGTTTATTTCATATGAAAACCACTCTTCGTTTCGAATTGAAACTTTTCGTGTGGAAAACTTACCTGTACGCAAGTGCTCCAAGATAAGTGGAAAATAATCAGGGTTTCTATCTTTGAAGAGAATTGCACCATTTTCATCTCTATCAATTTTAAAATCCGAATTCATCATGACCTTGATCATATTTTCTCTCTTTGTAAGTGTGTTCAGTGTTGTAACAAAATTCTTCCTCCCACGCATAAATGAACTAGATTTTCCTGTGAAGACAGAATATCGTCCAATACGGGATCGTTTGCCTGATGATCTTTCTTGTTGGGTTCTGAATGCTCTTCTTGTTGATGATGTTGCATCATTTCATGTGGTACTTGTTGTGGTTGGTTTCCTCCATCATCATTCATGAACTTTTCCAAAATTTCAAGCTCTTTCTTTCTTGCTTCATAGTGTTCCTTTTCGGTTTTTAATTTCATCAGTTTTTCCATTCGGAATCGCTCCAACTGCTCTCTCATGAGAAGGTGAGTAGATTCATTAGAATGTTCTTCCTCTTGGTCTTCAACCACAGTTTGTCGACACGTTTCATCAAAGCGCTTTCTTTTCGCTTGCTGGTCATCGGGAAGCATTTTTTTTTGAACTCTAAAAAAAATCCACTTTTTGGAAGAGATCTCTCAGAGTTGACTCTGTGCATTAAAAAGTGAAAATTCGAGGAAAACAAGAAAAAACCATGAAATCAAGCAAAAACAAGGGAAATTAATTCAACATCGATGTGCGAATTTGATCCAAATCATGTGTTTTTTCGTATTTGTTTCATTTTTGTCCTTTCATTCAACAGAGCAAAACTCAAAACTTGAAGAATTTGAAAAAATCAAAGCTTGTGGAATTTTAATGCACAGGCCCAACTAGTGTTTAATAGATATATTTGGAATTGTCAAATGAAAGCATTGGGGTCTTGTACTTGTTTTTTAACATGAAAAATTCTGAAGAAGGATCCATGATCATGGCATAAAACCACTCACCGTCCACATTAAGAGGTTCGAAAACGTGCATGGTCCACGATTCCAATTTGTATTCTTGACAAAAATCAAACAACGCAGCACGTTTCAATAACAAGACACAAATAAATATCAACGCATTCCATCCAAATTCTTTCATAAGAGCGAGTAATTGGAAAATACATCTCAAATCTAAAAAATTGAAAAATAATTGTCTCAACCAGCGAGTGACAATATTGCAAATGCTTAATCCACACATTACATAAGAATTGTAGTGAATAGGGAATTCTTCACATAATATCGATTCAACATTTGAGACAATTTCTAGAATAACATTCTGATTATTGTCGATCAAGTCCAGGAATGGATTGTTCGCAAGGAATATTTTGACTTTTTCCACATCATTTCCAAAAAGTAGAGTGGCCAGAATTTTTGACCAGCTTTGAGATGCATCAAAATGCCTTTCCTCTCCATACACAGATTTAAAATAGGAAGCGAGATATTTCAATCCAAAAGATCCAATATTTTGGTTTCCACATTCTTGTTGGTCTTTAGAGGGAACCGTAACCGAAACTAGACAAGTATTTGTAATGAAAGATCGGTACTCGAGAATTGAATTACTTTGCAATACTTCAGATAAGGTTGGACAGCCCTCAAATTCTGTACCATCAAATGTTACAGATGCTTTACATGTAGAGAATGGAAATAACTGTTGTTCTCTTCTTTCTGATTTACCTCCAACCGTGGTACAAAATTGCACAATCGAGTTACGTAAATACGAGGGTTCATCAATGATAGAAGCATCTTCAGAAAAGGATATTTTCAGCAGCTCCTTCCATAAATTGCTACTGTAAAGAGATGCTGCAGCATTTAAATTATTAATAAGGCTTGAAAATAATTGTAATCCAAACTATCATCATTTCCAATGTTGTAAATGATAAAAATTTCACTACTCTGCCAAAACTTACCACACAGTCACATTCATACTCTTGCTGTACAAATGACCATATCTGGTCAACGACACTTGATATCTCGTAGGAAAAAGGAGAAAGCAATAATATTTGAGTAATGTCATATCTGAAATGATCTAAATCTTTGCGTTCAGTCTCAGGCGTCCAGTCAAACTGATCATAAATTAATTTTTCTTTGTCAATAAGTTCTGGTATGTAATTAAGGGCAACATCTGCATATGATGTCCGAACACATCCAACTTGAGAGAGCGTATAGCAATGATGAGGAAGGAATAGTTGAGAGCTGATATTTGTGGCACAATAGTTGAGAATTAAATAATTGCAAAAAAATCAGCTACCTACCTTGAAAAAAGATGATCTACACACTCGTCTAACATCTCATATTTCGAAAGAAGGACCAAGCCACGGGTTTTTTGTGTCATGTGCAACAAAATGTGCATGACTTTGTCATATAAGTTGTTCTTTTGTTCAATGACTAAATCGAGCATGTGGGTCGATTCAATCTTATCGTATAATTGCTCAATTCTTGTGATGGACTTGAATATATCCAGACCATGAAGCTTTATCGTATTTGGCAAGGAATCTGATGAAAATATCTCAGTGAGAAAGCTAAATATTCTTTCCATAATGATGTCATCAGAACTCACTTGCTGAGCATGATTGATTAATGCGTTATTGCAAATTTCACATATTGCTGTGATAAATTGCTCCGTGAACATGTTAATCTCAAAAGATGACACAAAGGACGACATCAAAAATGCAATGTAATCCACATCAAAAAAAACCGTATGCATGTTAATTAAGGCCTGCTTGGTTATTGACAAAAGTCTTCGATAGTGCATGGCATCAATAACTGCCTCCTCTTGTTCTCGTATTGCTGTCATAAAAGATTCGCATAATTTTTGAATGATATACTTGTAGTCAATAATAGATTTACAATCCTTGTTCTGAAGAAGGCGAGAACAAATGGCAGAACTATGTGTTAAAACAAAATAGGTCATTGTTTTTTGATTCTTGGATGTTGATGAAAGGCCTTCATAGACTCGATTTAGAAACTCTAATCTTGGTAATAATTTGATAATCTTTTTCCTAATTTTGAATTCTTTCATCCAGCTGGAAAACCATTCATTCTCTGTATCAAGATAGCTTAAAAAATAGTAGGCAGTGCGATTGGATAGAAGCGTAAAAGTTTTCTCCAATAATGTTTTGGAGGTATCTCCAAAGAAGCAAAGCCAATTTTTTGGAACCTCGTAGTTAAATTGGAGTAACACTTTAAAAGAGTCCAAAAGACCATGATTACTTTCTATCGTTTCTAACTGAAGTGATGATTCTTGATATTGGCTGATCCTTTCGATAAGGTGGTTCAGTAAATTAATATGAATTTCTGCAGTTGCCTCAGGAGGTGAAACTTTGAAGAAGTTTTTGTACATGGCCACACATAAATTTCGAAGTTCTTCATGCTCATCATCTGATAATCCTTGAGTAACATTCTCTAGTACAATATTCCAATGTTCGTTCGAAACAATGTCAGCTGCAAACATTTTATGAAGCTCTTTAGCTGCCTCTACTCGTGCATTAGTTTCCATGCTTTTGTTTCCAATTATTTTTGCCAGTTCCTTTCGTCGGTCACTGCTCTCGAACATGTGTGATTTTTGATTGACAAAATTCTCCCAATAAAATTCAGAGTCGGCAGAAGGAGATGTAGTGTCTCGCGTGGATGATGTGTGGCTTGATTTTGACTCTTTTTTCCAACCATGTTCCTTAAATTCTATTATGGCTCGGTCGACCTCAGCCAACACTTGGAGCAATAAATGCTCAAATTTGGGTGAGTTAATCAATTGCTCTCCAAAATTTACACTTCCCGACATGATATCAAACAGAAGAGAGTCTTCTCCTTGTTGATTAATTTTTTGTATGACATCCTTTGTGAACACGTTCTCTATTTGAGATAAGATTGCACTCACAATGTCGTATTTCTATCATAATTTTCGACACCAAACAGTCATTGGATCATCATGTGAGTTTTGTGTGTGCATCAAGATGACGATGTTCATAGAGTGTTACAATAATGTTCACAATGCTCAATCCAAGTGTATACACTTCTCATCATGTAACTTACATGAAACTGAGCATCAAGTCTCTCCATCGATAGTAAATCCCTCTCAACACCATCCGATTTCAATTTCCGATCAAAATCATCAAACGAGAACACCTTATACCTCTGTTGTAGTTTCTCTAGCACTTGTTTAATCGAACGGGCATTGATGGTCTTTCGTTTCTTCATTCTTTTTTTTTCAACACAAAATTGTTTTCCGCCAAAACATTGTAGTCATTCAACACATGTTGTGCAATCAATCTCAAACACAAAATGAATTCATTTATGAGTGTAAATAAATCCATCAATACATCAATCATGATGAGGATGCTGATAGATACTAACTCGATCCGAGAGAGAGCTATAAGGCATTCTATTCTTCAAGAAGCATGGAATGAGGAGGATGATACTGTTTCAGAGTGGAATAAATCATTCGGACTGTCTTTTGTATGGACGTTACATTGAGAATTTCATGGGTAGAGGATCCCATACACGAGTAATAGCGACGATCAAGATGAGTTGTTTCATCTTCTTTTCCAAGAGGAGGTGTCGACTGGATGATGGATCGTTCCAATAATTGAACAAACGGAAGAGACAACATGAATCGGCTGTGATGATGATCCTCATGAGATTCCTCCTCTTCATCAGCATTGTGATTCTCCAGTAGATCTTCGATCGTAATGTCATCCATCTGGTTCTTCTTCTTCTTCCTATGTCCATAAGGAACCTCTCCATTCTCATCAATCATCTTGTTTGTTCTTCCATCTATGGCAGTCTGCCTAGTTGTTCTTCGATAGGACACTTGTGGAAATTCGAGTTGATACGCAGGGAGAGTTAATTCCCACAATTCTTTTCTTCCTTCATGAAGGAGTTGAGAATTGAGTCGTTCGAGTTGATACCACACACCTTGGTGTTGCATGTGATTTCGAATGTTGCTCCATTTGGAAATATTCGAAATTCCCTGAATGGAAAGAGTTTCCTTGTCGTCCTTGTTGTCGTGATGGACCATTTCTATGGAGGCTGTAGCAGCAACACTGTTGACACTACTACTCTTATTCGAAGTAGTGGTGCTGGCCACACTCGTTCCAACTCCAAGTAATACACTTTCCAAAATGACAATAATATTCGAGAGAAGTGATTGGAAAGACATGTCGACATGTGTGAAAAATCGTTCTTCTTTAGAATCATTGCTGTTTCTGAGACGATGATGACGGTCGTTGCTGCCATAGAATCCATGACTACTTGTCCCATAGATACTCGTCGCTGAACCTGATGAGGAAGAAGAAGAACTCTGTGGATCCACACCCATAAACCAACTCACACTTTGCAGTAGGAAAGACATGTCAATGAACGTAGGATGCGCATCAAGGAAGGGTGCAACTACCTCCTCCTCTTCCTCCTCCTCACTATAACCAAGTCGTTGAAAAGATGTTCCATTCACGTCAAATAAGAGAGAATAGTGTCGAGCTCTTTCTTCCATATCTTGCTGTGAGGGAAATGCAAGTTGTGAACGAACCATGCTTGTCGTGTGCTTGTTTCCGTGCGCATCACCAGTACCACCACTATCACCACGACTACCACTCAAATGTTCTCCATATGGATACTGTTGTTGATGTGAGAAAGTATTCTCAAATTCTCTCAACGAATTCAATAAGGGTTGCAATCCTTGAATATTCATCTCATTCAAAAACATGGTACTCGCCTTAATACCTGCCTGTAAATTATTTCCAAAGAATAATTGTCGATGGAGAGAACCCTTCAGAAGTGTGTGATGGAAAGTCTTTTCGTGAATGGTCATTTCGAGAAAGGTGGAAAGTAACATTCGGTCGTCCGGACATTGCAACCTTATGGGATGATGATCAATGAGGATTCCACCTCGATGTTGCCTTGCCAAATGTTCATTCATTCGAATGACATATTGAGCCCATTTGGGATGTGTGTTTGAATGGGAGTGAGTGGTACTTGTTGTTTGTGATGAGGAGTCATTCATGGAGGATGAATGAATGGCATTACTCGATCCACTTTTGAATCGAGTAAGGGAAATGTTCGTTCGAGGATCATATTGTCGACTGAGCCCAAAACATAACTTGAGGGTCATACACACAAAACACATGATCAACATGCAGGGAGACATGTGGCTCTCAGTGAGTGGATTTTTCCAAAATGGTAAAGTGGTTACTGAATTTTCACATTGGTTGTAAATGGAGGGTTGTGAAATTTTTGTGTAAGCCTGAATGAGACGACACGTGTAAGAGATAAGAGTGTCGTATTCTTGTTGTGGAATGTTTGGAATGAATAATGGAAAAAGTGGTCGAAGAATAATTTCACAATTAATATCTGGAATTGGAATGTATCGGCGTGAAATGAAGGGTGAAGGAGTTGATTGCGTTTCATGGCCTTGTGTTTGCTCGGCACTCGATGGAACACTCGTTTGAATGAATTGCTTTCGTTGAGAGAGTTTTTTCACACGTTTCCATAATTCTCTCGAGTCGGGCATGACCCCTTCTCTGAACTAGATTATTCCATGAAAGGAATGAATAAATATAAACATACACAAAAGGTTAATGAAAAATGGTTGAAAATATCATACAATTTTAAGAACGACACAATGATGATTCTACTACTACTACATTTGCTACTCACATTTGATGCCATATTATCTTCTGTATACATGTTAAATGAAAAAGTATTACTACTAAATTTTCTAAATCGAGGATCATTTGAAAAAAGTTCAGTACACACTTTTCGATACGGAATTACTCCCGTCATGGCCCAATGTCTTAAAATTGGAAGCATGACTGGATGTCCTATAGTTGCACATGCCAAATAAATAAACACCAATGTATCATAGGATTGAAGTTTTGGTAATAAAAATCCAACAAATTTCAATTCTTTTTGTAAATATAGTTTTCGAAGTGCTCGTGCATTGACCTTGACAAATCTATGAAGAGTATTCCTAACATTGACATGCAATTGTTTCTTAGTGAGTTTGCTTCTTAGAAGTGGTGTTTTGCTGCATGAAATTGTTGTTATTTAAAGTGCCGTTAATAAAAAATTCAGTTCATCATATTTTCATTACAATTAATTATAAAGGTGAAAAATTGTAATTATCAAAAAAATCCAAAGTTTCAAGATTTGTCATTTCAATTGAATCAAAATTGAAGCATTCAATGTTGAATAAACATGATGATTTGTGTGGTCGTATCCAAAATTTTCAAATTCGCTTCAACAAAAACACCTACAATTTAACTTCATCCACAAAATCCAACCAAATATCTGCGAGAGCCTTCCTCAAAATTGAAGGGAAATTCATTCTTTCAATTAAAAAGTCTACCTGACATTGCAATACTCTCTGAAAACAAAATATAAAAGCATATCCACTATTTTGCTCACATTGTTCATCCAAAGATTGTGTTCCTCCTAATTCTGTGAACGTGAAAATATCTCTGCTCACACGACCAGTGTTTTGTTGTCCCGTTTGAAATGTAAATGTATTGTTATCTTCTCCTTCTTGGTCTCCAATTTCGAGATAATAAATAGTTTTGTTGTGTTTACTTCCAAAGCCACAATAACTGCACACTTTGGATGAGCCCATCGGAGCTCCACATTCTACACATTGTCGGAATTGGGATGACATGCAGTAAAAAATAATACTAATTTATGTTTACTACTCCTACGAGAGACTGCTATTGATGGTCGCCAAAAAGAAGAATATTCATTCAGAGTAAGTAAGTGGCAAAAAGAGAGTACAAATTACAGTAAGATTCGAATTTTTTTTGAATTGTTCTAAAAAATTCTTTCGCTAAATCAATTCGAATGTTTTTATTGGTGAATTGGGGAGCCACATCATTTATAAGTGGATTATTGATGTACTCCAATTATCACATCCTGCAATTTAATAGAATGAAGGGAAACTAAGTCTAGTGATTGCAGACTTTGAAACTTCTTCATTTGGATAGGAATGATCAAACGAATCGCGATGCAATCTGAAGCTTTGGCCTGGTTCTGAAGCATGGGATGAATCATTAATGTGACGCCAAGCATCAAAATCAATCTTTTCAGTATTGGAAAGCCAAAATTCGATTGGATTACCATAGATGACAAATCCTCTGAACATTTGCTCAATCTTGTTTGAAATTTCTGGTGGATACGCTTCAAACCAAATATGTTCGATCGTGTCGTGAACATTCTTCAGTGATACCAACTTGTATCTGTCTTCGGTTGGATCTGTGTTATAATTCTTGTTTTTGTAGTAATAGTAAGGGTTTTTCTTTTGTTCTTGCAGCGTCTTTTCACGCTCTTGAATAATGTGAGGAGGAGGAAGATGGCTCATGGCTCTAAACCAACAAGTTCTCGAGGTACCTTCCTTCAATAGAGGCAACTTGTTGAATGGAATGGGTGTATAGGCATCTCTATAAAAGTTCATTGAGGTTGGATGGAAGCTGCCAATGGCTTGAGTGCCTGAAAATGTTTCAATTCGAAAAAGATGTGAGAGTCATGACAATAGAAATTAAAAACCACTTTCAATTTTGAAAACAATTCCAAATAAAACATACCTGGATCTACTGTAATCCATTCAATGGTCTTGCTCACTCTTGATTCTTGTTTTTCATTGTTGAGGATCATGTCAATGTCATTCAATGAATAAATAAAGAAAGGTTTCCAGTCTGGTTTTCTTTCTTGCTCTGGTGGCTGTAATTTGAGTGCAGTCACTCTTGAATCGAAGACAATGGCCTCAGTTTCTCTAAATTCTTTTCTTTCCATTCGACGTTCTTGATATCGGCGACGCCAATTTGACAATCCTCTTCCAGTCTGGTTGGTGTTGTCATTCTTTTCATTCTCACTCTTCTTTCCTTGCATATTGATCAGAGCAACCATGTTGTGTGCCTTTGAAAGTTGGTCATACAAATAAGATGGAGGATATCGATCACTCTTAATGATTGACAAATCCATATAATCAGATTTCACGTTAAACTCTCCAGCTAGGATGAGCACTTTGCGTTCTTCTTTTTCTTGAGCCTTAATTGAATTGGGAGCATCATAAGGACCTAAAATATGTTTTGGATTTTTAGATTGACAAGCCAAGTCCATTGCAAGAATGCGGGCCAATCCATGCATTAAATACTCCATACTTGTGAAGGGAAATCTTCTTGGATATTGCAACAATTGATTTTGAACTTTTCCAGAATCAAATCCAGGAATAGAAACACTGAAACCTCTTTTCGCATACTTGTACAATCTGTACTCATAGGTGGTTGATTGACGATCAACATCGACCAAGTTTGTGTTGAAGGCAAGAGCTCTTCTTGCTCTTGGAGAACTCCAAACAGTTTTACCGTCGAAACCAACACAAGCACAATCGATATCAAACCCGAGCAAGACTTCGGCTGGTGACTTGTAAATTCTCAACACTACTTGAATGGGTCTAATTCTATAGCCATAGAATGTGACTGCATATTTTGTTCTCACTACCAAGATATCATCATTGATGACAGTATTTGTCGTTTTCAAGATACCATCTTCGAATAATACCTTCTCTTCTTTCTTCTCTTTTTGTCTTCTATAATAATAACGTCCACTTGATGACAAGTGTTGAGAATGTGAGTCTGGCAAAAGTAAGCGAGCCATGTTCTTCTTGATGGTTTCATAAATATGAAGAATTTTCTCTTCAGCTTCTTTTTCAGTCATGGCATATAAAAACAAATCAATATCACTCTTCTTGAAACTTGTTGGAATGTTTGGTTCTGGAATTACTCGAGCATTTGAATGGTCTGTGACAGTGGACTTGACTTCAACTTGTTTTTGTTTGTTCGATCGTCGTGTGTCATAGCCTTCGTACGTTTCTCCATATCTATATCTCGAAAAGATCGTACTATTTCCAACACTATCCAAGTTGTGGAAAGCAGAAATTGGGTACTTTTCCACAGAATCATTGGGTTGGTGGGTTGTATCTTTTTTGGTGAATCTTCTCCAAAAGCCAAAGTCATTTGTTTCATTTTCATCATCATCGTCATCAATGGTTGAGATGGATCTTGATGTGTTATTGGTTGATCTTTCCTCAAGGGACATTGGGAAAATTGTGGATACGGGAGTTTGACCTGAAGGGTCACCATCTTTCAATAGACATCCCAAAACTAGTTCAAATTTCAAGAGTGAAAATAATCCATTGACGATGTCGTGTCAGGCATATTCAATGATTAATTCAGTATATCAAAAAGTATAATAATAGAACACAATCCTCACAAAATAAATTACATACCGCCACCACCTGCTGCAAAAATACCCTTCCAGTCCAAACCTTCCAATACTCCCTGAGTGAATCTGTGCCAGTTCAATTTGAATGCTTGAATATTATTCACAAGACGTGGAGGAGAAACATGTCTCGAGTATTTGGTCTTGTCACTGAGGTCCAAAAGCTTTGGACACTTGCCAAAATCGACTCTATACCTCTCTTGCAATTTAATTTCATCTAATTTGCTGAACAAGGGAGCCAACATTAGATATGGATCATCTAATAAGGGTGAATCTCTACTTTTCGCGAAGAGTTCTCTTAATTTATCCTCTTGTTCTTTGAGCTGAATGTTGTCCTTTCCTAAAAGTTCTACTGGATAACGTAATGGATCCAAGTACTCTTGAATCAGTGTATTCATTCCATAGAATTCAGCCTCCTTCTTTAGTTGGAGTTTCTTCTCATTGGACAAATACTTGGGAAAATGATAGAATTTTCCTCCAGAAATAATATATCCATGAATGAAATTGAAGAGTTTGGGGCTTCTATCAATAAAGATACATCCATTTTGATTTAACTTGAAATTTCCTGACAACATGTACTTGGTGATTAAAAAGTTTTCATACTTTCTCAACGCAGTGAAGGGAATGGCAAAGATTTGTCCTGACACATCGACACGCACACTCAAATCACTTTCAACATCATTACCCACAAGGAAATTTTTGTAGCTTTCAACCAATTTCTGAGACATTTTCGAAACATTAATCTTGGACTGATTGACTTTTTCATTGGTTTCCTTAATGTACTGTTTGACCTTTTCAACTGGAATCAATGATGAAGAGGCGACACCAAACTCTTGCTGGTCGTCATCCATAAGATTCATGCCAACTTCATCATAATTTGTCAATGATGAGTCATATTTGTGATACTTATCGAGTAGGAATAGAATGTATTCTGACAACTTTTCAGTAAGGAAAAATCGGCTCTCTTCCAAAATATTCTCCAACTCGGTAATGTTCAATTTTTCAATACCCAATGATTTCACTCTTCCTCCTTGTCTCAAATGTTCCAAAATATATTCGAAATACTCTGGATCTCGATCCTCGAAAGAGATGGCTGATTTGTTTTCCTCTCTCTCAATACCAAATCCACTATCAAACATGACCTTAAATAGATTGTCTTGAGCACAGACATATTCGAGAGAGGATGCTGATTGAGTCTTTGAAGAAGTAGCACCTCCTTCCTCGTCTTGCATCTCTTCGGTAGCACCTTCCTCCTCTTCTTCACCTCCTTCCTCATCGACTTCTTCTTCATCTCCTTCTCCTGGTGGTCCTCTTTTCTTTGGCTTTGGTCCAGAAGAGACTTGTCCACTAATGACAATCTTTTTCGATTCAACACTGGATCCTCTCTGACCCAACAAGGTCTTTAAAGTAGTATGGAAGAAACGAGAGCCAACTTTCAACACGACCAATTCATCGGTTTGCATTTGTTCGAGAATTGAGAGATTTTCCTTCATCATCTTTTGAGCCGATGAAGCATCAGACACAAAAGAAGAAAATTCATTGTTGTTGGTGGAAGTTAACGGAGTTCTCGATAATGATGATGAAACAACACTTCCTCCTTCATCACCATGATGCTGAAATTGATCGACCAAACGCTTGATCATGGTCTCAGTCTGTTGTTGCAAAGTTAATTGATGAAAAGTCTCTGAAACCTGATCAATCAATTCACTGGTTTCCTTCTCTGCCGTGGAGAGTTCATACGATGGTGAGGATACCAAGGAGGTATCATTCTCGGAGAGTGATGAGTTCAACATGTCAGAGGATGATGGTTTTCTCTTCTTGCTTTCGTGGTTGGATGCCATGATCATCAATTTGCGTTTTTTTAAAGCGTGTGCTAATCAAGTGGTGGTTGTGCTTCTAGAAAAAGATGAACTTGTGCGCTTTTGATTTTCTGCAAATTTCAGGAAAAAGATCGTGTAACACGATGAGTGGGCCGATTACAACATCAAGATTTTAAAGGGTCTCCAGCTCGGAGAAGAGTTTCCATCATATTCACCATCACAACACCACACGTTTATGCATGAGCAAAGCAGTTTTTGGGAGAAGGCAGTTTCGCTGTGGAAAAGGACGTTCTATGGATCTCATTCTAGTCCATTATCCAAGCGAATTTCATCTAGAGCCAGCGAAAAAACCAGTTGCATAAGCCTACTGTGAACACGCCCTCTTGAATCTTTTGGAAAAGCTTTGAGGAGTGACATATTTGTAAACATGCTTTTTTTGCTTGTTGACAATTTGAAGATCAACCAGAAATAAACCATTTAGCTGTGGGAGTGATCAATGTTTTTAAATGCAAACCAAAACTTTTCTGTTAGTTGTTGTTCCAATTCCCTCAATACCGTTGCAATTCTCAGTACTAATTGTACGAGCCTCCAAACGTCGAGCAGCGAGAGAGATTGTACAGGTCCTCTCGAAGGTGCAAGATGTTGCCGGCTTGTTTTTTGTCACTTTGAGAAACTTTTTTTCTCTTCAAGATATTCTTTAAAAAAGTATGATTCACTCGGTTGTTATTGTTGTCTTTCAAGGGTTCTCAGTTAGTACTGTAATGATTGGTTATTCTCTGAGCAAACTGTAACCTTTTCAACCGGGTTTCGTTTTTGAAATTTGAATCGAAAAGCAATTTTTAAAAAAATGAATCTTTTGCATAATCCTTCTTCTCTGCAGAGGCGGAATAAAGTTGTGGATGATGATGAGAACGATGAGGACGAACAGCATTTACCTTCGTCAGCATCGGAAGAAGAGTATGAGGAAAGTGAAGATGAAGAAATGACAAACACTAAACAATACCAAATAGTAACTTCAACCAAACCAAAACGGCAGACCATCAGCCGAAGCAAAGTTTCTTCTCATTCCGATGAATCAGATAATGATGTAGATGACGACGATGAATCCAGTTCTTCATCATCATCATCGAGCGATGATGGTACGTTTAAATTTCAACCGAAAAATTATTTCGGAATAATGATCTCTTAAATCTTTTTTTAATATCAACCAACTAAAATATTTCAAACACATCCAATAATTGAAAATTCATACAAATTATCATTAGACGATTCCGATTGGAGCGTAGAGGAGCGAGATGGAGAAGATGTTGTCATTAAGAAGTACAAGCATATGTATGTTCAAATTGGAATTTAAAACTTTCTTTGACCTAACGTTTTAAAATTTCTCTTGCTTTGACCTGTCACATTTTACAGAGGAGAAGATCAAAATCCAACAACACCGGTTACTTTTCAAGAAAAGAAATCAGATTTTCCGATCAAAGTCAAAGATGATAAATGCTCTATCGGATTATCAGTAAGTATTTTGTAATTGAAAGATCGGTCTTTTATCATGCATCATATTACTATGCATTGTCAAAAAATTTTCAAACTACTCAAATATTGTTTTTTAAATAATACATTAGGGTTATTGCATGATTCATGCAACTCATTGTTTAGAAAGTGGAGCATACTATTATGAAGTAAAAATTGAAAATAATACTGAAAATAATTCAGTTCCTGATTATGCAAGGAAACCTCACTACAGAGTAGGATGGTGTTTGAAAGGAGCTTTTGACAAAGGTCCATGTGGATTTGATAAATTATCCTATGGCTATGGCAGCAAGGATGGAAAAGTATATCACAAATCAAAAGGGATTCCATACGGAGAACCTTTTGGAGAAGCTGGAGATGTCATTGGATGCTATATTGAAATTCCCAAAGTCGAAATGCCACCCATTAAGTACATAGAGTCTGCATTTTTTGGTGATGACGGTCAACAATACAAGCAATTCACTGCAACTTTGGATGAAAAGGCAGTTGTTGGAAGCAAAATTGTTTTCTTCAAAAATGGAAAGTATCAAGGAATAGCATTTTCAGACATAATGTTTGGAGCATATTTTCCAGCCATCTCACTCTACATGAACGCATGTGTCACAGTTAGATTCGAAGCAAATCAATTTCAGTACAATCCTCATGACTGTAATCCTGAAATTGTGAACAAAAATTGGAAAGCTATTGGAGAATTAAGAAAACGTACCAAACCAGCTTCACAAAAACCTCAAAACACACCATCCAAAGACCTTGAGAGAGGCGAGTTTAAGGCACCAAAACCACGGCACAGAGAGGCCCTGAAGAGTAGTACAGGAAGCATGGTAGAAGCGGCAAGAAAATTGCATTCTTCTCCAAGTAATCCTAGACATTCAAAAATTGCGTCTGCCTCTACCCAATCGATTCCACTTCACAACGATGCAGTATCTAAAAAACACAAAAAGAACAAGTCAAGCTCAGCCCACCCAAAACAACCAAAACAAGCATCCGCTACTGCTACTCACCATTGTAGTGAAGGAAAGAAATCTTCTTCCTCTAAACACAACAAGAAACCTAAAGATCTGAGCGGTTCTGATATTCTCCCATCAACTTCTCTCAGTGCAAGTAGTACTCATATGAATCAAGGTCTTGAAACTTTAACAACTTCTGGTACCGTTCCAAATAATACGCCAAACATGGATCAAACAAGCGCTCCAAACAACGACATTGCTGTAAACAGTTCCAAAGCAGAAAATACTGTCACTCCAATCTTGCCACAAAATATTGAAAAGAAAAAGCCAAAAAAGCATCATGAAAGTTCTAGCGGGCCAAAATCAGAGTTTTCAAAGAAGGATACATCCAGTTTGCCAGAGAAGGAGCCACAGGACCTTTCCAAACCTGTGAAGGTGGTGGAAAATGTGCCTGCAACCACAATAGAAGAGAAGGCAACAAATAAGCAACAACAAAAAGATGACACAATCGTGACAAGTTCTAGTTCTATTGAAACCAACAACCCTGTGAACCAAGCCCTATCGACCACTCTCCAACAAGAATTTGCTCAAATAGGCCTTGCCATCTCAAATATTAAGGACTTACCTAAAGTAGAGACAAAAACGCTTGAACACCCGAACACTAAGAAAGCTACTTCAAAACTTGAAACGGACACATCTCCACGATTGTTGAATCCTCAACCACCAACAGCCATGCTCTCTGTGTCAGCAACAGTCGCTTCGGTCTCAAATGAACAACAAGATGCCATTCTGGCAACACCAAGCATTGACATCTCACCTTCTTCTACCATTCCACCAGCAACTACAACGTCACACCAAGCAGTTCCTCCGATCTCTGTAGCAACCACAACAGCCACCACTGCCACATACATTACAAACATGTCCGATAAACCTTTGGCACATTCTACAACAGCAACACCAACTAAGGAACGAAAATCCAAGACCGCCAAAGCTGAAAGTTCTCTCATGGTGATGGCTAGAAAAACTCAAGTCGATCACAATCCAAAGAAAGGAATTGGCTTATTGAAAAACAAAAAGGATGAAACTGCGCAACACAAAACACCACTTAAAAGGAAGAATTCTCTTTCGAAAGAGGAAGAGCATGTTGCTGTTCATCATCACACCACAAAGCTAGTGGATCCACCAAAATCAGCCCAAAAGAAAAAACCTGAAGAGTCAAAGCAAGCACTTACATCATCCTCGGAAGATGTCAACAATAAGATACTTGAAAGTGGCTCCAATGTTGTGGAAGCTCCTGAACAGCAACACTTGACTGTTGCTGCTACTGTTGATGATTTGTCTCCAACAAACAAGAAGAGAAAAACCAGCAAAGAAATTCCCTATGAACATCCTTCAGAAAAGCAAACTGTTCGTTCCGAATTGACTAGTACACAACACACTCACATAGATACTATCAATTTTGCTACTAAGGCGTCACAACCAATTCAACAACAGTCACATCCAATGAATCCTCAGCAATTATTCGAGCAACAACTGTTAAGTAGTGAGAGACTTTCAGACGTGGAACAAGGCACACCCAATACTAGGCAACAACAAGCACAGCGCTCACAACAACCTCAACAACAGCAGCCAATTCGGCAAGAACATGTCGAACAATTTATGCCAAATATGCTTGTTAAGCAAAATCAATCATCTTCAACATTCAATCCTCAATCTCAAGAATCCATGATTCGATCTAGGAGTAACAGCTTTCAAAGCTTGTTAAATGCGCATCCACAACAACAATCGCACACTCGGACGACTGACCCTCAACAAGTTAATCCGCCTAATGTAAACCTCACAAATTATCAAATTAATAAGCCATCACAACACCAGAAATTCGCTCCTTTACAGGAAACTAGTATGCTAAATGCATTCAATAATTTATCGACACCAATGACTGATCAACAACAACCTTCAAATAGCACTGTTGTGTCGTCGTCCAGAACGGAGCAATATTCTGCACCCATGTCATTCCGTGAGCTGCTTTTTACTCCAACAGTCCCTACTTTCTCACAACAACCTCAATCTTCTTTGTCGACAAACGTTCATGCCCACCAAATTGAATCATCAACCATGCAGGGTAATTTAATGAATCATCAATCTCAATTCAATCCATCAATATTGATGGCTCAGTCGCATCATCAACAAGCTCAACAATCACAACAACAACCGCTTGCCAATAATTCATCCATTCCATTACAGCAACCACGCATCTCATTACTTGCAGGAAATGATCAGAAAGAGCAATTCTCAATGAGCAATACTGAGACATTTGTGGATTCCTTTAACAAGTATATGGCTCCTAGAAAGCTTAGCGATCCTCCACAACCAGCAACCCCTGTCTCTGCTCAGTCACAACAAAGGAAGCAAACATTTAATCCAACTCAGTTCATTCAACGAAATGTTTCCAATGCTGCTTTGCAACACAATCATCCAAGTGGCAGTAGCACCTCTGGTAACTATCACATGATGTCACAGCAACAACAACAACAACCAATTCAACAATCAACTTCAAATGCTTACCATCAAATCAGTCAACCTTCACAGAGTAATCTCCCACAAACCAACTCCACTGTGGCAAGTATGCATCAACCATATGCTCAACAACAACAAACAAACCTTCATCAAGCACAAATGCGTCCACAATTTGGCAATTTTGGAGCATCCATCATGTCAGATAACCGAAGTCAACAATTACCCTCAATTTCTGATTCGTTCACAAGTGCAGCTGCCAATAGAAGTTCTTTACTTACTTCCATGCCTCAACAGACATCCACTCAACCATTTCTGAAACAACAAATGCAACATTCACAACAATTTCACCAGCAAATGAATTTGAACAGTCCTACCGCATTTCAACATGTTCAAAACTATCCATCCCAACATCACCAACAACAACACTTCTCCTCCTCTGGCATGTCACAAAATACAGTGGTTATGTCTCAACAATCATTGTCGTCCAACCACAATCCTTCCTTCATGATGCATACAGGCAATCCACAACAATCACAACATTTTGCACAACAACCCTCACAACAACAACAACACAATCAATATTTATCCAATCCCAACAATTACAGAGGAAGTTTTCAACAATAAACATGACTCCCAATTATTATTATAATTTAATTTAATAATTGATTGGCCTCAGTGACATGTCTCTTTCACACCGGGGTTTATTTTCAAAAAAAATGAAAATCTCCACCAAAGGTGTTGGCAGATATGGTGTTGTGATGATGATGGCGTTGATCATTGTCATCATCACAATAATGACTAGTACAATTGTCAACACCACCCGAATCCCACAAGAATGGAAGTCTCGATCCATCTATCAAATCATCACTGATCGTTTCAGTCCCACCAATTCCAATCCCAATCAATCCTGTCTTTTATACACTTATTGTGGAGGAACATTTATTGGAATAATGAATCATTTGCAATACATTAAAAATTTGGGATTCAATGCCATATGGATCAGTCCTATTGTGTTGAATTTACCCAATGGATATCATGGATATTGGATGAAAGATTTATTTCGAGTGAATCCACATTTTGGAACAGAGAGTGATTTGTTGAAATTGGTCAAGACTGCACAATCGATGGATATTTGGGTGATGGTGGATGTGGTGTTCAATCATGCGGTAGGTTTATTTATATACATATGAAATATATCATTTGTTTGTAAACATGTAATAATCGGGGTGAAAATTATGTGTCGCCATGAATGGATGATTATTCAATAATTTTCACACAACTTTAAATTATTATTCGAAATGTTAATTTTTAATTTATTTCGTTTGACTCTCAATATTTATTTCGTTTGACTTGTGTGTTGATTTACATTTCATTTGACTCTTTACCCTCTTGGTTCATTTATTAATTATTATTAATAATTTTTATGAAATTTCATACCTTTCGTGTACACTTCTGCACACATTTATAGGGACCAGTTGGTTTTGATTTTGCAGAAATTTCACCCTTCAATCAATCTTCACATTATCATGCCTATTGTGAAATTACAGATTGGACCAATCAAACACAAGTGGAAATTTGTCGACTTGCTGGTTTACCAGATTTGGATCAAAGCAATTCATTTGTTTTTAATACTTTAAATTCATGGATTTCAGACTATATTATTAATTATTTTGGATTTGATGGCATTCGAATTGACACTGTGGCTGAAGTTCCAAAATCCTTCTGGGCCAATTTAAAACAAAATATTCTCATTCCTAAAAATGGTAATATTTTTGCCATTGGTGAAGTTTTTAATGGAGATTTAAACTATGTGGCTCCCTATGCCAATATTTTGGGCAGTACACTACATTATCCTCTCTATTTCACATTAAGAAATATTTTCACTCAATATGGGTCCATGTACCAAATTAGGAATATCGTGCAACAAGCAAGATCTCTTGTGAAAGACACCTCCGTATTGGGAGTGTTCATTGATAATCATGACAATCCAAGATTTTTAAATTTCAACTCGGATTACAAACTCTATCAAAATGCATTGACCTATGTGCTAATGTCAGAAGGAATTCCAATTTTCTATTATGGAAGTGAACAAGGATTTTCAGGAGGAGTAGATCCTCAAAATAGAGAACCTTTGTGGACCACCAATTTCAATGAAAATTCATATCTGTATCAATTTGTTCAAAAAATTACCAAGTTTAGAAATATGCACATTCAAGAATTCATTCAAAATCCATTACAAGTCGAACGATATGCTGCCAATAATTTCTACGCTTTCACAAGAGGTCAGATTTTTGTGGCAACCACGAATGTGGGTTCCAATTACAATCAATTGCAATACACCATTACATATCATCCGTATCAAAATGGACAAGTGTTGTGTGATGTGTTTTGGCCACAAGATTGCATTACAGTGACGAATGGACAGTTCACAATTACCTTATTGAATGGAGAATCAAAGATTTTTTATCCACAACATTAAAGAGATGCAATATTTCAGTATTTTTTTTTGTAAACTCGTTCGAATCAATAAGATTTAAAGAGTCTTTTAAATACAATTAAGAATTTCAACTATATTGTTGAAGAAAACTAGTTGTCGTTTTTAATCATGATTAAACAAATTGGGAGCCAAGCTAATATCTTCAAATCGACAAAATGGTTTCGATGCACAATTTCCATAACATACAGGTCCTCTCTTCTCTTGAATACAAGCATTGAGACACTTTTGACATGCTTGTGATGTTTCAAGTGATGATTTTCTTGTTGTCTGAAGATCACTTTTCAACCATCGAGCAATTTGAAAATTTTTCAATTGATGATCTGCAAGTAATGTTTCTTCTTTTATGATCTTTGGACTCTTTATCGATGGTTGGGAATTCTTCTTCTTATTTTTCAACTTGTTTAAATATTGAATCAAAATATCCCAAATATCATTCATGCGATGTTTTCGATCTCGAATTGGTCTTAAATGATTCGATTGAAGCAACGTCGATGGATGTTCTTGAATGGTTGTTGACTTGGATGGCATTGTCGATGGGTGATTGGTTGGAATTTGAATGGCATGTAAACAAGTTGAAAGTAACATGAATGTGAAAGCAAGAAGAAATAATAGGCTGCTTCTCCGATGAGAGTGGAAGAGGGTTTTGGTTCGTTGTTTTGTGTTGGTCATTTTTTTCTTTTTTTTGCTCGATTATGACACTTGACAGGTGGTCATTGTCATAACCATACATTTCTTTTGAAACCAAGATTATTCTATTAGACAAGAATTTTCAAACAACATGATTTCAACTGCAGCAGGGCTAACACTTGTCGCATTGAAAATTGTTAACAACTTTTTAAGAAATCAATTTATTGTTAATGCATTGAAAAAATTGTAAACAACTTTTTAAGAAATCAAAAAAAAATGAAAAAACAAAATCCTTTTGTTCACAAGAAAGTCAACTCCACTTCGGGCGGTGGTAAAAAAGTCATTATAGGGAGTTTTGTGAATGAAGATGATCATCAGTCGGCATCATCACCATCTGGCGCAACCATTACAAACAAAACAACAGCGAGTAGTAAAAGATCAAATTCATCATCAACAAGGGAAGATCATAAGAGAAAAATTGAAACAACCGGATCGGAACACCAGCAGACTCCTTTCACGTCCTATCCGTTGAGTAAAAAGAAGAAGGATTCCGAACAACAACCAAATGTTGGCCGAATCACAGAATCCATGATGAGAGCCTCCATGGTAAAACCCGAATCGGATTCAACGTCTTTATCAAAAACAACAGAAACCTACATCAAGCCTCTTCCAGCTAACTTTTTTGATTCAGCACCATCGGAATATGATCAAAAGAAAATTCAAGAGGGTTATAAAGATTTAACAAAGAGTGGAAAGAGTTCAGGTGTTGGAGCGGAAACAATTATAAAAGACAAGGGATTTGCTATGATTGTAAATTCTGCTGTTATCAAGAAGAAGATTGATAAATCGACGACAGATAAGTCATCCTCCGCTCATCGACAAACAAAAGCAGAACGAAATTTGGAAGCACTAGAACAAGAGTTGGACGAAAGAGAAGACGCTGAAGAAATGAAACGACAATTAGAAGAATTTTTGAAAATTGAAGAAATTCGTAAACAAACAGAAGCTCTAATGTCTAGTAGTAAATCGACCACGAAGAAGGATTTGAACAACAAGGAAAATTCTGAAACTATGGATGCGAATGACTCAAAAACAACAAAAGAACAAGATGAAAGTGATGACGAACTGGAGATGAATTGGAAATCTAAATCTCTCAAGAAAAAATAGAGATGCTTGTTCTTGTGAATGACATTTGAAAAAGTTCTGTCACATATTAAGGTCTTGTGGAGTCTCCATAAAAAGATACCTCACACATTCATGATGGATAACATATTTTTTAATTATGAAGTGGAGCAATAGGATTAATCGGATAGATATTGATATGACTATATGAAAGCTCTCGCCCAGTTTTTTCAAATTCTTTCCGTATTAATTGTTCAACCTCGCTTAGCGTTGTCACTCCAATATGGCAAGTCCAAAATTCCTTCACAAGAATTGAATATTCAAGTATGATATGACACTCCTTAAATTTTTGCACAAATAAGGTTACTAACGGCAAGGTAACATATTCAATGAAAGAATGCTGACATTTCGCAACATTACTTCTGTCTCTATCCATGAATGGGCTACCATCCAGGTGAAGCTCTTTTTCTTTGTCACCTTGTAAGAAAAATTCTTGTTGTAATCTATTAATCCAAGGCAGATGCAAAAACAGGGGTTTGGACGTATTTGATGTGTCAGCAACTTTGAGACTCATCTTTAAAAAGAAAATTTTTTCTTGCGCCAAAAGCTCAGAGTTCTGCTTTCCGACGTCCATCATTGCTTGCATTTGATTCATGAAACCTTGTTGAAAAGATAAATCTGTAGCGCCAACAAGACCTATCACAATTTCTCTCACGTATCTCCTTTGCTTTGCAGTTAGACCTCTCAAAATATTATACTTGTCATTCTTCAGTAAGGTATAGAAAGATGCAACATGGTGACTCTCGAGAACCGACTTGTCGTTATAAGTAATGGCAAGATCAGAACATGACTGAATTTGATATTGATTCGTCGTTCCTGGATGTTGGAAATCGTGCATTGTTGCAGCCAAAATTACAGCCAACAATTCTTCTAAGGACAACAACGGTATTATTCCAATAGCTTCCAAAATAAACATAAAGGTATGCAAAACATCAGCAGCGTGAATGTGGTTGTGGAAAGGATTAGTGCCATAGTTCAGTTCAACATGTCGTAAAAAAGTGTGTAAAACTTCTTTGTCAATATTAAAATGTTCAATCAGGTTGTACTTCCTTAAAAAGTAGTGAACCACAACATAAAGAGGATTTCCTTTCGAAGCGTCATTCAAAACAAAAATATCAAAATCATATCGTTCAACATTTTTCATACATTCTTGAACGTCAGGATTACTTTCAAGCAAGGATAATGCACCTTCCAAAGGCTGTCTTTTAAATATGTTTCCTACTCTGATTAAATTTGCAATCGTCTTCCATCCAGCTTTTTCTTTTGTTCTTGGTTTAACAAAGGTGGAAATGAAAGCGTTGACCTCGTTGTCATGGCTTACTTGAGTGGGTTTTTGTTCTTCCTCTGAAACATCCAATGTTTTTGCAATAGTCTGTATAACTAGCGAGAGCTTTTGTTTGTCTATACAGGTTATGGACTCATTTTGATGGATCTGTTGCAAGAATTTTATCACTTCTTGAACTTGCATTGTCGGAGGCTCTTCTGGCTGTTGAAGCGACATTGACATCGACATTGAGGTGTCTTGAGGATGTATCATAGACATGAGGTTGACGCTGTCTGATATATTTTGTGTAGGTGAAGGAGGTTCAATCGAAGTTGTTGGAGGAGTTGAGGTATTTTGAGTTTTTGTTGTCTGATTTTGCTTGTCTTCGTCATCCTTCTCTATTCGAACAACACCATCTTCCGAAGGCTCGCTCTCTTCCAAAGGGCCTACTGTTCCATAGTCTGTGTTTACCGTAAAACTTGGAACAATATTTGTTCGATGAAAAGTAGCTCTGACATGCTTTGAAAAACCTTGATAATAGGCATAAAAAGAAGTCACTAATTTACAAAATGAGCTGTTCACCATTTGGCTCGATAAATCGGTCAAATCAGGAATATGTTCAAATAATCTAAAAATGACAGTCTTATCAATATCTTCAGGAGGATATCTTAGTGTTAGACTCATTCTTAAGGAAGAGGAGGTCTCTAAATCAGAAGCGAGAGAATAACTTTGTGAGCTGAAAGCAGAAGTTAACATGTCTAGCATTCTTCTATGTCTAGATTGGGCCGACAATGATATTGCAGAGTCGTCATTGCTGTAGAATCTTTGCAAAAATCTTTGATAAGAAGTCTCGTAAACGTAAAATTTGGATTTCAAATCCGAGGTAAAAATTATTAATTCGTCCATATTGTTGATCATCAAGCTAACCAATAATGGTTTTCCATCCAACAAAATGTCACCATGAAAACTCAATAAGTCGTCTGCCCTTAACAAAGATGAACCCGCGAAGGATTGTGTGCTATTCTCCCGAAGTATAGATCCTACAAATGATTCATCATCATCATGATCACCACTTGCATGCCTAGTGGAAAAGGACCTTCCTAGCATTGTAACTAGGGAAGCTCTTGTTATATTACTAGCGGAAAGAGATCGATATTCGTGCTGCCGTCGTGCACTCAAGGAGCCATCTCGAAAATCAGCGTCCAGCGACTTACTGATTTCAGCGTTGTTGCCATTCGTTGGTTTAAGGGATTGTCTCCTGCTACTGCTCACCGAAAGTGAATAGCTTGTGGGGGGAGCTTGTGAGAGGTATTGTTGTTGTTGTTGTTGATAGTGTTGTGGTGTTGATGATGATGCAATACTTCGGAAGATTCCACTCTGAGGTGTGCTTGGAACCCCCTCAATGACGAGTTCAATTTTTGATTCATTGTCCATGATCATTAGCGAGTGATTGTCCTCATTATTGTTGATATTGTTGTGGTGTTGGTGTTGGTGTTGATGATGTTGTTGTGGTTTAAAGTGGTTGGAGGTTCTTGAAGCACCACTTCCCATTGTTTGTTGTTTTGTTTGAAAGAACAGTAAATTTGATTAAGCGGTTCTACTACTGAAAGCACGGAATGTTCTTCAATGCTTTGTTGAGGAAGCTTTGTGATCAGCGCAAAAATCATACAATTCTATGGAAGCCTTGATGAAAGTTCCTTTTCAAAATAATAACTCGATTCAAATGAATTACTAAATGATTTCCAAACCAAAAATTCGGTATTCAATAAAAAAACACCTGTCGCTGCAGTTGTTGGTGTCGTCACTAGATGATGATGATGATGATAGGCTATGATAGGAACCAATCGTTTTTTGAAACCAATTTTTCAACGAGAAAAACTTGTTTTGCTTGTTCCAAGTTTGGCGGCAAAGTTTATTCAAGACCTATTAAGGGCAAAACAGCTTCTTTAACAGTTAAAGAATCGGAGACCTTTTAAAAAAAAACTCCTCAATTCGCAACGTTGCATTCCACATGTGATAGGTTGAAATTTTAAAGACTCGAAGTGACTCAAAAAACTGATGTCTCTATTATTGTGGATGAATCATCCCTTAAAATCATTCATTCAACACAAAGGAACGTAATTCATCATCGGAATGTACTCTCTCCAAACGATGATCAACAATGGTTGAAAAATCGGAAAAGATAAAGTGACCTCTGAATTTTGTTTCAGGTCCTTCCAGGAGTAAGTGAAACCAAAATGCATCATCGACCCACATCTTTTCAAAAGGTATGCTATCATAGTCAAACCATTGTGGTTGCATTTCTTCAGACTCGGATATTTCTCCAGAATATTCACTCGTCGAATATACATGCACTTCTAAAACATTTGGCTCAAATTGTGGATCAAATTCAAAGAAAATTAAACCTCTCTTTTTCAAATTAATGGCATGAATACCACACTCTTCAAATAATTCTCGATGAGCAGCATGCAAGATGGAGTCATCTTGTTGTTCAACTTTTCCTCCGAAGCCATTAAATTTGAGATGACCAAATCCTCGTTTCTTCAATCCCAATAATAATCTTTTTTTATCGTGCTGCTGTATGAACACAAGTGTGAGGGGTTTTATTCTCTTTTGAGAGAGCTTTTCCTTGTTGAAGTAAGTGTTATTGGTGTGATGATCCGTCATCTGGGTCTGTGAATTTTTTATGTGGTGGTGAGTTGTTTCGTTTTTCACACCTGCGAGACCTGCGAGCAAGAAGGTCGTCAAATTTCTCACACACTGATAAAAACTCACATTTGTGAAGTTCAAACTTTCTTCTCCTCTACTACCCAAAGCAAACCAAGAAATGAAGCAGCTGCTCATTCACAATACATTACAAAAATCATCAAATTCCAGCAAAAAATGTCCTCAAAACAAGAAGGGCCGCCCTCATCATCGAACAACGGCGGTTCCTCTCAGCAAACGTATGGCTCATTACGGAACTCATCCCATCTTCAAATCAATACCAACACGAAACGGAAATCGAGTGAAAATTCTCCATCTTCCTCTTATCATACGAGTGGTAACAGAAGTGGTGATAGTAGTAGCAATCCAACAACATCATCTTCCAGCCCGAGTTTATTTTCTTCTTCTTCTGCCATCCATTCCATTGGAAGGCCAGTTTCTCCTCATGTCAGTACTTCACCATTGATTACGACCACGAACAACAACAACAACAACCAGATACACGGTCCTATTCCTGGAATTTCTCCCATTCATCATCTTTATCCCAGTAATCATCATTCCAATGCCGATACAGACTCACCATCTTTACGTAAAGATGTTTCAACACGATCCGTTTCACCCAGCATACCAATACCTACTTCATCGTCCAACATTTCACCCACAAATCATTCGTTTCATCATCCTCATCAACTTTTCGATGCTTCCGATAGTAGTGGTACTTCCATGAACAATCACAACAGCAATAGTAATAACAATCACAACAGCAGCAATAACATTAATTATAACAAACCACCACATTATGCCAATCGATCCACACGTCCACCATCTCCTCTTCTCATGACAAATACTACTGGTGTTAACAATCCTTACCACCAGCAACAACCTACCTCCTTCGCAGTGCTCCAAGCCGATCCAATATCTCAGTCCAATAACGGACTACTGAACCCTTTTCAGCAACTTCCCTCTTTTCCTTCGTCATCACAATTTCCAAAAAACAATATCAACAATAATCCTTTACGTGGCACTGCCACTCCGAAAAGGTCACATGGTAGAGGGAAAGGTTCTCCATTGAATAATCACCTTGGCCATCAGAGGAGCTCATCGTTCGATATCCATGCCATCATGGAGCACTACCATCTTCCAACAACGTCGACAATAGGTAACAGCATCCAGAACAGACTATTCAACCATAGCAACAACTATCAACCAAATCCATCCAACCTTCCATTTGTTACAGCACCCATCGTTGTCCTTCCCCAACAACATGAAGATGGTATTAATTCTATGGATAGCCATGACGTAAAAAACGACAATAATAGATCATCAAGAAAAAACAATGACGGTCTCAAAATGTTGACACAGTCGGAATACATCACTACCAGTAACAGCCACAAGTCACCATCAACAAGCCGTATCTCGCCTTCAGAGCTGAGTGATGACTCGGAGGATTCATCACCATCATCTCTCGCTACTTCTACAAGCAATTCATCGAAGAAAATACCAAAACTTCGAATTGATATTGGAAGTAGTAAAACACTGCCTCTTGCACATGTGCCCAACAACAATTCTCCTTTCACAAAGCAACAACAATCAAACATGAACCCTTCTAGTGTTGTAACCCAATTAGAGGCTCTCATTGGCTCGAAAAATAATATCAAGCAAACAACCGTGTCCGAAAACACACCGACAATTGACAAGTTTAATAGTAAGGGTCGGCAGCAACAGTCACAACCACAAGTACCTATTAAGGGGTTTATTTCTAATTTGTACGATGAAGATGTTTACGATTTTCTCTCGGAATATCCAGTAAGAAGTAGATCCGTTTCTCCTCCACCAACAAGCTCTTTATTCTCACACCCTCACAAAAAGAAAACTCCAATTAGCACCGAGAAATCTCCCAGAGCACAACAACCAGGAGGAGCCAAAACTCCAACATCTGTCAAAGAGGAGAAAGAACATACCGATGAAAATTATGTAACACCTCCTCAAAGAAAAAGTATTTCCAGAGACAATACAATTTCTGATGAAGACGCTGATAGCAATTATGTGACGCCACCATCTGATATGCGTACCGTTTCGATTACAGAACCCCATACAGATAATTTCAGACTGATACGGCAATCATATTCTCCGTTCAACGATTTATCGTCACCTCTCTCCATGATACGAAAATGTCAAACTCCTGTGGCTTTAAAAACCAAAGCTGAAACTCTCTCTTCCTCTTTTGGTCATATCAAATTTTATGAACGACGAAGAAAACGATATCTAATGATGATTACTGACCAAGATTCATCAGTAATGGAGGATGAGCTTAACATGCTGCGCGAAGATTTTCTTGAGGGAAAAACAAATATCATGAAACGAAACAAAAAGATTGACCAAATGAGTTTCTCTGATATGGTATACACAGAACAGTTTGATAAGAATCCTGCTTCTGAAGATGACAGTTTTGAAAGTTGCACTCACGACCAAACTATTTTTTTAGGAAAAAAGTCTGACGAAAAGATTGCACGATTTTTAGCTACAAAAATGATGATATCAATAGACCAATTACACACTGATTTGAAAGCTTTTATTATTGAATTAGAAGAGGCTGTAGCGCTTCAATTTCCTTCTTTGAGTGAAGATTCTTTTGTTTTGGAAATGAAAGAGATTGCTCATAGAATTACGAAAACTGAAGTTTCTGAACTTATCAAACAGGTTTATATGAAAGAGCTCAATGACTTGCTTGTTTGTCTTCGTGATTTACACTCTGAAGCAGATGAACAAGATCTGCCAAGAATCAATTTTGTTCTAAAGGAATTGAAGAAACTATTATTCATTTACAGTAGAGTGAATAGAATCATTGCAGTGTATAATAGAATTCCTGATCATCTCAAGGTGCTGGGCAGTTCCCAAGGACGGAAAAGAAGCGGCAGCGAGGCGAACGGCATTCCTAGAGTGAACACTCCCCCCGTTACTGAGCTTGCCCTTCTCAAAAAGCTCAGTCTGAATCTCGATTCTACCTTAACCAAGAAATCTGGTTCATCCATTGATCTTATTCACAATCCCTCCATATTCGAAAGACAAAATCTACAAATTACTAACTTATTGAAAAAGTGGCAAGAAGAAAGTACAGTCATTACTCCAAGATCTGAACAGTCAACATTATCCTCTCCAAGACAACCAAGTTCTTCTTCGTCCATGACATCAACTCCTAAATCCCCTCAAGATACTCTCTTTTGTAGAATATGCGAAAAGTTTATTGATGTTGACACATTTGCTGAGCATACTCAATCATGTGCTCGATCGCATGAATTAAACATGAAGCGTATTGGTTGCGAGCAGAAATTTAAACAACTCATGCATCAGATCAAAAAGAGAAGGAGAGAGGAACCTTTTGGAGATATCTATTCCCTTGTTAAGGCTTGCTACAAAGCAAAAACAAAACATGAGCTACATGATTGTGTTGACAACCTCAAACGCCTCGAGGCAAAACTGAAGAAAAAAGATCAACAGCGCAACAAGTTGGACATGTCAACAGAAACCCAAATTGTCTCAGTATGCATTGATTTAGCAGAAGAAAAAAACAAAACATTACACGAGTATGTGGAAAATTTCAAAAAAGTGTCCATCATGGATTTTACGCTTATCAAACCCATCTCAAAAGGAGCATATGGTAGAGTTTATTTGGCACGAAAGATTTCCACACCTGATATTTATGCCATCAAAGTGATTGAAAAGCAATATATTTACAATCACAAAAACCTGTCCTCCAAAACACTGAAAAATAAGGACAAGCTTCTCACGGAACGAAATGTGTTACATCAATTGATGAAAAGCAACCATGATTCAAAGTGCATTGTCAACTTTTACTATTCATTTGCAGGAAAAAAGTATTTTTATATTGTGATGGAATATTGTCCTGGTGGAAGTTTGGATTGCCTCCTTGAACAACATATTAACACCTACGATAGCGCGTTCGATATTGATAAGGTTAGAAAAATTGTGGCAGAGATCATTTTAGCTCTATTAGAGTTACATTCTAATAATATTGTTCACAGAGATTTGAAGCCTGATAACATGCTCGTGGACAGAAATGGCAGATTGAAACTCACAGATTTTGGTTTGAGTGAAATTGGTGTGATGGACAGAGAAGAAAAAGCAACAAGTAAGCCACGTATCTCCACCCCACATCCATCTTCACCACCTCAATTACGGCCACCTGTATCGAGTCCAAACAATAGCACTGAAAGTGAAACCTCTGATGGTTTGGTGACTGTTCCTGGAACACCTGATTATATTGCTCCTGAACTATTGTTGGGAGCAGAGCATGATTACGCAGTGGACTATTGGTCTCTTGGATGCATTACCTATGAATTATTGTTTGGTGTTCCTCCTTTTAATGCGGACACTGTCGAAGAAATTTTTGACAATATCCTCTCAGGTGAATACGAGTGGCCAGAAGATTTACCTCCAGAAATACAAAATTCTGGTGTAGAGGACTTTATTAGACGCTTGCTTGATCCCAATCCAAAAACTAGATTGGGTGGAAAAGAAATCAAAGATCACGAATTTCTAGAGCCAATCGATTGGGATAATTTACTGAATGAGGAACTTTTTACGCCAACCACAGAGTTGGAAGATACATCTAAATTCTCACCAAGAAAGCATCAATATCCTGTCACACCCACCACTCATGGATTTCTGAGTCCATTTGAAGCAGGAGGAACAAGTTTTAATAGTGACGCCAGCTCTGTGGACTCTCCAAGCCCTGTCAAAATAGTCCCTTCTTCACAGGTCCTGATGAGTCCTATGGTAAATTCATCGCATACTCTATCAACCTCAATAGATTTTTCATTTAGCTCCTCTACTGCTGCACTCAAAGAACTCAACATGCAGCAGTACAATGAGTATGTGAAAAAATCGAACAATAACTCAAGGAGTTCTGCAAAAAGTACAGGAAGTGTGGTGAGGTCTCTGAATTTTTCGAACATGTAATAAAGAGAGAAAAGTTGGCATGAATATTTAATGGAATGATTTCTTTCAAATTTTGCTGTTTTGATGAATTAAAAACTTCTCTCAAAACGACGAGACTCCAAATAATTTTCTGAACACCTCATACAGAGGTAAACTCAATAAGAAGTGAGGACCTGAGATATAGTTGAAACGATGAGCTTATTAAGCTTGGATAACACTCAAATTTACTTACCGAGCCTCAAATAGGAAGCAGAAAAACCTCTAAATAAAACTGAAAAACCTTCGTTTTTGATAATTTTGACTTTGGAAATTATTGATACAACTAATTATTACAATTACTCTTTGTTCGAAAACTCACCTGCACAATCTACAACTCCGTTGTATTCCCCATTAACCCCATTATTTGATTTCATGTTGTTAACTTTTAATTTAGCATCATTCATGTATTTCGTTTTTATCACATCGACTGGAGAAATGGCAATAGCAGTTACAAGTCCACTCACGAATGCGCTTGTAACGTGGGTCACATAATCGTCCTTAAATTTGTACCCAAATATTGTTCCAGCCTTGTTAAGTAATAAATATTTCGAATGATCATAAGAGCTTAATTGTGCTGATGTCAATATTGAGGCTCTTCAAGTGGGAAATGAAAAATCACATCATTTGACCAATAAGAAGATGTGTTCACCTACCTAATCATGGTCAAAATGGTTCCCTTATAGAGTGCTGAGAATCCTTCATTTTGTGAAATTTTCCATAATGCATCCCATGTATTTTTGTAATTGGGTCTTTGTTTCTGTTCGGCAGCTCCAGTAATTCCTGATGATTGAAATCTAATTTTTACTACATCCAATGGATTCATCAATGCACTGCCCAATGCTCCAGAAACAAGGCCTGCTACAGCTTTCCAAAATAAGGGCAATTGATTCATCGAATGAGTTTCATTTTTCATTCCCATCACTTCCCTTAAATGCATGAGAGATACTTTCACAGGATCATAAATTCCAATTCTCACGCTCGAATATAATAAACTCCTCAAAAAGGAAACCCCCAATCCAATCGTCCAAAATTTATGTATTCCTCCCTCTTGTTTTACAATATCAGATGCCACTCGGAACATGGTCAATTTAGGAGGAGAATTCATCATCATTCCACTCACACTTCCGATAGAACCTCCTCTCACTTCTGTTTGCATTCTTGTTTTAATTAATTCCAATGGATTAACCACTGCTGTAGCTAAACCAGCCGCCAAACCAGCTGCCAAAAAGACCCTTGCCATATAATTCATGGATCCCAAGGATGCCATACTGCTTGAAGACGTGGAGGATTGCATCGGAATGGCAGCAGGCTGGGAAGAGGAGGATGCATGAATCGAATCGGAAACTTGTGTGGGCTGCATATTTTGTTCAATGATGATTCATCGGAGAAGAATATAGCCAGCGAGGAAATGAAGCTGAAGAACACGCGAGTGTAATATGAATGAAATCAATGAATTGTCTTCTCGAGATCTCTCAAAAGATATTCAAGTTGTTTTTTTTTTCTTAATTCTGCGAAAATGGGAAATTGGAGTGGTTTCTAAAAATGTACTCAATGTTGGACGAATTCTTTAAATATGTAATTATAATTTTAAGAATAATAAGGATACAATATGGAAATGAATAAATGTCTGAATTGCAGAAAGAAGGGCTGTAAAAGGCCACTTGATCTATTGTTCGCTTCACAAACAACAAATTGCAGGTTGTTCTGATGAGGGTTATAATCACATTCGCTTTTGAGAAGGAGTTGACAACGGATCAAATTACTTTCTAAAAAATCATCGAACTTGAGTGTTGATTGCAAATCCATCCCCACCAACTCACGAAAAGTGTATTGCATCGGAAACGTTGTAGTGATCACTGCTGGAGAGACGTTGTGAATTTTCATCATCAGTAGTGATATTAGCGTTAATCAATTTTCATTGTACCATATATATATTTACGACCTAACCGTATTGTACAGTTAAAGACGAGTCGTAGTGAAAAATTGAAATCCGTTTCAAATTGTAGTTTATTTGCAAACAAGTGTACATATTCTCATCCATACACGGGTTTCTTGATTCTCTTTTCATTATATTCAATATTGTAATATATATTCTCCACCAGAACACGTGTTATTGTCGTTAGTAGTGAATTGAATCAATTTGCAAAAAGCCTCTCCTACTCCGAATACGATCATCAAAAATCTCTCATATTATTATTGCGTGAATTTCCATCATTGCTACAAGAAGCCTTTTCTCTTCTCCCATCTCATCATCAATTCATTGATTTAAATTTCTGAAAACTCTCCCGAATTTTCATCTCCTCGAGTCATCATGTTTGCCGGTTTTAGCGTGAAAGAAGATTATCTTGGTGATTCTTCTGATGAAAATCGATTGACAGCCTCAGTCTCTCCCCTAACTGCTAACCTCAAAGAACATTATCTTAGTGATGAGTCCTCCTCGCCATCCACATCACCAGTGGTGGAACAAGTTGGCAATAGGACTCGAGATGAAATCACTCATGTTCCTTCCTCCTCTGAGATCACGACAACCAATGAAAGTAATAATTCATTTGTGCTCATTACTGCCAATACACAATCTCCACAACTTGCTCCAACCACTACTCTTGTAACATTATCCACCGCTATTGATTCACAAAATCAAGAGCATTCCTATGAATCGAGATCATCTCAGCATGAAATGACCTATTTTGTTCAAAATGAGGATTCCCATATGGTTCAATCCTTCTTGAATGAAAGCACAAAGAGTCAACCAACAAGTTTGCATCCTCAGTCATCAGTCTTTGAGGAATCAGACGAGATTGACACTGAAAGCGAAAGCAGCTTGCATGAAGATCAAATGTTACCTTCTGTCGCTGTTGTGAATGATCAACCCGAAATCCTTCTCACTGCACTTCACGAGAAATTATTAATCGAACGATCAAATGATGAGTCCTGTACCACGACGGCCACTATTGAGACCAGTTCTTCGGTGGTTTCCTCTACCATACTCTCGCATGGTGGAGAGGAGTCAGCACAACCCTCTCAACAAACCACTACCATACCATCCGTTGACAGCATTACTATCTCTTCTGCTCTGAGTGCAGAAATTGTAAGTCCATCCTGGATGGATGTCCTCATTATGCCAACAAGTCCTCACTTTTCTTTATTCCTTAATACTGGACTCATTGCCTGTGTCACTGTCATTGTCATGTCCATCAATGAAATTTTATTCCACGAGTAAGTGATGCTGTTTGTGTGTACAATCCAACTTGTCTACAACAACAACAACGATTATTACAAATATAAAGAGTATGATTGTATTATGAATAATTGTGTGATTGAAAATCGACCGCCAAAATTGTAATTCAATTTTCTAAAAAAAATTTTAAAAATGCAAGACTCAGAGCTGCTGCAAATGCGTCAAGCGAGACTTGATGCCATCCGAGACAATAAGAGCTTCAAACAAACATGGACAGAGGAAAATGAAAAAATACATAAACGGAACATGGAGCTGAAAAAGCAAAGAGAGAGCATCGACTTGAAAATTAAAACCACTCAAACGCTCATGAAAAAGAGACAAGAAGAGGTATGTAGAGTGGAAAATTGATAACATTAGATAAATCTTTCTTTTGATTGCTCTCTCTATCACTCGGAATGTTCAATACAGTTAAAGAAAAAGACAATGAGAAATGTGGCTCTTGGTGGTATTGAAGAGTTTGAAAGAACACTCGAACGATTAGATCAGCAGCCAAAAGCTGTCACTACACAAGTTAAACCAACAACAAAGGAAGACACATTGGCAACACCAGAGCTTCACCAAACAATAGGAAACGATGCCACTGCATATTTAAAAAAGATCAAAACAAAGAAACAAGATGAAAATGCAAGCCGAAAAGAGAAGGAGCAACGAAGAAGAAAAGTTTTAATGGAACAACAGCAAGTTTTCAAGGACTTGGAGGAAGCCAGAAGAAGAGAAGTACTTCTTGAAAAGCTCATGAAAAAATCGGCTGAGGAAAGAAACTTGGCCAAAGAGTTGAATCAAATTAAACAGCTGAAACAGGTCATGAAAGAAAACCGGGAGGTGAGAGAAAAACAATATGCAGAGAGACGAAGAAAAGATTTTGAAGAAAAACAACAACGAGAGAAAGAATTAATGGAAAAAGAAAGAGAGGAGCGAAAACAGAAGAAGAAGCAGCTTATTGAGAAACACAAACTTCTTCTTGATGAACGATCTCAAAAAAAGAAAGAAAAACATACTAGCATCTGTAAAGAAGTCACCGATCACTTGGTTGACTTGGCAATGCGAGAAATTGGTTACATGGAAACGACAGAAGGAGATCCTCCTTCTTCCGCTGAAGTGAGTCAATGGAAAAAAATGTTCGTGAAAGGAGCCCCACTAAATGAAGAAGAACAATCGATAATATCTGAAGTTGACATTCTCGAGAAGCAAACTGTAAAACCTCCCTCAACATTCAACCAAGATGTGATCGATTTAGCAGAGTTCAAAGAGTATTTCAACTACAAGGGGGCGTGGGAAGAGGAACTCATTACATTGCTTCCTCAACAAACTAATGATGACTCTGCTCCAATTGAAATCATATCACCTTTCGTGAAGTCAGCCATTCAAGAAATTCATCACAAGATTTATCCTCTTCCTGCACCAAAGACTTCTCCTAAAATCAAATCAAAATATCCTTACAATGTTGTAGTTTGTGGCAAACCAATGAGTGGGAAAACGACGGTGTGTCAAAAACTATCAGCTCTACTTTCGATATACCTTATAAACCCAGAGAAATTGTTGAAAGCGTTAATAGAGCCACTTCCAAACCAGCCTCAAATCGCTCCTCAAGAATACCAAGAAATAGCCATGAAGGCAAAAGCATGTATGAAAGAAGGAAGAGAGGTAGAAGCCTCCTTGATTGTAGATTTGATTGTAATAGAAATTGAGAAGGTAGAAAAACTTGAAAATTCCCAGTATCAAGGTTGGATCATAGAGGGATTTCCAACCAATGTTGAAGCAGCCCAGTTGCTAGAAAAGAAAATTTCTGGATTTACCTCATCAATTGAAGAATTTATACGAAACGAGAAAATTGAAGAGTTTCAGAATAGCGAAGACGGCATTGGAAGAAATTTTAATTCTTTATTGGTGAAAGAATTTAAAGAGACCAAGAATGAACATGAAATTATGAAATCAATAGTTCCATTCAAGTCATTCACTACTGTACTATTTATTGATGTTGAGGATGACCAAGTATTTGAGAGACTTGTGAACCAGAAAGTAGATCCTGTAACAGGAAATGTTTATCACATGACATACTCCCCACCAGATAATGTTGAAATTTTGAGTCGGCTAGTGCCGATTGATGAACATTCAAACTTGGATCGAGCCCAAATTAATACTCAACTATTGACATATAACAAAACTAAGAGGCAGTTATTATCATTTTACAAGACCTTCGAAAACGTGTTCGAAGTATCAGAAGAGAATTTAGAAAACCTGGTCAATACTTGCGTAGAAATACTGGAGGAAACAAAACGACAGTTGGAGGACAGCTCCCAACCACATTCAGAAAATTGGGACAAGGCAGAAATTTCAAGAGTAGAAATAACAGAAATTCAAAAGAAAGAACTCGACATCGATTTTTGTAAACTATTCCTTAAAGAATGGCAAGCCCTCGAACAGCATTATGTGGATGGAGTGAAAATTGTCTTTAGAAACTTACGGGAATTTAGAAAAACATTTTTCAAACAATTTTCAGATCTCAAAGAGCAGTTCATGCAGTTTTTGCTGAGGCCTGATGACAAGCAAAGCTTTATTTCTGCATTTCAAACTGACTTCAATCGTTTTAGTTATGAGATGAGGAGTAACCAACAGCTGAAACAAGAGCTTCACAGACGAACAGACGAACTTAAAGAAACCTTGTGGAACTTATGCGATGAAAAGAAAATGGAGGCAGAAAAAGAGCTATCAGAGCATATGAAGGAGCCTTGGTTACAAACTCATAAGAGAGTTGTTGTAAGACAGCATATGCAGCTCATTCAGCTCGAATTGAACAGGTATATCGAACAGGCGAAATTTATTTTTGACTACTTGGTTGAGCAGTATTTGAGTGCTGATTTAAATCAAGCACCAATCGATCCCAAAAAACCTGTTGCCGCTGGCTTACTTTCTGTGAATGTCGAGGATTTATTTGTGGATGTAATTTCCAGTGTTAACAACATGAAGAGTCCAACAGCAAAGAAAACCTCCAAACCTCCTTCCAATGCTTCTAGCACTCGTCCAAAGAGTGCAGTTTCAGACTCTTCCATAGATGCAAATATTGAAGAATGTTTTGAAAGAGCGAAGAGCGCAGTAGAGAGCATTGATTTGCTTGGAATGCTACAATCATACATTGACAAGAACAGTAAGAAGAAGAAGGAAGCTAGTAAAACAAAGGAACTGTATCCTGACGTACCCCAAGAATTGAAAGAAGCCCAACAACAAGAAAAAGAACTTTTCATGCAACGCATTGCAGTTATTAAATCCAGATGTACGAACGCAGTAAGAGAACAAATTGACAACAAATCACAACACATATTTGACACAATGAAAGATTGGATAGGCCAACGGTATCGAACAGATATGGCCAATATTGCCTTGCTCACAAGGACCATTCAAGACTACATTGAAAAGGAGACACCAATCATTCATCAATTAAGAATAGAGGGCAACAAGTGCATTCTTGATGAAAGCGTTCAAACTACGTCACCATTGCCTCAGGTTCCATCGTCACATTCTCGAAAGATTCACCTGGACCATTACATGACAACATCATTCTCAAAAGCATTTACACCACATCAAGTGTACTCTTTGTTTGAGAGGTTACAAGCACCAAGCCCAAGCGGTTTTTCTGAAATTGAAGAAATGACCACCACATTGCTTATACTTATTGACTCTACTTTTGGCTCGATGGAATTACCTCCTCAATGGCTCGAGTATGACAATGATAAGGTGAAGGCGATTGCATCTCGATTTGATCCTTTCAAGAAGGGATATATCAATTGGAGAGTATTCCTCTTATCGGCTTTGTTCTCCTTTTTCCACAACATTCCAACGATTGAGGATATTAGAAAATTGTTGACCATTGTTCATCCTTTGGTTTCGGAAAATGAACTTGATTTAAAGCCAGAACAATTCACAGAAATCATTGTGAGATGGATTGCACAAACAAATTTGTCGACAAACGAAGACGAAGTTGCCAAAGTATTGTTTAACATTTTCAAACCAGATCCCATGTCAACCACTGTAAATATCAAAACTGTATTATTATATTTATGTATGGACAATCAAAGCGCTTTAGGTACTCTCACCAAGGGTTTTGAAGTGCTTTCCTATTTCAACGGAACAGAAGGATTGAACGATACTGCTGTATTTGAACTGTTCAACTTTAATTTGGACGTGGAGGAAGAAATTGAAGACTCCTTCTCCCTTTCTCAAATGAGGGCTGTTTTTTCAGAGATTAAAAGTTGCAACAGAAACATTAGTTTGGAGCAATTCTGTTGCAGCTCTATTGGGCGAATGATTGTGAATCACGCTCAACACCTCAAATTGAGCTCTGTGTTCTATTGATATTGTCAATAAACTTTTGGTTGCATTTCATATCGTGTGTGCAAATTGCAAATTCAACGACATGAAAATTTACTTTTTCGTTTTTTTGTTGGCTGACGCTTTCAACACAACAATATCTGTTGTGACACTAAAACTCTTGCTTGCTAACTTTGACAACTTCTTCCCTCCCGAATCATATCTGCACAGGACCTCCACTTGGTCTTCTGTTAGAAATTTTGGTCCCTTTCCAATGACTTTCTTTACAAGCACTGTGCCCTTGTTATCAGACCCAACATTCGAGGAATCTGATCGAGTGGAATTCTCCGTTCGATGGCTATCTGTGGTGCACGTACTACTTCCAACATTTGAATGATCGTTCGTAATGATGGCGTAAAGAGCTCTAAATGCAGGAACATTCACTTCCCGTACTAACAGCAACAGTTGATGATTGTCTTCATATTCTTTCATAGCTTCGAAAACTTCTTCCCGTTCTTTTTTGTTCACTTCTCCAGCTAAACACAAATGTAAGAGAGCATTCTTGATCAGTAATTTGTTTGTCTTGTTTTGCTGTTTCATATTTTTAAGGAGAGCATTTTCTTGAAGTTTGGGTTCAACCATTTGAGTTTTTTCTCTTTTTTGTTTGCTCTCTTCCATGCGTTCCATCTTTTGTTTACGCATTTCTTGGAACTTTTTGTTTCGAATTTCATTCTTTTTCCTAAAATCTTGACTGTTTTCGAATTCATCAATTGGAATTTCAATAATTTCCTTTTTCACTATTGGTGGTTGTTCTTGGAGAGAGATTTCCTTCACTTTAATTGTCACTCGTTCTACATTCTTGACACTTGTACTCTCATCTATATTTGGTTCTTCTGGTAAGACATCTTGTTTTTTTGGTATTTCTACACTCGGCTCTTTTTTCTTGGTTGTAGTGGCTTTTTATGAAAGTTATATCATGATCACGATTCAAAAATTTAAGATACCTACTTATGAAATCTTTAAGCGCTTGCGATTTTGCCTTTTCAATTTCTTGATCAATTCTGCTTTGCAAAACTTTCTTACTTTCTTCAATGATCCGTTCTTGTTGCAATAACTGCATTCTTAAAAGATGATTTTGCTTCTTAATTTTTTCCACATCATTTTCAGAAATTGACTCTTCGAGATTGATTAAAGGTTTTGGAATTTCTAAAATTTTGGATACTCGTAAAGGTTCATCTAATTTCGTGTTTGATAACGCAATCTTTGTCTTGAGAGGGTGTCCGTTTGTACTTTGTGACACTTTTTCTGCGTTATACTGTTTAAATAATGATATACTTTTCATCAAAAGCTTCTCATCTACGATTGGGGTGTGGGAAGATTCGGAAATAGATTTTCGTGTTGGTTCTGATAATACTGAAACTGGTTGAATGGTCGATGTGATAACTGGTTGATCATTTTGTTCCTGGTTGTCGTCAGCCTCTAGATCTGTGTATCCATCGTCGACATTGGCCTCTGATTTTTCGATTCTGATAGAGTCTTTCAAGGGATTTTCGGGTATGGAGCTCGCAACATTCACTTCATGAAAGTTCACAGAATTAGTTGAAGTTGGCTTCACAAAACTTGCACCGGGAGACTGGTTCTTGACAAAACTTTTGGAAAGAATTGTTGGAAGAGGAAGAGCTGCTTCATCAGTCTCGGAATCAACATGCTCTTTGGCAAAATCCATCACTTTGTCTTCAATCTCTTCCAATTCGTCGGGAGGTATTGGGTGTTCTTCATAAGTCTGCTCTTCGTTCATTACATTGTTCGTAATGACTGTTGAAATTGTATTCTCTAATTCGTCCATGGTGCTCTCCGTTTCTTCATCGTCGTCATCATGGTGCTCTTCATCGTCGTTATATTCATCATCCTCTTCTTCCACTTGTTCTTCCTCTTCTGGTAATTCATCTTCTTGAAGTTGTTCATTTTCGTCACATTCTTCTTCGGAATCATCTTGAAGCTCATACCTTTGTGGATATGATGGTAAATTTGTCTTGATGATCGCTGCTAATGAAATAAGAGAGTCCTTCAAGGGTTGGAGATCATTTTTTGTTGATGTTGAACTCGTCGATGAGGAGGATCTGGAGGCGCGTTTCTGCTGCTGGTATAATGCTGCATATCCTCCTTTTGGAGGTATTTCATTTGGTCGACTTTCAGGAATCTTAATCACTGTTGTGACCGATGCTAGCAAATCCTCCGGTGATTCTTCGTATTCTCCTTCCTCTCCCGATGAGAGATCTTTGTATCCATCTTCCTCTTCTTCCTCTTCTGAATGAGGATGATTGGATTTCTCTGAAATTTTGGTAATGGGATGTTGTTGTTCCGAAGAAGGACAATGATGATGTATGAGGCTATACGTCCGGACTGACATTTTAATGAATCAAATATCGGTTCAAAGAATGAATGTATTTACAAAGGGAGGGTCCCCTCACAATAAATTAAAAAAAGAGAGAGAGTGCAAGAGGAAGCTGATGAAGAAGAAGCTGGTCGATCACAGTGTGGTTGTGCTTCAATTTTTTTTTAAAGTGTAAATTTGAGGCGCGCTTTTAAATTTCGCGCGCTTTCCAAAAATTTCGTTAATCCTGAAAAAAAGTTGAAAAAGCTAAAAAATTCTTCATTGCATCCGACACACACAATTGAAAACTAGTTTCAAATGTCTGACTCTTCGATGGATTCCGTATGGGAGGAAGCAAACAGTCAACGTACCATGATGGATACCACCCATGAAGATGTGGGACAAGTAAATGCATTATCGGAGCACACTATTGGTTCCGAACAGTTACCAGTTGCTGTTAAAAATCACGATGATGATGAAGAAGAGGATATAAATGATGATGATGAAGAGGACAATGATGAAGAATTAATGGATGATGATGAAGCCGATGATATGGAAGATGATTTTTTAAATGACGATGAAGAGGATATTATTATACAGCAAGATGAAAACATTTCCACAATAGAAGAATCCAATGTCGTTGATGATCGGAGCGTTTTACCCACCAAATATGGTTCCGATTTGAATACAGAAAATAACGATAATACGAGTACGCAACAAGAAGATGAAGACACAACCATCCTTACGACCACCAATGATGATCTGATTGAAGAAAATCAAAATGAAGATGAACCAACCCTTGAAACAACAGAAACAACAACAAACACGACAAGAAACGAAAATACATGCACGATATCCTCTGCAAATCAATCAAGCTTCTCTGCATTAATTTCTGCTTTTTTGAAAGGAAAACAAAATATTCTTGCAGAAAAAGAAGAATCACTCGCCAAAAATATTTATTCCACAGCCCTTAATTTTCATTCCAAAGGAGACTTCAATACTGCTATTGATTACTATAATAGGCTTCTAAATAGAGAGTTTATTGTGAATGCCGTTTCTGAGAGAGTGGATGAGGAAAGCTCCTATTTTGATATCAAGTCCAATATTTTTCTGTATTTGAAATATTTGGCTTTAAAAAACCTAGGAAGTGCCTTCATGTCTATCAAAAAGTTTTTAGAAGCATCAATTTGTTTAGCCAAAGCATTGAAAATTGATGCTTCAGATGCTTCTCTATGGTATGACTATGCTGTAGCGTCGATTATGATTAATGACCTAAGTACTGCAAGATTAGCTCTCGAACAAACATTAATTATCAACCCAAATCATCACTTAGCTACAATGCACTTACTTGAATTAATATATATAATTGGAGATGTAGAAGAATGTAATATCTTATCAAAACAAGTTTTGAAATACGATCCACACAATAAGACTGCCCAATTTATACATTATGAGAGCAATCCAAATCCATTTAATCTAATGTTTCTCCCTAAATCTCCTCTCAATGACCTGACACGGAAATGGGCTATGTTTGCATGTCCAGACGTTGAGCAAGAATCACCAAAACTCTACAGAATTACCTTACAAGAAGCAGATTGGACAAACATTTTAACGAGGATTTGCTCTCTTTATTCTAACCTACTAAAGCAAGGACAATTGGATAGTATTGTCAAAATAGTGGTCGAAAGACCATCACAAATCATAGACGAAAGTGAAGCATCACCGTTGACTGCTGAGGGAGAGTCTAGCCAAAATGGAAAAAGAAAAAGAAGTTTTGTAGCAAAAATGCAAACGTATGTTGATTTTATTGAAATATGTACTAACAATTTACCCCTATTAATAACAAATACTAGGCCCTCCAAATCTTCAAAACAAATGTCAGGACCAGCACAAGGTAAGTTCTAAGAAGGATAATTTTGTCTTGCATTACTCATTGTATTTTCATTGTCAGATATCTTAAATATGGTGGCATTCAGTGAACAGTCAAAAAAAGGATACTACATACAAGAATGAAAAGCTAGAAGACTCCATTATTACATGTGATGAATTACCTAATAATAACCTTCTTTTAATACTTAAAGATGTGACCGTACAACCAATACTTGAAGTAATGCAACTTTTGATAGAGAAATTAACATGTGACTATTGGATGTACAAGTGGCCAGAGGCAGTAATCAAAGGTGTTTGTTTCAGCGCCTTCTCTTTGATGAAACACAAAATTGAACTGAGTTTTGAGTGTATACTTTGTGTAGCTGAAATTTTGTGTGGAAGTTATGAAAAAGACACTAACACGGAAATTAATCTCTCAAAAGCTCGTCGACTTTTTAGCAATTTAGAATCAAAGTTATTATCATCTCGCCATGTGCTTCAGATTACTCCCACAAATATCATAAGATTACTATGGGTGCGAGGTGTAATTGATCAATACATGGGAAACTCTCCATCTTCTAAGAAATGGTTAGATCAATGTTTAATGCACTTCCAAGAAATTTCATCTCAGGAAATTTTGCTTCCAAATTGGTAAGTAATTTTCTATAGCCAACATGTGTTGATGGAAGCCAAAACTATTCATATCACTCCAGCAGTAAGAATAACAAGATTAATCAGGATTCTATTAATCGTAAATTGAATGAAATGAGTTTTAACAAAAAAGTGGACTTGATGAGCAAATTAATTGCACAGCACCAGTATAACCAAGCCTTAAGCAACATATCAAGAGATTTTCTTATTTCCTTACCAAGCGGTGCTCGTTCCACTGTTAGGGAACTTATGTATAAATCTTTGAAGCATGTGGACTCACTTGAAATTATTTCAAAAGAAACTTTATTGCATATGCTTCACTTTTTGCTTGCAGATATCACCAAACAAACCATTGAGAATATCAATTTAAAACCTTTCAAGGCACTCTTACCTAAACTAGTGAAAAAGGTATCATCTATGGAAGATGTTTTACCTGATATTGCAGGAATAATAGCCATGAAAGTGTTGATAATATTGGAAGCTGAATTTCTTGTCGCAAAGAAAGATGAATCTGAACTTTTAAATATGACTTATTTATTGGAGCTGTTCTATTATCTTGCTCCATTTCAAAATAATACAAAAAGAAAAGAGTATTTACAGTTTATCCGTAAGAGAATAATTCTGGATATGAAAAAGAGAATCAGTAAGTTGTCAATACATTACTATTAAGATTGTTACAAATGTATATTTTAGAGTCCTTCTTGGTCTTTCTTCTAAAAGAATTTCACAACCTACGGAAACAGCTCCCTGAAAAATCATCCGACAAAAACGACCTGCTACGCGAAGTGTCATATTCAATATATTATCTTTACGGCAAATTTATACCAATTACTGACAATGATGTTGCTCCAAAAGCTGCACCGTTCCAGAGTACGCAAGATGCTATTGAAAAAGACAAGGATACCTGCTTATTACTGTACCAAGCGATTAAGGAATTTCTAGAATCAAGATTAGAAAAGACCAACAAACTTCGAAAGCAAATTCCAGAAATACTAGTTATCATTTACAATACAATTAATATGTTGCCTGAAGAAGCTCAAAGTGCTCAACAAGAAATAAGAAGCATCATTGATGATAAGACAATTGATTTAGACAAGTCCATAACAATTCCAACCGTTCCTCTTAATGACGATGTAAAAGGTTAGTAGTAGCAATTAGCAGACAGGGTATTGCTAAATTCAATATTGTTGTTTTTTCAGACATGTACGAGAATTGTTTTTACTACTTGTATTTGTACAAGAGCAAAGGCATATCAACAGACAATATCTTCGAGGAGGACTCAGAAGAATACTCAGATTTTGTGTATCTATTAAGAAAAGCTGTATGTTGCAAACCCATGGACTTGTCCTATTGGGAAGCCCTTGCAGAGAAGTATTGGAAAGTCTTGCAACTCATGTTTGCTGTTGCAGATTCTCCCAGCCATCACGACAATTTTCTATTTAAAAAAGCAATTGAAAGAGGAAAAATTGGCTTACCGGAAGCTGTCACATCATTCAAGTCAGACCTTGAATCCATTCTTTTCAAGTACCTTCATTGTTTGCAAGTTTGTCTTCAACTAGCATCTAAGAACGAGGATCTGTATTCTATTCACTTTAAATTAGGACAAGTTTTGTTTGAAATGCTGGATTGTCCTGAACTACCGAAAGAACAAGTGAACGAACAAATGGATGGAGAAGTGAATGGGCAACTGGCCTTACTGAGATTGCAATCCAAATCTTATTTCGCCAATCATTGTTTCCAATATTTAGAGTCAGCATCAAAGATAGACAAGAGAGATTTGTCACAAATCTATTTCCTCATGGCAAGAATACGTGAGAAATTTGACGCTCCCTCTTCAGAATATTTACCATTATTCATATCAGCTCTCAAAGCAACCCCTTTCAAGAATCCAAGGATGGAAAATATTTACTTCTACTATGTGTTATCTTTATTGAAAACCTTAATAGCCGATCAAAATACTACTATTGATGTAAGTAACTGTTTCCAGCAATTGCATGTATGATTCATTTGTACTGTGCACTTTACTCATGCAGGAGAAGTATTTATACACAGTGGAGGTGGATACTTTGTCAATAACCACTACATTAGACATTAAGTGTCCAATCATCAACAATCTTCCAATCAACAATCCCTCTGTCAATCTGAAGATATGGACTACTCTGCTCTCTGGAGTGTATGATGTTCTGAAATTATTTCCCAGTTCTTTTAGATATGGCTATCTTATTGCAAAAATGTTGGAATCCGAGCGAGGACCATGGGCCTCCAAGAAAGCAGCTGAGGAAGTTCTCTCATCTATCATTACCAAGAAAGAAAACAAGCAAATGCCACCTACGATTGAGTTCAACTCCAAGTATGAGTAAGTATCATTGATTTATGCATGCAACAAGTCGATCGAGCTTGTGTATCATTTCTTTCACATTCTCAACTAAATTTTAACCATAGATTTGCACCTACGATTGAAAAAAGACATCAACGAGAATGGAAAGCAACCACTCTTTCATTCTTTCTAACGATTTTGGCATACAACAGAAACATTGAATATTTGCTTTATATCATCTATTGGCTTAAACACAACCTTCTTGAAAGAGACAAACATTTGTTCAGTCTGTATCCTGAAGTTCTCTACTGTGCAGGCAAGACATTAATATCCATTCACACTGAGCAACCCTCACAAGACTTGATTACATATGCTATTCCTATCTATTGCTACATTTTAGAATTGACCAATAAGGATCAACAACAACAACAGCAGCAGCAACTCGTAAATGTACAGAAAGCGGTCAAGACATTGCTAGAAAAATATCCAAAAACGAAAGACATCATGTCAAGCAAGCATGCTGAAAAGAAATTACGAGAATTTTATGAAAAGGAATATCTGGTGGATCTTGTCAAGTTCAAGAAATTGGAAAAGAAAGATGTCAAAGAATCCAAACCTGAAAAGAAGAAGAAGAAATCAAAGGATAAAGACAAGACTGAAGATAAAACTAAGAATAAGGAACATGCTAAAGATCATTCTAAGGATGAAAAAAAGAAAGAAGGCAAAAAGAAAGACACAACAGAGAAAAAGACATCTGAAAAGAAAGAAAAGAGTGAAAAGAAGAAGAGTGAAGCATCAAAGAGCTCTTCCACTGCTACTACTACTGCTACTACTTCTACTACAAGTGATCAACTACAATTCCACATGATGGAAACACCAAAGAAGAAGAAGAAACAAGATGGCTCAAGTACAACAACATCGTCCTCAAGTGGCAGCACGAACAACTCTCTCATCATGTCCACACCACCATCCAAATCTCAAAGCACGAACAACAACAACACGACTCCTCCTGGAGGTAAAGGATTTGTCTTTCATCACTATCAACCACAAGCTCAATTACCAACGACACAAAAACATACATCTCCATCCTCAAAGAAGTCATCTCCTGCTTCGTTAAAATCACTCCTAGAAACACCTTTCTCAACCAACATCTTTTTTCCTTCAGCACAACCTCAAGCCACAAGAAGTGTTGTGGCATCTTCAAGTAATACAAGTGGAGAATCTCGAACATTTATATCAATAGATGATGTGTCTACATCATCTTCAACTGTTGGTAGTAATAATGGTGGTGGTGGTGGTAGTAGTGGTAACATGAGTGAATCTAAGAGTCATTTGAGCCAAATTTTGTCACCAGTTTCATTCAGAAAAAGTAACCTTCAGAGTTCCTCAAATGCTCAAAGAAAAGAAGAAACAACCACTGAAGAAGTGATTGTTGTGATCAGTGATAGCGATTCTGATTAGAGAGATCATTCACAGTTTCACACATTATCAATATATTAGCAAACAACCACATATGCTTGGATCCATCTCGTGACACTTGTTTCATTTGATGAAGATGACATTCAAGAAAGTGGGCCTCGAAGACACAAGGAAAAAATGTTCTCATCACAATCATCACAATCACCACTACAACGAACGAACGATCGCCATTCGAGTATGGAACGGAGGCTTGTGGCTCTGAGGAATCACTGTTCACCAACCATGAAGGAAGCTTCTGCTCATTCACTTGATATTACTTTTAATGCGATCGATGTGAATCATACGGCAGGAGAAACTTATTGTTCAAAATCGTTGGAGTCATCATCATCGGAATGCTGCTCTTGTTCACATAGGAAAACTTCTACCAGTACAACAAATTCTTCACCACAAGTATCATCATCATCACCATCATCCTCTGCATCAACATCCTATCAAGCAAGACCGATTGAACCCTCCGATTACGAAAAGGGATATTTGACTCTTCTCTCTCAACTCACCACTGTTGGGGATATTTCACGAGAGAACTTTTTGAAACGTCTTTCTCAACTCGATCCCAATACCTATCGAATTGTGGTGATTGAAGATCCAAAGAGTCATCGCATCGTTGCAGCAGCTACTGTTTTCGTTGAGAAGAAATTTGTGCATGAATGTGGAAGTGTGGGTCATATTGAAGATGTCGTTGTGGATGCTAATGTTCGAGGTCAACATTTGGGAGTCAAAGTTATTGAGGCATGCAAACAATTTGCTCAAGAACAAGGATGCTACAAAACCATTTTGGATTGTTCTGAGAAGAATGTTAAATTTTATGAAAAATGTGGATTTGTGAGAAAGGAAATTCAAATGAGATTTGATCATGAACATTAATGTCAGATGTTATGTCTTAAATAAGACCATTGTTCAACAGTCGATAAAAAGCTTTTTCATCATCTAATGAAAACTTGAACAAAAACATAAAATTTTTCGAAAAGCAAAAGAAGAACATTTAAATGATTTCTCTCAATTTTGTACAACAAAGATAAATTAAAGGGGAAAATGTCAAAATATTTGGTGGAAATACATGACCTTAATGAAACAACAACAAACGAGGAGAATGAGGAGGGCAATAGGTGATGATCTTAAAAGTTTGGCCTTATCTTACGAATGGCTCTGAGAGGACCAAGTTCGTCATATTCCTTCTTGGTCAACCAGAACTTGTCTCCATTATCCTTCATGATATCAGCAAGCACAGCTCCTCCCAAGAAGACCATGTGCTTACGACGAGGTGGATCTTCAATCTTCAACTTGAATTTACCTAATCCTTCTTCGTTTCCTTTGAGCACATGTTTCAAGTACAAGTCAGTGATTTCCTTCTCCAAACGAGATGGAAGACCTGGATACATGGTAGTACCACCTGAAAGAACAATGTGTGAATAGAAATCAGTACGCAAATCAATATCAGCCTTGTTGATAGTATCGAAAACTTGCATGTGCATACCACCTTCTTCTTTATCACACAATCCAGGATTGAAAAGACATTCTGGAGCTTGGAATCTTTCAGCACCAATCTTAATGACACGTCCATCAGGTAAAGTATACTTCTTCATGAGAACAGTGGTCTCCAAAGCAAGCTTATTTTCCAAAGCCAAATCATAACCCACATAGCAATACTTTTCTTTCATTTGACGAACTGTTTCAAAGTCAGCTGTACGATTGAAACTGTAGCCACGCATCAACAATAACTTGATCAAGTATTCAGTAATGTCTCTACCAGCCAAATTCAAACGTTTCACCAAGTGTTCCAAGCTGAAACCATCATACACAGGAACAGTGTGAGTAACACCATCACCAGAGTCTACAACAACACCTGTAACGAGACCTTGAGCGTACAAAGTCAAGACAGCCTGAATGGAGATGTACAATCCTTGAAAACCGTAATGCTCAAACATGGTCTCAACCACCTTCTTGGTCTTATCCTTTGGATTCATTGGAGGTTCAGTCAAGAGAATTTGGCAATCTTTTGGGTTGATCTTCAAACGATCCCAAGTATAATCCCACAAGTGAATCATATCTTCAAAGTTGGTAACGATACCATTGGTGAGAGGATAGGAGACTTCAAGAGCAGCTCTCAATTTGGCACATTCATCTCCAACCATAATATCCTTCAATTCAACATCTCCAATGGATTCTTCAGCACGGAGGAGAGGACGACCGACCATGGCTGGGAAAGTTGCCTTTGGAAAGTTATCACCGGCAAAACCACACTTGACGAAACCAGTACCGTTATCGCATACGACTGTTGTTACCATCTTTTAATTTTCTAATTGCGCAAGAGAAAATGATCAAAAAATAGGAGAAGAGAATCTGATGATGATGATGATCAATATAAAAATTTAAAGGCTTTGTGAAAAAAATATTGATGATGATGCAGCGAGAAAAAGGGTGCGATGAGAAAGCCTTTGAATTTTTTTTGATGATTTTTACAAACTGTGGCACTTCATCCGTCATGAATGCTTGTTGTTGTTGATGGCTGAAGGCACTTCCACTGAATTCATTGGATCGAGCAACGAGAATAACCACAATTTCTCAAGCCATCACACAGAAAATTCCTGGAGAATTGTTGAACATCACCACCAATGAACGATTGGAATCAATGAATTCTTGATCAGAATGAAGATAAATCCTGTTCTCCACCTCAAGTTTTATATTTTCTGATTTGCATGTACAGAAGGATGACCATCCTTCAACGAACAATCCTGTCCAGGTTGGTCATTGGATTGACATTGTCAGCAAAGCAAGAAACAAGGAGCTGTTCAATTTCGGCAACTTGCTCCTCCTTAGTGTCGACATTGTGTTCGTATTTGAGTGGTGTGGTTTTACGAGTCCAATAATAGGTTTGATCGGTCTTGTATGTATAGACATCAATCTCAATATCAAATCGTTCCTTTGTGAGGTCATGAAAAGCTTGAATGGAGGGTTGTGAGAATTTGTTGTCGGCAATCATGAGTTTTTTGAGGACATCATTCTTACTGAGCAAAGTTTTTGACAAGAATGTTAAACTATCATCTCCAATGTTGTTGTTCGAAAGATCGAGATGAATAAGCGTTTTGTTTTTGATCAAGCTTCTTGCAATTTGTTTACCTCCATCACTGTCTATTCTGTTCGCTGACAAGTCCAACAGTTGAAGAGCACAATTTGGATTTTCCAAAAAACGAGAAATAATGTCTGTGCTTAGGGTGATACAATTAGCGCTGAGTCGAAGATGTGTCAATGTTCTGCACATCATAATTCCCTGAAAGAAAACCGTTACGCCACTGTCACTTAAGGATTGAAAGCTCAAATCGAGAGAGCGAAGTATCTCATTCACCTTAAACATCTCGGATAAATGTACAACAGTTTCCTCTTTTTTGGAGTTCATGACAGTTTTTGCAATTCTAAGTTCTCTTAGGCTAGGATGTGCTCTTACGACAATGGCAAGCAATGTTATTGAGGATGTTTTCAAATCGCAAGCATTTAAATTCAGATATTTCAGCGTTGAATTTTCCTTTAGCATTTCTGCCATTTTCAATCCACCTTTGTCCTCAATCGAGTTATAGCTAAAATCAAACGATTTAAGTGAGTGATTTTCTTTGAGAGCATCAGCAATATCGGATGCTCCTCGTTCAGAGATAGCATTTGATTTTACAGAAAGATGTTGAATTGAAGTATTGATTTTTAGCATTCTTGAAATTGCATTTGCTCCGCTGTCGCCAATGTTATTGTAAGACAGATCGCAACTCACAATAAAAGATGTATTAAGAATTTCAAGAGTATCACAAATGGAAAAAACATCCAAATTTTGAAGCCGATTTTCAAACATTGAAACACAATTTCCATTCAATATCAAATGTCTCATTCGTTTTCTTTTTTGCATGTATCATGATAATATATAATTTAAATAACAAACATGAAGGTATGAAATATGCTTACCCTTTTTCCTTCAGTTTTGAATACTCCTTAATCAAACGAGAACATGGTTTTTGGATGGAGTAATCGGAACATTTTTGTAGATAGAGCTCAAGAAAATCCTCACTATGAAGAAGAACAACATCCTGTGTTGAGTTGTTATTAGTATTATTGTTATTGATAGTTTCGGACCATATATTTGACAGGTTGTTGTTGTTGTTGCTGCTTGTAGTCTCTTCGATAGCCGAGACGTTGAGAGAGTCATCAAATTCAATCATTTTTTTGGCGCCATTTTTTCTAAATACTAGTTATTGTAAATGACAAACTCGAAAGCCTTCCTCCTCTGCCGATCGTGGATAATATTTGACATTCTTTGGCCTTCTTGAGCATGAACTTATCCTCATTTCAAACAAGAGGATGTGTTGCTCTTTTTTTGAAAGGTTTACTGGTGATGTGGATTGAAATGCTGTTCAGTTTCATTCTCTTGATGCCAAAGTAAGAGCAGGAACTAACATGCTTCTGCTCTTATTGTAGAAGAAGGGATGGATTAATAAGGACATTAATCCACATGCCATACATGGACGTTGTTGATTATTTTAGAATTTATTGTCATTATTCAAATAGGATTTCTAATTGGATCATTTCCAGCTCAGAAAATTTTCATCGAGTTGTTGTTTGAACCACAAACACTATGCTACAATTTGATAATCTTTTGATTCCCAATACAATTGTATCTACGTGGTGCGTTTACTTTCTTCTATTGTTTCCACCAAGTATGTAAAGAAGACGGACGAAAATATTGATCACATCAGTGTACAATCCGAGAGATGAGTTAATGTAGTCTGGTTGTCGAATTAAGTGAGCTGGTGTTCCTCTTGCTTGTTCACTCTCCACATACATCTTGTAGTTGTTTCCTTTTTGAATCACTTTTTGGGCATCATAGAGAACGAACATGCCAAACAACAATAAGCCACCATAGAGCCAAATATATTCACTCACTTGCAATGCTCTAGTCATTGTGGCAGGTAAAACCAATGGAGCAAAGGATGACAAGAAAACAACAGTCAAACCAGCAAGTAAAGCACCGCCCATATTCAAGAATTTCTCTTGATGAGCATTCATGGCCACATAGGACAAAGCACCAAAGATACCAGCAGTGTACAAGGCAGCTCGCAAAATAATTTCTGGTCGATAGATGAAACCAATGGTGCAGAGAGACATTCCAACCAATGTGTTAAAAGCAACGAGGAGGGTATGCTTCAAAGTTCTATTCGTATTAATATCAACAGCTCTGGTTGCCATTGCAGTACCAATGAAACCACCAGTAAAGAGAAGAACGCTAGCCCATGGGTTCATGGTTGCCAATTTAAATGCTAATCCTGACTTGAAAGCAGCAACAGCAGCAACTGTGGTCAAAGCAACGTTCAAAGCCACATAGCCAAAGGTTCCACGCAAATATCTTTGAACGATAGGATCCAATCCACTTCCTCTAGTCATATCTGGCTGAACCAAACGTTGTTGAGCCAACTGTAATTCATTGGTTGTATCAAATCTTCCAAAGGTTTCATTTGGTTGATTCATTGTCTTGGTCAAATAGTATCCCGCACCCAACAACAAACCACCAGAAATAATACTCTTCATAGCTGGTGAAAGTGTAGAAGATCCGGAGCCAGCCGATGATGATGAGAATGATCTCACTGAATTATTAAGTTTAAATTGATGATGACCTGAACGGAAAGCATTTCCTGAGGAAGAAGAAGCAAATCGACGAGAGAAATTGCGAAACATTTTTTTTTGTGCGGAATTTTTTTGGTTCTGTGTGGGAGTCTCTTTTGAAGGTTTTTTTAGTTTTAAATTTAGAAGCTGAGGGCTCATTCAATCAATTCAGTTGTACAGAGCGTTTGGGTTCCATTGAATGGAATCGGAATTGGGGAGAGGTTTTTGATTAATTGAGCATTCTTCTCTGAGAAGACCTGAAAGAGAAGCTTTGAGTGGTTTTCAATGTTGTTGTTGTAAAGGCAATTGTTCTTTCTGGAGAAGAAAAAAGAATCTTTAAAAAATGGATCTTTCAAGTTGTTCGGAATTGAATGAAAATTTTGAGAGAGCCTCCAAGAAGCAGAAAACCACGATCAATTTTCTCACCTCGGAAATTGATAATTTGATTGAACAAGTGGAGAGTTGTAAAAGACAAATTGAAAATGAAGGTAGGTTTTAATTTTTCTTTCTGGGAAAGAAATTTTGATGGTAATGATGATCATTCTATATGATGATCATGATGATGAATGGTTATTAATGATAATAATATTCGACTTGTGATGATTATTTCAAAATTGTTATTATGAAATGTTGATTTGCAACGAATGAATATACATTTATGAATGGTCATCACCTCATCATGATGCAATTTGTGGGTGTTATGAAACGTAGGAAAAAGTATTACCGACTTGGGAAAAGATGTTATGAATCAAATTAAAAACACTCACACAAAATTTCAACAAGCTCACAAGGAATTGCATTCTCAATTTTCAAAATTTGGAAAAACAATTGATCGTTGCTTTCCCAATAATGAAGAAAAGCTATTGAATGAAAAGGTAAAAATTTCAGAGAACATTGTAAATCAAATCATTGGAGAGCATTTATTTAGAGAGGGACTTGTTGACGTTGGAGCAATATTTGAAAAAGAAGCTGGAATTCGCTTGCCAGAGGAATGTAAACAGCAATTTATAGAACTGCATGCTATATGTGAGTCACTGAAGAGACGTGACGTTGAACCGGCCCTGAATTGGTGCAACGAACATATTGCACGAGCAAAACAACATGATGCTGTCGATGAAAAGGAGTTGGACGATCTGAGAATGCTTGCCTTTCAATTGCACAAACTCAATTTTGTTCAACTTTTGATTCAGAACGATTCTAAAAAAGCAATTCAATATGCGAGAGACAATTTGCAGCCTTTTGCTGATAAGAACATTTCTGAAATTAGATTTCTGATGGGAAGTATTTTGTACAGTGGCCGAGAGAGATTAATCAAATCCGAAAGATATAGCTGTTTGATGGATGTTTCTCAATGGGACAATGTCCTTAAAATGTTTAAAAAATTGGGATGTAGAAGAATTAACAAACCAATGGAGTCACCTCTCTATGTCGCTGTCAATGCTGGATATCAAGCAATACCAACGCTTCTCAAGCTTGTCACAGTGACGCAGAATATTGACATTGGCTCTAGTTCGGATCAGTTGGCGGTTGAAATTGATTTGGATGACGAATTTCAATATCACTCCATTTTCTCGTGTCCAATTTCAAAAGAACCAGCAACAAAAGACAATCCTCCCATGCTTCTCCCATGTAATCATGTTCTTTTGGAATCTTCATTGAAAAAACTTGCAAGAAACACCAAATTCAAATGCCCTTATTGTCCAACTACAGGTAGCCTTTCTGATTGTAAACCAATTAATTTGTAACATAGAAATTGTAAATAGTTGCATGAGAGCGTGTATATGACAACCAAACTAACTCTGTAAATACTTTGCGAGTGACACTGACGTGAAAAGCATACATTGAAAGTTACTAAAACAAATGTTTGTGAACACATGTCACAAGTTTTGAAAATGTTTATTGGCTAATTACATTTCTTGGCGAGTTTCACCAGATTCAACGTCAATTAATTGAATATATATTGTTTACATTACTTCTTCTTTTTCTTCTTCTTGTCATCTGAGCTACTTGCGACTGGTTCAGTAGTGGCGGCAGCACCTGCAATACGAAAGTTAAAGTCGCCTTTAGTAGTGCTGTTTAAATCGTTAATCAATTTGTCATAATCTCCTGGAGAGATTTCAATCGTGACAGTGCAGCCCTCGTCGCCATGGTCTTGACCAATGACCTTGGCATGTTTGTGGCAAACTCCAATAACTTGACCAGCAAGTGAATGCTTCACGACGACTTCAGCTTCAATTTGAGACTTTTTTAGAGGAATTTTCTCGACCAATTTTGAGTGAATGGCAGCCACTTGTTTGTCAGCTGGCATGAAGGGATCAATATTCTTTCAAATGAAATTTTAACAATGATGAGATATTTCAAAATAAGAAATTAGGTCATCAAATAGAATTTTGGTAAGACGAAATATTGACACAATCGATCAACATACATATTTGATTGAATCAAGAGCTCCTTCAATTCGAGTCACGGGATGACACACATTAGTCTTTGGATCAATGTAATTTTGATGAATAAAGTGGCTATTGAGTAATTTCCGATCAATCAGTAAATATCAACAAATAATAATATTATTAGACAATTTCCAAGAATAGATGTGATATTATTATTAACAGTACAAACAAATTCATTTGAACGTTCAACATTTGTGTTGATTTCACCATTTCAATCAAAATTAAAAGTACATCATTACAAGAAAAATTCAAATCATCATCAATTATATCATCAGAAACCTACATGATTTGTCTTCTCTTTTGTTCTACCTTTTCCTTTCGTTCCTGAGTTGACAAGTGATATTCTCCATCCGCTAAAATCTTCAAAATCACTTCCCGAGTATTGGTTGTTCCAAATACACTCTTCAAAGACTCTTCTTTCACTTTATCGCCTTTGGCATAATTTGCAAAAATCTCATCCGAGTACAAGATATCATCTACTTTATATTTTCCTTCTCTGTATGCAATTACTGTGTTAGGCTTAACAAGCACTTCAAAGTTGCTTTCTCCCTTCTTGTACTTGACAACACTAAAATCTTTCGACATTACGGTGGTGAATTTTTTTTGAAAAACGTTTGGATGAACCTATTTTTGGAAATTGAAGAGAGTTTTTTCAAAACTGAAATGCTTGTTTAGTTTTTTTATCAACACGCCATCGTGTTTTGATATGGAACGGCCTGCAACTGGGTCTATTGGCAGGTCTTGCTATTAATTATTATAATATTATTGTGAGCGATTTTTTTGATAAATTCAATATAAGAAGGATCGAAACCACGTGAGCTCGTTGCACAAAATTAAAATTTTCCAAAAAAGGTCAAGGACAAGATGACGCCAACAACAACACCAAAACCGCCATACATGAGTCTAGTGGTAGCTATCTTTGTATCGATGGATTGTTGTATCTGTTTTGAGATTGTTGAGTCATAAAGAGAGCGGCATATCATGATTCACAAATTTCATGCAAATATGTAATCATGATGAAAATTCAATGTCAATCGGTGTGTCAGTGGGAAACAAGTTATTTTAGAAAAATAATCTTTCATGCATCGAATTCATTTCCTTACCTGCTGAGAAACGACAAAGGACAACACATATCGACTCACAAGATCTCTCACTAACTCTGGATCCACTACTTCTTTTTCAAATTCAGTCATGGCCATATAATGTATCACTTTACCTTTCATATTTTCATACGGCACCGTTTGTACTTTCTCAAGTAATTGAGCATGATAGACAAAATTTGAAACCGCTACATTTCCATGAGTAAAATCAAAATCAATGAGTGGCCGTATGACTGTACGAGAATCAAATTCTGATTTTTTCGCTTGTGCTTCTGCCTTGACTCGATCATATCCGTAGCCAAATTGTTGTAAAAGCACATTTTGAATTTCTTGATAAATATCAACAGGAGAAGAAGATTGAGAAGGAATGGTAATTTTCGGAAGAGAGCAATGACCAGAGGCATCTCGGAGGAGCATGAAATCACCTCTATCGTCTTGTGGTAATATGACCACTACTTTTTGTTGTGCTGATGAAGGAGATGCTGCTGTTTGTGAGGATGATGAGATGGCTCCGATGGAGGACATTGGAACTCGTAAATTCTTCTCGGAATGAGAAAATAATGGTTTGCTCCGATAGTCCTGAGAGAAGGAACGCTTGATGTTCTTGTTGCTGTTGTTGGGTAGTATACTAATCTGTGAGAGACAGAATTCCGATTTGTGTGTTGTCATGAATGAAGAATTCTTCAGAGCAGATTTTCCAATGATGCGACATGTACGTGATAAAGGTTGAAGTGAAATCATTTTTTTCGAAACAACTTTGAAAATATAAATTAAACCTATTTCACGTGCAACAGTATTATACTTGTCGATTAATTCAATGCACACATTGTGTGCTATTCTTGTTTCGGGGTGGTCGGTTGATTGGGTGCCACAGTACAAACTAGAGTATCTTCTAGAACGGTCTTGTTGTTGAATTCTCGTTGAAATTTTTCAGCGAGTTCCATTGAAATAAATTCAACCATCATGGTCATGGTTTTGGGTCCTTTTCCACTACTGGATGAACCCAAATTCAATACTCGTACACGAGTGACATCCTTTAAATCTTTAAAAGTTTTTTCCTTGTGTTTGGTTCCCATTTGGTTGCTGTAGGTCACGCCCTCAACAATGACTCCATACAATTCTGAAATACCATTCCAGGAACCTTTGAGGTCCTTCTTCTTTTCCTTTTTTATGGGAGGAGGAAGTGTGACATTTGGTTGTGGATGAGGTTGTGGTTTTTGCTGCTCCTGTAATTGAGCAAGTCTTCGAAGCTCTTTTTTTCTTTCTGCCTCTTCCTTTCTTTTCTCTTTCTTGTATTGTGCAATTATTTCATCTTTTTTAATATTAATTTGAGTCTCTACAATATGCATGGGTATGAGTACTCTACAGACAGGACAATAGAAAATATTGGAGTCTTCCAATACGCTTTCTTTAAGGCTCTGATCAAAAATAATTGGAGATGACGATGATGCTTCGAGCTCAGTTTCAGAGGTTGGAGTTGATGCATCATCGGTGATACCTCTATCGTCTCGATCGAGTAATTTTAAATATTCATCGTATCTATCTCTACACTTGAAATGAAACCATGTATGCAAGCAATCAGTATGAAAAATATGAAAGCATGGTAATTTGGTGACTGGCCCTCCACTCTCAGAAAATCCATCCAAACAAATCGAACATCGTGAAACCTCGAGTTGACGTTCATTCTCATGTGTTAAATACTCTCTAGCTTCTTCATACAAGTTATAAATCGGTGGTGACATGGAGAAATCATCACACTCGGAAATTAGCTGGTAGGCTTTTTTGTATAAATATGATAACATGTAATTACATTGTACTTCCGATAAGCCTCGTCTCCAAGGAATTGATATAAAACTAGAAACATCTTCACTGGATGTTTTTCTTGGCATGGAAACTTCTTTTTTTAAATATAATGGATATTCATCAATATTTGAAATTTTAAAACATAATTGCAATGAAACAAATTGTGACGAATCATCCATTCCAGTACTCGGTGTGATGGTGATACAAATCCGAAGTGGTTCTTGTTCATGATTTTTACTTTCATCATCCATAAAGAAATTTTCAATTTTCAAAACGTGTCCTTCATCTGGAAACAAGGCTTTCAACATCTCCACCTCCATGCATAATAAATCTCTTCCGATGAGCGAGTATGAAGTTGTTGTTGTTGTTGTTAATTCAGACATTTTTTTTAAAGTCTTGCACAATTTTTATGTTATTTGATTACAACAAGCTTGAATATATTGAATCCTACCATCATTTATTCAATCCACTCTACTCTAGCCTTAAAATTCTCAATTCATAAATGGTTGTTAGCTCGTGACTATTGAGGCAGAAATCGTTCGTACTAAATGAACAGAAACACAACACCACCACTCCACAACAACACTGAAATTTGTTTGTCTCCTCACAACGACTCTTCATGCAACTCTTTCAACCCACACGAATGATCTTTCAAATACTTTTGAATTGCTCTCAGTAAGGGATCGATGGTATTCTTCTGAATGCACATCTTCTTACTCTCGTCAAATTCCATCCATTGGAAACCTCCATGTTCTGTGGGTTTCACGTTCAAGAGGTCGACATGTTCCTTTGCAAAGGCCAAATACATTCGGAGTGTCTTTCCCACTCGACACTTCTTACGATGGGAATAATACGAGTAGTATTCGACAAATTCAAAACGTGGATGAATGGAAAGAGTCGTCGTGTTCACGGGAAGAGAGGTTTCTTCTGAAAATTCTCGACTTGCGGTTTGAAGATAACTTTCACCAGGTTCCATTCGACCTTTGGGAAGATCCAAACGATGGGAGTGTTTCATGAGTAGAAATTCATAGGAATTGTTATTATTAGGATTGTTATTGTTGTTGTTTGGGGGAGGAGTAGTCGTTCGTTTTCGGAAGAGTAAAAGACCACAAGAAGTTTCTTCGTGTTGAACGGGTTGTCCATAATCTCTCTGTTGGGAAGGAACAAGAGTCGTGGGATTGGAAGAGGACGCCATCGAGGAGGAGTTTGAGGTTGGGATCATCTTTGGAATCAGCGTTTACTCAAAACTCTCAAAAGCTCACTTTCTCAATTTTTTTATTCTGTTGATGCCATAATCAACGTTTCCATTTCGAACTTGAATTAAATCCTCTAGGTTTTACACTTTCACTACGCTGAAAAAAAATTTATCAACGACTGTTATTCTGTGTGAGCACATCCATCAAATATCGGGTGTGTAGTTGGTGGAAACATCCTTCGTGTACCGGACCACAAACGGAACAACAGTGATTACAAGAACTCTTCTTCTTTTTTCCATCCTTCGTAACGCAATACTTGTAGCAAATCTTGCAGGTTCCCTTTTTCTGCTCTGGACATTGCAAAAAAACAAGATAGAAATTTGTTTAGGTCCTTATGATTGAATGATTGTTCCCACCGGGCAGAGTATTTCAATTTATTTCCAATCCTATTGCTTGATGTTACTGGTAATAAAGGTCTGCCTCGAGTCCCTTCGTTGCTCAACATGTTGTCGACTCTTAATTGTCTCTGGTTCATGTTGTCGAGAAAAAGTTGTTCAACCTCATCATCAAACAACAACTTAAAACAATTTAAAGGTGTAACATCAAGAAGAGTTCCTTTGAAACGACCTTTTTCATAATCTTTGGTGTAGTGATGTTCGGGTACTATTGTTATTCCTTGTCTTGCAGTGAATGAATCATTGTCGTTAACTGTGTTGAGGGACATATTGGACAACGTCACACTAAGATCCACCATATCATCCTCGGACAGATCATTGAAATTGATTCCACCATTATAAACATCATAATAGTCACATAAATCAACAGTGAATGCTTTTGGATTGAAATCGCTGCACATTATTAGAGTGTCCAAGAACGAGCCAGATGCAAGTACCGTCATTTTGTTGTGTTGGACGTAAAGTAGAGATGATAGAACGTCGCTGGTAGTGACAATAGTGAACGTTTGACAATCCCTCCTATTAAGGGTAAATTGAATTTGAACATTTGCCATTTGTAACACCAACAGATGAAAAGCAAAACATTTTCACTACAATCCTCCAAAACAATGTTGTTTTGTTGATGATATGCTCGTCCCTGGTAGTGACTTGTAAAAATCCCGAGGAAATGGTCCTTCTTCAATTTAAAATGCAAAATCAAAAATAAAAAATGTCTCGAAATACAGTGCAAAGATTTATTTCATGCCACGAATATGGTGGTGATAGCTCGGATGGAGAGGAAATGAATTTAGTCGTATTTTCGAAAGCATCGGAAATGAAACATTTTACAAGTTTAGCATCTGCAAAAAGAAAAGAATATTCTCGAAAATATTTATCAACAAAATCAATGACCCAAAAGACTCCTGCATTCTACAAGGAAATTGGAAATTCAATATTTGTGGATGCAGAGTGGAATGATTTTTTAAATGAAAATCCCAAGGTGTTGCAACGAATTTTTGAATTCTTAACGATTGAAGATTTAGTGCGGAGTGAATTTTATGTGTGTAAATTTTGGCAAGATTTGATTTTGGATCATTATGGCTCTCGATTTAAAAATCAATACAAAATGGAGAATGAACTGATGGTGACCAGTCGATTCCGTTTTGAAGTTCACACCAACAATGTTTTCGAGCAACCTGAAGAAGATCAATCCAAAATGGTGGATGAAATTTCAAAAAAACAAACTCCTAAACGAGTCGAAAAGAAAGTGCAATTTTCACATGAAGAGGAAGGAAAAGAAATCATACCATGTGACATTGCATACGATAGAAACTTCACAAAAAGATTTCTCATCAACTCAAAAGATGTGGTCGAGAGGTATGCTCTTTTGGTGAGATATTCATGTCTATCCAGAGCCAGAGAAGCACTGTGTCGATACATTAACTACTTGTTGGATGAGTATACGCAACTTACAACGGAGGAGGCAAAGAAGTTTCGCCATTTTATAGGATGGAATGAAATGAATGAGCAAGATCGGATTAATTTTCATCAATCACTTTTAAAACAGGCCTTGCAATGGTGTGATACAATTGATATACCTACGAAAAAGGTGACAGAGTTATTTGATTTGAGTCGTGACATTGTATTTCTATCAGGAGAGTTTGCTGGTTTTGATGTGGAAATTTATGTCGAGAAGCAAGGAAAAACACGTGTCGTCTTTGACGAGGTAGCACAGTTGAGCGATGAATCAATCGATAGGCTTCTATCGAATTATTCTTCTCTTTCATTTGTGGATGATGACAAGTTTAACAAAAAACATGTCTAGTGTGGGATTTGTACAGTATTTTCAATTGTCCAGAATGTCCTGGGGGCAGGTGACATATACACCATTTTCTGTTAATTCTCTGAATGATGGAAGTGCAACAAAGGTAGATGGTGAAAAGCAATCCGTCATCTTGGAAAGTGGAGCATCCATGCCGATATTGTTACACATTGTGTTATGAATATTGGTAACACTCCATGAAGGTGTCATTAATGTTCTCTGTGGCATAGATTCTCCATCATGATGGAAAATATTCATGTCATGTAATGTTGGAACATGTGGATTGATAATTTTTGCATTTGGAGAATACTCTGCATGATGATCATGTTGATCGTGATAGTTGTGGCTATGCTCGTTCATGACATTCAATGACTTGTTTGAGAACCTCCCATTCTGGTTGCTCAACTGTGATGACATCACTGTTGAGTTTAATGGAATTGAGGTGACCATTTGTGGAATGACATGACCGTTTGGACTCTCAAATTGTTGTTGCTCCAATGATGTATAATTACTTCCCACGGGACTCTGAAGTGCAGTGAGGGTATTACTATTACTTTCATTACTACCACTACTACTCGATTGAGTAGTTGTTGTTGTTGTGGATGATGACGATAATTGCGAGAGTGACTTGGTGCTAAACATGTGCACTGTGGCCAACGAATTCCCACTATTCTTTAAGGGTTTCCTTCCTCTTCTTCGACCCGTATCACAATCGACACACAATTCTTCAGTACCGTTCAAAACACATCGAAAACACGGTCGTTGTTGGTCGCATTTCTTGTGAGCTTTTCTGCACTCGACACATGCTCTAGGAGTTCTGTTACTTTGAGCTCTCTTTGGTTTGGTGATGAGAGAAGAAGAAGGGTTGTTGTGCCTCATGATGGTGGATGGAGTATAGCATGCCAATAGTGTATCATCAAGACTGTTGGTGTTTTTGAATCTTTCATTCCTGGTAGTGCATGTGATCTCGGCAGCTGAATTAGGGTTATGATTGAACTCGGTTCGAGACCTCTCGTAATTCAGATGGTGAGTGTTCAGAGCTTGGGGCTGTGGTTGACATGGTGTGGATGAAAACAATTCAATTTGTTGATTGGAAGAATACCTGCTATTCTTGCAATACACACCACTCGTTTCATTACTCGATACCATTGAAGGTGAGAACAAGTTGGAAAGGGACATAGGTGAGTCTTGCCCATTCTGTACAAGAACAGGTTTCTTTGGGATTACGTTGTGGTCCACAACCGAAGAGGAGGAAGAGGATGGAAGTGCCTCTCTCCCGAATGGGAACATTTCCAAGTGGTGTTGTGGCTGTTCAGGTTGTACTTCGGATTCAAAGGAAGTTACCGAGGATACAAAATTGGTTGGAGCAACGTTGATACCGTTCAGGCCTCTCTCATGAACAAGATGGTTCAGATTCCTCTGATTCAGTTTCTGGCCAAACATTGTTTCAAAGACTGACGCCAAGATAACACCAAGAAAGGAAATACAGGACACAGCAGTGTTGGTTGATCCAATGAATAAGTGAGCTTATTTGACGAAACTCTTGAAAATTCGATACGGTCCTTCGTTATGAAGGGTTCCCTTAGGATACACTTTTTTTTTGGAGAATATTCCTTCTCGTTGGGCTGCTAACTCGCCTCCAATTCCGCGCCCGTCGTATTTTGTTATGGCATTTGAAAAGAACCTATCTACGAATTGGGTTCTCGACAATTTTCCTAATTGGACTGTTATGGTTGGGTGCCAGGCCACGCTTGGAAATTCAGAGTTTGAAGCAGAAGCTGTGCGGCGAAAATGCGGGAGGCTCCTAAACGAAACGTGCCCAATTTGCAGTTGGGTATACTGTCACTTCGCTCTATTAAGGCAAGGGTGAGAGACAAATAAACTCACTTCGATCAAAGAGGACACGAATATTCGTCCCAACACGCGTGTGCATTTATTTTGATGACCTCTCAATGAATGTTCCTTCATATAAATTTCAACGGTTGTGCAAAACATTTTGGCGAGAGGCCGTTAATAGATAATCTGGACGTTGTTGTTTAACAAGCAAAATGCAATGTCGATGAAAGCCATCAATCACAGAGGTGAAACACTTAATTTTAAATCGTTCAGCAATGATGGTGGTGGGTGGTTCTTTGACACTACTTGTCAACCCTGAGTGAATCCTCGCATTTCTGGCACATGAAATTTTGAGAGGTTTTGATTTTACCATGTGTGCACGAACAAGAGTAGCCAATCTTGAACGTGGAGGACAGTTTTGAGTGGAAAAGAGCCTTCGTTTATGACGATGGTGAGTACGGCTGGTGGTGAAGCAGGAACGATCACTGAGAGTTCCAAATTTGAAAGTAAGACGAATGCAATGTGAAGGCATCAACGAGGTTCTGTTGTGCGAGCGGCTCTTTTCAGAAGAGGATGTGGTCATTGACTTTGCTTCTGGTGCGGATGGTGAGGTAGATTCATGTTTCTGCTTGGGTTGTTGTTTATCGGTGTTGTTGTTCTCGCCATCAAGGCTTGGATGAGTTAGGGAGAGTGAAGATGATGATGGGGAAGGATGATGATCGGAACTCAAGACACTAACAAGGGCCAAGGTGTGAGGAGTGTTGGTGAAAGTATGATTGAACATGGAATCCGAGTGTATATTTACAAGTCAATGGCGAAAGAGAAAATCACAATTAATTGAATGTTCCCAATAATAATTTTTGAGCTTTTTTGTCGTTAAAATTTTGCTTGAAATTATTGGAACTTGAAGAAACATATTTTCTTGGTGTTGGGAGAGGCAATATTGATCAAGGATTAGAGTCCTTTGTAGTGCTGTTCTCCTCACCAAACCCCAACGTAACCAAGTATCAAAAATAAAGTATTAAAATCGAAGGGGAGCAATGGGAATCGAACCCATGGCCTCCTGCACCCAAAGCAGGAATCATACCACTAGACCATGCTCCCTCATTTTAGAATGACAGATATTGTCTTTAAATTACCAACAATTATTGCAGTCCACACTTTGTTGCGATCGTTAGGACTGAGAGCCGTTTCAGATGATTGCTCGAATAATGTACCCCACAAAAATCTTGCAAAGTTCCAATCCGGTACTGGGTGTGCACATTTTTGAAATAAAAAATAATCAACAAAGATTGAATCCCACTGGCCTAGCTTCTTTCTGAAATCAGCAACACCAAGAAGAACATTTTCATCAACAAAATTACATCCAACATGAAACGCTTTTTTGCTTCCAACAGCGAGAATGCTGCAGCAGCACTCACTAACGATCATGACGACGATGATGAAGAATCTACCCTCTCCGCAAGTCAAGACGCTTATTCTGATGATGGTGGAGCCACCGCCAACACAGTCATTAAACATCCTCTCTCCTCTTCAACCATGACGAGTCATGCCACCAATGCACCACAACATTTAACACATTCAGAGTCCGTTTCTTCTTTACCTCCTCATCATCACAATTCCAATAACAATTCTCAACATCACCAACGACAATTGTCCTCTTCATCAGACGTTCAGGGAGTAGATCCCAATGATTTACGGCCTTCAAGAAGTGAAAATAACATTTCAACAAACAATATCAACCAAGATTCAAGCAATAATACCTCTACGGGCATACTCAGCTCTTCCATCATTAACAATTATTACGGATCACATTTAAATTTGACTTCCAATAGCAATCTCGTTTCTATCAATCCACAAGACATGAAAATGTCCAGAGTACAACTCAATCCAACACTTCTACCCGGTGAAGAAATTATAGACAAGGACACACTTGTCTATGAATGGAACGGTCATACAGCTCCATCCCGAGTCGCTTGGCATCAAGGCGTTTTATTCCTCACCAATTATAGAATCATTTTCAAGCCTTCCACCACTTCAACTTATGATGATATTCCACATCAATTTCAAGGAAGCGATGTCCCATTGTGTACCATTCATAAATTAGAAAAGGTTGGAGGAAAGACCAATTCAACAAAAGATTTCAGCTACCTGATTGAAATTTGGACCAAATCATTCCAACACATTCGTTTTGCATTTGTACCATCAAGAGGAACAAGAGGACGTGTCTTCAAGTATATTCGAGCTGATTTATCACCTTTTGAATTCTTTGCTTTCAAGTACAAGCTAAATGTGAATCCAACACCGACGACGAGTAGTAACAGTGGAGGGATCACCACCACGAATAGTAGTTCGACCAATCCTTCACAAATCTCACCAAATGAAACAATGTCATCTCCGCTCTCTATCAACAACAATACCTTTGTGAATGGATGGCAAGTTTATGATCTCGTGAAAGAGTTTACTCGTCAAGGTGTTTTTGTCAGTACCATTGCAACTAATGCCAGCTTAGCTCACAGACAAATTAAAACTCCTCCATCCAATGCCAAGCAACCACATTGGAGAATTTGCACATTGAATCAAGGTTACAAGATTTGTGATACATATCCTTCTCAATTCTTGGTTCCTTGCAATCTTTCTGATGAAGAAGTCAAAGCTGCTGCAGAGTTTAGGTCAAGAGGAAGAATTCCAGTATTGAGCTGGTATGACCCAGAGAGCCAATTGTCCTTAACAAGAAGTGCTCAACCCATGATTGGCTTGAATATTACAGGTAAAATTACTAAAAAACATATTGGGGATTACAGAACGATAGAATCTATCATGCAAGCAAGCGACAAGCCGCAACAACGTTTAATGATTGTAGATTTACGTCCAAGAGCGAATGCGGAGGCTAATCGTGTCATTAAGGGAGCTGGATATGAGAAAAATTACAAAAATTGCGAACTGCGTTTCATGAACATTGAAAATATTCATGTGGTGAGAAATTCATTTGCTCGACTTGCTGACATTTGTCACGACTTTGGAGGAGTCGAGTTAAACTGGTACAGCAAGGTGGAAAGTACCCTGTGGCTTGAACATCTTCGTTCTATTTTAATGGCAGCTCACTTTTGTGTGGATGTATTCTTCAGAGAACGTACTTCCATTCTCACTCACTGCAGCGATGGGTGGGATCGTACGAGTCAAGTAGTATGTCTCTTCCAAATTATGGTAGATCCTTACTGTAGAACCATCGAAGGATTTGCAGTATTGATTGAAAAAGAATGGTGTTCATTTGGTCACCAATTTCAAAAGAGAGTTGGGCACGGTAGTCGACAAACTTTTTTCACAGATGAGCGTGGCCCAATTTTTGTTCAATTTATTGATTGTGTTTATCAAATGATGCGACAACATCCAACCGCTTTCGAGTTTAACGAACTTTTCCTAATTTTCTTGTTAGATAATTTGTACTCGTGCAGATTTGGCACATTTTTGTTCGATAATGAAAGGGAAAGAGTTAGAAATAAGGTGTTCGAGAAAACTCACTCAATTTGGACTTACTTGTTAAATCGTAACATTATTGCAGAGTATGAAGGTTGTGGAACAAATTATTTAAATCCTTTCTACGATCCTGAAAACACAACCTATACGATTTATCCCGATTTGAGACATAGTTCCATTCAGTTATGGTCAACATACTGGCTTCGCTATGCAAAAGATCCAGCAGGCTATGAATACTTTGGTTACACTCCCCTTCATACCCTTCAAATCAGAGCTAACGAAATTATTGCAGATATGAACAGAATGCAAGAGATTAAACTACTTTCAGAGAGCAAGAACGAGGCTACTGTTCAAACATTCCAACGTGAATTTAAAAACATGTGGGAAGAGATTCAAAAACTCAAAAAGAAGAATGAAGAATTGGAAGAAAAATATAAACATGACACAGAAGCTCTCGTTGATATATGCGAAAAACAAAAGGAAGAACTTTCTCTCTATTCTAGAACGTCAAGCACTGATCAAATTCTAGAGTCCATCAAGAAGAAGGAAAATACTCCAGTCAAAGAAAAGGAAGAGCCAACCACTCTTTCCAACCTAGAAAATAGGAAAAACAGTGAGCCTGGAGTTGAGCAATTAAAGAAGGAGATTGAGGAATGGAAAGAAAAGGTTAGCCAGCTTCAACTTGAGCTTCTTAACACCACTAAACCAAGCACAACTGCTGTAAATGGAAACAACTCTCAACAACAATCAGAGATTGAGAAGCTCAAGTCATACATCACTCATTTGGAGGAGACTATTTCCGTTTTGAAAAGCACTAAACCAAGCAGTACGAATGTTGCAAACACAGCTGTACTCTCGTCTCCTACATCAAGTCCCAACAATACACAACAATTTGGAACTGTAAACAAGTTATGGAGATCTACGCAGCAATAACATTTTTAACTTATCGAAAATAAATATGGCTTTGTATTTTATTAAGGTGAATTGCGTGTCGAAGCAGTGAATGTCACCTCAAATAGCTGGAGATCATTCTCAAATAGGCAATAATGGCTTCTTCCTTCTTTTCTATTGGCACAGAGTGATTTGGCTGAGACAGCAAGTACTTTAAACGATGTCTCATTCTCTTAATTATGATGGAGGTTCTATAATCCATTTTGTACTCTCCATTATTGGCAACAAATGTCAGCCTATTTTTCATGATATTCATCCTTTGTCTTCTAAAGTCAACAAGAGAGTTATTTCTGTCAGCCACGTTCCTCAAATAGGCCCTCACAAGTTCTGAAAGACTGTTCGAGAGGAATTGTCCTGGAGCATGTTTGTCGTAAAATTGTGTGTTAAACGTTTTTTGAATCGATAGAGGTGGTAAACTGGTTGGTTCAAAATTTTGCTCTTCCAAAATTGCCTCGTTCTTTGGCAGTTGTGACATGGTGTCCAGAATTTTCGCAAATTTAAAAGTTTCATGGCCAGCGGTCACAAATCCACGAATTCTGTAAATGTAATCCATAAATGATTTTCTTTCTTGAGGTTTCTTCTTGTCCTCTTCTTGCAACGATTCAAAAGTAGGATATTTCTGCTTTTCTTTGGAAGGAACTTTTCCCTCAAAAATTATTTTCCCCGCTATATATTGTGTTTCTAATTTTGTGAAAATAATTCTTCCTGAATACTTGCTTTCAAGATGTACTCCTCTTCCAACAATGGAAGACAAATTTTTGTATTCTTTTTCTTTTGACTCGGCATGATCATTCACAATTTTGTCCATGATGCGTTGTCTTGTTGCTTCAAACAATTGAAACGCTCTGTCTTGAATTAAACATTCATCACTTGTGCTTTGTAATTGGTCCACATCCTCAGATGTTCTTGATTCACTTGTTTGAGGAGTTCCCAAAAAGCATTTCCTCACAAAAAACTCTCTCGCCAAGTTCATGTTTGCCGAAGTAAAATCATACATCATTGTGACTGATCGAATTCTTTCAATAGTCATACAGAGGCGATAGAAAAACATGTACAGATATTTCGGATGTGGGAATAATCGTCTACTCTTCGAAGAGGTTTCTTTTTCCTCAATAGTGATTCCGAACAAGAGTTCTTTGAAATGAGAGAGTAAATTCTTACAATCGTATGGAATGAGAATGATATTGGAGGTATTTTGTCCACTTTTTTCATCATGACGATCTATCCAAAATTGGTAATTAATTGGTGTTGGATTTCCCTTCTTACTTATTTCTTCTCCCATGTCAAAATATTGAAATTCTTTCAAACAAGAAGAATCCATGAAATTCCATCCTGATACTACTGAATCGTTATTCTCCATTCTTTTACTCCATAATTGTTCATAAAAGAATGCCAAACATTTCTCAAAGGCTTGTTCTAAATTTCGGAACGGTTGAATGATTTCTCTTTCATAGTCTTTCATAAATAAATCAAAGGCTTGATGAATATTCGGAAATTCACGGGAGGTGAAGAGAGGAGGAGAGAATGAATGACCATCCAGGTCATGATGATGATGAGAAGGTTGATTCATGTTCTTCTTCTTCTTTTTGGATACTATGGTTGATTCATCCCACTCTTCCGAAAGTGAAGATGATAACAAATAATCTTGTATGGCTTGTTTTAATGTTGATCGGCAATGATTCAATGCCAAATCCAATGCATTGGGAGAGGATGATTCCATATTGACAGAGAGAGCGAGTGCATCCGGTTGCAAATTTCACATATTTTTTTAAATGTACAGTTTAATAGTGAAATCGATGAAGGAGTGGATTCGAATCTTGTTGATCATCCCAAATAGTATACTCACTGCAAAACAATGTGATTTAATAGTTATGGAATAAAGCAGCCATTGTAACAATATTCCATTCGCTTCTTGTACCATTCATCGTCGTAAAAATCGACATAACCGTTTTGTTTCATTGCCTCCATTATAAGATCATTATCAAATTGCAATAATAAACCAGCATAGCTCAATGCATAACCATTTTTCTTGACACATTTCAAAATAAATTCCTTATCGATTAATCGGTCTTGATTCAGGGCACCCATGACCCCAACTTCTAAATCCAATACTCGAAAGAAAAATTCAGTGTCTTTGAATACTGAGTAGCTCTCTATGAAATCAAATACTTCAATGTTGCGATTAAGAGCTTCCCATATGAATTGCCTATCTCTTGTGAGTTGTTCAGGAATGTGTTGTATACAATATGGATATTTTGTAACGACTTGTAATGCAATCTCTTTGAAAAAATCAGCATCAATAGAAACAAAGCGAATGGCTTCAGGGTTATTCTTAACAGCTTCCAAAGCTATTTCTCTGTCAGCTTGTAGTTCGGATGATGCATAATGCAATAATTCACCTTGTTGTTTGATGGCTATTAATACAATTTCTCGATCATTCTTGAACATATTTTCAACATTAATCAATGCTTCACCATCATTTCTAACTGCTTCTAATACAAGATCTCTATCATTTCTTAGTGCTTCTGAAGCATATTGCAAGGCACAGCCGTCTCTTTGAATTAATTCCAGAACAAATGGTCGATTGTTTTTGAATTCTTGTGGCAAAAATTTCAAAGCGTAGCCGTTATATTTCGATAACTCTAATAAAAACTTGTAGTCTTTTTTGAGCCTTTCAGGTATTCCATCACTAGCATCGTATCCAACATACAAGTTGAGTAATTGCATTCGATCAAATTCAGCGGCTGGAGAGATACCTATTATAGAGGCGTTTTGCTCGACAGCTTTTAACAAAATCTCTGGATCTTCTCTCAACTGTTGTGAAGCGAATTGCAATGTTTCACCGTTTTGATGAACGATTTTCAACACAAACTCCTTATCATTTTTCAATTCTGGAGAAGTGTACTTAAATACAGAAGTGTTATATTTAACAGCCTCTAAAACCAGCTCTCTATCTTTTTTCAATGATGTAGACGCCAAAGAAAATGCTATAGCATTTTGTTTAAGAGCTTCTTGAACAATTTCTCGATCTTTCTTCAATTTTTCATTAGCATATAACAATGCTTTACCATAATTTCTGACTGCCTCTAACACGACCTCTATCATTTCGCACCTCCAAAGAAGCATACTTTAATACATATCCGGCTCTCTTTACGATCGTCAATATAAATTTCTTGTCATTCGTCAGTTCATCAAATGCAGGAAATGCTTCAATTGAGATATTGAAAGGATATTGAGCTGCTTGTCGAAGAATTTCTGAATCAACGATGTCTTTTTCAACAATCTTGAGAGTGTCTGGGTCATATTTGAGCGCTTCCAATATAAAAGTTTTATCTTCTAATAATTTTTTTGATGCAAAACAAACTCCTTTTTTGTGCTTGATTTTCTTGGTAGATGGATCGTATTCGTTTTCGTGAGTTCTTTTCAACATTTTTTTTTTATCACTGTCCATGCGTTTATTTGTTCGAAAATTCAAACGTTATTCATGGCTGTGTGTGCAATTAGTACAGTTAAAGGTGGTTCATGTCATCAAAGTTAGTGTAATTATTGTTGTAAATTTCAATTATTGTTTGTCATCAAGGTTAGTGTAAATTTCAAATATTGTTGTAAATTTCAATTATTATTCATGGTCGTGGGTATTTCATGTATAGTTTAAACTTGTTCAAATCAATGAAATTAGGATTAAAATCGTATTGTTGTTCAAATTCATTCCAGGTGAGTTTCAATTCTTCCATGAAAAAATGATTTCGTTTCATCCACATTTTAGTAATAGATCGATAAGCTTCCTTAGTAAATACTTTGTCCCATTTCTTACCCAATCCAACTTTAGCACCTGTTAGGCTATGGATATCTTGTTTAGTCTTGATGAGGTACAATAGTCGTTTGGAGAATTTCTTGTTATTCTTTGCATATATTGAGATATTATATAAATTCCTAAACATTTCTTTTCTTATATCACTATAGTATTTACATTCAAAAATAATGTGTTGCATTGTCTCTCTACTACAGCAAGGACATAGCAAGTTCGTCTTGGATATCTTGTTTAAATTTTCCAAAGTCTTCATCACGTTCATTCTAATTTTAAATATTAGATTTAAGGTTTTGAAACCGATTCCTATTGAGGGGTAAATGTTGGTGAACTTTCTGTTCTTGGGAGGAAGGTTCTTTGGCGTATATGTTCTTTTGTGGAGGCGTTGAAATAGAAGTTTGTACATTGTTTGTCTAGTGTTTTGAGTGTATAATACATTGTTGATAATAATATACCAATTATTGGATGGAATATTAGTAAGAATATTGTTACAATCAGCACCTTTCTTAGCAGCCCTATCTGCTAATTCATTTATGCGGCTATAGATATCTTGTTTACCTGTATGACTATTAACATGCATAATTTTGATCTGATCCTTCATTTTTAAATAATTACGAATTTCTTCAACATAAGGATCTCTAGATTTTCTGAATTGGAAAAGTTGGTCATAAATACTTTTCGCATCTATGACTATTGTTCTAGGAGTGTTGTTATCTAGCAATCTAACAACTGTGTGGAGCGCTTGAACTTCACTGTTGTAGGAAGTTCCTTGTCCTAAGGTGTGACTTGAGATGGAAACATTCTGATCAGTTACAATACCGTATCCAGCAATATTATTGTTACACGATCCGTCAGTACCAATTAGTGTAGCTTTGTTCAAGAGGTTTGACATGGATGTGTTGTTACCAACATATTTGTAGTATTTGCTTTCGTCTTTGATTTTTCCAAAATCCATGCTATTGAGAATGTTGCGAATTTGGGTGACATGATTGGAATGTTTGATGTCATTATGTAATTTCACTTGTAAATTTTTAGGGTCAGGAACCCACATACTTAATCTGTTCCAATCTTTATAGAGCAGGAATTGTCTTAAACCTTTAGGGAATTTTCCATAAGGGATGAGAGTTTTTTCATGCCATTGGTCACTCGAATGCCACAATCTAATATTGGAAGATTTGTTCATGAAAATTATTCTCTTGAGATATTGAGGAATCCATGGGTCTGGTTTATACCAAGTAGGGATTGGATCATTGAGGATGTCAAAACCATGCTCCTGTTTGATTCGTTCACAAAGGAATCTTGTAGAATATCCAAGACAAATATCATATTGTTCAAGGAACTTTCTGACTTTACACATTAGGTCCGAGTAACTCATTTCTTGAACAGAAATTAATCCAAGTCCACCTTTGTCTTGATGAGTATAAAACCACTCGAGAGCTAATTTTCTCTTGGTTCTTAATCTTTCACATATAAAGTTGCGAAAGAATTTATCAATTTGTTTCTCTAGATGGTCATTAGCAAGAGGAATTAGGTGGTACAGTGCATACGGAACAATGTCTGTGTTGATAATTTTGACAATGTTCTGTATTGGAAAATTCCAGCCAATAGAGTTTGTTCTTCTTTTAACTTCTTCAATAATTGAAGTAGTGTATTTCTTTTGTTCCTCAGTATTATTGGTAATATTATTACCAAGTATAATAATAGAATCATTACTTTTGATCGTACTTCCAGATAATGTCTTGATACTACATTCCTTATCAGAGAAGAGGTTAGTTTTGGAATGATCTAATTCCATGTGATAGCCATGAAGATAGGTTTCAATGTCATGCAAAGAATTTTCAATTTCAGGTAGTTCGTTGGAAAATGAGTTCAAATCATCAATCCATGCGCCTGTACTAATGTTCCAATAATTTGCAACACTAGCACCATTATATGTTATTTCTAAAAATTGTAAGAGAGGCTCAAGCGCAATTTTGAATGCAAGGGGAGAGAAGGTGTCGCCTTGTTTCAATCCATCTTTCACATTGAAACATTCAGATTTACCATTAGGTATAACAAACTTTGTCGTAGATTCATCTAATATTTCCAGAATTCCATCAGCAGTAATTTCATCAATCCCTAAGAATAGCAGTCCATCACGAAGCATAATTCTCGGTAATGAGTCATAAGCTTTTTTGATGTCAACAGCCAAACCATAAAAAGGTTTC